ACGAGTTTATTAACACCAAAATGAGTTAATAAAATATTATTAATATATATCAATTTATAAAAATAACGATTTCTTAACTTTTATAATTTTTTTTAATTTCAGGAATGGACGGATTAAAAAACAAAATAAAAAATTTTTATATTGAAAAATAGAAGATAATAAATTAAACTTACTAAATTTGAAGAAGAAACTTTTTCAAAATGAAAATAGTTGGTTAGTTTTTTTACTTGAATAATAAAAAAAATTATTAAAATTTAAAATTTAAATTTTAATTCAATTCATTAAGTTATGTTTAAGAGGTTATTTTTAATATATTTAATATTTAATATTTTTTATTTATTATCATATTATGTTTTTTACATAAAAAATTACTAAAAAATAAAAATAATGAAATACATTTATTTAAAAAATTAATAATAACTTTTTAAAAAATAAAGAACTAAAAATCATAATAATTTTTAAAATATGACATTTTACCGAATTTAAAATTAAAATTTTAACATTTACTAGTTTTCTCGTTCGTTCAAACTAGGGACGGCAATCAACCCCGTCCTCGACAGGTTCCAGCTCGACCCGACCCCATAAGGTCGGGTTTTTTTTTTTGAATTTCAGTTTTCAGGTCGAGTAGGGTCGGGTATAGTTAGAGAATAATCGAGATCGGATCAGATTCGGATATGCCTAAAACCCGATCCGATCTGACATTATATAAAAAATTATTTTTTAATTAATTAATTAATTATATATATTTATATAATGATATTTTTAAATATTTATATTTAAAAAATAATATTTTATTAATTTCGAATCGAATCGGATCGGATACGATTTACATAATACCGAATAGAGTCAAATTCGAATATACTAAAACATAAAATCAGATCGGATTCGAAACGAACAAAATCTACCGGAATCCGACCCGATATCATTTCTAGTTCAAACCTCATCTTTGAAAAATAAGTATTTTAAAGTAAATTAAAGGGGTAAGTTGGGGAAAGCAAAAGAAAGAACAGTTTTGCTCTGTTTGAGATTGAAATAACGTTGGCTAGGATTGCCGCCAAAAGCACCGGCTAATATCTCCGACCAAACTGTATTGGCCACGTGCAAATTTCCCACGTCACCCTCTCAATTTTCTTCTCACATGCTGCCATAAATTCCCGTGAGCCACAATTAATTTATCACCACAGTTAAAAAAGTTCAAAAGCACAACACTCGTCACAGCCCGATCAACCAATAATTTCTTTCCACGTCACTAAGATTACCTGCTTGGACGCAAAGAAATGACGTCTTTGTTTCCCATTTTTTATTTTTCAAACTTTCAGTTAATTATGTCGTGTCTGTTAAACGGTTAATGTCGTACTGCTTTAGTTTCTTTCTTGTCCCTTTTGTTTTCCTTGAATATTGGAAGAGCCTTTCCTTTTCCTTTTCCTTTTTCAATTTTGCACAGTATAAGAGGGGAAGAATAATAAAAGGTGGCCTTTGGGAAATTCAGGGCTCTGGGATTTGCGAGTTAATAAATTATTACTTGAAAAGTTGGTTTTTTTGGTTCTTGGGTGGTTTTTAGTTTGGAGAAAGTTGGATTTTTTTAGAAATGGATGATGAATATGCTAAGCTTATCAGGAGGGTGAACCAGCCCAGGTAATTTTCTTTTTATGAAATTTAATTTCTGGGCTTTTGATGGGATAGTGGGATTTTTGTTTGAATTTGGGGAAGGGTCTGTCAAATTTTCTATTTTTGCTTCAAGTTTTTCAGAGAATAATGTTTGCAATTTTTGCAAGTTATCCTTTTTATTATTACTGTTGGATTTTTTTTTGTTTAATTTTCTGATATTTTTCCTGTTCCTTTTTGTTGCCTAATTCAAAAAATTTCCTGCTCCTTTTGGATGATGAGAAATTTCATAGGAAATTGAAGAAAATAAGATTGCATTTTTTTTCATAACAACTGAACTTATTGAAAGCAAAGTTTTCTTTTCTCCTTCTTAAATTAACTTTCCTTAGTCTTCATGGCAATCAATTAGAGTTCCAGTTTTCCCGCTCAAATCCAAAATCAAGTGAGCTAATTGACTTTCCCTACAAAAGTGAAGCAAGTCTAACATGTTTTCTTGATGGCTCTTTATTTTATTAGTATTGAATTTTTGGGATCGGGAAAAAGTAGATTTATTTTGAGATGTATGGTTTGTTGTTGCAGAGTTGTTATTGACAATAATGCTTCTGAGGATGCCACTGTTATCCAGGTAAGCTTCATGGCTTGCTAAGTTGCTGTTTAGGCTCTGGCTTGACAGTAATTAGGTTAAACTATTATATGTGGCTAATTTGTTCCTTAGATCTCTGTTTCTCTCAAGTTAATCATATGCATAAGAATGTTAAATTTGGATTTTGGACCTCTGAGATGTTGTTTGAGCTAGCATATGAATTGGGAAAAAAATGGGAGGGACAGGGGCGGGGATTGGTCAAGTCAATAGGATATGTCCTAACAGGTAACGAGGTCCTGTCAGTTGGTCGAACGGGGCCTTTGATGTCTTTCATTTGTTTATTTGTTATTATGATTAACATTTGGATTTTCTGCTCAGATTGACTGTCAGCAAACATGGAATTCTCCTGGAAGTTGTTCAAGTGCTTACTGATATGAATCTTACAATAACAAAAGCAAACATATCATCTGATGGAGGATGGTTTATGAATGGTAGGGTTTTTTTTCTCTTAAAACTTCTGAAATTGTATACTAAATCCAAGGTTAACCAGTTACCTATCTTAGTTTCTTTTATATGTTGCCATGTTTCAGTCTTTAATGTTGTTGACAATGATGGCAATAAAATCAGAGATAAGGAAGTTATGGACTATATTCAGAAGGTAAGAACCTATCTTGTAATACTCTTTTAACCTGCCCACAGATTTTAATTTTCTGTAGTTTTGTTGAATTGACTAAAATCCTGACCATGCATATCTTATGGTTTTGGCAAGAGCAACTCTTCCTCATCGTTCAATGAATTCAACTATTGCTTTTTCTTCTGACATCTATGTTTGTTTCTTTGATGAACCGTAAATGTTTGACAGCTTTTAATTTGACTATTTTCATCTTACTCCTTAATTTTGTAGAGAATTGATACTAGTGCTGGCTTTGTACCTTCATGGAGAGGCTCTGTAGGGGTAATGCCCTCAGAAGGGCATACATCAATTGACCTTGCTGGCACTGATAGGCCTGGTCTATTGTCTGAAGTATGTGCAGTTCTTGCGGACCTCCATTGCAATGTTGTAAATGCTGAGATATGGACCCATAATGCCAGGGCTGCTGCTGTAGTTCATGTGACAGATGATTAAACAGGCTGTGCAATTAGTGATCCAAGACGTCTCTCAACAATGAAGGAATTACTTTGTAATGTTCTCAAAGGAAGTGATGACTTGAAAACAGCAAAAACAATGCTTTCAGCTCCAGGTGTTATGCATAGGGAGAGAAGGTTGCATCAACTCATGTTCGCAGATAGGGACTATGAAAGGGTTGAGAGGGCAGGAGTAAGGGCAGTACAGGAGGGGAGCTCAAGACCCCAAGTCACTCTGTTGAATATTGAGAAAGATTACACTGTTATTACCATGAGTTCAAAAGATCGGCCAAAACATTTGTTCGATATTGTCTGCACTCTTACAGATATGCAATATGTTGTTTTCCACGGAATGGTCAACACCGGAAGGATGGAAGCTTGTCAGGTGAGATAGTTTGACAAAACTGGAAAAACTGGAACAGTTTATGTAATAGTAGTCCTATTAACCAGTGATGTTATAGTGATCAACTTTAAGAATTTGACAAGCTGATGCTATTGAAACCACTGTTGTAAGATTGTTGCTGACGTTGTAATCCATTTTGTGTTGGAATTCTACTCAGTTGAGCACAAGTTAATATGCTTAGAAATTGCAGACACAACGGCGTTAATGACGTTTAACTTTTTTCTCTTTCCCGTTAAACAGAAAATATCTGTTTGGTTGTAGGAATTCTATATCCGACATGTAGATGGGCTCCCCATTAGCTCGGAAACTGAGCGTGTCCGTGTTATACAATGTCTTGAAGCAGCCATTGAAAGGAGGGCATCTGAGGTATATATTTTTTTCCACATGGCATACGAGGCATATAGGAAACCAGCTCCCAAGTCTCCGTCATTCCACCACCCTACATGCACATACATGAAAAAAAAAAAAATGAAAAAAAAAAGAAATTTGATTATGGTAAGCATGCTTAGACTCGTGAGCTGGAATTGAGCACAGAAGACAGACTTGGACTCCTGTCTGACATCACCCGGATATTCCGGGAAAACAGCTTGTGTATCAAGAGAGCGTTAATTTCAACAAAAGGTGGCGAGACCAAGGACACGTTCTACGTCACAGATGTAACAGGAAATCCGGTCGATCCCAAGATCATTGATTCTATCCGTCGACAGATTGGACAGACAGTACTGCAGGTAAAACACAGCTCAAGTCTTGCACCAAAACCACCTCACAAGGAGACAACAATGGGTTATTTCCTTGGAAACCTATTCAAAGCGCGAACCTTTCAGAATTTCAAGTTAATCAGATCTTACTCTTGATTTCTCACCCTGTATAGTCCTCACTCCAAGTAGATATATGTACATGAATATCAGATATCAACTCAAAAGATATACATAGGAAGCTAGATAAGAAAACTCTGTAAAAATTACCCTCTCCCTTGCTTAGTTACCAATGTCCTGATACTGTAGAGGAAAAGAAAAAGCATTAGCCAAGTCACTAAACTGTAAAAATTACTGCTGCTATTTGTATATCTTTCATCATCTCTTGTAAGTAATCTCTGTACAGTGTAATGTTTACATGATCGTACAAAATTTCTATGGCAGTATATCATATAATTTTTTAAAATGTTATTTGTAATAATATTTTAAATTAAATATATGATAAATATTTTGGCCAGAAATATATGATAATTAATTTCATAATTTTTAATACATTGAACAAAGATTATTCAATATAATAATTATTTTAAGTGCTTTTAGCTTTTTCTAATAGCAAAAATGAAAATGCAAAACGGCGCGTTGAAGTGACCTTCAGAAGAGATGCGTTCGAAAAGATAAAACGGCTGCTACAAATATATCGTCTTTCCTATCGTCTTTCATGACTCAGTCATGAGACCGGTGACTGAGTTGGCAACTAGAATAGGCCGAGCATTGATCTCCGAATCCAACCATGCAATCCCAACTCGGACTTGGAATCCATCTCTCGAGCAGACTCTTCACCGACTTGGTTGTCGTGACTCACTGAGTCCATCACTGGTCGCCCGAGTCATCGATTCGTTTCTCTCCACTCACCATTCCCTTGCTCTCGGCTTCTTCAACTGGGCCTCTCAGCAACCTGGATTTTCCCACGATTCAATCTCTTATCAGTCAGTTCTCAAATGTCTCTCGTTTTCCCGCCAATTCAACGCTATCGAAACCCTTTTAAAGCAAGTCAAAGCCCAGAAACTATCTCTTGATTCTTCGGTTTATCGCTTTATAATTAATTCTTTGATCAAAGGAAAGAAAACTCAGGACGCGTTTTGGATTTTTAATGAAGTTAACTTGTTGAGTACAGAACTTGGAGCTGAGTTATGTAACTCGCTTTTGGCTGCTTTAGTTTCTGATGGGTACTTTGCTCATTCGCAGAAAGTGTTTGATGAAATGTTTCAAAAAGGTATTGTTTTTAATACAATTGGGTTTGGTTTGTTTATTTGGAGGTTTTGTAAAAATGTTGAATCGAGTAAAGTTTTAGCTTTGTTAGATGAAGTAAAAAAGGGGAATTGTTGGGAGGTTAATGGATCGATTATCGCGGTTTTGATAGTTCATGGACTTTGTTTTTCATCAAGAGAATCAGAGGCGTTGTGGGCATTGGATGAGTTGAGGAGTAGAGGTTGCAAGCCTGATTTTATAGCTTATAGGATTGTAGCTGAAGCGTTCAGAATGACTAACAGTGTGGTCGAGAGGGAATTGGTTTTGAAGAAGAAGAGAAAGCTAGGGGTGGCTCCAAGGAGTAATGATTACAGAGAGTTTATCTTAGGGTTGATTTTGGAGAGACGGATATATGAAGCAAGGGATTTAGGTGAAGTGATTGTAAGTGGGAATTTTCCTCTTGAAGATGATGTTTTGAATGCATTGATAGGATCAGTTTCGAGAATTGATCCTGGCTCAGCAATTATGTTTTTGAATTTTATGGTTGGGAAAGGGAGATTACCGACTTTATTAACCTTAAGTAATTTGAGTTGGAATTTATGCAAGCACGGCAAGTTTAATGAATTGTTGGAAGTATATCAGGTTTTGTCTTCTCATGACTATTTCTCGGATATGGAGAGTTATAATGTGATGGTTTCATTCTTGTGTAAGGCTGGGAGAGCAAGAGAGGCTTATGGGGTTATTCAGGAGATGAAGAAAAAGGGACTAGGCCCAAATGTCTTGTTTTACAATTCTCTTATGGCAGCATGTTGTAGAGAAGATTTAGTCCGCCCTGCCAAAAGGTTATGGGATGAGATGTTTGCAAGTGGGTGCCCTGGAAATTTGAATACTTACAATATCCTCATTGGAAAGCTTTCACAGATAGGGGAAGTTGAAGAGGCTCTGCGCCTTTTTCTGCATATGACAGAGAAAGGGGTAGCACCTGATGCAACAACTTACACGACCCTTCTTGCAGGACTTTGTGAAGAATCAAAATTTGAATCTGCTTTTGAAATCTTCAATAAATCTGTTGAACAGGATGTCATACTTGCACAAAGCATATTGAGCACATTTCTCATTCATCTCTGCAGAAAAGGTATGTTCCTAACCTTATTATACATGTTCCACATTCATATAGAAATTTAGAACACATAACACAGGAATGTTAATTATTTCTCTTTCTTGAATTTATTTCAAAATAGTCATTTCAAAACTATATTCTGAGTGGATTTTGTCGATAGTCTATCATGTTTTGGTTTGTTTCCCTTTTTAAATTTTCAATTAAAATGTACATGGTTTGGTAGATTGTCTACTACAAGTCTCGTATGCTTCTTGCAGGTCATTTTCTTGTTGCTTCCAAGTTGCTCTGTGGTCTTGCTTCTGATATAACACATTCAGATGCCCATGTTGTTTTGCTGAAATGTTTAGCTGATGCCAAAGAGATTCAATTTGCGATTAAACACATACAATGGGTTCGAGAAACCTCACCTTCAATATTGCAAGCTATATTCACCAAACTTGTTACATATCTTTCTTCTACTTCAAGACCAGATTCAATTGAGCTGCTGCTTCAAGCAATACAGGACAAAAGCATACAAGATTGCAGCATTCATTCCTGTAAGGATATGTTTGGAGTATATACTGGAGGTTAGAAAGCTTTATTTATCAAAATTCAGGTATTGTTTTAAAACTTCTCCTTCAAAAGCCAGAGTTAATTGTACAGTTGGTTCAAACAATACAGAAAAATTTTGTCTAGGTTGCAACAATGATTGGGGAAGGATGTCTAGAGCCTAAGACATGAGAGGTTAGAACATATTTCCATTGCATAATTTCAAATGTTTTCAAGATGCTAGGTTTGATGGGGTAAGTGTTGTGATTTCTTCTTCATCTATGAAATTTCGGTTCAAAACGGTTTCTATTTCATTTCAATCTCCACGACCCTTCTCCCTGTGTTGTTGAACGACCAAGATTGTGGTGTTGCCCAAGAAATCTGAAGAAGCCAACAGATCACCGATTACACCCAACTCCCAGTTTTCATTCCATTCTGTCAACCCTGACAAGAGAGATGACAGATTATAATGACGCCTGCTTACCACTACAAGTTCATTGTGATTCTCTAGGGAGTGAAGGACAGAAGCGGTCCCTGCCCCATCCTTCACTAGTTCCTCTATGTACTCGGCATAATGGTTCCCAGAGATATTGGTTTCAAACTGGCTAAGAATTTCATTGTCAAGTCGTTTCCCCTCCATATATTTATCAGGAAAATTTCCATCATAAAGGATTCTTATCAGTGTCAAATTGATATTTGGACGTTCAGCCATCCTAGACCCCAAAGTTAATGCCTCCCGATCATCGGCTCCACCCAAAAAGATCACAGCAACTTCGTAAGAAAACCAACCCATCCAAATGGCACTCGTGGTTTTTAGGGCCCCACGATCAACGAGTATTGCAACTGAGCAAGGTGCCTTATTATGGACATTCTGGTTGGCGATCTTGATGGACATTTTAGACGAGTGTAAAGCATCATTGACATGAAATTTTTTGTAGAAAGGAATTATAACAAGTGAAGTCCCCTTGTCAAGTGCAAGTGTACACACATCATCATGCATTGTTTGTGGAGTAGATACGGCAATGAAGACATGACCTGCATGGTTTTGCTCGAAGTTTTTGAAGGCATTGATAACAGGTCCTGAGCTCCTTGTCCTAGAACAGAGCCTTCTGGTACTCTTATGGGCAATGAGGAGTGGGGTTGCGCTCCCCATAAGCTCAATCATGTTAAACGTGTAAACAGCGATTGGACTTTGCTTGCAGGGATTTAAGGCAAGGAGGTTAATGGCAGATGGAACATTTTCGTGATCATGAATGCAGACTGGTATTCTTAGTTCAGAGTTTGGTCTTGAGTGCATCACAGTTCGTCCATGGTAAGCCTCGTACCTCCTTGAAGGATCACAGAAGCATCGTACAACTGGTGTAATAACTCCTGCTGTTATCAACAAGGATGCACACATTGCCGCATAGGACTCACCATCTATTATCTGCAATGAGCACCTGCATGTGTTGTAGCATTAAGATGAAATACATCTGTGAAACATCGACTATTATTTAGGCATTTGTTAGTTCGTAAATGACAGTACAGCAGTGCCTCAAGAGTCTCTCGAAGCATACCTTTTTAAGATACAGTAACTTGAACAATCCAAGCTCGAGGATGCCTTGAAAAGTCATCACAAAGCCAAGCGAGACAACATCCCTGGGCGGCATTTGGCAGCTGAGCGCAGATAGAGAAGCTCGTAAGAATTTTCCACATGCACCTATAAAGGCAAAGAATAGCATTCTGAAGTAAGTTTTAATACTAAGAGCAAAGATGTCTACTGTGAGGCCAAATTTCTCAAGAATTAGGGCTATTAGCTCAATTAGTTATGATATCAATTCTACAAAATGAATAATTTTTTACTCCTGATGATAAAACCAAATAAAAGGTAACAATATATATTTAAACCAAATCTATGAGCCCAAAAACCTGTCAGAAGCGCAGCTAAAAATAGCACAATTAAGTTACCCTGTCTCAAAGGGTGTTAAGAATTAATGCCTCATTCCAAAACAAGTAAACCAAAATAAAGACATAAGGCAAAGTGTACTACAAACTGCTTGGAAGGAAGATTATAGGTCATAATCCATTGGTCCATAGAAAAGATTTCATTCACGTTTTAGAAATAGCGTACCAACCATGGAAGAACATATTGCCACTCTGCCAAAGTCTGAATTTATAATCCTAAGCTCAGAAAGAAAGTATGCTATGATTGGTAAGGAGAGCGTAGATTCTGCTTCTGCTATTACCGGAAGTTTATCCAACTTCTCCCCGTTAGGATCAGCGAAATGCATCCACAAAATGGAGCTGCTTATGGTTAGTAACATTGGCACTGCCACGGTGAAAACCCCAATAGCAAACGTCTTCCTGGTTATTTTCTTAAGCATCAATAAATCTGTCTGCACACCAAGGAGGAAGAAGTAAAACAACAAACCAATAGCAGATACAATATCCAGCACTAAAGAACCTTTCATGGGAAATATTTTGTTGAGAAACCCCCGAATCCGGCACAGAAATGATGGCCTTACCATTATTCCACCCTGATCGACCATATACAATCAATCAAAGTTAAAACAACAACAAAACAAAAAAGGGGTTATAGAGAATTCTTGAGGTTGATAAATAACTCATGCCATTTGTTTTTTGTCATTTGGTTTTTTGTGCTGCAAAGAAAAGAAAAAATAAATTAAGAAAAAGAAAGAGCTTACTAAGATTTGAGCGAGCATGACGGGGTGGCCAAGAGGCCTGAGGAGATAAAAGGTAAGGAGGATGGCACCAGAGGCAATGGACATTTGGAGCATCAAAAGGAGCACAAAGTTCACAGGATTGGAAGAGTAAAATATACCAGTATGTTGTAGCCCGGAGAAGGTGGAACAAACTGAAGTGGAATTGGATATGAGGTTACGTGGTATTCTTCCAAACACAAAAATGTCATCAGGTTGTATTGTTGAAACCATGATTGGAGATCACAGGCAGGCACGCCGTTCGGTGCTTTTCAATGGTGGATGAAAATTGAGGACAAAACAATGCAGCAGAGATCAGAGAGAGAAGAGAAAGAGAAAGGCTGTTAGAATCAAGAGCGACGTTATAGTTGTTTTCATAAGAAAACCACATTTTAACCATTCATTCTTTTGTTTTTTCTTTTTAACTACAACATAATGTACTTCAACACTAATCTTATCATCATCTTATATCCTTTCCCAACACCCTTAAACATCCCTTGATTTAACTTAATTGATTTTTTTTTCTGTAATCAAACTTTTTTAACTTTGATTTTTATTATTTTAAAAATGTTTTACTTGATTACTTTCCAAAAAAAGTATAAAATTTTATATGAAGACCTCTGCATTCACAATTTTTTTGTTTTAATCAATAAAAGTTGAAAATAAAAAGGATTCACAGTTGAAATAACATTTCTTTTCTTCTTTCCTATTTTCTTTCTTACCTCTTTAGCATTTTTTTTTCCACAGGATTTGGCAAAATCAAAACTTATATCATTAAGATTCCATTTGATAGATGTTTGGCAATTAATTTTTTTTTTTTTTTTTTTTACTTTTCTTAAAAAAAATTAATAAAAATAAAAAAAACCAAAATCGAATTGCTAAAAACAAAAAAGAAAAATAGCTACCAAACAGAACCTAGACATTAAAAGGAAATCTTAAGCCTTGCTCATTTCCGGGAAAATGAAAGTGAACATTCTTGCATCTTAAAACCAAAACCTTTATTTTTGGAAAAATAAAAAACAATTAATTACCTATGCTCCTCAAATAAACTGTACAAAAAGTATCTATAAAAAAATGGTAAAAAAATTTACAGGAAACGTACAACATGGTAAGTGTACATGAGGTGGTTAATCGTCAAGGCGTTGGATCTCACCCATCATTATGCGGTTGCTTGTGACCTTGAAACCAAGTAGGGAAGGATCAATCTGTCTTCCTTTCTTCCCTTTTTTCTTGCCACTTCGTCCTGCTTGCGAAGCACCATCTGATGGTTCCAAAGCAGAGCTGTTCACCACCTCAGCTCCATGAAGAACCGGCTTCTTAAGAATATCAATGAACGATGCCTCCGACACTGCAGCATCGTTGCAAGACGATGTCCTTCTAAAACGGATATCTTTCTTGCTCGATGCCTGAGTTTCTACAGTTCTCACTGCACCTAGATTTGCCGCAGCCTCCTGTCTTCCTTCTGAACACGGTAAATGAAACACATCATTTTGAGACCAATAAAAGCAAGTAAAGGAATATTCGTTTTCTTTTACTTTGTTCATCTTTTCTATATTTAAAGAATGAGAAGTTAAAATTATACCATCAGAAGTTGTAAGGCTTGTAGAATTTTTCTGCTTGACAAATGGAGCTGAGTTTTGATCAGAAAAAACATCCTGGGATGATGAAACCCGTGACACAGGTGGGCATTTCTTTGAAACTTTGTCAAGCCCTTTTGACAGCAATGACATTAACCTATCAATAACAAGTGGATCTTTAGATGACTTCCAAATAAAGTTCAATAGTTAAAACTTTAAGTTAACAACCAAAAAACCACGTGCACAAGAAAGATACACAGTCAAGTACAATGCCAAGAGGCAGAGAGAGAGAGAGCTCAGCATTATGAGGTGAGCGTACAAGCAAAAAATACGGCTCAAAATTAAGAAGTGAGTGTATATGAAAAAGAAGACCACTCAGCACTCTGAGCAGAGTGTATCATATCTGCGTAAATTATCAAACTATGAACAAATAATAATAACAATTAACAACACAAAAGCTCCAATGTAAAACTCATTGTGGCAGCAGCTATTACACACAAGCACAGGCTAAGCTTCAGTCAGATGGGCATGGACAATTACAAGTTTGGGCATGAAATTAAGTATTAATCTCTGATTTAAAACATATAGAAAAGAACCTCACTTATCATTAGAAGCATCTTCTCCAACTGGTTTATCTAATCCACTTTCATAACTGTACAACCTTCCACCCCTACCTGCACAATTTCAATTTTAAGATATAATTCAAAGAAAAAAAGTGGCATTCACTGAAAAAAAAGTTGACAGATTACCAGTACTAAGAGAATTATGCCGGCTATGGACACTACTTTGTAGCTCACCACATTCCAAGGCCTTCTCTACTTGCTCTAAGATATTGTCCTCAGACCCAGACACAGAGCCACTCCTTGCAATCATGCCTTTAAATCCACTTTTCTTCTCCTTTCCCTCCAGCTCTCCTAGCTCTTTATCCACAGCTGATTTTCCCATCAAGCTAGCATCCTCATAACTACTAGAAGAAGGATCTTCAATGCCCAACAAGAATGACTGTTCTTCTGCAAATGAGGCGGAACTGGGTTTAGGAGGTGATCTTTCGCAGTTAACCATATCCTCGACACAATCACTCACAGCAACTCCAAACAAATGATCTTGCAACAAGGCACTTGAATTGGAATTTTGAGGGCCTTCCACAAATGAGTTGTTCACATGAACTTCCTGATTTGGGAAATGATTGAAAGGAAAATTGGAACTTTGTGGCTCAGAAATAGGCCAAAAGGTTTCCCGCCCTCTGAAAGATGAAGCAGGATGTTGATAATCTACTTCTGATGACTGTGTAGATTGAATACCCAGTTTTTGGTGAAGAAGATTCATTAAAGCTTTCTTAGAGTTTTCATGAACCCCTCCAGCTGATGGCCAAGCGTTTGAATCAACTTCAGACTCACTTCTTTGCAACTCTGCTTCAAGATGTAACTGTTGTATCTGTTTTTCAGTCCAACTATTTTCTAGCTGCCCATTTTTTCTAGAATGGTAGCTCTCCATTATATCTGGATAAGAAGCATATAGATCACCTGAAATTTGTTGGCTATGAGAGTGGTTACCAGAAGAAAAAGGACCCAGTAGGTTGCTGGAGTGCAAATAGAGATGTTCAGCTAGATCTAGAGAATTAACACTGTCTACTTTAATTCCAGGAGCAACTGCAGGAAGAGTTGCCCTGCCAAATGCTGTAGGGCTGGGGTTGAACATCCCTCGCTGCTGTTGCTCCTGCAAAGCATGATTCTGTCTAAGATTGCTGAATTTCTCTTCAAGAATTGAAAGCCTCTGCTGATAAAGATCCGAAGCATTCAACCCCACTGATTGAGCCTGGTGATGGCTGCTAGGACTCCTGACAAACTGACCGACTTCATCTGCAGACCATGATGCAGTAAGTCGTCTATCTCCCTCCATTCCTAATTGTTGCCTCAATGCCATAGATAATTGCTGCACTTGCAACTGTTTTTGTTGAAGACGAATCTGATGCTCTGAAGGAATCATATTGCCATATTTTGCTTGTGACATAAAATCCACAAAATCAGCATGTTGCCCTTGAAGTGCACTCTGGTTGATCTTTGCTTGTATGATATGCTCCAATGATGGATCCAGGTGCCTTGAAGCATGAGAATTCTGCTGCATTTCACTCAGGAGATGCCTTTGTAACGGAACCTGATCAAGTACGTTGTCTCTAGCAGCATCCAATATGTGCTGACCATAACCCGGATCAGACAACTGATGCTGCAGCAATTGATCGAGAAGCAACTGCTGAGCTTGAGAATGCTGCTGCTGCAGATGTTGTTGTTGTCGCTGCTGCTGCAACAATTTCATTTGGTGGTGATGAAGCTGCTGCTGTCGTTGAAGTTCCAACTGCTGCTGCTGTTGAAGCTGAAGTTCCAAAAGATGTTCCATATGTGGAGCCGAATGATGGATTGACTGCTGGTGACTGAGATTCTTGCTCTGCATAAGATCAAAACCTCGAATTTGCTCCACACCAAATCCAGCTGAATGGGTAAAGGGATGAGAGAAATGGTTCTGCTCTTGAACTGGTTCATTGGACAACTTTTGTGACATTAGGTGCTGTACCAGGTCAAAACCATTGTATTCTTGCTCCCTGTGAGATGAAGGCCTAGCGCCAGTAGTGCCTAGATGAAAGTTAGGGTTAGACAAAGCATTTCTTCTATAATCATCAGGCCAAGCCTCCGGAAAAGAAGTTTGTTCAGCTACTGTACCAACAACACTCTGACTAGCAAAATTGGGCTCTCTACCAAGATAAGGATCTAAAAACTGCCCTCTATCAACTATGCTGGAAGCCAAATTAGATGATTGAGAATGCTTCAAATGAGAGGTGCTTCTCAACTCAGACATCAACAACCCAAAAGGATGCAACTCATCATCTCCATGAGAAGGTTCATGGGTTTTTGAAAATTCATTTGAAATGGACAAATGGCTTGCAGGATTGCCAAAAGGACCTTGAATTTCACCAGAAACTTTCAAAGGGTCACCACCAGCACTTCCGGCCCTCCCAGGAAAAATAATTTCTGTATCATACAGGAGGAAAGGCAGGCATCATTAACATACACAATAAATAACAAAATCAACATTAGGTCCAATCTGTTAAACTTACCCTCCTTTTGAGCAGCAAATTTATGGAGGCTTTGATCTTCAGAAAACTGATGCTCAGAACGATAACTTTGATTAGGCCCTGTTAACTGAAAATTAGTACCAGAAGTCTCAAAAGCAGACAATGTCCGCTGCTGCTCACTTCCAATGGCAGGCCCCTTCAACTCAGAAGCAGAAGCAGAATAAGATATGGTCTCTTCCAAGCTCCCTTCAAAAGAATCAGGTATTTGCATTCTCGTAACTGCACTAACACTGGAGGCAGATTCAGAATTCATTCTTAGGTGTGGCATGACTTCACCAAGTTCTTGGAAAGGTGATCCATCCAGAGCATCTGCCAATCGAACAGGTAAGTCTGTGCCAAAATAACCTTGCTCAAACCATGTAATTATGTCAATCCACAGATATGGTCCCTGAATTACTCCTTGAGGATCAAGATAGCACAAACTCAAATCCTCAGGAGGGATAACACTTTCCAGTGAATGTGCCTCATTATTGCCCTTAAGATTAATCTGGTTACTGCCGACAGTAGGCTGTAGTGAAGAAAAATCAAATAGAGAACTTGAGTCTTCAGGAAGCTCATTACCAACTCTAAATTGCATGGATAATTCATTATCCTCCAACTTAGGGTGCTTCTGCATTTTCAAATCGGCCACTTGTTGGTTATCAAAAGATTTTAATTCATCCACGTCATTTACAGACCCACAAATCTCCCTATTCAACATCAAAGCATTTGTTACATCTATATCAGGTGGTGTCACACATCTCTGTTCACCTTCTTTTGAACTATTCATTTCTGTAATGATAAGCAAAACAAATCAGGAAGATATTCTCAATGGACAGCAGAGAGTCAACAACTAAAAATGAAAGTTGCCTACCCTTGGTCATAATCATCTGTGAATCTGACACATAAAATGTCTCAGCATGATTCCCTTGATAATTATCGTTTACAGCAGCCATCTCACCAGATTCAACACTATCCTCCCTGTTAACCAAGAAACTTTGTTTCCCTTCACCTGAAGTCACATCAATAAGACCTGGATTAGAATGGGAAAAAAAACTTAGTTTCTCAGAGATATCTAATTATTTATTGGGTAAGTTTCAATATAATTGAAACACTAGCAGCAATGCTGTCATTTGATCCCTTACTTGTGTCTCTAAATGATTTGTAGAAAACTCCACTGCTCGTAGTTTTTCCTTTCCATATATCACCAAGTACAGCCTGTAAAATCGCGCAAGCAAATTTGAGGCAACCATATAGAACGATAAAATGAGTACATTTTTCTCCTATAAATACGAATTGAAGCTTCCTACCTCTTCCTCTGCATCAGGAGGAACAAAAGCCAAAGGCTCAACCGTTTCTTTTTGCGTTATAGGTGATATATGATCCATCTCGTCAGGTAGGGTGTCAAAATTTGGAGTAGTGTTTTGCTTGCGATAAATATCAAGGAGTTTTCCCCTTGGGTAGAAATATGCATTAGAAGTCTTGTTTTTATCCACGGGAAGAGATCCAATAACAGAAGCAGATTGTGGCCTCCCAGTTTGTTGGCTCCCATTAGCATTTGACCTTCCTCGTCCAGCTGCAAATCGCACAGTTGATCCCTCCACTCGTCCCCTCTCTGAACCAAAGCCTGGAGCACTGCGGTAAGAAGTGGACCCACCTGCATGGACTTCCAAACGATATCGTGGCCTCCATTTATCACGAGAATCATTCTCACGCTCAGAAGCTATGCGGCCCTGGCCCACACTGACAAAAGCTTGTTTATCAGTGGGGGCATCTTCCTTCTCAGCATCTGTCCTCTTCTCCGTTCGAGAATCCTTTTCTTTGTCTTCAGAGCCCCATCTGGAAGACCACTTGTTGTCTCTTCGAGATTCATGTCCAGAATTACGACTGCTAACATCATGCCATCGCTCTGAAGATGACAAGGTCCTATTTTCAGGAACATCTCTAGTTGAAGTAATATCAGTGCGCCGGTCTTCTTTTCTGCGATCTCTTCGGCCAAGTAAGCTTGTTTCTCTCTCCTCTTCACGCCAGCGGCGACTGCTCTCAAGATCAGGTGCAGTCCTCTTCCATTCTTTCTTGTCCTGAGACCCATCTAAACGCCAACTATCTTTCAGATTGGAATCACCAGAGGTTCCATGGGGCAACGAAATTGGTGCTCTTACATCCTGTTGGATTAAACAAATTATACCACAGAAACTATAGACAAACCAAAATGAAAAACAGTCACAAGATAAAAGTCAAACATAAATTTGTTATGAGCATTAAATAATGAAAATTATACCTCTTTCTTCAAATTCAATCTAACTAATTTTTATGTAATCAGATATACTATTTACCCATACTTCCACTCCATAAGGGTAAATAAAACTAGAATCGAATACATTAAACCCTCAAATGGCAACGAAAGTTAGTACTCTAAAACATTTAATAAGAAAAATTAATGTTCCATACCCCAGAAGCTCCAGCAGGTAACATCTTAGCCTCAGCCGGTTTAGCATAAAGCCATTGTGGAGACAAAGGTATGCTGCTCTCTGAAGTTGCTTGATCTATTGGCCACCAAAAAAAAAAACAAAGTAGTATATTTTACAAGAAAGGAGGATTTTTAACAGCGAAAAAATTCAACATAAGATGAATATTAATACCTTTGGTATCATCAAGTAACCCTGTGAGTCCTTTCTCCTCCACGTTCCCATCCCAAGCCTCACCTAACAACAACAGAAACTAAGTAATTAATACATAAGCGAATTTACCATAAATCGCCCTTCAAACCCTCAAATTTCAGGCTTGTTTTCATGGAGTCCCTAAGATATCAAAAGCTTTGATATTGAACTTCCAATTTTCCTCGTTGAAACAAGTGAACCTTTCATTGAATTGAATCTTTCCGAATAATTAGAAGAAAAAAGATAGTGTAGTACTACACCAAATTCAGCGTTGACAATTAAAATTTTCCAATAATTATGTTAAGCAACTAAAGTAACCCTCTTTATAACAAAAGTATGACCTTTTCACTAATCACTGGTGCATTTGAAAAGGAAGGGCTAATACAATTCTACATAGAAACAATCGTAATTTTTTTTTTCTTTTATGTCGAAAACCTTTGAATTAATACGCTGTAAAAAGAACAAAGAGGTTTAAACAAAATTGAAACGAGATCTTAGGGGCAAAAACAAATAAAAAAAATTTAACAAAATGTAAATTTTAGAATAAATAAATTAAATGAACTAATAAAATTCGAATAGAAAGAATAATTTTTTATTTAAAAAAATGTAAGATTGAATCGATATGGGAAACCAAAATAAAAGGCATGCAAAAACGTTTAAAATATGAGAAAAAAAGAGAGAAGGAAAATTAAAAAAATTGAAAAAAAATAAAAAAAAATTAAAAGGAAATGTAGAATACCTTTGAAGGAGGGCTGGTCAGAGGCGATTTTGGAGGGCAGGAGATCATCGGGTAGATTGAATTTTCCTTCAGCCATCGAGAGAATCTGAAAGGCGGAGATCGGAGCGGAGACACGTCGTTGTTTAAGGTTCTGAAGGGTGCAGAGAGAGAGAGAGAGGGAATGGTTGACAGAGAATATGATTTTGCAGAGAGCGAGTTACAGGTATTGCTAGGGTTTGATCTGACGAACAAAAGCTTTGTTTTTTTTTTTTTTTTTAACAGAGAGACCTTAACCAAAAAAAACAAAGGAATTAAATATCTATCAGTTTAGTAGAGTATGCATTGGGCTTTTGTTTGAAACGGTGGTTTTTCTTTTTATAATAAAAATTCTGAGAAAAATATATAAAGTAATTTTATTTTATTATTATTTGATGAAGTTATAAGTATCAACAGAAAATATAATCAGGAAAAAATTAAAAAATAAATTACTATAATTTTTCAGTTTTAAGAAAATTCACTCCTTATATGGTACTATTTTTCCATGGTTAGATTGTTTTTATCTTACCTTAATAAATAAAAAAATTTTGTGATTTGCAAAAACAAATAAAAATAGAATAATTTTATGATTTGAATTCTATAAAATATTAAATTTTATATATTTATATCACGTAAAATATTAAAATTTATGTATTTATATTATATTTTATATAAAAATTATATATCTTAATTTAAATTAATATAAAAATATATAATATAATTTTTAATTTTATTAAATTTATATATAATTATTATTAAAATTTTAAATTATATTATTTTTTATATCATATTTATATTATATTATTATATTATATTTTAAATTATCATATCAAATTATCGGATCTAAGAGTGGTCCATCCTGGCATGGTGTGAAAACTGGTCCAATTAGAATTTTTAAGTTGGAATATGATTTCCTTCCCCCTCTTCAATAACAATGTTTGAAAGGACAGAAAGGATAACAACAAAACCGAAATCAAGAATCCATAGCCCAAATCGATTCCAAAATATGACTTTCAACGATGATTTGCAGTTAAAGTAAATATTCTTAGGTATTAGGTTCTAGTGGGGAAACCCTCGTGTGAAACCAGAAATAAAGAAAGAAATTGAGTTGACAAAGAATCTCAAGCACAACATTGTTCTTCCATGGGTTTTATTAAATTCACCCAGTGCAAATCCATCAGTTTAAACTCATCGGCGTTTATGCAAGCTAAATGCCATCGAAAGATTCAGATGAGGTAGGACCGTGAGAAATGGATACAAAATTATATTACAACACCATGATTGAGCTGTAATAAAATGATTCATTGATGGGCCAGTTGCGTCATGTCTAACCCTGAACAGCTGTTGAATAAAGGCGGCAGTTTCACGTATAATAAAAGCCACTCACCCTCAAACAGCATTATCGGGATAAAAATTCAATTATAAACTGCCTTTAAAGATAAGAAAAACACTGCTTTTATCATGAAATACTTTAAAATAACCAAAAATGAAAGAGGCTGATAGCCTCCCATGATATTATCCCCAGTAACAGGAAATGAATTCTGGATTAGCTCTTAGGTCATCCTGTGGGCAGCTTCCCTGGCAATCAACTTCTCTTGGGCCTTGGTTCTCGCCTGGGATTTGGAACCCATGATGCCACCACCCCATTTCTTCCTGTACTAATCATACTTGTCATTAAAGTTGGCCTGAAACAAGAAAAAAAGAATCCAAAGAAATCAGGCCATCCAACAATTCAAGAGGAGGACAAATATGCAGCAGATGAAACTTTACACCACCTTGATAGCTTCCAAGATCCTGCTGAATTCCAACTTATCTTCACTCTTGACAGTTGTGAAGCACAAAACTGATGCAGATTTCTTATGAACAATCTATCAAACATGCATCCATAACTCTGCTTAAAAAATTCTGAGAATACAAAATAACGGGCAATTACCACTCCCAAGCATGCTTTCCCCTTCACAATGCAGTACGGGATCTCCACCTTCCTGCACAAAGCTAGCAGCCAGACAACCAACTCTATGGGATCCACATCATGAGCAATAATAACAAGCTGTGCTTTGTTCTGCAAGGAAAATTTATTTTGAGGCTATAGGAAATGACCCACCAAGTAGCAAGGGAAAAACACTTCCATAGCAAACAAATTCTCAGAAGTGGAATACCTGCTCAATAAGATAGGTGACATGGTTAAGACCATATTTAACAACAATGGGCTTCTTAGCCTTTTTCAATAGATGCTCCTTCCTTGGAGCTTTATCCTCAGGCCTGTAATTGAGAAGCATCTTGAACAAGTTTGATGCTGCAGCAACATAAAAAAAGGAAAAAAAATTGGAAACTTATTACATCATCCAAGACAAAACAATAGACTTTATAGTGCAGAATTCTTAACAAAACAAATGTCAAAGCGAATCCCTTTTAATTCTCAATCTCACAAAACAAAAAGAATATACCTTTCATTTGACTTCCATCACATATCATATAAATTAAAATTGAACCAATGTGTCATCAATGAAATAGACAATCCTTAAGTTGATGCAACATAGTTAAGCAAAATTCTTCCAAAACACCGAAGTTACGCCATTAAAACGCAATAGTAGATAGAACTAAGGATATATCATGCATAATGAACCAATGTAACCATTACCATCATCTTAACACGTGCAAAAACTTAAATTGAACGTGAATGGGATTTGTACCAAGATTCTTGTCTTGATGAACTGATTCAAAGCAGGTGGGACCTTAAGCCTCAGCTTGAGGATCCTCTTCTGTCTCTGAATCCTAACCATTTTCTTCTTAGCTGCAGCCACGGGGGATTTCACACCTAGTTTTGGAGCCTACAGATAAAAACAATATTGATTTCACTAAGCAATAAATAAATAAATAAAAAAAAATAATGAAAATTAAGAGGGAGCGAATGAAAGAAGGAAGAAATGGCCCTACCATTTTTGCAGCTGTGTTTTCTTAGATTCCTCTGGCTTTTCAGCTCTTTGTGTCGACTAACAGCATGAACGAAATATAGCGAAAGGAAACCCTAGTATCGTAGCGTGCTGTTGCTAGACGACGCCGTTTTGAATAGGGTGATGGTTGGGCTTGTTTTTAGACTGTTGATTGAGCCGTCTTAGAATTGGGCCTTTTGGATGAATACCCAATGAAAAACTCCGAAACCCACTTAAGACAATTAAAACGTAGTCGTTTTATAGGGGAAAACAGCCTCTGATTCTTTCCTGCAAGTTGAGGTTTGACGTCCCTGTGCTTCAACCGAACTGATAGGTGGAAAGGCACTGAAGCCCAATCACGCAACATTCCACCATCTATGGACAACCGAAACGTCGTCGTCTGTGACAACGGCACCGGCGTAATTCCTTTTCTCCGTCTTTTTTTTTTTCCTTTTTCTTAAAAAAATTCCATCTTGATCGGCCTAAAAATATTTTAAATCAATTACTTAATCATTTAATTACGTAATTTAAGCTAAATTTTGGTAATTAGCCACCTCAATTTCAAAGCTTTTTCCATTAAAAAAATCTTTTTTTTTTTGTATTTCGTTTCTTTTAGTTTACTTCACTAGATCTATTTAATATTCGATTGCAGTACGTAAAATGTGGTTTCGCCGGAGAAAATTTTCCGACATCGGTGTTTCCATGCGTGGTTGGTAGACCTATGTTACGGTACGAGGAATCTCTCATGGAACAAGAGTTGAAGGTCCAAAAACTTATCTTTCATGATTTGGCTGTCATGTGAATCTGTTTTTTTTTTAGATATTTAGCTTAAATGTTTTGGGTGTATAACTTAATTTTCTGAGAGTTTTTGTTTTATTTTTATTTTTATTTATTTATTTGAACTCTGGTTAGGATATTGTTGTTGGAGAAGCCTGTGCTGATTTGAGACATCAATTGGATATATCATATCCGGTTAGCAATGGAATTGTGCAGAACTGGGATGATATGTGCCATGTTTGGGATCACGCGTTTTTCGATGAACTAAAGGTCATTTTTCCTTATTCTAATTTATGTTGTTTAACTCTGATTCAAGTTAAATATGTTCTATGTTGTTTGTAAACAGATTAATCCAACGGAATGTAAGATATTACTTACCGACCCGCCTCTTAATCCCTCAAAAAACCGTGAAAAAATGGTTTGTAGTCGTATTTATCTGTTTAGTGATTGATTGAAAATTTCAACAACATTATTTTTAGGATCTGATGAGTTGGGTTTGATTTGAGATTGCAGGTTGAGACCATGTTTGAAAAATACAACTTTTCTGGTGTCTTCATTCAAATTCAGGCTGTTTTAACTTTGTATGCTCAAGGTGCCTAGGGAGATAATTGAATGTTTAATTTTTGTTATATATGTGTGTTTGTATAATATTCACAACTTGGCATGAAGTTCTGCTACTTCCCACTGAAGACAACAGAAGCTATTTTAGCCCATTACCCAGAATATTGCAGCCTTGTATTGTGACATGCTAGAATCTTTGTTCAAAACTATTATTGTTATTTTTTGTACCTTCCACTTTATTTTTCTGCATATGCTCAAGCATTAACTTGAATTATTACAGGTCTGCTGACTGGATTAGTTATTGACTCCGGTGATGGTGTCACTCACGTGGTAAACTCTTTGACAACCCTTTTACCATTATTTGTAGGGGAATTTGCACTATATGGTATAATATGTGCTATTTTGGGAGCACTGCAGGAGAAGTCTTGACAATAATTACTTGGTCTTTCTTCTCAGGTTCCTGTTGTTGATGGCTATTCATTTCCTCATCTTACTAAGCGGATGAATGTAGCGGGTCGACACATAACATCCTATCTTGTTGATTTACTCTCCCGTAGAGGGTGAGGACCAATTCTTTGTGAGAAAAACTTGTCAGATCATAAGATCAACAATGCTATTGATAATCATGTGATCTTCTTTTGGGTGTCTTTTTGTAGGTATTCAATGAATAGAACTGCTGATTTTGAGACTGTCAGGGAAATCAAAGAGAAACTCTGCTATATAAGGTGAACAAGCATTTTATGTTGTTCTCCGGTTTTTTGAAACTAATTATAGAATTGAATGTGACATTACTTGTATTTTCATGCAGTTATGATTACAAAAGAGAATATCAACTGGGACTTGAGACCACCATCCTTGTTAAGAATTATACTGTTAAGTACTTTTGTGATTGTGTCATTCCCTCTTCTATCATACATACTTGATTTACAACACTTAACTCAAAAAACTTAATCAGGAATCTAAACAAGAACTTTTTGTCCTTTATTTTCCTTGTTATCCATCAGTTATCTTATTTTATGATTTTACTTGTTAAATTTGATGTATGTTTATGGATTTGGTTTGACATTTCAGTTTCTCTATCTTTAGAATAGCAAAATTCAAATTATGTATTGAATGTAGAGTACTGACAGTTTTTATTTAAAACAGCTGCCAGATGGAAGGGTCATTAAAGTAGGCACTGAAAGATTCCAGGCCCCTGAAGCACTTTTCACTCCAGTAAAACTGCACTTCTCTTTTTTGCCATTGACGCATTATGCTAATCCTTTCGTGTGCTACCTGTTTTCTGGGATTATCTAAATGTGTGAGACTGTTTTTAAGTCAATTGGTATTTGCAATTGTAGTGTAATTTTTTAATTGCTGTATCAAATCTGTTGGCTGTTGGAAGCTTTTGAGAAAGCTGTAATTGTTGAGTAACATTGCTTCTTTTAGGCTGGGTTTTAAGTTATGATTTTTTTTTTTTTGGTAGATCTGAGAATCTAGCCTCAAAGATACATTGATAAACCATATATTGTGAACAGTAAGAAAAGTTTTCCTTTTGTAGGAACTTATTGATGTTGAAGGTGATGGTATGGCTGACATGGTTTTCCGCTGCATTCAGGAGATGGATATTGACAACCGCATGATGGTATTATAATCATTTCTAGGAATATAGTTTTTATTATCTGAAATTACTCTGACAAAGTGCTGAAGCTTTATATATGGATTTTTCATGACGTTTCTCACTCTTTCTTTGAAACCAGTATGCAGCCTTTTCTTCATGTGTCTGTTTGCCTTCCTCTCCTATTTTAGTTCACATTTTCTTCAAGAAGTTTGTTGTTTTCGTATTATCTTCTCTTTATAAACTGTACGTCTAATGGAGGATACAACCTCCTAAAGCATATTCCATTGTTATCTTCTAGTCCTCTTTCATTCCCATTTAAAATGACATCACCTTCATTTGCTTTAGCATTTTGTAATGTGGTAACCACGAAGTCTCAAATTTAGAGGTCAGGACAGTGATTTACAGACTAAAAATGTATCATCATGAATGATAAACAGTTAATGAATCCATATTATATATTGAATCCTTGCTTTGTTAACACCATCCACCTCCCAATAAAGGAAAACTGAATCCTTGGGTTGTAGCATATGTATATATCTTTTTGGCGATAGGTTTTATTTGCATAAATTTCACTTTTTATTTGCATTATATTTTTCAGCTCTATCAGCATATAGTTTTAAGTGGAGGGAGCACCATGTACCCTGGATTACCTAGTCGGTAATATGTTTTACTTGTATAAAACATGATACTTTTGAATTTGTTTGTGGGGAATTTGACTATCTGTTTTAGTCCTGCCTTTCATATGATAGAGATTTGACTTTTGATTCAGGCTGGAGAAGGAAATCCTAGATCGATATCTTGAAGTGGTTCTAAAGGGAAATAAGGATGGGTTAAAGGTAACATTTGTTGCCGTCAAAACATATGACAGAAACTACGCCATCTTCTGTTTTTGTATTATTTTTATTTCTTGCCAATGGTTGAGCAAGTCAAATGATCTTTTGAGCTAGATACAGCAAACAGTTAAATGACTAAAAGCTCCTGTCATCTCATATTTATATTGTTTTTTTCATGCTTGAATAGAAACTGAGACTGCGGATTGAGGACCCACCACGAAGAAAGCATATGGTGTATCTTGGAGGTGCAGTTCTTGCCGGGATTATGAAGGTTAATTTCTCTCTCATGCGTATACATGCACATATAAACTCATTCTCATGCATGCTTATTCACAGCCAAAAGAATAAAAGAATGCTTCAAGTCTTGATTTGGAGCATGAAATAGCATATATCTGATGACAGTTCGGAAGTCATTGAAGAATATTTGAATCTTGAGGTAACTTGTGCAGGATGCACCTGAGTTTTGGATCAGCAGGGAAGATTATTTGGAAGAAGGAATTGCCTGTCTAAGCAAGTGTGGCCAGGCTTAACTTTTTGACAACAGTTCGCAATTCTTGTTGATTGTTTAGTGTTTCACACTGTGATTTCATTGTCCACAAGCAAAACCATCAGTCAAGAAAACACGCAAGAGGTGTCCAAGCTACCTAGAAAAAGTCGTGTCGGTTGACATGGTTATATCACATCCTGCCATCTATTTGCCTATTGGACCGATGCAGCCCGTTGAGTGATTCTCTTTTATGTTATTACTATTAGAAAAAGCTTCCTTGTGCTACTGTTATATACTTTTAGCAAGCAAAATGTAAAGCACAAAATTTTGGTTTTGGTGTGTTTTCTCATAGAAGTCATGCTCATGTTTGTTTTATTTCCTTGAGGTGTGAGGCTCCGAGCTGTATTGCAACTACTTATTTGAAATGAATTAACTTGTCAATATTTAGAATATGGGATATTGTCTCTTGGAAGGTATCCATATATATTGACGGGAAATGCCTATACATTTTAAGTACTAACATTTTTTCTTTCACATGACTTTGGGCTGATGATAAACCTTTTCAGTGATCTGATTTTTTTCCTTTTAACTTTTTCAATGTTTTTATAACCTGATACAAAGTCATGGATGAACTTCCCATATAGAAAGTAGTAATTTGTTTTGAGGCCATATTCGGAGAAAAGGCAAATGATGTGTATATATATTTACATGTTCCCAGCTTTGAAGCAGTTCAATGTATATAAATATATATATTGGTATAAAGATTTTCGGATTTAAATTTCAGATTTATTGCATGAACTAATTGAAATAAGTTTTCAATTCAACAATTCATCATTTTTCTTGCTATTTTTCTTGCTAAGAAAAGCTGGCCATTTGTTTAAAGTTCAGGATTTCTTGTTGATCTAATGATTTTTTACCAGGACTGATTGCAACATCCCAACGAATTTGGTGTCCAAAAACAATGCTTACTTTCTTTCGTTTCTCTTACTTGACCCGTTTCAATTCAAAAAAACTTGATTAAACTAACAAGCTATGTCATAACAATGCCTGTCCAACAACACCTTGTTCACAAATTGGCCATCTTTCATTTGGAAGATTCCATTGAAGTAGTTAAGCTATAACTAATCCATCAAGATAATGTATATTTTAAGCAACCTTTGGTTTTTAAAACATTTTGAATGACTAAGATTACAGATGACTATTATTACATTTCGCATAATGATTCATTCACATTGCCCTTTTTATTTTTTATTTTTTACTTTATTTAAGAATGTAAGAAGCCATAAAAATGAATCTCATAGGAAAGAAGGCCATGATGTTTTCCGCCCAAGAATTCTCCGTTGTCACCAAATAACAAATTTACTAAGTGGATTTAGAGTTTCTGAGATCCCCATGCCTTGCCGGTTTTCCCATATCTGCAAATGATTAAGCTTTGCCTAAATTTCTCCAAACAATAGTGACAAACAGTAAGAAATAATGGTTAATTTGTTCAAATGATATGATTCTTATTTCAAAAAGGTTGTGGTTCAGCTAATAATTTGATTGATAAGCAAGCAAGAAATATCTAGCGATTCATCAGGACTGAATTAGCAGGCAACCTGATACTTTTAATGAAAATCACATAACAAATATCATTAGAAAAAAAAAAAGAGTCAAAGAGTGGAAAAATGATAACAAAAGAAAAAGATATACATGAACAGAGTGGCAAGCAAAATTGGGATGCCAACCCCCACCAACCAAAGCCCAGTCAGGCTATTCTTGCACACGCCATACTCCTTTGTCTGGTGTGTTAGGTCCCTTAACCAGTGGCCTACCCCAACCCATTTGGACAAAAACCAAAATCCTCAGTCCAAGAAACAAAAATTTTGACATGTCCTCCTTTCTCCATACTACTATTCATCGCTTTTAGCATGTGCCAACTCCAATGAAATATAGCCACCTGCCCTTTCATGTCATTTTCATTTCCTTACATAAGTAATACCAAAATTGTAACTCCCCGTCTTAAACTTCCCTTATATATGTATTACAAATTTGTGACTGACATCTAGCTAGTGCAATCCTCGTTTTCATAGTTTTCACGTTTTGGTTACTGCAATTCCCTACAGAGACCTGACCACTTTCTTCAGTTTACTCCGAAAATATCTCTTCCGGCTTTTTCACATGGTTTGTTTTCTCAGAATCAATAAATCCTGCATTTAAAAGCATTAGATATGGACCAACTTTTTTAGTTAGTTTTGTTTCTCAGGCTATATTGATCATCTCATTTCTGATTTATGTTTCAGGGTGCAGAAATTATCGAAGGTTCTGCAATAATGGAGAAGTCCAATGGCAAAGTGTCTCAGCTTGGTGTGAAGCAAGGAGAGCCAACCCTGGTTTGTCCTGCTGAAGAGACAGGAAAGGGTCTATACTTTCTCTCTAATCTTGACCAAAACATTGCAGTGATTGTTAGCACTATATATTGCTTCAAGTCAGATGAGAAAGGGAATGAAAATGCTGTTGAAGTGATCAAGGATGCGTTAAGTAAAGTACTTGTTCATTACTATCCCCTTGCTGGGCGGCTAACAATCAGCTCAGAGGGTAAACTAATTGTGGACTGCACCGGGGAAGGGGCTGTGTTTGTTGAAGCTGAAGCAAACTGTGAGATGGAGGAGATTGGGGACATAACAAAGCCTGATCCTGAGACTCTTGGGAAATTGGTTTATGACGTTCCTGGTGCAAAAAACATACTAGAGATGCCACCTCTAGTGGCTCAGGTATTTCAAACTTCTCCAGAAACACATTAGTTTTGTAGTAAAAGTCCTAAAGTACTAATATTAATCCCCTAGTTATGTGGATTAGAAGTCTAATTTGCACTATTGTATAATTTTCAATGCGAAATTTACTTCTTTGCATGATAATTAAGCATCAAGCATTGATCAACCTCAATATCATGAATCAATAATGATCTCTAGACTCTAGAGAGGTAATGTCCATGAATATCAATCATGAAGAATGTTGGACAGTTCTAATTTATCTGTATATCTGAACGATAAACTCGATTTTCCAGGTGACCAAGTTCCGATGCGGAGGATTTGTCCTTGGCCTATGCATGAACCATTGCATGTTTGATGGCATTGGTGCTATGGAATTTGTTAACTCATGGGGTGAAACAGCCAGAGGTTTGCCACTAACTGTCCCTCCATTCTCGGACAGAACCATTTTGAAAGCCCGAAGCCCACCTAAGATAGAGTACCTGCATCAGGAATTTGCTGAGATAGAGGACAAGTCCAGCACCAGTGATCTCTACAAAGATGAAATGCTCTATAGCTCTTTCTGTTTTGAAACTGAGAAGCTTGAAAAACTAAAGAAAATCGCTATGGAAGATGGAGTTCTTGGAAAATGTACTACTTTTGAAGCTCTTTCAGCATTTGTGTGGAGGGCTCGGACCAAGGCACTTAAAATGCTGTCTGACCAACAAACAAAGCTTCTCTTTGCCGTTGATGGCAGGCCTAAATTCAATTCTCCTCTACCAAAAGGCTACTTTGGCAATGGCATTGTATTGACAAATTCCATATGTCAAGCAGGTGAGCTATTGGACAAGCCATTTTCACATGCCGTTGGCCTGATTCAGGATGCAATTAAAATGGTTACAGATGGTTACATGAGATCAGCCATAGATTACTTTGAGGTGACCAGAGCTAGGCCATCTTTGTCATCCACTCTGCTTATCACTACATGGTCTAGGCTATCTTTCCACACTACAGATTTCGGATGGGGAGAGCCAGTTCTATCAGGTCCAGTTGCATTGCCAGAGAAGGAAGTGATCTTGTTCCTATCTCATGGCAAAGAGAGGAAAAGCATAAATGTTCTTTTAGGGTTGCCAGCTTCTGCCATGAAGGTTTTCCAAGAACAGATGCAGATTTAGATAACAAGAAATATTTTCAGAATGCTGGTAAACTCCATCTTCTAGTTTACTGTTCTAGTTCAGTTCTCTTTGTAGTATGTTACTACTTTCGTCTGTAGACATGCAGCTGATCAGCAAAAGAAAAATTATGCATGACCAAGTACCAAGTAAAATTGGTACAGTGTAAAAGGGATACCAAAGGTTAAAATTCTGTTCTGTGTGGGGTGGTTTTTCGTTTTTATTTTATTGTTGATTTTATATATTGAGAGCTGGAGGCATTTCAATTCGAACTTGTATTGCCCAGAAGTTATGTATCTTAGATTTAAAATTTAATGTTATGTCTTATATTTCATTCTTTATTCAAAAGGTAAGGCTTTACCTGCATATAATATATATATATATCCTGAAGAAGACGGTGCAGATTAAGTGGTTGAGGTTGGAAAAAGACCATCCTTTATTACACAAAAGCAAGGCTAATGGAGTAAAACAAATACATTTGACAGAAGCAGATGTTAGTTTCATTTGCCTCCTAAATACATTATTGCCTACTGTTTTTTGTTATGCAATAAAGTAAGAAGCCAAGTTTTGCATCAGCTCCGAAACAACTCCAAAAGCAAAGCAAAGCAAAATGTCAGCTTCAGGACTCAGGACGGAGAGTCCACTATGAAATATTAGTTCGACTGTTTCTATCATGTCTGTGAGCTATAACCAATAGCCTATACTAGGGGAAGTGTATATGTTGACCTCTGATAACTCATGTATGCACAGTTTGCAGTTTTTTTTCCCCTTTCCAGACATAATTGAAATGCCTGTAGGAAACAAACAACTATAAGCATCTGAGTTAGATGGTACTAGGAAACGAAGTGTATCAGGGGAATCGGGAGCTGGACTGTGACCGGCCACATTTTGTCGGTCTGTTACATTAGAGAATTGTTATCTTCGGCTTGAAAGGGCCGGAGAATGATTTTGTAAGGGACATTGACATGACAATCGAGATTATTGGGCAAAACTAGGTGAACTTTGTGAATCAAGAAGCATCTTCTTGATTTGAGCTTGATCGTGCCTTTTCGCACAAGCAATAAAAGTTAGCTGCAACTTATGCCGTTGTCAAGTTCCGTTGTCAAGCTGAATCAGATTTTTTGTTTTTGGCAATAAAACCCTTCTCTGTTATTATCTCATCGATCTTTCTCACTTTCTCGTCCTGTGTAATTGGCACAGTGATATTGGTACCATGGAATAAGATGCAGTATTGGCAAATTTGTTCAGCTTTTCACATTTCAAAAGACTATTACTAACATATTTAGTCACTTCTTACATTTCACACATTGTAACGAAAGACCAATCTAAATAAAATATGATAAATCATGAATGTCCACATGCTTGACCTGGATTGCCCAAAAGTCTCTCGGCACAACTGAATGTGCTCACACAAAGTACAAGAGCAATGCAAGGATGCAAATACTTAGTAATCTGTGGCAATTTGTTTTTCTTTAAAGAGCACCAAGCAAGGCTGGAAGGCAAAGGCGAAAGGGTATTTCAGGTTCTCCATTTCTTGTATTATGTGCAGACTGAGAAATGGAAAGAACCTTCAAGGATAGCTCAGGATTAGGAGATCAGGTCTATCTTCAATAACTGGGACTAGTGTGTTGAGAAAAAAGAGATAATTGGAAAAGTGGAAAAAAAATTAGAGAAGTCCTGCTCTATTCCCCACACAAGGTAGCATCTCTTTTTGAGGGTCTGAAATTCAATGCAGTTAGGCTATAGATGCAGAGATTGGGGTGTCTGGATTTGATTGCTATCTGATCTGTTGTGCTACTGTAACCAGGAATGTTGCATGAAGTAGATGAGCTCCCAACTAAGGTTGCCTCACAAGATGACACAATGGCTGCCACAGCACATACGATCCCATCAACCGATGGTATTTCCAACCTGTAAACTCCATGTTTATCTGTAGTTCTATTGACTGAGAATAATATCTGTTCTCTTGTTTTTGGAACAAATGCCCTAAAGTTGCAGTCTATTTGAACTTCTGCGCCTGGTTAAGTAATACTTGAATAATGAGAACCATGCTTTCATGTTAATTAATTTGGTACTTACTAAATATCCAAAGAGCAAAACAACAAAACTTGGAATGATCATAGGTTGTTGAGATACTTCACCTGGTAAGAAGTAGCTGTGTCTGGAGAAGCTGTTGTTGGAGCAAATGTCACAATAAACGAGGCCCATTACAGTGATCTGGGCATTGTTTTTTGCTGGCTCAGGTTTCAAGGATAATGTCTTAATAAACAGAAAAGAAAAGAGAAAGAGAATTATTGGGTTCATGGCAGCAAATTTTGGGAGATGAGAGACAAACTTCCACACAACTTTCTCTATGAATGGTTGGTTTAAATGAATAGCATACAAAGCATTATCATGTAGTTGAAGATGAGTTCTGTAGTGTGGATAGAGAGTAGTAGTAGTTGGTGGAGATCCAAATGTAAGCAAAAGTGAGGAAATTTATCCTTTTTAACAAGAAACAAAGACATGTGAAAGTATTTTGGCAATATATGGACTTGATGGATAGGAGAGAGAAGGCAGTTGCTTCTTTATGACTTGCTAGGCTTCATTTCTCGTATTCATTGTGGGTCTTGATTTGAAGGCCCAAGTTTATAACATGCTCAAATCACTAGCTCAAATTGGCATGTAAATTTAGGGAAATTTTCATTGCTTTTAGCTCCAAGTTTCTAACCAAGAATATGTATGCAATAACTCTTGCAGGGTAATCTGTTCTAAGTCATTATTCAACATAAGCAGACTCACTTTGATGCTTAACAGAGAGGGGAGAGAGAAGGATGCATTATTATTGTTAAGCTTTAGTTTCAAAAGAACTCAATAGGTAAGCCATTAACTCAGAATTTATTGCTTACTACTCATGCATGTGTTCTTGATTGTTTAGCATGAATCAGGCATTCAAGAAAAAGCTTCTAAATGCAGGCTACTGGGAAAGCATTAAAGTTGTTCACGTGCCCTTCTGAAGAAAATAGTGAGGATAACTGGATAAAGTTCCACCAACTGTAACTTGGAAACAACATATTGCAGTACTTGCAAAATCATGAATCTGTTGAACTTGGAAACTGAATGCCTACCAAAGCAAATATTTGAGTTGCCGTCAGCTAACCTTCCGCTATTCCTGTTCTGAGTTCTCCTTTCCTGGTTGAAGCTGGAACTCTTCAGCTAACTTGTTACCTATTCTAATGGAGTATAAAAGTAATCTCCATTTTAGGGAAGGCAATTCAGCTCAGGCTGTACCTAGAATGATGGAATCTAAAGCATCTACAGGGTAATTTACGTGCAATTATTGGGCTAACTTATTCCGGCCTTGCCATTTGCTCGTTGGAGGACATTGGATACCCGTGAACAAGGCAAATGAGCTGGTGCCGTGCCTGCTGACATTTGGCTCATGCCAAAGCTATGACTTATGAGAGTGCAATGCGATGGAATCACATGGCAGTGGATTGCTTATTTATAGTTGCTACTTGCTAGAATGGCGTAGGTAGCGGAATGGCAGATGGGATGACTGATGGTGATAGGAAATGTTTTTAATTATTGTTTCGGAGACCAAGACAGAAATGGGATCAAGGAGATACGGATATGTTCTACTTTCAACTCGAAAGCTCCTCGGAATTGCAACTATATTAATGTAAAACCAAGGGGTTTGTGTCTTGGCGGCTAGTGGGTTATGAAGATTTTATGTCTTGTAGTAACATGTGAAATAACAGAGGGAGTTACACATTTTAAACCCGCATAAATATATATGGCAGTTAATCATAAAGGTATACAAACACCACCAAGGCCTTCCTTTGGAAAAACGGGACCAATTTTGCCTTGGGGGATATTAAAATATTTATTTATAGTTTAACCTAATCCAATTATGCTGACTATATCTTATATCAATTATCATATTATTGAAATTGACACTTAAAGATTATAAATTCGAAGAAATTTATCATATAATATTTTTTTCAGTTAGATATCTGATAAGATAAAAAAATTTTTAAGGATAAATTAAAATAACAAAAAAATCTAACCCAATTGTAGTTAAAATTTTGGAACAAATATATATATATATATATATATATATCTTCTACCCTTATAAAATTATAAAAATAACAAATTTGTCATTTCAAATATTTAATTAAATTTTTACCAATTGTAATTTTTTATGGGACCCATAATAATGTTAATTAATGTATATATTAATTTTCATTATTTTATAGGATTCCTATTAAAACACAACTACTATGATGAAAATTAATTACAATAATTTTATTGAAAGGAAAATTAGAATACAATAAATAGATAATAATAATAATAAGAACATGGTATGGTCCGGAGGGGCCACTTTTCACAACTTATGGCAACTACTGTACACATGGGCCGGTCGTCCATTGCTAGCCTAATTTGCTTTGATGAATAATTTAATACCAACCCAATAATCAAACAACATGGGCCTATTAGTTTGAAGTACACATTGAGGCCAACTTTACGATTTTGTCATATATCATTTGGGCCTAACGCTTCTTGTCTCAATCCTAAGAGACAACCTTGCCTTTCGGCTTTAGCTTCTATACTTTGTTTGCTATGAGCCGAAGGCTTTGTTTTAGCAGGTAGAAACAAGCTGTAAAACAAGTTTTATTTGTCATTTTTTTTGAGGTTTAATTGCTTGAACATGCAAGTTAATTTAACCATCAATATCTCTCCCTTTTTCTCACAATTATATTATATCAACAAATTAAACATTTCATATTTTTTTAGTACAAAAGATATCACAATTTACGAATGAAAAAAAAAATTTTAATGTTGAAATTTGAATTCTAAATTTATTAAATATTATGTTTTAATGATAGCTATATAAACTAACTGAAATATACCATTAGTTTAACATTAAGAGAAAAACAAAAGAAATTAAAGAAAACGCATCCCTGCTAGATGATCAAGGCATGCAGGAGGTGACAAAAGCAAAAACGAGAAGAAAGTTTAGATACCAAGGTTGTGATGAAAATTGTTTAAACAAGTAACCCCGAATCACAAGCTGTCTCTAGCTCTTTCTCATAACGTTAACATACTCTAACAAAGCATGGGTTCCATCAAGAGTGGGAACTCATGCGAGTCAATTGCCGAGTCTAAGAAAACTGCGCCATCTTCTGATTTGGAGGAGAATAGCTTAACACCCCCAAGCCTCAACTTCCCAGCAGTCAAATTTGAGTTGGATGGAGATGTTGAGGTTCAGTCCCCAAACAGTTCTATATGGGAAACTTTTTTCTCTAATCATTTTGATTCTGACTTCATGATCTTATCTCCTGTGAGGAACTTACCATATCCACAAATATCAAGCTACAATCTCCGTAATCTTCTGGCAATGCAAGGGCAGATTCTTTCAGGGTGCTCGCCACCTCGATTGTCATCTCAGCTTGGGTCATTTCGCAGCAGCCACAAAGAAAAAGGGCAGGGCCCACTCCACAGAGTCTTTAATTCACCTAACAATCAGTTTTTGCAGGTTGAGAGCCTTTCACTGCCTGCAATAGAAGAATTCTTGGATGATTATCAAAAGGATGGTTATGGAGAGTACCCAACAACAAAGATTTCAGGTAGTGAAACTTTAAATAACATGTTTGAAATGCCAACCACAGTTGCACCAGTGTTAGACTGCATGTCAATGCCGAATTCTTCAGGGTTTTGGGGGTCTGCGAGTGAAACATCATCGTCAGCCAGTTGTTTTCAACTGACTCAGGAGCAACACTATCAGTTAAACTGTGTCTCAAGAGCACAATTATCCCAACAATTACAACAAGAGCAGCGATTGGAGAAGCAACAATTAGCAGCACTACCACAACAACAGCAGCAGCAGAACCTTGGCCATACCTCGATGGTTCCTATTCCTATTGGCCCTGAGCAGGTTCTCTGATTCTTGCTCTTTTTTTTCTTTTTCCCATTCATTGATTATTTAAGAGGATTCTTTTTGCACTTTTATTTTGGACAAAGATCCGCAAAATAAAAAATAAAAGAAAAAAAATGGAAAGCAAAAGATATGATGCATGGAAATTTTCACATATAAACAAGTTTAGCTACAAATTTTAACTCTATCATGATTTGCCTTTACAGGAGCAAGATAGTGGCCTTCAGTTGGTTCATCTCCTCCTTGAATGTGCTGAAGCTGGTTGCCCAAGAAGATTACCTAGCAAGAAAATACATACACCACCTGAATCGAGTGGTAACTCCACTTGGGGACTCCATGCAAAGAGTTGCCTCTTGCTTCACTTAAGCCCTAACTGCAAGGCTTGCCGTAACCATAACCACCAATCCCAGCACTTCCAGTGCTCCAAAGCCATGCACTCCTTTCCCATCAAACTGCTTAGAAGTCCTCAAGATTTACCAAATTGTTTGCAAAGCCTGTCCATACGTAAATTTGCACATTTCACAGCTAATCAAGCCATTTTTGAGCCCTTCGAAGCTGAAGACCGTGTTCATATCATTGACTTAGATATCCTCCAAGGATATCAATGGCCAGCTTTCATGCAAGCTCTAGTTGCCTGACCTAGTGGAGCTCCTTTTCTCAGGATAACAGGGGTTCGAGCCTCTATACAAGCTATCAAAGAGACAGGCAGATTGCTCAACAGAACTAGCCCACTCTCTCCACATCCCATTTGAATTCCACCCAATTGGCGAGCAAGTTGAAGATCCAAAACCCCATATGTTCAACAGGCGAGTTGGTGAAGCTCTGGCCGTTAATGCTGTTAACAGGCTCCATCAAGTCCCTGGTAATTGCATTGGAAACCTATTGGCAATAATCCGTCATCAATCGCCTAACATTGTAACCCTTGTTGAAAAAGAAGCAGGCCATAATGGCCCTAACTTCTTAGGCCTTTTCCTCGAGGCATAGCACTATTATTCAGCAATATTTGACTCATTGGACGCTACTTTTCCTCCAGATTCTGCTCAAAGAGCAAAAGTTGAGAAGTATATATTTGCACCAGAGATAAGAAACACATTGGCATGTGAAGGAAGTGAGAAGGTAGCAAGGCATGAGAAGCTGGAGAAATGGAGAAAATTAATGGAAGGAAAAGGGTTCAAAGGCGTGCCCTTAAGTGCAAATGCAGTGACTCAATCAAAGATTTTGCTGGGTATATATTCCCGTGGAGGTTTTCGATTGACTGAAGATAAAGGTTGCTTGATTTTGGGATGGCAAGACAGAGCAATTCTTGCTGCTTCCACATGGCGATGTTGAATCATCTTCTTCGTTCCTGTTTTACATGCATGCGTCTATTTCCTCTTTCCAGGCTTTTGTTGTCATTACAATCTTGGATATTGCTTTTCTTAAAGTTGATGCCAAGGTAAAAAAATGCCAAGAAAGGTGAAACTGAAGCTAAAAGACCTTAGAAATTAGGATTAGCTCAAAATTAAATTGTATTCATTGTATAATGCACTCTTTGTGTCAAATAATTGGAAGAAAATTATTGTTTAATTGTGTACAGGGTTGAGTTACAAGATTTTTATAAATCAGTTATATATCAGAAAGGGACTTCATACATTTTTATAAGATTAACCTATTAATCTCTCGTTAAGGAAATGAAGAGTTAGGCTTCATTTTTCCTTCCATTACTGCTGCTGTTTCAAATGAATTCTGCACACACATAAGCAACACATCCATATCCAGAGATGTGCATAAACATGGCAGCATAGTTAGCAGAGTGAAGGAATGTAATAACTTCTAAATTGGATGGAAAGTTTAATCATCAAACCACACTAGATTTGATTTACACTATAATTTTCAAGGGTTCAGAAAGCGTCCAAGACTTCTCCCCAGTCTTAATATAACAAGATAGTATCAAGATCATGGCTCAAAGAGTACCGTGTGTGTATATATATGTCAATGAATCCATAAGCTTTCTATTAGATAAATAATGAAGAGAAAAAAAGGCAGCTACCAAATACAAGAAACACCCGTTTTATAAAGACGCAAATACATCATCACTAGCATCACTGTTACTCAAGAATGCCCTCAAACAAACCGTGTAACAATGGGGGATGGCACTGTTTTACTAATTATTTTGTGCTTCCAGCGACCATGTTCATGGCTAGGCAGATCTCAGGAACCAATGAGGCCATCTCACCAGCTTGACTCTGAATCAAGACCGAACTTTTTTACAATATGGAACAAGAACAGAAGTTCTTTCTGGGGACCTCATCCACCTTCTTTTCTGCTATATACAAAAATTAACCACATTTTGACATTTACCAGATGCAGGAAAGAAAGCATATAGAATATGCATATTTTTCACTTTGAATACAAGATAAAGCTATCCATTCAAACTCTTACTCCACGTAGACCATAAATAAATTACTTGCAGTAGGAAAAAATGTGGACAAGATCGGAGTACCTGTTTTAGCTTTTGTTACAGATGGCTGCACAACAACATGCATGGTGATGACAGCTTTAGGGAGATCACCAAAAGGTACTCTACACTGGCCAACAGTCTTGTTGTTCTCCAAAATTTTCCCAGCATTTATCAGTTTGATGTCATTGGCTTCCTTAGGTGCTATTTTTTTATCTAAGACATATCAAAACAATTTAGATCCAACATTAGAAAGCAGAAAAAACAGAACATCTCAAAGTTTAAACATTTGAGAAATACGTATATCGATACTAATTTATCCATTTTGACGCTCACCATTTACCACAACTCCACAAATGAAGTGGAAAAAAAAACAACCAAAATTGGAAGGAAACACAAATCAGTACTTTCCCAAACACAATTTTCTGTTCTCAAGTGTGTGCACTCTCTTGTGTAATTGGTTCATCAACAAAAGCAAAAAAGCTCCCTCCATCTCACTGCCTCCCTTATGATCAGCAGAAGAGATGTAAGTATCCACAGGGCAAAGTAAGTGAAGACAAGTGGCATCAAAACTACATACTAAGCCATCCAGAAGTCTCAAGTCTAAGAAATAGTCCAACCTTTTAGCAGAAACCTTGAAAATTTCCACATTCTTTTAGGCAAAAATAATCCTAGAATACCAAGCCCAAAGGATTTTGGGGAAAAAAATATGAGTTAAAACCTTTAAAGATGGGTGGGTTAAAATAAACTAAGACGCAGTATTGCCAAAAGAGCCACTACTAAATTTGATGGTATAAATATCATTCAACACAACAGAGAAAAACAAGACGATGGGATAAGAAAACAAATAAAACCTACATTGTCAGCAATGAGAGCAGGGTGTCAAATGAAATAGTAACTATTAAGTAATTTCAGACCAAGAAATTTGAACGCTGAAAAGCAGGATGATTCAACAAGGGATCCTCCCTATCAGAAGGATTAAAAACCAATTTTAATGCTTTACAAAGTAAGTTTAGCAAGTATTACAAAATGAAAATACAAGGTCAAGTTACCCTTGCATTGAAACCACGAAATAGTGAAGGCACAAGAAAGAAGACTCCAGAAAATCCAAGATTAAAATTTGGACATAGTACATATGTCAAACCACTTGATTTATCTCAAAGAGGTATCATCCGATAGACGTCCGATCATTAACTGTCCATGCACAATATGCAACAAAAGGATGAAGAGAAGTAGTAGTCTAAAACAAGGAACCCAAAACCAACAGAGAATAGGACAATAGAGAAAACACATGAACAGAAATCTTCAGCTATGCATACGAAATCAATATCAGCTTCATCCAAAATAAAATTAGTCACATCATAGAGCAAGAATCTGCTTATAGGATCTAAAAACAGAAGGTGAAGCTGCTGGGAATTAAACAACTTAAGAAGTCTCCTATGAGAACACCATATTCATTGCAGTCTATTTCAAGGCTAAAAACTTGGGGATTTGTACAAACCAATTACCAATTATTATCAAAATTAAAGCCTCCCAGAGAACATTGATGCCATTGATCAATATGATTAAACAGGTAACTATAACAGAGAAATTAGTATTTGCTGCAAGATAGGAAATAAAACTGTTTGATTAAGTTATACATACAGGACAACCTATTATTTCCCGAAAAGTGCACATTGTTAAGGTGATAAAACAATCTAATAAATGCTATTTAAGCACCTTTAAGCAATCAAACTTGAACGCCGCATGTTCAAAACAACCTCAAAACAAAAACTTTTAAACACAAAAATTCTTCTCCACATTATCTTTAAGGCATGGAGAGAATGTAGCACTTTCACGCTAACATTCCCAATGGGAACAAATAGAAACGTCCCAGAAGCTAAAGAATCATTCACTGAAGCCCTAACTATATAAAGAAAAAAAAAATAAAGGGAAAACCAAAAACCGATTTATGCATCCATAGGACGAACATTAAAGCAAAGCATCCTCAAATTATTAGAATTACGCATCTTAGCCATAAAACTGCGAATTTCGGTCATTATAAACTGGGCTTTGAACTTAAATTTAGAGTTAATTCTACATTTTATAATGCAATTTGCAATAAAAACCAAATTCAATGCAAAAAAAATTAAATTTTTATAGAGAAAGCGGAAGCACTGACCTTTGGGCCAATCAGCAACAATTCTTTCCTTGAGCATAGCAACAGTTGAAGCAGGCGAGTATCGAAATGGACCGATATCCGATCCATCATATAATCGGAACTTAAGTTCTACCAAGTCCTCCTCCGGCATTTGAATTTCCAAACTTTTCCACCAAATTCAAACGAATAAAAACCCTTTGAAAAAAAATTACTTCCCAAATTCACCACTAAGATATAATCTTTTCACTTCCTACACCAAAAACCAAACAAATATGAATCAATAAATAAATACACTTTGTTTTGGTTGACTAGAAAAAGCAAGAAAATTGAACAGAAACTTAAATAAACAGAACCCCTGTTTGGGTTACCTGGAAAGTGAAAGAAAAGTAACAGATTCTAAAATCACACCTCACTCCACTCCAACACTTAAACTTTTCTTAATAAAAAAACAAACAGATTGAAAATAAAGAAAAAAATCCAAAACAAAAACAAAATCACAAAATAAAATAAAATAAAATACCTTAAAAATGGATGAAATGAATCGTCAGAGCTCTTTTTTTCTTGACGGTCTTATATGGGCAATACTTTACAGATTCCAAGATTTGGTTAAATCTTCAAAAGAACCCCAGATTAGACCCGATCTTCACGCTTTCCTTTTTTCCTTTTTTCTTTCAGTAATTTTGTTAGCTTTTTTTTCTTGTATCAGTTCCTTTTTTTCTTTTTATTTTTTAAAAATAATTTGTTTTTTTTTTTTTTGCCGACTCGAAAAAAAAAAAAAAAAGAGATTTCGTGTCGGAACTGTCAGTAAATAGTCAGTTTAGGACACTGTAAGAAGACCAAGTTCTGATCTTCTGTTTCAATCTTTTATTCACTTTACTTACACTCCCACTTATCTTGCAATTTAGTGCAAATGATTTTCGTAATAATACGTGGCAGATATATATTGGTTGCTCTGCCAATAGCAAAGGATACGATGATGGTAGGGGATTTGATGCTTCTAGTAACTTTGACCAAAATTTAAGGCGGGGAATTAAACGCGTCAGCGGTAAAGAAATTGCGCGTGGGATTTCATTTAATAACATTCGAAGAAATTGCTAAGTATTAAACTAAGGATGCAGTCGGACCAAAAATAAATAAATAAATTGAATGGTGCAGTAACTATTGGAATATGGCATTAAATTTAAATCTTTATCCATTAATTATGTTACAAATGGAGGTATAAAACTTTCCCGACTTTTCCACAACCATTAAGTTAAAAATTAAAATTATATAAATTCAAGGTCTTGCTAAATAGTGTATGTAAAAAAAATTTTAAGCAATTTGAAAATAATACAGTATAATTTTTAAAAAATTATGTATTTCTCCTAAAAAATTGTTAATTTCATACTAAAAGTTCACATTTCCTCTCAAAATTTGAACAAAAACTGGGTTGGCAACCCATTTGATTGAGTTTTGGGCTGAAAACCATGTTCTCTTCTTAATTTTTTTTTTTCTTTGTTTGGGTTAGAATTAGAAAGTTCTTTCGTCATTTTTTAATAATAATATTAATGTTCAATTGTTCACCTTTTTTGTTTTATGAATAAATGGAATCTGAAGGATTCCTCCATTGGCCCATTTGTTTGCTGGCTACCTGCGTTTGCTTAACTTCTTTCAACTTTCAAGAATCTCAAAGATGCTTATATGTTATATCTTTGATTTATTTGTTTATTTACTATTATAATGTCAATCTAAGTTCAGTCCCTCTGCCTTTCGGAAGTTCCAAAGGTGAGCTTATAAGCTAAATTTTGGCCACTTGATCTAAAGTTGTGAATCATCTTATCATAGCCCAAATCAAAATTACTGTTCCCCTGACTTATCTGTAAGCATATATTATGCGAATTATATAAGGGAATATGGGAAGTGTTAGGAATATTTTTGAGTCTAAAGAATAAAATATTTTTTTTATTAGAAACAATTAATAGATAATTAAAAATATTTTTAATTTTTAATTCGATTTAACATATATAATACCACATCAATTTGACCACATCATCAACTTATCTCATAAATCCCTTACATTTTATTTATAATAAGGTCATTCAGTTATTATCTAACCAATTAGTCATTTCTTATTTTTTTATTTTTTATTCTCATTTTGATTAGTAAATTTTTTATTTAAGCGTCAAAATGTAAATATAAGAAATACTCTCTATTTTTATTCTTAATCACTTTCTTATGATTAAGTTTTTGTCAGGAGCTCAACACCAACAAAAAGCGTTCATCAGCTCAAAATCTTGGTCCCCTTTCTGCTGTAAACCACAGTTTTTAAGATTATCAATGGAACTCAAGTTAGTCTTAGAAGTTTCAACATGGAACATGCACTTTGTCAGTGTATGATTAAAGAGGATTGGAAGAAATAGAGATAGATTAGAACAGTGGTTATTGCTTGGGGCAAATAAATTTAAGCCAAATTGGTGAAGCTCAAAGTATGGGATTAAGATTATGGGATTGGGATGGGTTTTATCATTATCCATGAGACAGAATGAAAAAGTGGCATTTTTTTTTTCCATTAACCACTAGTTTATGGCAAAAAGAATCAAAGAATGTCACTCGCGCCAAAGGTAAAACCAAAAAGAAGAAGCCTTTCGAGCCCATGAGGAGGTGCCTCCCCCAACACCCACCGACCTCCTCAAAAGCTCCAAAAGCTCCTACCATTTGGTCAACTCCCAGCACCATAGGCGCTAGGAACCACCTGCCCTGCCTTCCACTACACCTTTCTCTCTCTAACCTTCCTGGCCCCACAAAGACATACACGTCATCATAATCCCACGCAAAGAAAATGTTGTACGGACATGGAACCTTAATTTGGTGAAAAAAGGACCCCACATCTGGCCTCCCTAGCCAATCTTCCCTACTCATAGGCCCAAGGGTCAAGTTAAATCCGATCATGACTCCAAGCCAAGGGAAAGGTGAGGGGTCCACGAAATGAAGGGTTCGGGTCCTCCCGAATAAGTGCTCGACCAATCGTGGTTGTGTTTAGGTTTGAACCCGGCGAATTTTAAGGCAAAAGTCTTGAACTTGTGTTTGTTTCTACTGTTTTTAAGGCCATAAAAAACCGGGTTTCTTGTCTGAGCCCCCCACTTTCATTTGCTTGGTCCAAAAAGGCAAATCTTTGTCTCAACTGGTGGATACCCATAACTATGAGCAAAATTAGCACAGTAGCTCTTACTTGATTTTTCATGGATGAGCTCAAAAGGAACAGAGTCGCAGGTCACATAGTCCGCCATTAATCTTCTAAGTTCTTTACTCTTAATGTTCCATACGTTATAGAGGAAATCATTAAGATCAACAGAAACAAAACAAAAATGAAGATTAAAGTGAGAAAACTCAGTGGAAATCACTATTTTGTTTTGATTTGTACAGAGGAGGGAGCCATTACATTTCACTCTTGAGATCAAGATTAGTGAAAATTAGACAGAGCAAACCAACAAAGACCCACTTGTAGAACATCAACAAGAAGAAGAAAGAAGAAAACTAGAAACTAAGACATATCAGTTATTGCTATATCCAAAATGGAGGAGATTACTCCAAAACCACCACTCCTCTTCCTCTGACATACTTTTCTATAACAGTCATTTTTTTTCTCTTTTATGTTTTAACTTTTTTTTTTGGGATTTTCTTTTAAACTGTTATGATCCAAGCCAAAGATAAGAAGGAAAGATAATCAAAGCCAGAGAGCTCCAGCTTCTTTGAGAAGAGGAACAAGAGTGCCATTGATATGAGAAGCCATGACTCTATCCATTGCACCCACAAGTTTCCCACCAATGAACACAACAGGAACAGCAGGAGAGGTTCCAAGTAGCCTCATCAAAGCCTTCTCCATGTCTTTCCCTCTAGGATCTTCATCAAGTTCATACACAGTTGGGTTAACTCCCATGCCACAAAACAGCCTCTTAATGGCATGGCACATGCAGCAACTGCTAATACTAAAGATAACCACCGCATTCTCCGAAGCCAACCTCTCTATCCTCTCCAGTGGATCCCCTACAGTATTCCTGCTGGTTGGCATGTAAGATCCCCAAGAACCTGTCTGGCAATGCATTTTCAAGTAAACAAGCTGAGTGGTTATGTAGCAACAAATTAATAGAGAAAAAAGGGGGTTTGGGGGATTTTGGGTTAGGTGAGTGAGAGAAATCTTTGAGCTTTGCTGGTGAGGAATAATGGAAGGTTTCGGTTGGTATTTATAGATAAAGAGAGAGAGCAAGGACACTAGGAAAGAGAATCCAAATTAAACAAGGGCAAGTTTTAGAGGGGAATCCAGTTTTATTGTTATTTTAATGTGAATAAAAAAAAACAAAGTGGTCTGCTCTCTCTTGAAATCGCCACTAGTCAGCTAAACAACTTGTGAAAAATGAACATAGTAAAGGACTAATTAACCTTATACATTAATGAAAAGTAGTACGAATTTGCATTAATTAGAAGTGGAACTTGGGCATGAATATTGCTTTGGATTTGGATGGGAATTAAAGAAGAGAGACATGAATTAATAATAATGGAACGCAGGCTTGTCATCAGAGAGTGGTGTGGGGGTGGGGGGGTGGGGGTGGGGAATTATTGTTTTGTTGGTTAATAAACGGCTGAGTCCTTCCGGTCCTACTATCACTAGTCCATCGATCATAAAAGGCAGAGTCGAAATCAGATAAAAGGCAAAGAGGAGACCAAACAATGAAATTAATAGAAAAAAAAGGATCGATATTGATATTAGATGAGTTAAGTTACTATATTACAATGGTGGAAAAAAATTTTAGGAAGAGCTATAATTCATGCCTGCCTCCTTTGAATTCGTCTCTGATAAAAAAGGAGCTGGAATGTGACATTCACGAACAATTGTTCTCTTCATGCTCATTTTAGCTTACTTCATCTCTTTGAATCTTTTATATACCCTAGAGCTACCTACTTACTATAGTATATGGTTAATAGCTTAAGGCAACTCTATTATTCTTCTTCTTAAACTTAATTAATTTAGCATAATTTAGGATAGGAATTCGAATGTTAGACCTTGTCGTATCAAAATTTCAATGTGTATGTTGTTTTAACGTTGAGTAAGATTAATTCATTGTACCAAAAAGTAAATCAGTCAAAATGGCATGACAAATATTAGTATTTGGTGCAATAGTTTATTCTATTATTGATATGATCAAGTGGTGGAGATGATGATGAGCTCGAACATGAATATTCTCAAGGGCTTTCATTCTTCTATAATGCTGTAGTTTATCTTAGATTTGGGCGGTTTCTTTCTTTTTTCTTTTCTTTTTTAGTGAAAATCTTCAAAAAAAAAAAAAAAAAAGAATATGATCGACATATATATTATAAAGTAATTAGATTGTAAACATTTATTACATGTGGAACTCATAATTGATATTATTATAATCTGTTTAGCATCTTAGAAGATAGCTTCAACTAAGGAAGAATTTTATCTTTATTCATTTTAGACTAATTCCCTATATACCCTAGGAGATACAGATGCCTAAATCATGCCTTGAAATATATCTTGAAAAAGCTAGCTTTTTTCATATATTCCTAGGAAAAAACATAGTATAAAGCTTAATTATATATGTTTATCTACCTTTTTCAAGAAAAAGTTTTCGATTCACTTTCAACATATCCAAATTAAAACATGAGACTTTCAACTTAAAATTTTCAAATCATCTCTCTTTATCAATAGAATTTACTTAAAAAATATATATCATTTGGGTTTGTTTAGATTTTTTTAATATAGTGAAAGATATCATCAAACTTTATTTTTACCTAATTTTTTCCTCGACTGATTTTAATTAAGGGCTTATTTCCTCAAATCATCTTAATGTATTCGGGATTTTAGTATTAAAGTGTTTCTCACAAAGATCAAACCCTAATTATATATCCCTCCTAACTTATTTGATGAATTTCCCACAAGAAAGCACATGCAATGTTTCTCCCATGGCTCACAGCACGCATGCTTTATTGTATATATGCAGACTTGTCTACTATTTATGCAGCAATACCTTGCTTTTCTTAGTTTTTACTCACGATTATTGTCAAGTTAAAATAAGAGTGGATAAATGGTTAAAGTAGTAAAAATGTTAATTCAAAAGCACAAACTTATTAGGTTAAAATTAAGAATTTATATTTAATGCATTGTTAATATATAAATTTTATATATTATCAATCAATCAAATGATATTATTTCATTAATAGTATATAAAATCTATATATTAATAATATATTAAATATAAACCCTAAAATAAAAAGGTGGATGTATCCGTACATGCATGACGTTGAAAGGGTGGGGGGGGGGGGGGGGAGGAAGGTTACTGGTTTTGGTATTTGGTTGGGCTGGGGCAATGGCTTTTGGTTTTTTGCAAGATGAGAGGAGGAAATGGGAACAGGGAAAGAGGGCAAGACAATGGGGTGTGCTAATGGTATGGGTGAAGAAAAAGAAAACGATTTTATTCGATTGTGCTTGTCGGCTTCTTTTTCTAATTCTTGCATACCTATGTACACTCTGACATACCAATCTTTTCACAATCTCATTATCACTACTTCTCTTAAATATTTTTTTTATTTTATTAAATAAATTGAGATAGTTTTTGGGACTTTCTAATAATTTTTTTTTAAAATTATGGCCATTTTTACAAAAAAAAAAAGTGGTGGTGACTCAAAAACTAATATGTACCACTAGCTAGCTAGGGTGAAAGAGATGATTTGATGATTCAACTTTAAAGCTTTTGGGATGAAAAAATGCATGTTTTTGAGAAAAATGACATTGAAGTTTGAAGTGGTTGTAGTAGAACAGAGCCTGGACTGTGACACACATTGGATGGATGATGTAAATGCCATGATCAAAGGCTTAAAAAGATTGAAAGATTGAAATGCCATAACATTTAAATAGCTGTCGCCATGTGCCTGTGGTACTAATAAGAACTGTTTTTCCAATCCTAGCCTTGCTTTTAGAGATCAAGATGGTCAAAAGTAAGCAGAGCTTGGAGAGGACGATGAGATGAATCATGTATAGCCGTTTGATAGGTGACCAAAAGTTGATCAAATGGTGGGGGTTTGAAAATGTACCATAATCAAGAATCAGAACAACAATGTACTTCACTTAGCCTAGCTAGTTGCTGCAGCATTGCAAAAGCATTGGTAATGAAAATATATATATGGGCGTGATGGCATCGCCAGCTTTTTCATTTTTGTGTTCAATTCAACGTTTATCTCTTTGCTTTTTCATTTTTCACCTTTTTATAGTGAAACAAAGCTGAAAAACGGATTTCAATAGTGGCTTGAAATAAACCCAATTTAGGAACAATCATTTCCAACGCTTCATCAATCAAACGCATTTAAAAAAAAAAAAAAGGTTTTGTTTCATATTTTTAATTAAGTGTTTGTAAAAAAAAAAAACATGTCGTGGCGAAAAGCAGTGAAACTGTTGTGGTGTGCTCACGACAACCGTTAAAAAAAAAACACGATTCCCCAATGCGTTGAATGTCGATTATTTGCTAAACGTGCCATGAGATTTGTGTTATACTAAAAGAAGAGTCACGAGTTCATTGCCAATGTTTTTTTTTTTTTTTAGTTGTGAGCTGATTAATTAGTTATTCTTGTTGGTAACTAATGGCAGACAAATTGTTGTTGGAGGAAGACCAAAGTTGTCGACATTACCATTGGTTTCCACAAATTATAATAATTGGTTTGTCAACTATTTAATGAGGTCGGTGTTTTATGATGTCCATCCTCTCGATATATAACTAACCAACTTTTATCTACCAGAAAATAAAAAATCCATTATACATATATGATAGTAATTGCTAAGCCAACAACAACAACAACAATTTGATCACTTGATAAATTGATGAAATTCTAAGTTTAGGATTCAATCCTTATTAGCTTCAAATATATATAATAATTGTTAAATTTGATACTAATGAATTTGATGAACTATTTGCACACTGATCATATGTGCATGACATAAAGTATATAATAAGAATTTATATGTAAGTGTTACAAGAAACAAAATTAAGAAATTCGGTTATATGTGTTATTTGTTCGGTTGATAATTTATAAAATTAATAAAAATAAAATAATTTATTTGATTTAAGTAATTCAATTTAAAATTATTTGAATTGATTGAATTAATACCTTTAATAAAAGTAACTATATATTCTAAGCTATTTTCATTAAAATATATATATATTTTAGTGTATTACTTTGTTCGTTTTATGATGGGGTTGCTGTCCCTCGGTGTCCCACTTTGAAACTTTTTTTCTGTTAGGCATGGTGCTCTAAATTTGATTGCCCATAATTTACCTCCCTAGCTAACTACTGGTATGGGGTACTATTTTAGAACACAGTCAAGTTTTTTTTTTTTTTGTTTCGAAACAAAGCCTGACGCAAACACACCTTTTCAAAATGAGAGCAATCCTACTTTGTCACGTCCTTTGAGCCGTTAAAGCAACACGACATGACGGCTTTTCTCAGCTTTTGTTCCTCATTTTGCTGTCCCAAGTTCAACCAGATGACGTTAGTCCAACGTTGACTGGTTTTTCCATTTTCATCTTTATTTTTAATTTTATCTTCTCACTTTCTTTTACCATCCTCCATATTTTTGTTTTGCTGTTAGCCTGTTACCATAACCAGACCAGCCTTTGTATTTGTCGTTTTTCACGTTCAAATAAGCACTCTTCGGTTGGTGCATGGGTGTTGGGATCTGACAGCGCTTTTGTCTTGTCTCGTGTTTCCACAATTGTCATTACAAAATGTCTGTTTCTTGTTGGACTGGAACTTGAGTCATTAAAAAAAACTACTGAGTGTGTAATACAGACGTTTTTGGTCAACAATTGTTTAATATTCATGACATTGGAGTATAAGTTATGTAAATGAGTACATAAAAAGAAGTTAAAGAATTCATATGAATTGGTAATAAAGCTAGTCTCGTTGTCCATGTTCTAAATTTTTGTTTTATATTGTAAAAAAATTACTATTTTTAATTCAAGTTTTTGTAATGGTGGATTGCACATGGGAAGTAATAACTAAAATAATATACATGGAAGGCAACTCTTTCCGAAATCCTAGGTTGTTGTTTCCTCGACAATTAACTGAAAATAGATCTTCATTCAAACCATAAATGAAAATAGTTCCATATGGCAGAATCAGAGAGTTGTATTCTAGGAGATATATGTTGAGAGAGACAAATTAATGGTTAGCAACTCCTAAGTTTTCTAACAAGATTTTGTCGTCTGTTTTGTTTGTAACTCAAAACTGCTTCTGTCTCCAAGCAGCCTATGGATTAGTTGGAAGTAAAGAGATCAATTTTTCGTTACAATCCCAAAACCTTGGAACTCAGGAGTGTCTCTAAGATTCTTTCCTTCACTGCAAGAGCACGAGCAACTAATGCAATCCAGGAGCCTCCGGTCAAAGTGTCATGATGGGGTTCTTAGTCTTCGTGCTGCATGCAGGCATGGACATCAGGCAATGCTCTGAGCTCTATTTTTCCACTTGCTATTCTTTTTCCTCTTTCTTTATCTCCACTGTCTACCCAAAAGCCAGACATGTTAGATGGTAGTTAAAAATTAAAAACTCGCACGACACGTCATACTCACGTGATTCTTCCATCATATTCACCTCTGTCCTTTTTTTCTTTTTTTTTTTTTGTCCCTGGTTTTTTCAGTAAAAGAGGAAAAGAACACTTTCCAACAGGACATGTTTATGTTGTAGAGCATACAATGATTCAACAGGGCACGTTTACAAATTGCTGTTAAGGTCGAACCACAATGATCTGAGAAATAGTTTTGACAAGGCAACTACATGTTGGTGAATCATGTGATGTAACAGATGAAGCTGACTAAAATCTTCTGTCCAATTCAAGAATGCGATAAATAGTTTTTAATACAAAACCTTTACAATGTGCACATGATGTATGCTACATGGCACCCAAACAAAGATAGTTCTGCTGCTGAGGATGTTTCAGAACAAAAACGTCTAATCTTATATGACAAAAATATTTCAGTTTAAAGCAATCCTAATTGAAGTTCTATTGTCGAGAAATCGGTGCAGTCGGCACAGATGAAGGCTGGTTATAAAAACCTTCAGAACCTTGGAAACTCTGGTAAGAATTAGTTGATGTTGTGGCGAGTAGGGAGATGGCTTCAGAACCTTGGACACTCTGGTAAGAATTAGATGATGTTGTGGAGAATGGGGAGATGCCAATCATTGCGGCCCCGACCACTGAATAACCAGGCAAGGAAGGCTGCTGTGGTGGGGCCGTGCCATAGCTATATGGCACACTATTTATTGATCCAGCAGTTGGCATGTACTGAGGCACAGCATATGGTGGCAGTGGTGGCAAAGGTGAAGGAGATGATGATGGAGGAGGTGGCACTTCATTTGGAGTCAACTGCTGGGTGGTGGTTACAACATTGTGTTGGTGAGATTTGGAATGCAGGAATGGTGGACCTGAAGCTTGTTGGGGATTCTGAGATGGTATATAAGGCTGGTCATTCTCAAGCTTAGGCCTCTTCTCAGAAGAGTAATCACCAGAAGATTCTTTCATAGGATTACCTATGACACCCTCAGAAGCAAGGGATGAGAGGACATAGGAAAGCATCTGGGCTGAGGATGTTGATGCAGTTAGCTTCGCTGCCACAGCAGCAGCTGCAGACTTCCGAGGATCTTCCTTAATGTGGCCAGAATTATCAGGAAAAGACACTTGTCGGGCATACATCACAGGAGCTGACTGTTCCGTAGCCGCCGGATTAAAACTTTGAGGTGCAATGGATGTGTGAGATTCCTTTGAACTTGGCTCAGCTACCAAGTTAGGATTGTCACAATTTAATAACTGTCTGCAGATATTACAAAACTGTTCCGATTGGGACTGTGCAGCCTGTAAAACATCATGCACATGGTCAGAAAGAACGCATGTAGTTAACACGAGTTCCAAAACAGAAGTAACAATATTGTTAACTGTTTTTAAGCTGAGATCTAGAAGTGTATGATTTATGATGTCAACTAGTATAATTAAAACATCAGGTAATCATAGTGTCAAACCTGAAGCTGATTACGAACTTGCTCCAGCTTGAATTCCTGACAACAAAAGTAAATCAGCTTTATTTTAACACTACCACAATCCATAGTTTTGTAAATGGACTAGTCTAAGTAACCTGCTCCTGAAGAGCCTCTTTCAGATGTAAGACTAGACTAGCTCTTGATGATGCAACTGCTGTTAGCTGTTTGATACAGTCTCTTAATACAGCATGATGACCCTGCACCTCCTCCGCAAGTGCAGATCCATGGAACTGCCCTGTTCAAAGAAATTTGACATTATAGAAACAAAAAATAGTGTCCTAAGATGTGAGCAAAGTCTCCGTGGTAAGTAACAATTGTGCAAATGAGAAATACTTGGTCTCAAGATGTTAAAAATGTTGATCAAACAACAATCCTTCTCTTAAAGGAAAAAAAGTGAAACAAGGATCATGAGCAGTAGCTGAAGGTACTAACTTCTCATGAAGCAACTACAAGCATAAATCCAATATGTTAATAAAATGAGTAATGCAGGTCATACCTGATTTGACATCAGTGCCAATTTCCTTATCTACTTTCTCGATACAGCTAATAGCTTTCCTACATTTGCTCAATATAACATCTTCATCCATCTGGCTACCATAAACAACTTGATATCCTGAAACTATTTTGTCCACTGTATTTCCAACAGGCTGCTTCTGCTAGGATCAATATAAAGAAGAAATGACATTTGTCCATGACACAAACATACAAATGCCAGAATACAACAAACAAATGCAGTCAGCATGGAATTTATCTTACCAGCTTGAGGCCTACATGCCTGCCATTTCTATTATTATTTACTGATTGTTTGCCGACAAGCTCTTCCTTAAGAATTTGTCCCCGAGAACCAAATACTTTTCTCTCCTCCCATATACTGATCTGCATTTCAAACAGTAAAAAAGAAACAGGATTCGTCGTGCTAATTTCAAAGTAACCATTTGAAACAGCTTGACAATAAAATCTTAAAAGCAAATACATGCATCGAAAGAAAATATTATAACAACCAGCCACAATATAGCCATAAAGTGAAAATAAAACACCTTGCATTTTTCAATTACAGTGCCACAGACAGCATTTCAATTGTCACATGTTGGACATACTCAACACAAAAAAAAAAATTTGCAAGCCTGAGAACTAGACTTTAGAAAAATAGATGAACTCAAACAACAGTTCAACTACTGGACCTTGTCAATTTAACTACAACCATTTTATAGAAAAAGTGCAGGTACTTTAAACCAATAAGAGCCCAATGAAACACAGGCAATGTTTAAAACTTAGCCTATATCTAGTTATAGACAAATTCATTAGAATAAGAAAAGCAAGATAAGTGAGGAGTCACATGATATAAAGTACGTAACAGAAGCATAATATAATCATGCTATCACTATCAACTTAGCATCATCAAATTAACTTTGCTGTCCGGGTAAAACAATATCACATTCCCAACTACCACTCAGTTCTTCCATTGAACAAGAAAGTTCAGCACTTTGATTATGTAACTTTAGGTCATGGAAAGGGGCTGTGGGACACATTCAACCCTTCATAGAGATTTCAATTGTGAGCATAAGAAAACAAGTCCTGTATGAAAGTTTAGATGAGTATACCAGACGCAATGCAGCATTCCTTCCAAACTCGTCCCCGTTTTCAATCAGATCATGAAGAGCATCAGGAAGAACCTTCCAAAATTCACCTACAAATTCTGAACCCTTACGCCTACTATTCTGCAAAATGTCATTGGCAAGATACAGAAAGGCCAATCTCTGCTCACGTGGAGAGCAATGAAATTGTCTGTCCCAAGTTTCAACAACTTGTTTCACCTTATTCATATGGAAAATACACCAATGTGACAAAGCTTAGCAAGTCAAGGATTGCAACAGAAAAGCACGTGTTTAAGTAATGAAGCAGGCATACACATGCTAACGCAAATTAAACTTCAAAAGTTAATTTTCTGTAACTCAAATGCCGACCAGATAGCAATATCAAACTGACATAAGCAATATATTAATTATTGCAGATGACAGTGAGCACAAAACCAGCTAAAAAACGGACTGTCCTAAATAGGTAAAGAAGCAAATCATTCGCAATTAATTCTCGAAAGGATACTCTCTATGCTCGCTTGTGAGTTATTGAGCTTGGCTAGCTTTTCCACCAAGATTTGTGGATTAAATGAACTGCCCATTGTTGCTATTGAAGGCTGAGCATCAATGACAAACAAGGCAGAACTTCAAAAAGCAACCTTGGGAAAGGAGCTGCTGTAAGAAGAAGGACAACATTTATTTGCATTTAGAAAGACAAATTACTAAACATAGAAGTTAACAAGGCACAACTGTACTAAATTGCAAGTTCCATATATATAATCAACATTTTAAAGTAAAAGGAAGATAAAACCATAGCCAATGTTCCACAACTAAACAGGTCCTGATTCCTGAAATCATTCAAAACTAGTCATTCAATTTTATATTTTTTCTGCTCATGATTGTACCTGTAAAAGGGAATGCAGCTGAGGCAGGCGAGAATCAATGGCGGGTGAATGTAACAAGTTGGTCGATTTCCGTCCTCATGGAGAGGGAATTAGGGGAAAACCCTCTTTTGTTTGACGGTTAGGGTTTTGTTGGAAAGCAGGGCTCCTTGCTTTGCAGAAGGTTTCGTGCGGTTAACTGTGCAAAATTGCGTAAGAAACTGCAGAGTGTTGGATTTTTTGGAATCCCAATATTACCCTTTCGTGGATTTTATTTGCACTCAACAACGAAATTTTATAGCCTTCAGAAAAAAAAAAAAACAAAAAAACAAAAACAACGAAATTTTATGAAAATTTATTTATCCAAAATTTTTTTAAAAAATTTGATAATATATTGCTTCATTCCAATAATTATGTTTTTAATATTCAATGAATATGTTTCAATTATGCTCATAAAGTTTAAATTTTCTTATGAGTAGAAAAAAAGATTGGATTTTCTTTTATCCAATTTATGAATAATAATAAAAGAATGCAATCATTGATGTATGTATATCGAGTAAAAATATATTGTAATGAGGAACAAGGTGGATGATTTTCTATGATGATCAATGTTTGATAGCTAATGTTGGTGGGATTTACTTTAAATCTTATAATATTATATTAAAAATTAAGTGAGTTTAAGTTTATTTTATATTTTATATTAAAAATTTAATAAAATTATAAAAAATTTATCTTTATAAATAAAATATTTTGATTTTAATTTAATAATTTCATATAGTTAAATACCAAATAAATAATTAAGTAAGTAGGTTATTAAAATGTGTATTTGAATTTTAGATTAATTTTTGAATAATGAGATTTTTGGTGATTTTTTTTATTTTAAAAATCTCATGATTATAAAAATTTATTCATTAGTGGATTGAGCTTGAAATAAATTAATTTTAAATTAAATCGTAACAAATATATTTATATATTTTTATTCATGATTTGAATTTATTATTTTGTGCATGAGTTTTATGCATACATATTAATTTCTCATCAAAGATGACATAATTAATTTATACTCGGTGAATTGTTGATTTCAACAAGGAAACTTCCAATCCATGCGGACTCTCCACCTTAAAAAGAAATAATAAAAGAAAATTAAGAAGCATTTGAAGCTACGGAAATGGTATACTTTGTTAGCCAATTACTGACCAAAATCACATGTTCTTCATACAATACTTAAGGGGAGAAAAATTGCAAGAACAAAACAAAAATAAATTCAAAAGGTCCGTGCCTTGGAATTAAATACGGCAGCTTCACAGATTCTGGAAGAACAAAGCAAAATATTTCTATACCTGCTAATTATCAAAGTGCTTGTTTCTTTACTATGATGGCGCATCGAATTGAAACGACCGAAGCGGCTTTGCCCTCTAGAGAAAAAACCACCCAATCCTCACCGCCTTAATGTTCGTTTTTCTTCATACAATAAGGGCTGGATTTTCTTTTCTTTCAATTGCTCAATTATGTCTTCCTCCTTGCCATGGAAGCAGGGTTTCCATCAAACAGTTCATCAATGTAAGTCTCTATATCCTCAGGCTGGAACTTTATGTACTTCTCTGTTTGTCTTCCAGGATCCAAGTATCCAGAGAACCTTCCCAAGAATGATCTATAGGCTGGTATCACAATTGCTGATACCGAAACCCTTAGCTCTGATTGCAGCTGCTTATCGCACACCACCCACGAGCTTTGAGTCTTGTGGATTTCTTCAAACATGGCATTAAAGCTCTTGAACCTCTCTTTCAGCACTGGTTTCACCACCTTCCCATTCACATTCAGTCCCTCAAGGTTTAAACAACCCAAAAGCTTCATCCAGGTCTCTCTCTTATAAGTCTGATGGTAGTTTCTAAGATCAGATGATCTCTTACGGTACCAGGTATCCCCCATCGTTTGATGGATCTCCTTTGATCCTTTGATCTTCTGCAACATGTAACGTCCATTGTTCATCATGAAAATGCAGCTCAAAGCAATGTCCTTGTAAAGCTTGGATTTTGTCTCCAGAATCGAATCCAACAAATCCATGATTCTCATCAACTGCCCTGAAAAAGGGGAGTGATTTTCTTCATCATTGTTGTAGTTTTGTGAGTCCCCTTCGTAATCCCGGGGCCTGCTTGTTGAATCAGCTCTTTCAATCTTGGAATGCTCCTTGAAAACTTGCTCTAACGTATCCTTATACTCATCACATGCATACTTGAGATAATTCATTGTGTAGCGAGTCAAAGGGTGAACGGCCCCACCAGGAACTGGCGTTTTCCCTGTATCAGACTTGATTGAATTCTCAAGATCACAAAAAATGCAAATCGCAGTCTCGCCAATCCTACAACGAGCCGTCGTTGTTTCTGCCCTGAGCTCTTTGGCGCACTCTTCAGGAAACACACTATCAATAGCCAAAAGATTATCACGCAGAGTCTCGTATATGTCAAGAAATTTGAAGAGTTTCTCCGTGGAACGCTTGCTAATGGCAACAGCTTCAGCGAAATTGAGAAGTTGAATAAACACACCACGTATAAGGTTACTAAAGAGGCTGTCAGATAAGGAAGGATAATCGGAGAAGATTGTTTCAGCGAGTTTGCGCTCGCCAGGGAAGTACACACTGGCACATTGTTTGAAGGCCTTGATCCATGGAGGGATCTCCCTTTCCAATGCTTCCCATTGCATCTTCTGAACCTCGTCAATACTAATCTTCTCGAATCCTAGCTTGTTCAAGGTCTCCTCATTTACATTGCTCCTAGTAATCATGTAAACCTCACAGCATTCAGATTCATGTCCTCCTGAGATCATCTCCTTAGCAATTTTATTCAAGTTGGCCAAAACTTCCTGAGAATACCCTGGAAAGTTGGATTCGTCATTTGATTCAGCGGATTGATCTTGATCAGGTTGATCTGCAACCTCTTGTTTCTGGTCAGGTTCCACGATTCTTGAGTACTCTTCCAGGAGAGACCTGAATTCATCCTCCAAATAAGACATAGCTCGCTGTTGAATCCTACCAATGCGGTTGATCAGCGGACCCTGGTTGGAATCCAATTTGAAGACTGCGGATAGATTTTTATACAGCTTTGATATCTGCTCCACAGCTTTAAAAAAAGACGCATCATCCTCAGGAAGCTGACTCCCCTTCACTTTTGTATCAGGCAATTCATGCTCAAATATTTTCTTTTCAACAAGATCCAAATACTTCTCAACAAACTCTGGAATCTCTAATCCTGCCTCAACCTCCTCCTCCTTTGGGGTGGAGAGATTTGACAAGAAATGTTCAACATCATCCGATGCTGTTTCCAGGGTATATTCGATTTCAGGTGGAGGAGCAGGTTCTCCTTGTTCCCCTCCTTCTTCTTTCTCTTCAGGCTCTTCAATTTCAGTTTGTCCAGTCTCCATTTCCTCTGGGTTCTCCATCTCTACCTCGGTTATCTCAGCTGCAGCTGACTTTTCTTCATTAGAACACTTTGGTGACTCCGTCACAGGCAATGTCTTATCGGCGTCGATGACAAGTGTCTTATCGGCGTCGAAGTTCTTGTCATCGTCGTCTCCTTTGTTAAAACTTAAAGATTTTTCAGGCTGATGATTCTTTTCCATGGCTAAGCTTTTAGGAAAAAGAAGAAAAAGAAAATGTTACAGGAAAGGAAACAAAAAAAATGAAGGTTTGAAGAAAATTAGATAGAGAAAGATGGGAAGATGGAGGAGAATTATTGGTGTCCTTTTGCAATTGTGTTCGAGTTTTTTGTTTTCTTTGATGAATCGAAATTGAAATGGTCGCGGGTGGAGAAAATGCACGGACAGGAAATTCTTTTGGGATCATATGATTGGGAGAGAGTTGTGTTGGTTTGGCGTTTTATCTGTTTTTAGGAGCGATGACCATTGACCTGCTATTAGCAACCATTTGGTGCTTCCCACGATCTCTTTTCGCCTGCTTTATCGGTTTTGTATAATTTGGTATCCTATCCTATTAGATTACACGAACATGAACCAAAATAACTTGAATGTTTATTATATAATAATACATGAATAAAATCATTGAAATCAACGACTGTATGGGTTTCTTCAATTGATTATTTTATTTGGTTAATGTGGCTTCAATTTAACTTTGATTCGATGATGGTGAGTCCCATGATACAAGAAGAAACAGGTTTGTTTCAACCGCAATCCTCTGTCTTTGTGACAAAAAATTAGTACAGAACAGTTTGCTTTGAAACAGTTAAAGGTTATGGAGCATGATTAGTGTTAAGGTTTCAACATGTCGAGACTTTCACATTGATCAACACCCGTGGAGCTGAAGATCAGTAAAGAAGGATCGGATTCCTTCTGCGGCTGAGCCTGAGGCTGACGATCAACTACATTAGAGCTTGAATAATTAATTTCACTTATCCAAATCATCCTAGTGTTTTAGTTTCACCAACTTTATCATAGTTAACCAAAGTTCAATTTACAAAAATAATCATTCTCAACGTAAAGATTTTTAAGTGAGTTTAGATGATAATTATTTGATGAAGTTATATTAAATACACAACTTTCAACTATCGATCTTTAATTATCAATAAAACATATCATATTCTAACTTCAAAATTTAGCAGTCTATCTACTTCCTATTTCTTCGAAGTAGTTACTTCTGCCTAGGGGAGGAATAGATCAAAAGCTGAAGCTCTAGACTTTGTGGCATGGATGATGATTGATTGATTGATTAATAACCTTAATTTGTGTCAAGTTTTACTCGTAAATTACCAACTAATCTAAAAAGGACGATATTAAATCACAAATAACAAAGTCAATGTAACTTACGTGGCAGCTCACATGGCTGTCGCTCCATCTCAGAAAGAAAAAAAAAAGGTCTTTTTTTTTTTTTAAATAATTAAAAATACTAAAAACAGACGAAATCAAAACAAAGCTTCACTTCACATTGAAACTCGAATGACAAATCAAAATTCCAAAAAAACAAACGAAAACAGAAGATGAGGTATGGCGGTTCGAGGAGGAAGCGTACTTTGTTGCGTTGGTTTCTCATTCTCTGCGCGGCTTTTACTTTCATAAGCTGGCTGATGCTGCTAACTCTAAGATCTGTCGATGCACCGCCGATGTCGACGACGGCGGATGGGACAATGCTGGATTTTCCTGCCCAGCTGCAGTTCCAGGAGCTTAAAAGAGACGGCTTTTTGTCTTCGGCGGAGCCGCCGAATATAGCTCCGGCGAAGAGCTGCGCGATGGTGGAGGAAATGGGGAAGGTTTTTAAAGGAAGAATCTTGAAGGAGAATCTTAGAGTTCGAAGGATTATTCAACGTCACTTTTCTATAAATGGTAATTAGTTTTCGATTTCTTTAGAATTAGTATTTATAAAATTAAAAAAGTTTCCTTTTCATTTATTGTTGGAGAAATAAGTTGAAATTTTATTTGTTTTGGCATTGTGTGTAAGAATAATCTAAGACAGAAACTTAAAAAAAAAAAAAAAAAATCAAAGTTCATTTCTTGAGGTTAAAATTTGTCGCCTTTGGAAACTATACATTAGACTATGAAGAATTTTAGTTCCCATTTTCATGAAATTTTGATTTGGAAATTTCTTTTATAATTATATATAAGATTAATTCTTTTTTTTTTTAAAGTGGCTTGTGGAAAATTTGGTCTGTTTTAACAATACTATGAGGAAAATTACATGTAAAATTTGTAATTTCAGGAGCTCCAAGAATTCGTAAGCTTCCTCCAGAGCAGTTCTGTAGACATGGGTTTGTGATAGGGAAAGCATCCGAAGCAGGTTTTGGAAATGAAATGTATAAGATATTAACTGGTGCAGCATTAAGCATAATGTTAAACCGGTCGCTGATCATTGGCCAAACCAGGCACATTGGTTCTTTCTCAATCCTTTCTTTTTTGTATTTAAATGTTCTTAATTTGTATAAATGGTTTAAAGATTACAAGGGTAAATGGCTGAAAAGCGACTTCATTTTATTTGCATTTTCCTTTGGGACTAACTGGGAAAGCATAGTAGTGTCTTGGCAAATGTCTTAATGATTTCATATGTCATTGCAGTTATGCTTATCCTTTTCTTGTGTTCATTTATATTTTCACTTTTCTTTGTTCAGGGGTAAATATCCTTTTGGGAATTACATTTTGTATTCCAATCTCACCTTTACCTTAAGGGAAGTGAAGCATCTATGGAGGCAAAATGGCTGTGTAAAAACGTATGGTAGGCATCTGGTAATGAGGACTGATGATTTTGAGAAGCCGGCAAAAACAAATGCCCTCTGTGGCAATTGGAGGAACTGGCGCCAACCTATCATATGGTAAGTGTGAACCTTGTTGGTATAAATTGTCCTAGATTTTTTGTCTCCATTGCATCATTCCTTGCAATAATGCTTCAGGTATCAAGGTACGACAGATGCTGTAGGAGCTCAATTTTTCTTGAAGAACATACATCCCGATATGAGGAATGCTGCTTCTGAGTTATTTGGAAAGCCAGAATCTCTTCATTCGTGCCCTAATGTATTTGGAGAACTAATGAGAATTCTCATTTCTCCTTCAAGAGATGTTGAGGAAGCAGTCAATTGGGTTCTTGGTGGTGGTAGGGACCCTGATATTACATTGCACATGCGGATGCTTATGAATAGGTATTGGAGAAAAACAATTACTGTATTTGTCATATGCATTGGCTGTCAATCTTTTTCAGACTAATTGAAAATTATTAAAAGGTTTTAAAATGACTGAAATTTAAAACTTAAAATTCTTACACAAATGATAATATCTAAATCTCATGTGCTTTAGAAACACACTTGACAATCTTGAAGAGTATAATTCAAGTATCATGTGGGTATATAAACTGATTAGTGATGCTGGTTCTTTGTTCCATGTTTCAGGTCGGTGAGAGCTGCGCAGGCAGCATTGAACTGCCTCACAAGAGCAACACGCAACTTACAGCAAGAGTCAAGACCAAGGGTGGTTGTAATTTCTGATAACCCCTCTTTTGTGAAAAGCATTACACCAAATATAAGTGAATTTGCTGAGGTAATAACTTGGAATCCTCCATTCCCTCCCAAAAAAAAAAAATTTCAACACAAGTGATAAATAATCTTCATTCATTAATTATAAGAGATACTGATCTAGTTACACTTTTTTCTCAGGTTCTTCATTTTGATTATGAACTTTTCAGAGGTAATGTTTCTCATGATATTAAACCATCAGCAAATTCGGATTTTAGAGTGAAAGATTGGGGCCCAGCACCCAGATGGGTTGCTTTTGTGGACTTCTTTCTTGCATCTCGTGCAAAGCATGCAGTTGTTTCTGGGGCTCACAGACGTGTTGGAACTACATATGCTCAGTTAATTGCTGCACTAGCTGCAGCAAATGGTATAGGTAACAATGCTTCCTTCATTCCTGGGATCCTGGCTCGTTGCTTTTTACTGCTTATTTAGCTGGATCACCCTTCCACTCATTGATGATGCAGTGTCTTATAGCTGCTTGATCTTTTCAGGGGAAAATTCTACATCTTCAAGTTTTTATTTCCTAAGCAGCTTCCAGGGTAATTTATTGGCAGAAGGTTTGAAGCTTCAGGTGGGTTGGGGACATGTATGGAACCGATTTGCAGGGCCATTGAGCTGTCGGGGGCAGCCGAATCAGTGTGCTCTCACACCACTTATTCCCCCAGCTTGGTGGGAGGGCCTCTGGCAATCTCCCATTCAGCGTGATATTCATAGGTTGGCACAATATGGTGTCCAACTCTCAGGCTTTGGAACATCAGATGAAAATCAGCTTCATTCTTTTTGTAGTTCCAGGAAAAATATTGTGAAAACTGTTTTATACATATAGATGTAATCAATGAAGCTGCAATTCTTTGTTTGCATTTTTCTGTTAGTGTTATTCATTCACATCATGCCTTCATGTGTCTCCAACTCTGCTTTTCTTTTCCCTTGCAACATGTTAAAAAAAATGGAAAGGAAAAAAAAAGGAAATCTTTCCCTAAACGCATCTAGGAATCAAATCTCAGCTTGTTCTAAAAGGAAAGGAAATATTTATTCATATTGACGGTTTTAAAACACAAATTGGCTTGGCCCCCTTCAAAGTTCAAAGTTGAAAGCACATCTTTCCCTTTTCATAGGGTAACGCCTCCCAGGACTAGAAGTCTTATGAGCAGGGGTTCCAAATTCCAATAGAGGTAATATTCTTCTCTTCTTCTTCCTCCTCTATTTTTCAATCTTTATTATTTTGATTTTCTTATTTAAATCCTAATCAGTTTTCTTCTTGTTTCTGAAAATTTTGATGTGATCAAGTCCTTTGCTTCAAAGGCAATTTTTCTTAGTAATAATCGTTCTAGTTGGTTTGATTATGTAAATCTTCCCTCTTTATTAAGATAATAAAAGCTGGATTTTCCTTTCTATATTTGAACAGTAACAAATTAAGGTGACAGTTGAAAGCGAATCTTCAATTATTAGTATTAGATATTAATGTCATGCATAAGTAGATACTACTTGGGAGAGCATTGTGAAATGGGCTCTTTCATATGCAAATCTTCGCCCCTTTTTTCCTTTACTTTGTCTTTTTGCAAGTCGGCAATGTCATTATAGGGATGAAATTTGAAGCCTTCAAAGTGAAGAACAGAAGCATTGGGTCCCTATGTTTCTGTCCCACTCTTGGCTTTTGGGTAAATTCCTTTTGTTTCAAACTGTTCTGTTTAGTTTAAAGTGATGAATGATGATTTCCTTTTTGTAACAGACAAAGCTTGATAGCCTGGCCAAGACTACCGACACTTCAACCTTTATTATTATTATTATTATTAGTAATAGGAGATCCCATTTTCCAAATAAAAATTTACTACTTGTTTTGGTTCAAACTTAAGAACTAAGGCATGTGAATGAATTTGGCAAGGGAAAGGCCAAAAGCCAATAAAAATGAATTATTAGCGTGTTTTATCCACGTCCAATCAAATACCATAAACCTCAAAACACGCCATAGGAAAAGAATAACTATAGATTATGGTGTCTGTATGACTGTTCTTAATCAAAGAAGCGGAAAAACAAGTAAAATAAAGAAGTTATCTGAAAATACTAGTGGGTTGATTATTATGGCTGCAATTCTTATGAAATGGATTTTACAATTTAAATTCGTGATTCCAATCCCAATCCCAGTTACAAATTTTTATTTTCATACTTTAAAATCATCTCATAAGATGGTGTAATTTTTTAATTATTTCATAAGTAATAAGTTTACCACATCATCATTCTAAATTGACGTATTTTGGAAAGACTTGGAGACAAAATTTAAGATTCTATTTTTACTTAAAAAAAAAAAGAAGAAACGTGTTAGTTTTTTACCATAGCCTTGCATGTTTCTTGGGAATCGTTTTTTTTCTTTTTAACGCTCTTTATTCTCATACGTATAGAAAGCGTTTTGATTCTTGTTTTCGTGAAATCATCGAGGAAGGCAAAAACCCAGATCACTTTTGTAACTCTTTTTGTCCAGTGAAGTTTTCTGTTTTAGAATTTTGATGCTTTTTCACCAGAAAGAAAAAAAAAATTGGTTTAATTGGATTTTGATTGATCAGCAAATGGGTTATTGCCCTTGTTTTGGTTGGGGGAAAGAGAAGAAGCTGAAGAGTGGTGAGAAGAAAGAACTTAGCAAGAAATGCAAGCCTCAATTATCTTCTGGTCAGTTTCTTTCATGCAATTGTGTTTTTCTGTGTTTTTTTGTTGCATTCTTTGTTTGATATATGCCTCAGTCTTGTTGATTTTCAGTTTATATATCTTTGTCTTGTTCTTGATTTCATATGATTTGTTAAGCAGTTAAGATCACTTAATCCATTTGTCTGCTTATAGAAGAGTTTTTTCAGTTTATTCTTATCAAGATTTTGGGAATACAATGTTAAGATAATGTGCTTGGCATTGGGAGTGTGAATATTGCTTTTTCTCATTTTCTTGTAATTGGGATTTTTTTATTCATATATATATATATATATATATATATATATATCTTTTTGGCCTTACTTATCTTATTCAATTTAGAATCTTTTAGTTTCTTAATTTCTGTTACGAAAGCTGTCCTTTTGAATGTGTTACATGAGTAAAATAATGTTAAAGCATTAAGGAACTAACAGCTTATGCAAGAAATGAGCTTTTGAGTTTATACATTCAATCTTTACCTCTCAGTCAACTGAGTAGGAAGCAGAATGAGCTTTTCATCCTAATTCTACTATTACAGAAACCATGGCTGCTAAATATCTGGTAATAGTGTTGGGTTTTATCAGCTATGTTATGGTGATACTGTTTGGTAATTGACACTCATGATTGCTTTTCAGTCAAGATGGCATTAGAGTGTTAATTCTTTTTGGAACTGCTATTGAACTTAACTAACTAGGTTTTTCATGGAATTGAAGCACACTTGGGCAGTCGATTAGCCGAAGTAATAGAAGGGTTTAGGATTTAAGGTTTAGTTAGGATAAAGTTTGGCTTTGTGCAAAGATAGATGTGATTTATTGTTGAGATCATATGAATTTAAGTTGATTTTGACTTGGCTTTTGCCTATTCTATATCTTGATTGAGTCAGTAACTTGTAAGTTTTTCACTGCTGCTTTTCTTTTTACTTCGTTTCCTTTCCTGGACAAACCAAACTAATTTAAAATGTTTAGGAAACTGGTTAATAAGATTCCAAAAGTTGGCTTAACTTCAGAGAGCTGGGCTACTACATCCCAGCCAAGCAGTTTGGATCCAAAGAGGCAAAAATATGTTTATTTAGCAAACTTCTACACAGCTAAATAACTTTGAATTTTAAAGATCTCTGAAATTTACATGTTAACCAAAGTGGCAAGATACATTTTATGCTGGCCATCTAACTATGCTATTACATCCCATCCAAGCAGCTTGGATCCATAAACATGTTTATTTAGCACACTTTTTATACACCTGTATAATTTTGAACTTTAAAGGTCTCTGAAATTTACATGTTAATCAAAGTCGCATCATACAGTTTATGCTGACCATCTAACTTTGCCTGAACAAAACCAGGAGTTGGTTCAGTAGGATCAAAAAGCAGTGCATGCTCAAGACAGGAATCATCAGCTCTAAAAGATGAGCCTGATGGTAATAGGACTCAGACTTTTTCCTATCAACAACTGGCAACTGCAACAAAAAATTTTAGGAAAGAATCATTGATTGGGCAAGGTGGATTTGGTGCTGTTTATAAAGGGCAATTAGAAAGTAATGGTCAGGTACATACTTCTGTGCCTGTCCAATTCCCTGCCTGGAACATTTTTCCCCCTATCTCCCAGTTTCCTTCTTAGTCACATTTGTTATGGTTTTTAGCAGGTTGTAGCTGTTAAGCAACTTGATAAGACTGGGCTCCAAGGGGAAAAGGAGTTCCTTGTGGAGGCTCTCATGCTTTCTCTTTTGCGTCACCCTAATCTTGTCAATTTGATTGGTTACTGTGCTGAAGGGGATCAGCGCCTTCTTGTCTACAAGTACATGCAGCAGGGATCCTTGGAAGATCACCTTCATTGTAATATTGTCATGCATTTTCCTTTAATCTCGTCAAACAATTCATTTGTTAGAAATCATTTCACTGATTCTATCTAGACCACCAGAATGAATCTCAAAGACACTCCTCACTCGCTATAACAGCTTCAAAACCCCTTTTTAGTTTCTTTTCCTACTAGTCATGTGCTAGTTTATTGACGGTTAATATTCTGACTATGTTTCTGCATCTTTTCATAAACCTTTTTCAGTTTCTTATCCTACAAATGATGCTCTTGTTTCTGCATCTTTTCAGTTGCTTAAATGGATAAGCAATGGTTTTTGCAGATCTTAGACCTGATCAGAAACCTTTGGACTGGAATAAAAGAATGACAATAGCTGCTGGTGCAGCTAAAGGCCTGGAGTATCTTCACTGTGAAGCCAATCCTCCTGTTATATACAGAGATTTAAAATCATCTAACATACTATTAGGTGAGGACTTCAACCCGAAACTCTCCGATTTTGGGCTTGCAAAATTTGGTCCAAGCGGAGATAAATCACATGTTTCCACCAGGATCATGGGAACCCATGGTTACTGTGCCCCTGAGTACCTCACTAGTGGAAAATTGACTATGAAGTCTGACATCTTTAGTTTTGGGGTAGTCCTATTGGAGCTGATAACTGGACGTAAAGCTCTTGATGATAGGCATGCTCGTGAAGAACGATTCCTTGTTGATTGGGTAATACTTCACATAATCTAGATTGCCATTTGGATGAAACTGTTTCACTTCATAATTGCTTCTCAAGGAATTGTCATTTATACTTGGTCATTCAAAGCTTTATTAGTAAAGTTGGCATAAACTTCACTACACATGGTCTAGGAAAGCCATCTTTTAGTAAGTTTTCTTTAGTATTCTCATTAAAGATTAATAACTAACTGATATACAACTTTAGTTATTGCTCTACTCTAAGTACTGATCTGATTTCATGGTCACTGTATTCAGTTGCTTTTTGATTTGCTGGGGCTCACAAGATTTTTTTTTCCCTGCATAGCACCCTGACTTGAACATGATGATAGTTTTTGCTGAATATGTGATTCTAAATGAGTCTTGGTTGTTGAACAGTAATTACATAAATGCAATTAGATATAAACTTGAACAGTGCACAATATTTTCATTTGAAGTGTTCAAGTGATAACACATGGCATATATGCAACTTCTGTAGTCCTCATGCTGAAGATTCCATGCATTTTGAATTTCAATTTGGTAATGATCCTAGAATTCAGTTTTATTAATTTGTTTCTCCTTGTTAAAGATACTTTCCAGCCTTGTGTTATCTGACCTATCAATATATCTATGTTTATAAATTGTTTATAGGCTCGCCCCATGTTGAAAGATGGAATGAACATTTTGAGCTTAGCAGATCCACTGCTGAAAGGTCACTTTTCCAAATCTACCTTGAAGAAGGCTCTAGAGGTGGCCTTCATGTGCATCCAAGAAAATGCTAATTCCAGGCCCTCTATTGGTGATGTAGTGCTTGCTCTCAATTATTTGACTTCCCATCCATATAACCCAAATGAAGCTAAGAGGGTTAGTGTCAAAGGGCCTGAGTTCAACGAGTCTCCAAAGGAAACAACCAGGATGTTAGACAGAGATTTTGACAGAGAGCGAGCTGTTGCTGAGGCCAAGATGTGGGGAGAGAGTTGGAGAGAAAAAAGACGACAGATTGCAGAAAATGCTTCTAATGGATCAAACAGATAAAACTTCAGAAATTGATCATTTTGAACTTCTAGAAATACAGAAAGTTGCTAACAGGGAAGATTGTATATTTAGTTTAAACAGCAATGGTTTCCAGAAAAGTATACTCTTATTTATTTTCCTTTGAAACAATAGTGAATAGTTTAGCATTTCTTTTATAATTTTTCCTCTAGTTGAAGAAATTCTTGGAGCAGCTGCTATCAATGGACTGTGGAAGAGTTAAATTGCTCTAGCATGGTAGAGAAATTGACATCATTGGCTGCTTTTGCAATTGATCATCCACAAATCTTAATGGAATTGTGCAAGAAGGATCAACATTAGAAGCTTAAATTTGAACTACATGCTGTTGTTTTCTTGAATTCTTAGAGGTTAGAATACAACATAAAGTAACCATATGGAGATGGGTTTGCATTGTCCCTAATGTAATGGTAAATCCCTTGTTGACTCGACAACTTCCATGATTCTTAACTTATATAAGTGAAACATCCAATCCTGCTCTTAAGAAGTCTGTCGATTCTGAAATCTCAATTCCATTAACCCATGTTAATGTAGTTAAGCATAACGTATTTTTAGTTCATGTGCTGGAGATTAAGAGTAATGAAATGACAATTGAAATAGAAATTTACAATTAGCAGATACGAGTGTAATTATTAACATATAAATTAATGTCTTTCAGATGAAATCATAACTTTCCGTTGTCGTCCAGCGGTTAGGATATCTGGCTTTCACCCAGGAGACCCGGGTTCGATTCCCGGCAACGGAATAATGTGTTTTTCATCTAAATTTTTACTTAAATATTTTTCATCAAAGTGCTGTCTGGCTTTCACCCCAGAGACCCGACTTGGTTGTTTCCACTTTCCAAAATGGAAAAAGGTCCCACCGGGAGTCGAACCCAGGTCGCTGGATTCAAAGTCCAGAGTGCTAACCACTACACCATGGAACCCATTTTGGTTAAAAAGATTTTATGAACTGAAAATCAAACTGAGTACTTTTATTATGCTCGACCCATGAGTTCCATCAACCTCTTATTATTTTTCAATAAATTTAACTAAAGTTGAGTTCGCTTTTGCTTTCTCTATTCTAATCCCATTTTTAACTTCTTTTAAACTTATAATTTCTGTACAGAACATTCTCATTGCATTTGCATGTACTCCTTTTACGTCCAAGAAAATCAAGTTTCAAAAAAAATGGTTCAAGTGATTGAACCATTTAAATTTGGGGAAGAAGCAAGTGAATGATCGACGTGATCTTTGCATGAAGATCTTTATTCAACACCACTGATTTGTTTTCATTTTTCTATTTTAAATTTAATTACCATTTTAAAGTATGATTAAGATGTTTGGATTAATTATCGGAAACACGAGGTTAAAGTTGATCAAATGGTAGCTAAATGCCCACTTGACTTTTGCAAATTCCCATCTTCACTTTTGTATTCATTTTTCAGTCACCTTTGCCTTACATCATGGCTATGAATTCCAAGGGGAAGGTGCAATCATGGTTGTTGCATGAATTTATTAAATATTGGATTATTGACCTACTTATATTATACGGTAATATACTAGTTGAAAGCATAATTATTTCTACTACAATGGTTTCAAGGTTAGTTTGTTCATGAATTTATTGCTTATAATTTTGAATAAATGGTTGAAAGTGTATAAAATTTATGCTTTACTACTTTTTTTAGTACTAGTTTTTGTTGGTTGTTCTTCCAAATTTAATGGCATCATATAATAAGTTTGAAATAGTAGTAGCTAAGGCCATTTAAAAGATCCAACAACCATAGAGGATAAAAATAAAAATAAAATTTAAATAACATGTTAGAAAGATTACAAGGCTTTAAGAATTACAAAACAAATCAAACTTTATTATTGAACTTGGTGATCTTTTAGTAGCTTTCTTTTTTATACTTTGAGTAAAACCAAATGATTTTAAGATGTTTTGCTAATTGCTTCTGTCTTTAAAGTTTATATTATCTTTACCAATGATGGTATGTAAAAAAGATTGACTCGAAATGTCTCTAAAATACAATAAAGCATGTGTTTGAATCATTTTGCACAAGTAAAATTAAACCATTGAAAGGAAATATCTTTCCTTCAACAAGATTTTTTTGCAACAAAAAATGCTAAAGAAATAAGCCTTTTATTTATTATAGAATGGAAGAAAAGAGAGAAAAAAAATGAAATTATGAATATGTCATATGAACCCATAATAATATCTATTTATAGAGATTGAATCTTAAAGTTATAATTTTTTAATTGTGTTGTTTCATTCAAAAATTACTTACTTTGATTATAAAGATATCTTTTAAATAATTAATGATAAATTGATTTATTAAATTAATAAAACTTTTCGTACTAAAATAAATCATTTTTCATGTTTTTTAAAATTATAACTTTTTCATATAAAACAGTCGATTTGATTGTCCTTCTATAATTCTAATTTTTAAAATGTTATCTGAAGTAGGATGGTCGACTCATCCTTAAAGTAGTAAGCTCCTTTTAATTTATAAAATGTATTCGATACGTAAAGAGTCAATTGCTTATCTACCAGTCAACTTCTGTCATTTTTTCAAAATGAATTGTCCATCAAAACTGTCGATATTACTTTAATAATAGTTGATTACCATATCCTAACTCAATTTTCAGAAGATTTTTAATCAATAGCAATTGATTCTTCTAGGTTTAGGAATCAACTAATCTAATTTTCAGTCATAACAATCGATTGCTCAAAGTTGACAATTGACTGCTAATTTATATAATTATTATATTTAGTTTTTGTTTGTCAATTGACTTCATGTTTAAATGTGTAATCGAATTGAGTCGAATCGATACAGTGAAAAGTTCGGGCTCGACTTATAACTCGCAATTTGATATTCGGTTCGAACTCGATCGAATTTTATTTTTCAAACTTGAGTTTAATTTTGTGATCGAATTTGAGCTATTTGAGTTCGGTCGATTAAGCTCGATTAAAATGTAAAAATAAACTCAATTCGTATATTTGACAAGAGTTTGATTATTTATATTCAAGCTCGAACTCGAATTCGAAATATTTTATTAATTAAAATAATAAAAATATATTTAAATATAAAAGCTCGATTAGGCTCGCGAGTTACTCGAGTCAGATATAAGAATACTCAAATTCAGCTCGATCGATAAGTCGAACTACTTGAACTTGAGCTCAACTCAATAATAATCGAACCGAATTCGAATTTTTTTCGAATTAAACTCGAGTAGCTTGCGAGTACTAATGTATCATTTACATCCCTATTCATGCTAATAGCAATCGATTTCTCTTCTTGAAAATCTAAATAATCAACTCCTACGAGTATAATAGTTTATTGCTTGCACGTAAAATCTTCTGTTTAAATTCTAAACCATATCTTAAACTATTTTATAATTTAATATAAATTTTTTTGATTAAATTGTTTACCTAATCATATTATTTTGTATATTTTAAAAATATTTATAACATAAGATAGAATTTAACATAAAACAGAAAAATAAGAGTAACCACCATGATACTTATATGGTTATATGCAACTAATTTTTCCTTCAAGAGTAACTAGTTTTACCAACCTTGAATGACTCCATTAAATACCTATAATATATATGTAGTGATTAGCACATTTCTTATATCTTATTTTATATGAAAAATAAAGGAGAGATATTTTAATCTTAACACAAGGTTGGAAACACAAGCCCTTTAAACTAATGAAGTGGTTAACATATTTGACAAGTACTTATTGTTTGGACAAAAGTATGAAATATTCTTTCATGATATTACTATATGCATTATTTTGATTATGTTTGTCATTTATGACTTAAGAATTATAAAATTTAAATTTAAAATTTAATTCAATTAATTTATATAATTATATTTTAAAAAATATTTAATAGATCTTAATTAGTTCATGTAACAATCTGAAAAGATCATATTTAATAAATTTAAAACTCAAATTAATTTTAATACTTATAATCTTTTTTTATTCTTGTATTATTGTCTCTTAAAAAAATCTGAATTTATATATATATATATATATATATAAATGCAAATTATGTATCTCAAAATTTAGCAAGCTTCCATTTTATTTATTTATACAAAAAATTAAAAAAAAAGTAGTAGATGTAATATTAACAAAGGTCAATTAAGTAAATTTAGAAAGCGAACCGGGGCCGGCCGCATCACGCAGGTTGGTACTTTTGGTTCACCCACGACAACCGGTCCAGCTCAGTCACTTGCCAATAAAAAATCTCCACGTCATCACATTCCTTACTGTAAAGCTTAGATACAGAGCACTCAATCAAGAATCTCCGTTTATCCAAAAACTCAATAAAAGAAAAAAGAAAAGAAAAAAGAAACCCCACAAAAAACCCAACGTCCCCTCCACTTTGTTTCGAAAAACCTCGTGGCTTGTTGCGACTCGTCCCCGACTCGCCGGAACTCTATTAACTCGCCCCTCTCTTACTCACTCCTGCCATGGCCTTCCATTTCTCAACTTAAAAGCTCCTTCGTTTTTTCTTCAAAGCTCATTTTTTAAAATATAATTTTTTTAACTTTTTCTCTGAGAGAGAGAGAGAGAGAGAGAGAGAGAGAGAGAGAGAGAGAGAGAGAGAGAGAGATGTATGTGGTGCCGCCAACCCAGCGATCGGATCCGGGTTCCACCGGCGGCGGGTCGGGTGATTTACGGGTTTACCAAACTTGGAAAGGCAGCAATGTAAGTTTTTCCTTTTTTTGGGGGTGGGGGATTTGGATCTTATTTCCTTTTAAGACTTCAAAATCCTTCATTTCCCAATTTCCTTTATATTTATACAATAATTTTTTTTGAAATATATTTATAAAGTAAATTAATTGACAAGTGGTAATTAAAAAGACATCATTTTTATCCATGAATTTTGCAAGACATTAAATTTATGGGTTTTTTTTTTGTTTATGTTTGCAGATATTTTTATTTCAAGGGAGGTTTATATTTGGACCAGATGTAAGGTCATTAGGGCTGACTATTTTACTTATAGTAGCTCCAGTGTCCATTTTCTGTGTATTTGTTGCTAGGAAATTGATGGATGACTTTTCTCATCACTTGGGTATTTCAATCATGGTTGTTGCTGTTGTCTTCACCGTCTATGTGAGTCTCTTTACAATTTCATGTTTGAATGAGTTGTTATCTTTCAAAATTTTTGTTAATTGTTAGAAAAGATGATTGATATTCATATTATGGTTCCACTGAGATGGGGTTTCTAGGAGGGGAGAACTGGATTTTTTCCATTTAGTGTTAGATAATGACATTTACCATTCTGCAAGATCATTGATAGACTCCCTTTTTGTATCGGTTAGATATTCAAATTTTTAAGTATTTAGGATTATAGCTTATATGGTGTCCTTGTCATTCGCAAATTCCCATGGTAGTGGGGTAGAGTGTTGATCAAGTGTGCATTTATGAATGGTACGAGGGAATTCTACCACAAAAAGTAAATTAAGATTTGCTATCTCAATTCTTTCTATTGGTTTGTACTTAAGGGGTCCTATAAACCATGCGCTTTCATCCTAGGCAATGAAGTCTTGATAGTGTTTGATTGCCTGGATTATTGATGCAAAATGCAAATGACATTCAGAATTGCCTTGAGTGTTTAGCCTGATTTTCTGGATGGCCATGGACATGGCTACCTTGTTTCAGAAGATCCAAATGAAGTCTTAAGTGTACAAAACAAAAAAAATTCCCCTGGCTTTTACAGATTTTATCATGCATTTGTTTGAGCTTTGCAGAATTCTATGTGATTTCTCTTAAACAGAGATTGAAGCTCATAAACATGTTGTGTCTTCCTTCAGGATTTAATTCTTCTACTACGAACATCTGGAAGAGATCCTGGTATAATTCCGCGCAATGCACACCCTCCAGAGCCAGAAGGTTTCGATGGGAATGCAGATGTTGGGTCTGGTCAAACTCCACAGTTACGATTGCCACGCATTAAGGAAGTGGACGTCAATGGAATCACTGTGAAGATCAAGTATTGTGATACTTGCATGCTTTATAGACCTCCTCGCTGCTCACATTGTTCAATCTGCAATAACTGTGTAGAACGATTTGATCACCACTGTCCTTGGGTTGGGCAATGCATTGGGCTGGTATGTCATCATTCATGTTAGAATTATGTCCTATTCTTGAACATCAAAAGAAGGATCCTCTCTCCTATCATCCAAAGGAAATGGAAAAGATCAAAACAAGAGCCTCCATTTTTTGTCTGTATTTTCATATATTTATGCTGCATTATGCTAAGTACTGTTTACAGATTTTAGCATTAGTAGTTGCAGGTTGAATAACAAAATTAGCATTGAAAAGGATAATGACAATTTTTTTTGTTATGTTCCTATCCATAGTTCTTCTAGTGGAGTTCATAATTGTATGGTGAAAGATCAAAGTGACAAACGTTCAACATGCTTGTATTTACCTTGGAGAAACTCCTTGAGGGGAGTCCTTGAAACATACTCATTCTAGTTTTTTTGAGTTCAGTCATTATGTGACAAATAAGCATGCTAGAAAAGCCTAAACCATGGTTTTCACATCCATTTAGGAACTTAGCTTAGCATATACATGTTTGTGGTTGCAAAAGTTTCAGATTAATAGTGGTTGAAATTGCTGTGAATGTGATGTTTTTCTGACTTCCTCTTTCTCAAACTGTCTAGGGTTCTCATGGTTATTTTAGTTTTGTGTTGCAGCGAAATTATCGGTTCTTCTTCATGTTTGTCTTCTCAACAACTCTTCTTTGTATATATGTTTTTGCATTCTGTTGGGTCTACATTAGAAGGATCATGGCATCAGAGGAGACAACAGTTTGGAGAGCCATGATAAAAACCCCAGCTTCTATTGTTTTAATAGTTTACACTTTCATCTCAATGTGGTTTGTTGGTGGTTTGACTGCCTTCCATTTGTATCTTATTAGTACAAATCAGGTAAGATACTTATCCTTCTCTATCATAATCATGTTTTGAAATAGTCCATTAATATATTGTTAAATTAGTTTATTTGTTAGATTGGTGTAATATGCTGTGTGTCTTGTTTATGCAGACAACATATGAGAATTTCAGATATCGATATGACCGTCGGGCAAACCCGTATAATAAAGGAGTGGTTGAGAACTTCAAGGAGACATTTTGCTCCAGCATTCCTTTATCCAAGAACAACTTCAGGGTAAAGGTGCCCAGGGAACCTGTGTTACCAACAAGACCTGGTGGTTTTATGAGTCCAAATATGGGGAAGGCCGTGGATGACATAGAAATGGGTAGGAAGACTGTATGGAGCGATATGGGGCCTGGCACTGATCATTGTGAAGGGCCAATTACAAGTGACCGTGTAAATGTTAAGGAGGGTGAATTAGGAGAATTGTCTCCTGATATTAGAATTACTGTAGATGACACAGGTGACCGTGCTGGCATACATCCCAGGCGGTCGAGTTGGGGTAGAAAAAGTGGTAGCTGGGAAATGTCTCCCGAGGTTCTTGCTTTGGCTGCTAGAGTGGGAGAACCAAATCGAGCTGTTGGGAGTAGCAGCAGCAGCTTGACAACTGAGAACCGCCAGGCATAAGCAATGCTGTGTGATATTGACTGTAGAACATGGAAATCATTGCTAAGGTTCCTCAACTTCCCACTTCAATCGTGTGCATTACGGGGACATTTGTTGTTCGCAGGGCGTTTGAAAGTGTTGGTTTGGCCCTTGTACTTTGACGAAGAACTGGTGTGTTGTTGTATGAGAGTGAAGCTTGTCGGTTTTGTTTTTTGTATTTGTGAAATTAGTTAGTTTCTAATTTGCATTGACCTTGTGGATTCATTGAGTTGTCTTATAGTGCTCATTTCACCTCTCTGTACTTCGATGTTTGCTTCTGATTCCTTAGTTGCCAATGGCAAATGGGCTGCTACTGTATAATAAACTAAATTGGGTCTACAAGCATACTGGTCAGGTCAGACAAGTTCTGAGTTGGGCTTCTTTCCAATCTCAAATAACACGTAAGTAACAGCTGGAAGCCGGATTCAAATATGCCATCGAAATTCTATTTGACTTGGGTAACTAAATACTAGTGGTAACGAGAAACATGTGAGATGGAGTTGCCAAATCTGGCTTAAAAGACCAGTCGAAATAAAATCCCAAGTCTCAACTCGAAGATTGTCTTGTCATGTGAAACGTCCGACATCAGAATTAAAGGCATTAGTTTCACTCTCCTAGTGTCACACGGCATGAATGGCCGTGTCCCATACTTATGAAACCATAAAACTTGGATGACTTGAAACAGTTCTTCTGTACTGCCAATTACAACACCTCTTTCAAGTTCCCAATAGAAAAACACAAACACCCCTTAATCAATTGCATTATGGTAACAATAAACTGAACTAATCTGGACCAGGTTATATTGCTTTAGACTCAGCTTAGCTGCCAATTAATGCATCTTAGATCTGCTTTATTTTCTTTGTTTGTAAGGCGTTTTGGGGGTTTTTTAAACATATAATAGCACTGCTCTTGATTTAGCATAAAAGCCCAGATAAATGTAAGTTTGAATATATTGTCAAGTCCAAAGAAAGAAAAGAGAAAGGAGGCAGTTCCATTGCAATGCAATCTCACTCAAGCTCACATAAGCTTCACTTGTTAAGGTGATCCAGCAAACAGGTAACAGTTACTAAATATCTAGAAGTCAAATTTAAAGAGGTTACTGTCTAGTCAACAATAGCCTGGACTAGCATCAAGTTAGTGTTATACATATCATCTCAAGACTTTCAATGTTCTGTTACAATCAAAGAACCAGGGAGAGTTCTGTAAATTGACTTTACCTAATACTAGGCTAAAATGTCAGGCCACCTCTCCTAATATTATCAACTGGTTTTGGTTACTCATTGCTAGAAAACTGTGTCGTGTTGGGAAAGTTCTGGTTTAAAAACTGTCATGCAATACTGTTTTCCTATCGGCTATTTTTTTGAAAAATTGCTTAGAGGACAGCTAGACAGTTTAGTAGTAGACTAGTAGTAATTAAAACTCAAGACTAATGCTTTCAGCTCAACATGAAATGAATTCTCGTTTTCAACAATTATCACTTAGCCGTCTTTCTAGTTCTATTTCTTTTTTCCTGAGAGATAAAACTCCCATAGTAATGTTGGAGGGATGAATCGGGTGAAGTAGGTGAGTTCCCATAGTAAAGAGTTTTCAGTAATTGAGTTCATTTACCTTCATTTTTTTAATCAGGTCGGTTTCTCTTTGGCCTTTTAACCTCTTTTTGGCTTTCTAGGTCGATGGGAATGACATGAATTTTCATCTGGATTTAATTGCTTTATATCGGGTGGTTTCCTTTCATGGCAGATATGTTCAAGAATCAACTGCAGGAACTTGCACAAAGAAGCTGTTTTAACCTCCCTTCTTATGCCTGCATCAGAGAAGGACCTGATCATGCACCAAGATTTAAAGCGTCTGTGAGCTTCAATGGTGAGATCTTTGAAAGCCCAAGCTACTGCCATACATTGAGACAGGCTGAGCACTCTGCTGCAGAGGTAGCTCTCAATATCCTGTCTGCAAGAGGTCCTTCACGGTCTCTCACTGCAAGAGTTCTTGTAAGTTCCTTTACATGTTACAGGTCTTCTATATTAATTAGCTTTTTTCTCATTAGTTTTCTTGATGGTAGATGAGATTAAAAGCACATGCTTTTATCTTCTGTTAGATTTGTCTCATCTCCTTTCTTTTCTTTTGTGTAATGCAATGAAGGATGAGACTGGAATTTACAAGAACCTCCTTCAGGAAACTGCTCATCGAGCTGGGCTTAACCTGCCTGTTTACACCACTGTAAGATCAGGTCCTGGTCATGTCCCAATCTTCACTTGCACTGTGGAACTTGCCGGTATGAATTTCAAGGGTGACCCAGCCAAAACAAAGAAGCAAGCTGAGAAGAATGCTGCAATTGCAGCTTGGTCTGCCTTGAAAAGAAGTAAATTTCGATTCCTTATTTTAGATTTATTATTTTATATTAGCGCATTATTATTGTACATGTTATACAGTGCCAAACTTGGATTTATTGACAAATAAAGAGGCCGACAATCGTGAGGATCAAGATCAGACAGTTGTTTCAAGTGCCCTCTCAAGCTTCAAGCCAAAAGTTGAGAGCAAAAAATTTAGGAGGAGGGATTATAACCAAGCAAAAAGAAGAGTGGTCAGGATTAACAGAGACATTGGCTCTCCGTCTTCTTCCACCTCTGGTAACTCTGTACTTCATCAACAGTGGAAGCTTGTGGATCTCTTAATGGATTCTGCCTTGGATGGTTCAACACAAAAACGAAACAGCATTGTATCTCTCCTTCCCCCACCCCCACCTAGAACAGCTTCAAAGATCTTACAACCAACTTCATCTAGAGACACTCCATCTAACTATTCATCTAATAGACCCATTCCAATACAAATTAGGGGCAAATCAGAAGTGAAACTGCCTCCTTTACTGGAAGAACATTTGAAGGATGAGGAAGAATGGCATGGTGTCAAACAAGATGTCATCAACAAGTCCAATGAAAAGGAAGGTTCAAGTTCTAGCTATTTAGTTTCAAATAGTAATGTCTATGGGGCAAGTACTAGTAGTACTTCTATATACAGGCCAGTTCCAATATCCAGTATTGGGAGACTCGATACTTGCATGCTTGACAGCGCGAGAAGAACTGAAGCAAGCCAGGTTATCAGCAGGCTTTTTGGGTCTCCAAATCCATCTCAAATGACACCAACTTCTGTCAAGGCGCCTACAATGGCCCGGAACATGTACACTGGAGGGTTTAGCGCAAATAGGATTGCCCCAGCAGTTAAAATCAGATCAGTGATCCCAGTTTGTGCAGCTCCACCACCACTTAACAGGCCCCAGGAAATAACCCCATCACAACTGAAAGAACCCTCAGCAACAATCCTAAATACTGCTGCTTCTCCTTCTAGTTCAATGTCCATGCAAACAGGATCAGCTGAGGTCTCATCAACCAGCTTAGTACTGTTCAACAAGTCACAGCCAAACTCAGACCAACTCAGTTCTGAGTTGGTAAATCTAAAATTACTGAAGTAAAGCAATGAGATAATCTTTCTAATATCAAGTTACTAAAGCAATTGTTAGCATTTATTGCATGTTTTTATCTCTTGGGTTGTCCGCTGAATATGTTTTTTGGCCTTCGTAAAACCATGGGTTTTTTTCCCTTTCTTCTTGTTGCTTCATGGATTCTCTTTTGTCCGCAAGATCATGGAGTAAAATTTTTCTATAAATTTTCACCCTTGCCATTTATTAAATTACAGCAGCAAGAGAGAGAGAGAGAGAGAGAGAGAGAGAGAGAGAGAAGGGGCAGATTGGGTTAGCAATGAAGGGCAACAGAGTGTTAACGAGGAACAGACATTTGCAGCGATAAGCGCAAGCAATTAAGTTACCCTCTCAGCAAATATTTAATACCCTTATCCTCACCATTAATGCTCCCTTGCATCTCTTCCTCATCCTCCTCCCTCTCATTTATTATTACCATTTTCCTTTTAATACTTTTATTATATCTTATTGTATTTCATTTTTCTGTTTGTTCCTTTCTTTCTTACTTTTTTATCCATATAATGAGTTTTTTTGTACCTTGAGAACTACCAGACTTCCTGCAAATGGTAACCATGTAGATATAGGTAGGGGTAATGCTGGGCAATTTTATTTATTTATTTATTTTTTTTTTCAAATGTTTTGAACTCCAAAGTAGCCGTTAGGCTATGGGGGAAAAAACAAGCACAAAAGAAGGGTAGTTGGGGTCCTATATAGTTCATTAGTTCTTGCTGCCTACGTGTATGAAAGCTCTGGCCTCAGTGGCCATTGGGGGACAGTTCACAGTTGACTTTAAGGTTTCAGTAATATGTAAATTGTGAAGCTAAAGGCAATTGGGATCAGCCAGAAGGAACTGGTGGCCTGGTGGTTTGTTGGATACAAGCAACATAAGGTAGGAATAACAGTATGGAACCATGCATTAGCATCATCACTGCCCTCGGATCACTGGTGCTTCTAGTAATTAGGTGGGAGCTTTATATATCTGACGGCCGGTTGTGTTTGAGGGAGGGTTGTTCTCAACATTCTGATCTTGAAAGCAGGTGGCCAGGCTGGACTATCTCTCCGAATTGCTTAGGAGTTAGGGCAGTAGACCGGGATCAGCTTTCACAGACTGGATCCTGGACCCTATAGAGAACGCTCCAGTGTTTCTGGACTTTTATGTTCAAATAATTGGGCTTGCAAAACCAAACCCTCCGTTGACGTCGAGTATCTTTTCTTTGGGACTGGGGCCTTAAAATCCAGGCCCTAAAGGAAGAGATCTTTTTGTTTCTTTTTTGATATATTGTATACTAATTTTAAAAGTTGAATTTAAGACTCCTCTAAAGAAAGAGCTATCTATGACTGCTAAATTTTGCAACATTTTAGGAAGTTCAGGTGATAAATAAAATTAAATTACTGTATGAGAAAAATTAAAATTAAAATTTTAATTTCAATGATTATTTCTCTAAATCCAGTGATTTTGAATCATAAATTTAACATTTTTTTCCTTTTTAATTTATGGGTTCAAAGTTCAAACTAACTGCTTTAAAACCATAAATTAGCCGCCATGAAAGTCAACATCTGCAGATATGATTAACGATTTAGGAAGGCCCAATGCAACCTATATTTCATGATGGTGGTACCAAAAATTAGAGTAGTCCTTGTCTAGCTATTGTTTGCTTCTGCTGCTCCTGATTTTGGATGTCATTCTTAGTGACCCCATCCCATTCCCAGGGCTTGGATAATATTCACCCCCAAAAACATTTGTTGAGAAATTAGTGGCTCAGGTGACTGTTAATTTACTCATGATTATTCTTATTATGTTATGTAATAATGAAGGCACTAATTTTCGGTGTTTAAACCAGAAAAAAACACTTATGTATATGACCATATGGTGCATGAATGACAATATTCTTCTTTCTTTCTACCTAGATCAGTTAATATATAGCATAATCACTGACAGTGACAGTGACAGTGACAGTGACAAGTATTTCTCAAATGAAAGAAGTTACAAGAAGTGAATAGGAGGATTTCTATATAATTAATTAGCTAAAGTAATGTATTTCACATGAAGCATGCATAGTCAAAAACTGTGGACTGCAAGAAACCAGCAGCTGAAGAAGAGGTTTCCATGAAAGAGAGGAAGACATTATTGAGATGCATGTATGAAAATTTTAGTTGTTGTTTAATGCTCAAATTAACCCAACCAATCTGAAAAGAGACAAATCCCTTCAATCTGAAAGGGAAAGAAAAGACAAAAGTTTGGGTGCATTCCACTTTTTCCTGTAACCAAGTAGGAAGAGGGAATATATAACAGTAGCACTACGTACATCAGGATGCTGTTTGTTTGCTCATTGCAATTGGAAGTTGGAACTTTTGAAGCTAACAGTGATACTTAATTTTCTAACAGCTTACACCATTAATTCTCCTAGCTCATTTCTAATTTCTGGTTAACATGACTTCTTCCTCTAGCTCCACTGGTCTGATGGTGATGAAATCATATTCGATTGATGTAGTAAAGTAGGGCATGAATATCATAGTCCGTAGTTAACATGACTTCGTCATGATTATATTTGGGTGCAGCACTCGATGCCCTTGAATACGGGTATAATTTGCTTTGCTTAATTTGTTTAGATTGAGTGATTTTATCCCAATACATAAGCACTTGATTGATGGTTGAGCTAGCGCACCGACAGCATCTAAATTGAACATCAAATCATTTCTGGTAAGTGAACTAACTAGGGGCCGGCCATCAATGTGGGGGTAAATGTGATCAGGAGATGGTGATGGATGTATAAATTAAGTTGTAAAGAAAACCAGAATAATTAGAACAGAAGGTTAGGTTCATCTGATCCTTGATCAATATTCCCTGTCTTGAGCCAATACGCGAATTTAAGAAAATTGAAGCACCAGGTTGTTCATGAAGAAATAATCTGTCATTAAAATCAACTTCCATCTGTAACAGTATTCATAAATCACAATTACAACAAAATATAAAATATGTATATAATATTTCATCATCTCCAAAGATTTTTGATGATATTAAATCTTAGTGGCTGAAACAATTATTATTATTATTCAATCATTTATCATTTGGCTTATCTTCGATAATTGAAATAAATAATAGTAGCACGTAATAGCATTTTATGACCTAACCTTAGGTAGTTCCACCCCAAATGTCTGCAACAAAGCTGATCCAACTAATTTCACCTCCCTAACACGTCTTCAACTCAACATGTAATAAGGACAAACATAAAAACATGGCCAAATACCCTCTACATATAATATATATATATATATATATATATCCTGTCCTGTCCTAGCCAACTCTCAACTATTACTACCACTACTTCATTAGGGTGATAGGCAAGTCTGCCGTGGAAACACAACATGCAAAGGACCCTTATCCAATTGCCTCCTACTGGCTGGCTCCCGGTGATGCTACACTCATCAATACCATTTTCTACATTATCCTTATTCAATTATCGCCTTCCACGTGTCTCCCAGTTCATTTGCTATCCCCTTCTCGCCTTCTCACATTTCCTCGTTTATTTCCTTGTAAGTATTTAACATATTACTATTGTTAAAACAATAAAAAAAAAAGTTCCCACTGAATAGATATTCGGTGGATATTCCACAACTAGCGCTAGGCACTTTTATTCCTCCTTTTTTTTTTTTCCTTTCAACAATTGGAAGAAATTAATTTGTTATAAATCTCCTCCACACACATATCCACAGCGCGTGTAAGGAGTTGCCAAAATCACGTGGCAAATTTCCTCATCGGATCTCTTAATCAGAGACCGTTGACTACCTCATCATTCTCGGCGCGTTAACATATAAACCCCTTTCCATGCACCCTGGAGTAGCAGAAAATAACCGTTAAGTTTAACGGAATAAGCTGCCTTGTTCACAGGTTGGATGAGAGGAAGTTGACGGTGATTTTATACCAGAGAATATCCCAAGGCATATTTCGCAAAATTGTGGGGAATATTCCAGAGGGAGATCCTCTCCGCTCTCGTCTCATTGGAATTCCTCCTTAAATACACCCTTCTTCACTAAATCCTCGCAATAATCGTAAAAATCCTCTTCTGTCCCCTCTGTTTTTGCTTTCATAACAATGGCTCTTAAAGCTGTTCACGTCTCCGACGTACCAAACCTCGACCAAGTCCCAGAAAACGCTTCCCTTTCTCTTTACTCAACCCGTCTTTCCAAAGGTACGTTCAACATCATCTTCATTGTTTCTTGATCATTGTTTTTATCTGGGTTGTTCTTTCTTTTTGCTGTTGATGAATATATATATGTATGTATGTGTGAACCATTAACAGTGGATTTTTCTTTGTCTGGGTGTAGGGTTGGAATTTAACAGAGCAGCATCGTTTAGGATACCCAAGTTTTTGGTGATAGGGCATAGAGGGCATGGCATGAACGTTTTACAGAGCTCTGATTCAAGAATGAAAGCCATTAAAGAAAACTCCATTCTCTCCTTCAACTCTGCTGCTAAATTTCCGATTGACTTAATTGAATTTGACGTTCAGGTAACGACTCAAATTCTTAGAAAAGAAATTTTCTTTTCTTTTTTCTTTTTTAAATTTGGTGTCTTGGAACGAACCGAAATCTTAGAGGTTAGGACTCACGGAATCACGTTATTCTGTCGCTACGCGTCGAACGTTCGCCGCGTACGACAAGGTGTTTAGTCTTAATCTGAATTTGTAAGGTCTTAATCTGAAGGGGTGCCGGGTGGGTTCTTTTTTCTTTTTCACGTGCCTACAAGCGCGTTTCCTTAAGTTTTACTTGTTTTATTAATCATTTTCTTTTTTTAATAAAAAATTAAAGCCTTGAGTATGTAATTATTTCCTTTATGGGGTAATAGTTTCTGTTAGATTTTCTGTTGATAGGATGTTGTTTTTGGCTTTTCAAGTGAAAGATTACTGATGGTGTTTATTTTTTTATGGGTTTTTTTTGTGGGGGTTTTTTTTAAATAAAATATAAATATTTTGATTTTATGAAATTTATAAAAGAGTGCGGAGGCGATGAAAAAAAAAAAGGGGAATGAGCCAATCACAGGAAAGTAAAGAAAGCCATTGTGGTTTTTTGTAGGTGACAAAAGATGACTGCCCCGTCATTTTCCATGACGATGTTATACTCTCCGAAGAAAATGTATGTTCACTTTCTTTTCTTTTCCTTCTAAAAATAATGTAATTACCAAGGTTATTTACTGAAAATGAATGACATGGTATTCCAGGGTACTGTTTTTGAGAAGAGAGTCACAGAATTGTGTTTAGCAGAATTTCTTTCCTATGGACCCCAGAGAGACTCAGGGAAAGAGGGGAGATGTTTATTGAGGAAAACAAGAGATGGGAGAATTGTTAAGTGGAATGTTGAAACTGATGATTCACTTTGCACATTGGAAGACGCGTTCCAGAAAGTTGAGCCTTCTTTAGGTTTCAATATTGAGTTGAAATTTGATGACAATATTGTTTATCGGCAAGACCATCTCATCCATGTTCTCCAAGTCATCTTGCAGGTACATATTAAAGGATGAGATTTACATACTATTACTATAAATTTTCTTTTTCTTTTTTAAGGTGATGGTAAAGGATTTTGTTCTTAATTGCTGTGAATTTTATCATGTGACAGGTGGTGTCTGAGTTTGCTAAAGATCGGCCCATAATCTTCTCTAGCTTTCAGCCTGATGCTGCTCAACTTGTTAGGAAGTTGCAGAACAATTACCCTGTAAGGCCATTTGTAATGCACCATATATATATATATATATATATATATCTGTGAACAAAGAGACTTTTTTTTAATTAATGTTTATGTTGGAAAATCGACAGGTTTTCTTCTTAACAAATGGTGGGACCGAACTTTACTATGATGTTAGGAGGAATTCCCTGGAGGAGGCCATAAAGGTCTGCTTGGAAGGAGGTTTACAAGGAATTGTCTCAGAGATCAAAGGTGTGTTCAGAAATCCAGGAGCAGTGCCTAAGATCAAAGAGTCTAAGCTCTCTCTCCTGACATATGGCAAACTGAAGTAAGTTCCTAAAATCCCAACATGTTTAGCCTACCTAAACCATGATCTTTCCTGCCTGGAAAATTTTACCTTGTCAGGCCAGGCCGTCATAAAATTCTAATATGCTTTTTGACTGTTTCAAAAGTGTCACAGTCAAATCTTGCGTTCCTCCTCCAACTGTTACTTGTCTAAAGCTTGACATCCTGCTTTTGATGCTTGGAAGTTTCTATCTAACGTTGGATATTGCTTGTTACTGCAGCAATGTGCCTGAGCCTGTTTACATGCAACATTTAATGGGAATTGATGGAGTGATAGTTGATTTTGTTCAAGAGATCTCACTGGCTGTGGGCGACATGATTAAGCCTGCCATGTCTGTTACTGCAGAGGATAGTTTAAGGGAACGGAAGGGGGAGACAGAATCAAAGTCAAAGCTTCAGTTCTCGCAGCAGGAGCTCTCGTTTCTCTTAAAGCTAATTCCGGAGTTGATACAGCACTAATACTTGAGCAAACTTTCAAATTTTCTTTTGGGGATGTAACCCTATTACAAGGTTGTAGATAAAATTACCATGTGGAAAATCTTTCATACTATCACTTTTCACTCTCTGAAGTCTGAACCGATGGTTTAGCAATTGGCCACATGTTTTGATGCATAGTAAATTTTATTAGTGAAAAAAATGAACAATGTGTCTTTTTATTCTTTTCTCTCTCCAGAGTCCATTCAAGAATTAAAAAATTTGACTTAATCAAGCTGTTATGCTTGTTCAGGGGTTCAATTTCGTTTTCCTTTTACTTTCAACGAGTTGTGAGAGAGAACCATAAAACAATAGACGAAGGTTTCTCAAAAGGGGAGAGTTAAAGTTAAATTGAGTGCAGTATATCTATAAAAACTCAAATAGCATGTTTCTTTAGAATAAATGTACCCAAACAAAATAGAAAGGATATGCCAAATGAACAATGATAGAATGTATGCAAATGCGAAGAAGAATTTTCTTTGTAAAAGAACACACGGTAAAGGAAATCCTTATAACTCGCACGTATTGCCAACCCACTATAGGAAAAGTGGGGGTCGAATCAAAGACTAATCTTTAATGGTTTATTTTCTAGTCTATGGTAATGTTTCAACATTGTCATTTATTACTATGAAAATTAAATATTTGAAACAATGGATTTGATGATTGATGAAATCAATGATTTCGTAAGCACCCGCAATATTGAAACTTACACAAGCTGAATGGAATGTTGAATAAGCCTTTCATTCTCTAAAAGAAATGCTAAATAAATGAAGACTTAATGCAAACCATGTGTGAATGAAGCAAGAATCCACATCTTCAGAAAAGCTAAAGCTAAAATCCCTTCTTGAATAGCAAGAAACTGAAAAAAAAAAAAAAATGAGGCATGGAAACGAGAAATGTGAGGCTGGTCTGGCAAGGTTCTTGTTGTGACTATGGAATAACCAAATTTAGGAATTGATTCCTCCAAGGCACGTGATTCATCTTATCTAAGCCAAGTGTTTTCTCATAATTGAATGATCACACACATTTACAACTCACATATAATTAAAACATAATTGAAATTAAAAAAATTTCTGCAACTAAAGCTTTCACCAGCCCATCTTTATAACCCCTTTTTCGCTTTCAAATTAATATGTTTTGGTTGGAGAAAACATTGTTGAAGTCCAATAAACTTGGCCCAGTCCAATCCAAACTTCATTCAACGAATCTGTTAGAATTGATATACATGGGATTTGGGCTTCCATGTTGGGTTAATTCCATCTTATCCAAATATCTATCTAAATCGGAATGCTTTGTAACCTGCCCTTTCAAGTACTCTCAAATTTTGCCTTCTTTTCCATCTCATTTTTTTCCCATTGAGTCACAAAAGTATTATACATGAAATTATAGTAGTACACTCTACAGAAAAGGTAATGTATACATGTATAAGAATTGGAGGTCCAATACAGAAGCTTGCAAATCAAGTAATGACTACCTTCTGTAAGCAATTCTAGTCCTTCATTATGTACTTTTAACACAACAGTTTGGCTAGAATAGGAGAGAGAAAAAGATTTGATTTTCTTCCCTCCATCACAAAACTAGGATGATCGAAAATCTAGCTTTCAAGTTTAGGGCTTCTGTAGGTTTATAGTATGTTTCTCTCAAAATTTAGTAAGGAGTCTAGATAGACCTCTAGGCTAGGGTATAGCTTAGGTGTTGTTCTTTTCGGTTATTAAAAGGGTATAGTATTAGCATAGCTTAGGTGTGTTTAAAGCTAAGCAACTAAGCAAAGCAGCACTACTACTTGTAGATATATATAGCAGTAACAGTTATAAATAGGCAGACCAATTTTATAGTACCAGTGATGCATGCATGTTCCTTTCATTTCCTTTGGCTCTTTGTTAATGGATTTCACTTTGTTTTATGGCCATAACTTCACTTGTCGTTTTTGTTGTTTGTCTCCAATTATGGAGGCTAGAATTATTTGAGATTTGGAGTACTTGCTTAATAGTAGCATTATATGTAAGATAAAGGGGAAATGATAACCCTCCTACTTTCTAGTTGGCATTCACACACATTTCCATTTCAGCATATGCAACAAGTTCATATCTAGGTTTCTGAAGATCAGCAAACCAAATTATACAAATACGTCTACAACTTAACAAATGACTAATGAATAATGGTTGTTTTTGGAATATAAGAAAGTAATATTGTAGATCTTATACTAACATTAATAGGTTTAGAAACTCTAGGAACAGCTGCAAATGTATTATAACTTGTGGTATCTAATTTCAATTATTGATAAATTTTTAAATAAATTAAATAATGTGGTACATGAACATGGATTAAATACAATTATAGGAAGAATAAGTAATAAAAACTAGTATAAAAGAAATGAAAATTTAATGACAATTTGTGGCCCAAAAAAAAAAAGAAGAATGCGTCTCTTTTATTGCAACAATCATAGAAATGAAGGGCATGTGGGGGAAGACACCGCCCAAAAGGATCTTTTAGAAGCATATGAAGAAACAGCTGGACTAAAGCAAGGACAAATTAAGTATGGGAAATGTTTCTTAGTAGCATTAAAGAAGAATGAGAAGATTATAATGATAATGTAAACAAAAAACAGACACACATAATCATGGCCCTCCATTATATATATCCCTTATCTCTCTTTACCCAATTGTCAACTTCAAGGCTGGCTATAGGAGAGAAAGAGTCTACCCCCACAAACCTGACAAATCTCATTAATTCATACTCATTCATTTTCAAAATATGTCTTCGAAAGAAATCAAAACCAGTGTGTTCAAACACGCATCTAGAGGTGTTATGTTTTTCAAGACTTGCACATTTCAATGTGATGAAAAAACAAAAACATGGGATTATTTTATGATAGGTTTTTATCCATCATCGATGTCATTATCATGGTTGACCTAGGGCTTGATTAAGAGGGAAAGGAAATGAAAGGCTTTTTCTTTTTTTATTCTTTTGTGCCTGTTGTTCTGTCATTTGTGTTCTTCATTAGGATTTAGCTTAATGTTCATGAATTTCCAGAATACAAGTAGGGCACAAGTGAATTACTATTTCCTTATTGACAGTCAAAAATAAGTTTTCAACACTTGAATTGAATTCAACACCTTATATATAGAAAATAGCTTGTAGCACTCAAGTAATATTATAAGTAAAAGAACAATTAAAACTTTTGGTAGATGTGACATTTCATGGTATGAATATATATTTTATAGTAATTGACATGCTGTAACAAGTTTCAACTTTCAAGTTCCTTTCAAATTAGCTACTATATGAAGAATTAATATTTCAAAGAACAATTCCCACCTAAAATCAAGGTTTTTTATTTAGACCTGATAAGTCATGTATTTGTGTCGTGTAAAATATTAAAAATTTATATATTTATATTATATTTTATATGAAAATTACGTGTCATAATTCGTATTGATATGAAAATATTAAATATATATTTTTTATTTTTTTAATCTTATTTATGATTTTTAGTAAAATTTTAAATCATATTATTTTTATAATTTTTTATTTATATAATTTTAATATCATATCACCGTATTATATTTAAAATTATCATTTCTGTTTTTACCTAACTTAGAGTAGGAAAAAGGGTAAATTAATTAGTATTGAGTAATTTTCATGAAAATTTTCTAATTTCCTTTCTCTCATCTTATGACTCATTTACTTTCTTATTCTTTCTCGTGTTTTTATCTTTGATTCTTTCCACCACTACTTATTTTACCTTTTTCTTTACTCTAATTAGAATGTTCTAGTCATCAGAAAAACTGGAATTGAATGGGAATAGCAGGTGTAAAGATGGAAAAGTCAAAAGATAAATGATATAATATTCCAAACAGAAAATCTAACCAACAAAATTATGAAACAAATCTAGTAGTTGTGGAATAAATACTCAACTGTAAAGCTTTGATGTCGGCATAACCTTAATTTGATTTTTAAGCCAAAAACTTGCAATTACGTATATAACAAGTAACAACCATATCCATATATATGATCGGGTTTTGACACAAATATGTAACCAAAACAAAAATCTAACAAGAAAATCTTTATCTCATGCATCAACTAGAAGGATTGGGACACACAAAGGTCCCACTTCACTTGGGGTGAATTGTAAGGTTTTCTTCTTCATCATGTACATATAAGATTAATTGAACCAATAAAAATTGGTTCAACTCGAAAATTCACTATTTAAAAAATATTAGATTTAAATCTTATTTATAATTTTTTGTTGTCGTTAATTTTAATTTTGAATGCAGGATTTATGAGATATATGATACATTTTGTATTGATTTGAAGGATATTGAAGAATTTAGGTACCCAAGTTTGTAAACGAAGGTCCATTAATCATCATTTTGTTTAATCTTATTGTTTATCTTCTGTCATATAAAGTTTCATGGTATTTAAAATGAACGATTGTGATGCAATGAATCGAAATAGTGAGTATTCCAAAAGTAGTACGAACTGTTGGATGTTTTGGAGGGCCCATGAAATGAGGGGCTCCACTTAAAAGAAAATCAGCACCAACGTGTCACGCGTGGGGCTCACCGTACAAAGAGCAGAGGGGATTGGGGGGTCCTTGACCAAAGAGACAGTAGAAGTTTTCTTACACGTTTGTGTAAGAAACAACCCGTCAAGGGTCAAGGAAGGAGTTCCGAGTTAGAATCAGAGGAGTTTAATTCAACTTTGCCAATTGCCATTCTTCTGCTCTATTATATAAAAGGAACCTCCCTGTCTTTCTTCTCCATACAAAGGCCAGGCCATTAAACTCACAAGAACAAAAGTCTTCCCTTCAGTTTTTTTGCCTTTTCTTTCCTTTTGGTTTCCTCTCTCTCTCTCTTTGCACATTCCAATCCCATATGGGTTACTTTGCTTGATTTCAATCAGCTAAGCTAGCTCAAGTTTGGTTGGTTTTGAGAGATCAGAGAAGTAAAAGATAGTACAAACTTAAGCTAGCTGGTTGAGGAGGTTTCTGAGAATTTTTAAGCATGGAAAGTCAAAACTTTGTTGTAAATGGAGGAATCAAGATGCCCATTGGCTACAGGTTTCGTCCTACAGATGAAGAGCTTGTTGTTCATTACTTGAAGAGAAAGGCTTTAAGTCTTCCCTTACCTGCTTCTGTCATTCCCGAGTTTGATGTTTTCCAGACTGATCCTTGGAGCTTACCAGGTTCGTTGCCCATTTTCTCAACGTTGTTGCTTTTAGTATCAACTATAAGTATAGTGCTTTTAATTTCTAGTTCCTTGAAACCCATCGTTGTACATGTCCTAATCCTTCATATTCTTTTAATACACAATCTATGAGGATTCCATGCGATAATGGAAGTTATGGTAAATAAGAAAGCAAAGCCTTGTTAAAGTTTAGGAAACAAAACTGTCTACAATTATGTAACTTGTGCTATATATTTGCAGCTTGAGAGTGTTGTAGAAGTGAAACTTATCATGTCTAGGACATCAAATAGAGAGGGGTTGTCTAAAAGGCCTTAACTTTTTGTGGGTTTCAGGTGATTTGAAAGAAAATAGGTATTTCTTTAGCGACAGATATGGTAATGGTAGTAACAACAAATGCAAGAGAGTGTCTGGTTCTGGTTACTGGAAGCCCATAGGCAAAGAGAAAACAATTTTAGCTTCTGCAAGCAATCAAGTTGTTGGGATGAGAACAGCCTTGATTTTCTGCGAAAGGAAGCGTTCTAATGAGTCCAAGACTCGGTGGCTCTTGTATCAATATCGCCTTGTTGGCTCTGCAGCAACTCTTGATTCAACTCAGGTAATATAACAACAAACTTTTAGCACAGCTCATTTCTGTAAATATAAGCAGCAGGCTTCAAAGAGTTCGATCAGAATTGTTATCTTAGCTTATGTATTGCAATTTTTGCAGATGTCCAAGAGGGAATTGTTTGGAGATTGGTTAGTTTACAAGGTGTTTCAAAGGAAGAGAAAAGCTAAAAAACATGGAGTAATTTCTAACAAAAGTCAGACTACTAGTGCAATGACCATGGCTAGTTGTATTGATTTTGCAGTTGAAGACCGCTCTGTCTTTGGTCCTCCTCAAACTACTTCACCAAGTTCAAGTGAAATTACTGAGGTTTCTACCAATGGATTAGATCAGGAAGAAAGCAATGCTTTCATTAGTTCTTATTCAAATTATTGTACGAGAAAGCAGTAAAAACAGTTGCACTAGACTTTGTATCAGATCTTTTTAACTGTTGCGCAAGAAATGAGAAATGGGCAAAAAGGAAAAGGAAAAGGCCAATTTAACTGTTTTAAGGACTTGAGTACTTGTGTTCTGCAAGCAAATCCCAAACCTTTTACCATGATATTGCTTCCTCCCTATCCTGCTTTATTAGTTTTCTTTAAATTAATTTGAAACAATTATAGTGAGAGGGAAAGTGGTGGCACAAATTATTGCTTAGTATCAAAGCTTTTATTATCAAAAGGCAAATCATTTTTGAGACAAAACGAAGGCCAAAAGTAGATACAAATATGAAAGAAATACATAGGAAATGGAGGCATCCAAGGAAAGAAGTAAAAAAGGGTTGTGTATTATCATAACATTGTGACAATGGTAATTGGTGGCAAAGGGCATCTGCACATGGGGGCTGATTCTCCCGTAAATACAAATATATAAAGTCCCAATATCAGAAGAACTCAATACCCTTCTAAAATATGCTTCCATTTATGGAATCTATGTGACTTTTATAGGCTTCTGTTATTGACATTATTTTAAGGCTTTCAGTTTCGGCCACTGTCTTTCAATTCAAAATGATTCTGTATAATTAATGTGTTCTTCTGCTAAAGAATGGTTTTGGTTGGGAAAGGGAACAAAACACGCAAGGTTTTTCTAAATACTGCCAGACTTGGATAACGCAACTTCTCATGGGATGACGAGAATAAGATTCTTCTAGTTAGCCAATGGAGCCAAAGAAGAGGAACATTTGTTTTTAGTTATTTTACCTAACCTCAACTCTCCCACCTCAGCTTTTCCCATCTTGAATTGATCCATATAAAAACATCCATAAAAGGGAAAACTAAAGTCAGTGCAGCAACGCAATTTGAGCATTTTAAACTGCGGAAAATGGATTGGTTGGTTAGATATATATATATATATATATATATATATATATATATGATAAAGGAAAACTTGCTTCATCAGATTATCACAAGCGTGCAATCTCCTGAAAGAGCATCATTTTTCTTTTCTCTTTTTTTTCTCAGTAGGACCCAAGGCAAGTTGGGTCAATGACAACTCACATGTGTAGCACATGTAATGTACAAACAAGAAGGCAGCAATTGAGATGATTTTCTAACTCAATTCCCTACTATTGAAATGAAAAGTCATGACCTCCCAACAAACATTTTTGGGAGGGAAAATATTTGTGGGTTCGATTTGTTTTTTTTTTCAAACTACATTTAGACAAATGCTATATTGCTGTCATTCAATCATAGGGTAGTTTCAACTAATTGAGGGATTAGTTCTTATTGGTCATACTAGTCAGATAAGAAGCGTCTGTCGATGGTATATTTTATACCAAATATGTTTGCACAACTAACATAAAGAATCTGTCAACTTAGAAGTTTTTTAAGTTTTTAAGTAATACTGCTCAATAAGTTGTTATTCGACTGATACAGGCACGATCGACCAATATTCCTTTCTTCTCTGTCATAGTGTTTACATTATAAGTAGTTAATTTGCTGTAAGGGAACTAAAAAGAAAAAAGTTAGAAGCTTCTTTCTTTGTGAGAGGTTGGGCTGCTACAGAACTGCCGACCAAAGTTTCTTGTGGCAGTGGTTTAAGAATCACAATGTTATCACGTCTTTCCTGTTAAAGACGCAAAGAGAGATGGGTTTGGCTTGCTGCGTAGATCGCTGACTTTAGGGTTCCTTTTTTTTGTCAATGGAAAAGTGGGGCTACTTCTTGCGGTAGGCCATAAATACACAAGTCCAAGCTTTCTTTTTGTAACTTAATTCCAATTGCACCGGAAAGCCTTTGCTTCATGCTAGGGGGAGTAGGGGTTTCCAGCAACTAAAATCTACTTACATTCTAAAAAAGATTAAAAAAAAAAAAAAACTACCCAGAGCCAGGGAGGCTAAATAACAAAACCTGGAGGAGTTCTTTAGGATTGATTTTCTTTCAAGCCAACAGGAGGAATTCGCAAAAACATTGGCAATACAGATTATCAAACTGCCACATTCTGAAACCATTAATCTTACTGCATAAAAATTCAAAGACCATTTCCCATTTATTTGATTGATTCTGTAGCAAGATGTGATAATCCTATCAGTAGTTTCATAATATCTGTAGCCCTAATGCATTGAAACTTATCTCCTCTTTCCTTTTCGAAAGTTAAGGAGTGGGTTGACGGAACGAGAGAAGGCCACCTTCACCAGTAGTAATAGTAGAATATGATACCCCATATCCATAGGCCATAGACCATATCTTGGTTTTTTATTCCTCGTCTCTGAAATTGCATTCACAGGGTGGAAGTTAGCTAATATTATTCATAAATAATTCATCAGTATCTCCATTAAAGGTCAAATACTCTTTTAAGTGCTACCTCCACAAAGAAAGATGCCTAAGCCAGGGGAGAAGTGGGTTACATTAGTCAGGCAAAAACATTGATTAATTCAATTATTTTTAAAATATACATCATCCTACTCATTTTGGGGTTTAATTATTTGGTATTGTATGAGGAGCCTATGTTCTTCAATACCTTGATCATCTTCACTATTCACATTGCATGCTTAAGTTACAACATTGATGTGTGCATAAGATACTAGTGGAAGTACAGAGTCACAGCAATTTTTAGATTCAAATCCAAGTACTCTCTTTTTTTTGTACTTGGAAAAGATTCATGTTAAATTTAGTATTGATTTATTATCTTTCTGCTTTTAGCTTTGTCATTTAAAAGAGGCAATTAGCTGATCTAGCCCGCTGTAAAATTGGAAGGTTCTGATCAATAACATAATTAACTGCTAAAAAGTAAATGTGAAATTGAATCCCTTCAGCCTCTTGTGGTTATCTAGCTAATTAATCCCGCAATTCTCGTTGGATCTTTCGTTTTATTTCTCTTGGTTTTTTTTTCTTTCCATAAAAACTTTTTTTTTTTTGTTTTTTTTCACAAAAAGGCCATAGTTGCAGCGGAGTCTTCCCTATGATCAACTGAATTACGTGATACCCTTGGTTCTTTTTGCACTTCTTTCCTCGCCTTCATGGGTTGTGATGTTTCAAAGTTTGACATTGCAAAAGAGGAAGCAGCCTTGCCATGCCGTGAATTAAGTTCTGTTCATCGGCGGAATGGTGGTGCTGTTGTGGATAGCAGCCTCTTATCCAAGCCATTGCCTGAAGGTGGCAAAGGAGAAGAGCATGAGAAGGTTGATAATCAACATATGAACATGAACATGATCAAGAAGGTGAAATCTGGGAAAAAAGGAGAGATTCAAAGGGATGGGTTTAAAAAGGATCAGGAGGCCTGTGATAAGGAAGAGAGTGGGGAGGATAGGCATAACAGATATGATAGCATTGAGTATCCTCGATCCCTAAGTTTCGGGATATATTGCATTTCATCTATCTCTGACGATAACAACAGTGGAGGTGAGCTTGTGGTTTTGGATACGTCAAATTAAATGATAAACAGGCATAATCTTCCTGGTGATTGATTCCTGAAACTAATAGCTCCTGGCTTTTGCATCCTTTAATTTGTAAAACCAATTACCAACAGACAGTGTAATATCATTTCTGTTCTACAGGTGATGCTAATGCAGGGAAAATTAAGGACGAACAACAGGGGAATGTTGAGGAAAATAACAAGAAGGTATGAATTTATGGCTTTGAAAAAATTTCCTGGTTTCAAGGTGCCAATAAATCGATAAAATGCTAACAAAACAATTTTATGGAATCCAGTCAGCAAACACCATCCAATTTAATGTTGAAACTGTGATTTGCATAATAATTTATGGAAAACTAGGAATGTATATATACATCTGAGTCAATTTAATGACATGGAGAGGCATTGATGAATGATGATTAAAATGAATATGTACAGAAAAAAGGAGATTAGATAATGATAAAAACTGCATTTTGCCTATAATTTTGTCCTGTTACCTATTCAAATTAACAAATTTTATTTCCTTTCTTTAAGCAGGCATCATTTGTTCGATGGAGAAGGAAAACTAAGATAGGTAAAGGAATTAAGAATGGTTCAGCAAAGGTAAAAGGTATCCTTTTTTGAAAGAGTCTAATTCTACAAGCTGTGTAATGATCCTAATGACAGCATCAAAAAGCTCATTGGCAAAGGTTTGTTGATGATACTAGAAGAATGAAGGCTTTTGCCCTGTATTTAGAGCTTCATCTACCTGTTTTTTTTTTTCATGTACAGAAGGTTTCAGCTTTTGAAGGAACGAGATAGTTTTCCCTTTTGTTTTTTGTGTATCATACAGAGCAGCAATTGACGTAATGTGAGCTCAGTATTTTCCTAATGAGTTGCAGACTATATATTTCTTCACAGGTCTCCTGAATTCTGTCTTCTTTTTCACCATGAACATTGCAGTAGTTTGTTTCATAAAATTTAAATAAAAGTGAAGCTTTAGTCACAGAAAATACGTGGCCATAGAGGTGACAATAGTTTGGATCAAATCGATTCGATTTTTTTAAATATTATATAATATTATAAAAATTTAAAATTATATTCGAATTTAATTTAAATTTTCATTCGATTCGAATTGAGCTTAATTTTATTAATTTGATTAAGCTAGATTTAATTATTTTAAAATTTTAAATATTATTTTAATTTAAAATTTTAATATATTTAAATAAATTTTAATATAAAATATTAATTTTATTTTATAAAAATTAAAAAAATATATATAAAAATTAAAAAAATATAATTCGATTTGATTTAATTTTTTTTTTAATTTTTTACATTTCGATCTAAATATAATATATATATTTAATATTTAAATTTAATTTTAATCGAATAAAAAAATGATTTAAATTAAATCGAATATTATGATTTCAAATTATTTTTTAATTTTTAAAATTTTTTTAATATCTACATGACCGTATAATTAATAAAGTATTGAATTTTTAAATTTTTAATCAAAATTTAAATTCGGATAATTTTGAATAAAAAAAAAAGTCACAAAAACTAAAAGAAACAAAATGTGCAAGTGTCCGTGTGAATTGTAAATGATAAATAGTCGACCAAAGACCCAGCAACTCCTTGCGTTTTTCTTTGATCCATTCTAATTTCCCCTGCCCTTAGGCTTCAAGAAAATAGGCCGTTTCGACCAGCAAAGTCCGCATTCAAAGAACATTTTGTTTTTCTGTCTCTATCAAGCCTTCATTACAACGACTATTTTCTATCTTCAAAACAAAAGCCAATGTTTTGTCTGGGTTCTCATCTGACTAATTACAAGTTCAACTACTTAAATTATTTCTCATTGAAATATATTACTTATGTTAATCCCCAATCATACAAAACCTTTAAAATTATTTCAATTTTAGGTACAATTGCTAATTAACAACAGTAAAATCGTTAACCAACTCAGTTAAGGTTCTCAACTCTTTCCTAATTAGAGTATCCTAAACGGTTTCGGATATTTTAAGTTTTAATTAAATTGTTTTGAATTTTGATTTTTTAAAATTTAATAATTTTATATTTATATAATTTTAAATTTAAATAATTTTAACATATTTTTTGAGTTTGAATTGAATTCAAATTTTCATACTTTAAATTATAAAGTTTATTAAATAATCCAATAAGTCTTACTCTTACACGTCTTTTCTAAAATTTGACTTGAGATTTTCAAATTCAAGAGATAAAGTTTAACTTGATAAGACGTGCAATGAACTCCAAAATTGTTTGAATCTAAAAAATAATAATATTTATTAGATTATTACTTTAGATAATTGGAACAACGAATTACCTATATAATCCTTTCATTAAAGCCTAATAGTCGTGTAATATTACGTTTTATCAAAGAAAATGGAGGGTAGAAAGGGCAATCGAAAAAAGAAGATTTGACCCAACCACGGTTGATCAAACATGATGTGGGTCGTGCTGCTGTTCTAACTGCTTCTTTCCTTGTCAGCAATCTCTGACTTTGACCTGAAACGATTAGCGTCTTATTATCCACGTGGCAGAAATCAACCGTTCTCCTTCCGCCACGTCAAGCTGATTCCACACTCTGTTTGGTACCCTCCTTCGCTAACCTATTATTTTAATCTATACTCCACCACTCTGATTCGGGAATTCCTTTGTTTTGCTGTGGGTCCCATGTCTAATTTTTAAACGACGCATTAGATATTTTTCAAATACTTTCAACCATCTGTCATCAATAATCACTAGTCAACTTTTGGCTCATTTGATCATGATATCACTTACTCAAAATTACCAAACAACCCTTACCAACACGTGTCAATTGCTAAATATTATCCCCTTTGTCTTCAGATTCGTTTTCCGCTCCCTCCTTCGCTTAGCTTTGATCTGCTTAGAGTCATTTTTTTGACCAAAAAAAAAAAAAGAGAAAATCAAAAATCGAAAGGGAAAAACGCTTCACCATCAATGCCGTTGAAATAATCGAATTAATCAGCTTCACACTCTCTGTAGCCCAGATTTTTTTGGAGTTGAAATTCGCAAAAATCGTTTTGATTTTCATTTTTAATATTATCTCAGGAATATTGGATTCTCCAAGGAAACAAAAAGAAAGAGCTCTTGAATTTTCTCTCTCTTCCTTTTTTCTTTTTGTGTTTGGTTCATTGCATTAGGGTTTTTTTTTTTTTTTTGGGAAATGAAGTCTTCGTTTGATAAACTTCGAAGATTTGCTCTTCACAAGAACGATGGAAAGGATAAATTAGATTTTTTATCTTCTGCTCATTTGGATGAACTCGCTCAAGCAGCTCAGGTACTTTTTATTTTTATTTCATCTCCTTTTTCTCTTTTCTTTTTTTTTTTTTTAATTTATGTTTTAGCTTTGGTTTGATTTAAATGCAGATTAAGACTATTTTTTTTTTTTTTAATTTGGAATTGAATCCGATTCTCTTGTTTCGATTTTTGAAGTGGAGAAATAATTTTAATATTATTGGAACTGTAATTGAATGGTTTGAACCGAGTTGAGTTCTTTGGAGCGAGTTTCTAATTCTGCAATTTCGGAGGAATTAGAAATATATATTTCGAGAATTTTTGCTTTGGGAGAATGGCAAAAATTTTTATCCATCAAGTTTGAAAGATTCTAAATTATGAATTATTTTGTTTTTGATTGATGTTACAAATTTCAAATTATTGTAAAGGTTTATTTCAATGTTTAGAAAATGTGAAATGCTTAAGGATTGGAGAGGGCCTAAATCGGGATTAGAATTTCTATGGAGATTAAAGAAGTTGTAGGCTTCTGTGAGTAATACTAGTGTATGAGCAGTTGGTAGATGGTTTTAATATGATAATTTTGATAATTAAGTAGAAAAAGAGCGGAACAATAGATTACGGAATGAAAGAAAGTCATAAGCTTTATCTGTGAAATATGAAAGCTTTGTGCATTTGTATTGCTATTGAACTGCTTACAGCATCCTCCTCTCCATGACTGATGCTTCTTGGAAGCTGTCTTGGTCAACTTGAAAGATTTATAATTGGATCTTTTTCTTATTTTGATGCATTTACAGGATATGCAAGACATGAGAAATTGCTATGATAGCTTACTTTCTGCAGCTGCAGCAACGGCAAACAGCGCATATGGTAAAAATGCTGTGTGCTATATTGTCATATTGATTTTTAGGTATCACCATGTTTTGTCACCCTGGCATTTCTAAATTATTGGCTACGCGAAATACATGTTGTTAGGTGCTTTTCAAGCCAAAAGCAACTATTAGTTTTTGAAGAAAAACTGGTTTCAGAATCAACATGATTAGGTTTTTATCAAAATCGTTTCAGTGTCAGCTGTGTGTTTATGACTCCTATCGTGTTTGGGTTTGCTGATGTGGAACCTGTATGGGTCTATAGGTGCATAACATCTCACAAAAGAATTTCTTATTTATATATTGTAGCACAATCTAGGGGTACTCAGGGTGTTAGCCTACAGTAAAATCCAAGAAACTTAAACTTTGTGAAATATTATGTTGAATGAATCTACCTTTGATGAAATTTATATTTTCAGAATTCTCTGAGTCACTGCAAGAAATGGGCTCCTGTCTGCAGGAAAAAAGAGTGCTACCTGCTGATGAAGAAAGCCGTGAGTAGAGTCTTTTGCTTACCTAAGTTGCTTGCACTGTTAGATCATTAATAGGCATGTATATTGTGTACAATCTAGCCTGGAATTTTAAGAAAAAGCTAAACCAAAGTACTGAATTGATCATTTCATTTGAAATATACCTATTTTGTTGAATAAGGCTTCAGTTTCCATATAGCAATAGAACTTCCAATTGGTTCAAGTAACATCTTAGACAACTTAACCTATGTCATTGTCCTGTGTGAGTCTCACCTTAACACATTAATTATGTACTTGTATTCATGGATATGCCCATCGAACTTGCATGTGCATATATAAACTCCTCTGAGAACTTCTACTTGAACAGAACTTTTACCGGGCAGTGCATACAATGATATGCCTTATTCCATGTCTTAGGAAGCCTTTAGTTAAAATTATCTCTCCTAGCTCATTTTTTTAATGTTTGGTTTTGCTTGCATAAATACTTATCCTGCATTGTTGTAATGATGTCATCAAGTAACTATGTGCACACTTCGCTATCAACTGTTACCTTTCTTCTTTTCGGTGGAATGGCAAGGGAGTGTCATAAGATGGTGTCCCTGGCCCCTGTTATTGTGTTATAATGGGTTGTGCTGTAATGACACTGCACTTATTTGCAGGTAGAGTTTTGTTAATGTTGGGGGATTTGCAGTTTGAACTCCAGAAACTTGTGGATAGCTATGTGAGTGTTAATCTTATTTGTAAATTGAACAAAATATGCATTTTCTACCTTTATTTTTATGTGTTGTGTTTTGGAATAATCTCTTTATTTTAGCCTTTCTTGATACTCTTTGTGCTTCAGCGCTCACATATATTGCTCACTATTACAAACCCAACTGAGTCACTTCTCAATGAGCTTAGGACTGTTGAGGTTTGTTCATTTCTTAAGAAATCAGAAGTTTTCAACATCATTTCTTACATGTCCAATGATGATTCTTTTACCTTTGTAGATACTCTTATAAAACTATCATGCTTAGTGGCCCTTCTCTTGTTTGCTGTTTCAGGATATGAAGCGGCAGTGTGATGAAAAAAGGTCCATCACATTTCTCTGCTTATTTATTTTGCTTTGGTTGCTGGAAACCTTTTCTGAATTTGGTTCATGGTCTTCAGAAATGTCTATGAATACATGGTGACTCAACAAAAAGAAAAGGGAAGGTCAAAAGGTGGAAAAGGCGAAACTTTCTCTTTGCAGCAGTTGCAAACAGCTCGTGATGAATATGATGAAGTGGCGACCCTTTGTGTTTTCAGATTGAAATCTCTGAAGCAAGGACAATCCAGAAGTCTTCTAACACAAGCTGCTCGTCATCATGCAGCTCAGGTTTGCTGAATTTATTCCCAAAAGTTTCAAATGTCAGCGGCTTCTGCCTATCATAACTTCAATGCTGATAACCTCCTCACCTCCTTTTCTATTTTTTTTTCTCTTGTGAGCACAGTTGAATTTCTTTAGGAAAGGACTTAAATCACTTGAGGCAATTGAGCCTCATGTTAGGCAGGTTACAGAACAGCAACACATTGATTACCCGTTCACTGGCCTTGAAGATGATGATGGGGAAAATGGTGAGATTACCTATGACCCAAATAAAGGTGGGGAATTAAGTTTTGACTACAGAGCTAATGAGAAGGGGGTTGATGTCACTTCTGCATCAAGGAAGTCAATGGAGGTCAGATTCTTATGCAATTGTAAATTTATTAATTCTTTTTTGAAGCTGTTATTGTTAATTTGTTAGACAGAGTTGCACCCTCAAAACAAATGGCTTGGACAAATGCCATCCAAAATTTATCTACTTGAACTTTCCTTATGTCTATTTTGCCTTCTTTTTTGCCTTTTTCCTCATTTTTAACTATTAGCCTATTAGGGAAGGATTGGTTTCCTCGGCCTTATTCCAGACAAAACATAGTTTGTTTTGGCCAATTCAGTGGTTCAATTCATTCCAGTTCTAGCAGAGGGGGATAATGTAATTATTGTTTGCTTGTGCTTCACGCCTTCATTTTATTCCTAAAATATGGTTGGCTTATTCTCCAGGTAGATGAAGTACATCTTTCATTTCTCCAAAGTTGGAAGCTGGATAATGCAGAGGTAAATCTCCATTCATACATTTGTCATTTTTGGCCCCTTTTTTTTTGAAACAACATAGGCTTTTAGAATTATGAACTTTTTAACTTTGTTAGTTTTGCTGCTCGTAATATGCAGTTTTTAAAGTATAAATATTATTATTGTCTGCTGTCTGCCTGTAGGTAAACCCAGAAAAAAGCCAAGGGGATATTCAGGTCTCAAGTAGGGAGCATAGAGTGGGTAGCCATTCGGCCCCTATATTTCCAGAAAGGAAGCTTGATCCTGCTGAAAAAGTAAAACAGATGCTGCAGTCATCTACAAAGAAGTCTAACACCTATGTGCTTCCAACACCAAATGATTCAAAGCGTCCAGTCTCTTCAAGAACAATTAGTTCAATTAACCACACAAGACCAACAAATGTAGCTGGATATCCACAAAATTTGTGGTATTCTTCCCCACTAGAGCAAAAGAAACATGAGAAGGAGTCTGGTGATGGTCAACTATCAGAGTTTACCATCTTGAAATCTGATTCAGTTCTCAAGGAGAGCAACAGTAGTAATACCTCTGCACAACTACCCCCTCCTTTATCTGAAGGACCAGTACCTACCCAGCTGGATATTTCCTCTGAAGCCAAAAAAATAAAAAGAAAAGCTGTTTCTGGCCAATTAACTAGTAAACAATTGTTAACAAAGCCTGTTTTATCGGCAAGCGGTACCAATCCCTCTGCTGAAGTTCCCCATTTAGCTTCTTCAGTATCTTCTCATTTGCCAATTCCTCAACCGATATCACCTTCAAAAGTATCCCCAAGTGCGTCACCTCCCCTTGTTTCTTCACCCAGAATAAATGAGCTTCATGAGCTTCCAAGGCCTCCTGGTAGTGCAGCTGCCAAGCCAGCAAAATCTCCTGCCATGGTTGGTCATTCTGCTCCACTAGTCTCAAGAAATGAAGAGTTTTCTGCAAGCAACATTCCTTCACTGGCATCAAGTGTGGCATCTCCTCTTCCGACTCCACCTTTGATTGTCCCTCGAAGTTTCTCTATACCCTCCAGCAATCAAAGAGCAATGGCAATTCATGTTTCCAGGCATTTGGAGGCTCCTCAAGTTCCTGACAAGGATGGACAAGTTGCATCCCTTCCATTGACGCCCAATTCCCTTGTAAACATCAAACCAACAGCAGGTGTTTCTGAAGTGGCATCTCGTTCTGGCCAAATCAGAGGTGATTTGAGCTTCCTTCCATTACTTTTTTCTACAAAGTCGATAATTTATTTCCTTTTTAGTTTATTGTTACAACTGCCAAAGAATTATTTATCATATTTTTATTGTATTTTTTCTTTCATTTTTATTCCTTGATAGAAAACTACTTCATCTTCTACTCATAGGCCAGTGGTGAGGCTGTGAATACAAAGGTCTCTCATATTTTTACTTTTGCCTTATTACCAAATGAAATCATTTTTGAGTGTATGCAGGTGGGAGCTGACAAAACCTGATTTATTTCCGACGGGTTGAATTTTCGAGTCTCCTTATCCAGAAAGTTGGAGTAGCTCTGTAAATATGACGATTAGGGCAATGTGTTTAGTTTCTCATGTCAATCTGTGTCAGGCATCTATTTTTATTGAGAATTAATGATGAGAATTTAACGGCACAAGATTTGAGTCAATGTCAGATATCACGTATAATTCTTCATGAAGGAATTTTTGTAAAATTTTTGTTCTTTGATGTACGCTGCAGAGGAAGCACTACAAGTGAAAATAGATTTAGCATTTGCATTTGTTAAGCTGCCATGTCGACGTGTTTAAAGAATTTTGCATCCGATGCCACAATAATAAATACACTTCTATTGGATAGGATTTTCACTTTTCGCTTATATTTAAATACATAATCGGAATTTTTTTTTTCAAAGTAAAATATTATATTGGAATGTATCTAATTGAAATGTTTTAAATCATTCGAATTTAAGTATTTAATTGTAAAGAATTGAACAAAGTGATTTACCAAGTATATTATAGATTAAAAGAACGAGGTTAAAGCATATTCAAACATTCTCATTCTAACATATGTTTACTTGTAATAATCATAAATTTAATCAAATTCAAAAACTCGCTGGAATTATTGAATTAAATATAAGTTGACTGATTTAACCCTGTATAAAGAAAAAAATAACAGAGTAATCGGAAATGATGCATATATTATAATAATATAATATTTGTAATTTGCAATGCACAGGATATAGATATTATTGATTCAAAAAATACTATATTTAGTATTCACAAGAAAAAAAAACAAACTATATTAGATTAGATAGTCAATGGATAAAACACCACAGACAGGCATATAGCCGAGCAGATAGCTCAGATTCCTTCCATGGAGATGACGACTATTCTTCACTCTTCTTCTCTCACTAATCTCCCATTCCACAATCCTCTCTTTGGCTCAAAATTCCCACACTCTTTCTCCACAACAATCCACCATCGACCTTCTCTTTCCTCTCTATGTCTAACCATTTCTCATCCTCCCCCTCGAAAATCTCTCTCCACCAACTGCTCTTTCTCTGATGACACTACTTCCAGTGAGTTCGATCCTCCCTGTACAAAAAGATTCTCGTTTACTAGATTTTTTAGCTACCCATTTCATTAAATTATCTTGGTTTTGAAATTTTCTGGTCTTTTCTTAAGTTTATGGAACTATTACTGGATTGAATTGTGCTTGCTATTATGTGAGATTATATATGAATAGTTGGATTTTGGTAATGAAATGGAATAAGATTGTTGGTTAATTTCAATTTGGATTCTTTTTTTACTAATTTTGAGTTTGTGCTTACTCATTTGCTATTATGTGAGATTCCATATGAATAGTTGCGTTTTGGAAATGAAATGGAATTAGATTTTGGGTTAATTTCAGTTTGCATACTTTGTTTTCTAATATAGTTTGTCCTTACTCCTTTGTTTCTTGCTTTTTTGTGTTGCTCTTTTCAGTTTCAGCAACAAAGGTTGTTACTGTGGATCCCTCCATTGCTTTGAAGGTCAGATTTCATTTATTTATGTACCTGCTTTTTGATTATTCTGGAGAAAGAGGGAGAAAAATTTAAGAAAATTGCAATTCTTCTTTCACTTCACTTTTTCTGAGGTGAAAGTTTTTAACTTGAGTTGAGTTGGATGAAAAGATATGAAAGACACCAAATCAGTAGCACAATTTCAAAGCTAGGAATTTTTCATAAAAGATTTTACTTTGGTGATTTTCTTGTGGTTTGAAGTGCTCATTTAACTGTTCAGTCTAATTCAGAAGAGAGCAACGGATATATCTGCTGATCTGAGAGGAACTTCTATATTTCTAGTGGGTAAGTACCTTCTTAGTGAAGAGAAATGAATTTGAACTCCTTAATGCAATAGCATCTGGTTCTAATACTTGTTTGTTGATCATTTATTCGAGATGAAAGGGATGAACAACTCCATTAAATCCAGTTTGGGGAAACTGCTGGCAGATTTATTACGTTATTATTACTTTGATAGGTATTGTATTCTCCTGTCTCTGGATGACCAGGAATACTTTTTATAGTCCAAGGTACATTAGCTTAACTTGTTTATGGGTTCTTCTATATCTAGTGATGCTTTGGTCTCAGAAGCTGCTGGGGGTGAATCTGCTGCCATATCCTTAAAGAAGAGTGATGAGAAGGGATTCAAAGAGTCTGAGGTGGTTTTTTTTTTTTTTTTTCTTAACTTCTTTGGTATTTATATATTTTGGTTAACTTTGCCTATTTGTCAGTTAATAGGAACACTAGATAAGTTTTCAATCCACTGAAAGCTTTCTTTAGTAAAGTTCTCAGGAGCATTGATTAATAGATAATTATCTGGCTTATAGTCATTCTCAAATATTTTTGCAGACTGAAGTATTGAAGCAGTTATCATCTATGGGTAGACTAGTGGTGTGTGCTGGTGATGGTGCAGTTCAAAATTCAACAAATTTGTATGACTATCTTTGCACCGTTGAATTAGTTGTTTCTCTCAGTTTGTATTAGTTCTCTCTCTGTTTTAATTGACATTATCTTTACCATAAATAGGGCACTTCTACGGCATGGCATCTCGATATGGATTGATGTGCCCTTGGACATGATAGCCAAGGAAATAATAGAAAACAAGAGTCACCTTTTATCACCAGAAATATCTATTTCTGGATCTTATTCAGAGGTAGCCTTTGATCTCATTTTTAATTGTATCACCTTCCCATTCTTCCTTGCAATTGTTCCTAAAAGAGTCTGGTCGGTCTGTTTGAACTATTACCTCCTCTCCAACACCATGCATCTTTTTGATTGCTGACAATTCTTAATTGATGATAGGTTTCGTCCCAGCTAACAGCTCTTTATGAAGACATGAGAAGAGGATATGCCACTGCTGATGCAACTGTTTCGATTCAAAGTACATCCATGTAACTTTTGTTCCTTGTATGAGCATAAACCATATATTCTTGGATTTTAACTTTTAACAGCTTCTTTGCAGAAGTAGCATATCAACTAGGTTACGAGGACATGGATGCAGTATCAACAGAAGACATAACTATGGAGGTGGAGAAACACACTTGCAAACATTTTGTCCCCTTTCTTTTGTTATATTATACATAGTTTTCTAGGTACCAATCAAGGAGTTTTCTGTTTTATTTTCTGTGAGATTTTCAGGTTCTCAAGGAGATAGAGAGACTTACAAGAGTCAAAAAGATGATAGAGGCAGCAGCTAGACCGTTTTAGCCAACAAGGAATCTATTTTCATTACTTTTAACGGGTTTCTATGAAATTTAGCTCATCAAAATTTTAAAACATTTTGCTGCTGTGCTTGTCTTTGGTTCTCTTTTATATTTACTTTTTATCCTGTAACAGTTTAGGTTTAAAGTAATTTAGAAGATGTTAAGATGATCTGTATAGATCAACATACCAGAAGACTACATGATGATTTGTTGCATGTTGGAATGGTGCATTGCAATCCGCAACACAAGTAATGCTACTCTCATGTTTATTGCCATGTTCAAATGAAGAGATTAGCTATTGTATACTGTGTTTTTTCTGCAATCTGAACCTAATTCACTGTACTGCATTTTGTGAGTCTAAATTCTATCTGAACATTGCAAGATTGGGCAATTCACGGGTAAAATGCATGGTCTCGATTAGCTAGAAACCTCTTGCTTGAAGCTATAACCTTTAGAACAGTGATGGACAGTTGTCTTAGGAAGTCAAAATGATGTTCTTAGACTTGCTGCCTTTCTCAAGCATCTCTTACAGCTTGGAAAGATACCCATGAAGAGGAACATCAAACAGATAAAACTATTCCATCCCTTGAACTTCAACTATATGATAACAGCTATGGGAAGTTCTGCTCACCAATATTCAGACATAACAACTAATTTTTGGTATATCAAATAGCCCTAGAAAGTGAGAATTGAGTTTATTGATGGACATGCATTAAGCTTCCACAGTACCTAACTGGTACCAAATCTGGGCTACCTAGGCCACAATTTTCCCAAATTTATGCTTCATTGTAAGTTCCCACAATCTTTCATTTTTGGCGAGATGATAACAAAGCAATGACTAATGAGGTAAGCCTTCAAACTTTAGTTATTCACCATGTCAGAATGCCTAAAAAGCGGCAAAAAAAAAAGGACTCTCCAACAACTTTTGCAGCTTTTATATATCTCAAAATTGTATTCTTTTTGTGATTGTGGATAGGTAGAACAAGAACCAGAAGGCATACTACTTGGAAGAAGAAAATTGTGGCTTACTGCTATTATCACAGGAAGATCATAAGTAGAGTCGTGCCTGTCTCCTATGCTTCAGCCTCCAACCTGTAACTCACAGATGGGGATTCTGGCATTATGCCACTCGTCCTAGAAACTTCTTTTCTTTTTGCAACGTGTTGGCAAGTTCACAATGTTGCAGTCTTGTTGCCTATTCTACATGATTATGACCCATTCCCAAACTTTTCAAACAAGTAGGAAACGCAAAGCGAAAACAATGAAAGCAGAAATAAAGAGAGCTGGTGTGGAACGACTGACAGAATAATTGAAAGACAGATGCAATGCACGAAAGAAGAAAAATCGAAGGTGAAAAAAACAGCAAGTTTGGTGGGGAGGAACCAGAATTGAGAATTGCATGGAAAGGGTCAAAAGCCATCATTTATAATGGTAAATGGTAGTAATGTTGATGGATGCTGTGGGTGTAGTAGTGCTGGGTTGGCTTCCAATCCGGCTGAGCTACCTGTTAGTTGGACCTTTGGTTTTGATGGTACAATGCCAAATTGGTCTTTCAACTTACAAGTGGCTCTTTTATTAACCACCTAAACAATTGAATCACACGTAATAAAATTAATAAATTCTAATCTAATCTAATCACTTATTATATCACATTTAAAATGAAAAATCTAAGTCAAACTTTCTTTATCTTGCACATGTAAAAAGTCAAAAAATTTCCTATAAATGATTTTTTTTTTAAAGAAAAAGGCAATTACAGCAATAAAAAGAATAAAAATAAATAAACATAAAAGGCAGCAGCAAAAATGGCGGATTATGTGAAGAGGAGGGTAAATTCCATTTTACTTCAAAATCTTTTCTTTCTTATTTATTTATTTATTCAAATTTTGGGATTATAAACAGAGTGATAGATGGGTATCATCCTCCCACTCAAATTCTCAACATTTCCGTCTCTCTCTTTTTCTCTTCCTTCTCCTAAAAGACGCAAAAGAAGAAAATTTTAACATTAAAGCTTTCATCTTTAATTTAAATTTGCCTTTAAAGTTTCTTTTTTTTTTTTTTTTTGCATTTAGCCTTCCATTTTAATTTGGTAGATAAAACAATAAATATTTATGGGCAGATCATTCAAATGATTTACCTAGCAGGGTACTTGATCACAACCTTTGTTTGTTGGTGCGTCCATTAATCACTTTAATCTGTTGATTATTTCTTTATTTTTTTGGCTTTTTAACTCTAAATTATGCTGATCAAGCTTGGGTTTTCTTTAATTTAGCTGGTTTTTTAATTTTTATTTTTTTTCTGGCTTGGTGAATTCATTTATTTTGCTGATTTTGTTATAATAAGCTGTGCTTCTGGTTGATGCTGGTGAATAGGTGCCGTGAAAGTACCACTTTTCAGCGATGTTTGCGTTTTTCTTTGCCTTTGTATATGTGTTTTTGATTGTCTCAAGGAATCAATTTAGGCCTTTAGGGGCTTTTTTGTTTGTCATTTGTTAGTTTTTAATATTTTGGCTGAGAACAAATTTTGGGTTTTGGTTTTCCAGTTTGTTTTTCCTTTGGATCCATGGTTGATTGGAATTTGTCTTGATTTTTAGGTACTTTAGTTGCTGTCTTGCTCTCATTTTGGTTTCAAAATAGAGTTTTATGTTGATTGAAGGAGCTGTTTAAGGAACATTGAGTTTGTCTTATCTCATAGTATTCATCGGCTCGTTTATCTTTTTATGGAATTCTGTTGTTCAATCAAAGAATTCTGAGGCTATGATGGATTAAATTTAGAATTTGATGGAGTTCAAATTGGTCAACACTGTTCTCAAATGCATTTGAGCTGAATTCTGGTTGTTTTGAAATATTTTTGTTCTTGTTCATCTAATCTTTTTATTGGAAATTTTCTGCAGGCAATCACAGTGACCATTCTTGTTAGCGACATGAATTCTATGTGTTTTGTTGCCTGCTGGTATGGAGGTCAGAAGATCTGTGCTACTCATTATCGTTGGATAGTTAGTTTGTGTTTGGCTTTCTCGATGGAGGCTCATAAGAGAATTGCAGCTGAAATGTGGATGCCATTGGTAGATACATAGTACTATCTTGTTATTAGTGAACTAGTTTTGTTAGAAACATTTCATTGCTCTTCAATGACATTGTTAGAATAGGGAGACTTGAATTCCACTCTCTTTTATATTCTAGATGAATTTGAATAATTAGAACTGATTAGAAAATAGTGAATTGTATAAAAGTATTAAAGGCAAACACAAGTGAGCAAGGAAGAGGAAGAATAACTTATTTAGCTCCATTTGCATTACTCATTACACATTCTCTGCAAGTTTAGCAATGGGGTTGCCACAAGTTTCCTCAGATGATAGTGCTGAGGAAGGTGAAGCTGCATCTGTTGGTTCATTTTTGCAAAACCCGCCACGGTTTGCGGGTGTCAGCACCTGTGATTTAGATGGAATGCAGAGAGGAAGTTTTAGCCAGCCTATTGGGGATTCCTTGTGTTCTTCACTAGGAGATTTTCAAAGGAAAGTTTCTTTGGAGCTTTCAAAGTTTTCAGATGATTCTATCAAATTTGGAGGGAAAATGAATGCTTCATCCAATGTTCATCAATTGAAGATTGGCTCTGCCAATGTTGTTGGATCATTTGCCACTCCTAGAAGTGGACAGAAAGTCCACAACCCTGTTTCTAGGATTGTGGGTTTTGATTCACATGGCACAAGTAAGGTAGTGGAGGGAGTTTCTAGTGATCCTGTTCATTCTTCTCCCGTTGGCGTCGGAGCTAATGAAACAGAGTCTAGTGGGTCAGTAGTTAGGAAGCGACTATTATCACCATTAAATAGCATACTTTTCTCAGATCAATTTAAGGATGACCCTCTGGACATTAGCTACAGCGGCACTCAAGTAAACTCCTCTTCCTTAGCTGATAAGCATAGGGTTTCTGTCTCACAAGACAATAAGAAAGCAAATATTGGCAGCAAAATGAATTTCACAGCATCATCCTGGTCCTTGTCAAGCTGCTTGGAACATGGAAACATCCCATATGACAAAGCTGGAACTGCATCTGTATTTTTTACAGATGGTCCTTTACTGGAAAACAAGGAACCACACCATTCTCATAAATTTTCCTATTCTCCTGGGCTTGATCAATTCCGAGAATCAAGTGAGTTGAGATGCCGAAGTGGAGTAATATCTATAACCCCCCAAATGGCTACCTCACCTCCTGTTTCTTTATCACCATTGGGTCCAAAGTTCAGTGAGAGGATGACAGCTGCAGGAGGATGCAAGAATCTTAAAAAGGATATGAATGATTGTTGTTCAACCCCAAAGAATACAGAACAATCAGTTGAAAGGTTTGACTCTGGTATTATACTTGTCCCTGAAGAAGAGGAGTTTGAGATTTCAAGCAGCTCATTTGAAGATATTGGTTTTTTGCACAAAGAATTTCGCCCTTCTTCTCTGGAAGGTGCTGCTGAATTAGGCTGGCCCTTGTCTCAAGAACCTGCCCCCATATCTTCATGTATCAGATTCGTCAAAGGTTTGAGTGGACTTCCTATTAGGAGGTCCTTGGTTGGTTCATTTGAAGAGTCGCTATTGTCTGGAAGGTTCATTTCTGGAAAACTCAGTCAGGTTAGTTGTAAAGTTAAGTTGAGTTACGTTGTTCTATAATGAGTTTGTGTAGAAAATTTTTGGTCACAGGTGTCTGTGTTACTCATTTGCTTATTACTTATGTCTTGTATGCATAGAGGATTGATGGTTTTCTAGCTGCTCTAAGCATAACTGGAGGGACCTTCTCACCGCAATCACAGAAACTTCCATTCTCGGTAACCAGTGTGGATGGAGATTGTTTTTTACTGTATTATGCATCAATAGATCTTTCAAGGGATTCATTGTCAAATAAATGCCAAGATCAGAAGTTGAAAAGAGGCCTTAGCAATGATGAATTGCAACCTGTAAGAAGCCGGTTGCGTATTCCTATGAAAGGGCGCATACAATTGGTATATACTTCTCACCAGAATTGGGTGCTTCTCTTATCTTGATGTTATTAAGTTTTGGTCCAGTTCTAAAACATTATATCATCTCTTCAAACTCTAATATGACCATACTAATTAAGAAAAAAGCCCTGCCACTAATTGGCACCCTGTGTTTGAGCTTTCATAGCATGCTTCTGTAACCTGCGTTAGGCTTTTCTTTCACTCTAGTTGTGATTTGCACATTGGCTTGTTCAGCGCAGGTTGATAACCTATAAGGGATTAGGCTAATACTAGTGACGGTTCTTTATTTTCCTAACATATTTCTTATAGGACTTTTTAAATAGCTTTAAGCTATAGACTTTTTACGATATCCTCATCCTGTCTTTATGTCAGAAACGGGTTTCATTTCTTCTTGGTGGATTCATATGCAGGTTCTTAGCAATCCAGAGAAAACACCTCTTCACACTTTCCTTTGCAACTATGATTTGAGTGACATGCCAGCTGGCACCAAGGTAATATGAATTTTAATCTGCCTTTGTCTTTTATGGTTAGCCATTTGAGCCTTTTTAACGAATATTACATGAATGATATAAAATCTTTCTTACTAATTCTTTGCACTTCACAAATTATCATTATTCCAAAATTATGGTTGACCAAGATACAATAAAAAGATGAGGTTTATTTTGGTATTAAGTTGTTGTCATGGATGACTATTTGTTCTGTAGATGTTTTTGCTTCTCATCATTGGCTGGGTGCAAGCCTAATGAAAATATCAAAATATTCTATGACACTGCAATTTAGAATCATTCTTATAATTATATACTTGCATTTACATTTTAATTTGATGAAGTTTGTAATTTTAAGCTCTTTCTCTTGTTCAAATCAAAGTAGACATTCGTGCGCCAGAAGATTACCTTAGCATCTTCTACTCCAAATGCTGCTGAGCTGAAACGGGGGCATATAAGTTTTAACGCCAAAGTCCAGAACAAGGTGAGGCCAACGTCACAGAAAAATTCTCCTTTACCCTACAACAGAGACAGGATGGATGGTAGTGAAGTTAAAGGCAGTGAAGGCTTGGATTTACCAGAATCAATACAAATGACTGGCTGCGACAATGGCCAGTGCAAGGAGTACACCTGCACTGATGCAAGTCAGAAAACTGACCGGAAACTTTCCCATGGTTGTGCTAAGATCAATGAAAATACTAATGGTGCTGGTTCACTGCGATATGCTCTTCATCTCCGATTTTTATGCCCTTCCCCCAAAAAATGTTCGAAGTCATTTCAGAGATGTAAATCTGATCCGGGGTCAGTGCCACAAAAGACAGGCCTTGACAGGGATGGTGATAGGAGATTCTATCTATACAACGACTTGAGAGTAGTGTTCCCTCAACGCCATTCGGATGCTGATGAGGGCAAGGTAATGTAATTTACCTTTTTTTTTAATGCATATGTATACTAGCTATCTTCTTAGGTCTCGACATTTTACAGCTTCCCATCTGTTCTGATAAGATTGTTGTTTGATGGCAGTTGAACGTGGAATACCATTATCCAGAAGATCCAAGATACTTCGATATCAGCAACTGAAACATCTAATTTACTTCACAAAAGCATGCTTTCTTTTGCTGACTTTGTACGTAGTCATCACATGTTTCATTTCAGTCATCTCATCTCGAAATGGCACTAACCCTCATGATCAACCTGTATATATACCTTTATTCTCAAATAATTTGATGGATTAAGCATTGTTGTTGAAAACTGTGAATACTTTTTCCTTTCTGCGGAAAGAACTTTCATGAAGTAAATGAGGAAAAGGCTTATAGCTGGACAAGGGAAATGAAGCACAATGTCAGCTCCACCAAGATAAGAGCAAAGTAGAACATAAAAAGAAAAAAAAATGGTGGAAAATGGTAGTGCATGAAGGCTATTGGACCGATCTGAGTCCTGACAAATCACTCTGGGCTGGGATCCTTGCTTTGATGAGGTCGAGGACTTTGGATGAGATGAAATGGATGTCCCTATTTTTTGGGCAATAAAATCCCATGTTCAACAGGTCTTGATGAAATAATGCTACTTAAGCCCATATCATTGTCCATATTATACGGACAAAGATGAGAAGCCCAAAGTTTAACAGATTCTTCTTTAGCCCATGTCATTGTCTTGGGCATTGGGTATATACCACACACAATACAGGCCGTGTCTGGGGCCTATGACGCCCCATTTTCGGCTAAATTATTATCATAGCAATAGAATCAATCCCCTCTGCTTTTACATTTAATATGCAAATATGTTTCTGAACCCTAATACCTTGGACATCACTTTCCTCTCCTTTTGAACCATAATAATCATGTTTTGTCGTACTCGTAGTCTTTGTAGAGTCCAAATGGATTTTTGATGAGGTGCATGGCAATAAAGTGTAAAAGAAATTACAGCTAGCAGATGGAGTTTAAAAGGATTATAACTGAAGATTATTGAAAGAGATATCACTATACGTAGTAAAATGTGGCAGCATCATTTGAAGTAACACAGAAAGATCAAATATAGATTGAACTTTATTATGCTTTTCAGAACTCCAAATTAAGCCAACCTAGAACTACCCTTTAAAGGGAGACACCCCCCCCCCCCCCCCCCCCACCTCTCCCCAATTACCCTTATAACCTAGTCGGAGTTTTGTCAAAATCTCTGCTTCTTTGTGACTGGAGTCTATCAGTCTCACTAGCTAAAGCCATATGTACTGAGGTTAAGATTAAATATCAAGTGTCAATCAATCTGAATCTAGAACTGATCACGTTCACATTTACTCACTCAAGGCCAACCCTTCATAATATTCCTATTTCATGCATTGTACAGGGAATCTCTCTCTCTCTCTCTCTCAATGTTTGATGTGAGTCTCCACCAATCATACCCTTCATACGTGTCCCTAGCTTTGCCTAACAGAGGGAGGATTCCAGGGCTGAGGGCTCAATGCTGAGCTGTTTACACAAACTAACAAGAGGGAGTGGGAGATTTGGGGCAGTCAGTCAGTCACTGACATAGCAAGAGAAGAGGAGGGGCGTGTTGCCACTCGTTGTCCTTTATTCCCATACAAATCCTACTTTCCTTTCATTCCCCCCCCCCCCATATTTCTTTATTTTTTTATCTTTTGAATTTTATTAGGGCAGATAGTTCTGTGTTAAGATCAGGATGCATGGCTGTTCGTTGTTGTTGTTAATGATTGGACAAGGAGGCCTTTCCATTGTGAATTCTGAATCATAGGCCTTACACGTGTCATATCTTTCCATGGGAGATGAGGTCATTTGCATGCCCTTTGCATGGGAGGGTCACTGTAAGTCCCATGCCCAGAACTCCCCTCAGCAAGGCAATCAGGAAACTGATATGGTGCCATTGTACCTGCAGCTGAAAGGCCTGAAATATTAACTTGAATTAAAACTTCTACTGCATAATAGTAGGAAATTAAAGAAAATATCTTATAAAATGAAAAGGTTACCCAGGATTATTTTTGAAGAAATTAGGTGTTTTGACAGTTGACATAACTTTCAATGGACTGTTTGAATCAATAATACTCGAAAAAAAAAATCAAGTATCCACCAATAATCTTTGGAACAATATATTATAATTATATATAGTCAATAGGACTCAAAACATGGATGGTTTTGGAACTAATGCTTAAAATGTACAGATTCTAGTTTATGGGGTCTTAGCTATATTCATATAGGCAGTAATCTCTCTCTGGCTCAAATGACTTTACCTGACATCATTAACTAAAAGTTGTTACGCTTCAACAGCCATTTTTTAAATACTAATGGTGATGAAATCAGTTACTCTCTGCCAATCAATCAGAAGTGAAAAGTCAAAAAAAAAAAAAAAAAGATGATGGTAAAAGGTTATGTCCATAAACAAATGTCTCTCTCTAATTTTTTTCATCACATCTATAAATTGGTCTAAATCTTTACTTTTTCTTCTTTTCTCTATATTTCACATGGAGTTTTCTATGAATCTGATTAAAGGGCTAATTAAAACAGAACCAGATCACTTTCTAATGGTTAGAGATCTCCATTATCTATGAACTCAAATTAATTTGATGACAGTTTCCCTCTAAACTACTACAACTTTTATTGATTTTCCCTTTTTTTTTTTTTTGAATGTGTCTTGCATGCATCAAATTTAGCAGAGATTAAAAAATTTTCAAAACCAGAGGGGTAATATTGTAACTCACGAGTCACTACCAGTCATCACATTCCTGCTAGCCTTTGTACATGAATACAAACAAACCCTTAAACCCCATATAAACCTGACTTGTCCCCTTTCTCTTCCCACCTCATTTCCACTCTCTCCTTGATCCTATTTTGTTTTCACTCTCTACAACTTCAATGGCAGACCCTTCAATGTACAACTTCTTCAACCAGCCTTCTTCAGCTTCAAAACCCACCAAGAAACATCCCCAAAGAGCTTCACCATCTGCTCCTCCAAGGCTTTTCCCATGCCTTTACTGTCCAAGGAAGTTCTACACTTCCCAAGCTCTTGGTGGTCACCAAAATGTTCACAAGCGTGAACGAGCCGCATCTCGAAGGAAGTTCCCTAGTGATCATGATCAGAACCCACAATACAACCTCCACCAACAGATTAACCCTTTTTCTAGCTTCCCTACTAAGCCAGAACCTAAGGACCATCCTGGTGCACCATCTCTTGACCAGTGGCTCGAGCCCTTCCAATCCCACCTTCCATCTGCTCGCTTCGTTCCTCATCAGGGTTTCACTGGTGTTTCTTCTCCTGAGACTTTCTCTCCAACCGCTGATGTTGATGACTCTGCAAATGTTGATCTCACTCTCCGTTTATAAAGCAACTTTCTTGCTTTTTATCTCTTCATTTCGTTGTTCTTTGTCTTTCTTTCTCTTTTGAGAGGTAACAAATGTTACTTTTTGGTGGGTTTCTTATCCTCCAAGTAGGCTTAGCTGAGAATGAAACAAAGAAGAGGTTGTGAGGGTTGTTACTTGTTAGGGTTTAAAGGGTTTTAAAAGTTTCATCTCTGAGTTCAATGTTTTGTTTAAGATTTGGTACTATTTTCTAAATGGATATCTGAATCATGTTTTCTTGAGTTACAGTTGTGATGTTGATGATTTTTAGTCTCTTTGTTGATAGTCTTTGCACTTGCATGATGTTAATAAATGCCATTATTTATCATTTTTTTCTCTCTTTCCTTCTTTATATTTTAATGTGAAATGTTAATCTTAGATCTTTCATGTTTTCAATTCACTCCTTAGAGTAAAGAGTTGGGATACAAGATCTGAGATGAAAATTTTATTTTTGCCATATGCATTTTGTTTGCTAGGGCAGAAAAAGCAAGCACCTTGCTATATATGTTTCTGTTTCAAAAAGAAAAATCTGGGATTTATATATTATGAAAAATGGTTTAAAAATTAAAGGGTCTTGCACGACGCTTACTTTACCTCTGTACTGATCAGACTGCTATCCCCAGCTCCTAACTTGAACAGAAAATTTCATTTTTTGTTTTTCCTTTCTTTTTGGGCTGACATTTATTAATTCATCAATCATCATCAATACTGTTAGATCACCATAATGGACGGTCTTGATCCAGTGTGAAATGGATGATGAGTTTGATAGTTTTTCCATATTCGTACAGTTCTAATTTCCATTAACAAGATTTAAGAAGCTTACCTCAATACATGTATATTATAGAAATTATCCACTTTGATTCAAATTCATTTTCATGAAAAATATTTTAGGTTTAAATCTTTCCTTAGATACCATATTGTATCTTCACACTTAAATAATACGGGATTAAGAATGTCATATAAACATGTAATGAGTTTGGTAGCAAAATAAAGCTTTGAGTCAGATGAAGTTGGCATTAACTTCATTAACAAAATGTGAGGAATTCCCTAATCACCCAAACTGGAAATTCCTTGTTAAAAGAAAAAAAAAAAAAAAACCCAAATTTGGAACTTTCTCCATTAGAAGTTGGTAGATAGATTCAAACTGTTAGAACAACTCAATACATACATATATTCTTCTCATAAAATTGATGAATATGCAATTTGTTGGGTTGTTATTGCTTGTGAAACTGGGAAGTTGTTAGACATCGGTGCATCCGACCACTTGTGTAATTTATGCTTACCAATTATTTAACTTCCACTTTCACACAGCATTTCCTAATTAACTAAAGTAGGTTACTTTTTTCCTGGTACAGTTTATGACGTTTCTAATACCCGATAAAACCTAATCCACCCTCCCCAACATTCATGAATGTATAGTGACAGCACTTGTTTAAAAATTGGTCCAATTTGTAACTCAAATCCAACAAAGAGGAAGACTGAAAACAACCAAGTCTTTTCGGGAGGTGGGGCTCAAATAAAAATCCTCGTTTTGCTTCTGACAAATTAATAAATTAAGAGAATCCCCTTTCAATCACGATCAATGTTCTTTGTTGCATACAAAGGAATGAACCAGCTAAACAAATGTTAACATCATAAAATATTCCAGCCAATTGGGTGGGAAGGGAATACACGTTGCAAAAATAACCCACCCCACAAAAACAATGGCTTCCTAACCAAATGAAATTATAGCAGTTATATATTTGCTACATACTGAGAATGTCTATCAATTTTGTTTGACACAATGTATCTGCATTACTCCTGCCCTTATCCTTATTGAAACCATCCCCACTGTCCTGTTCCGATATTGTCAATCCAATTAACCCCCAGTTGCATCCTTATTTTGTGGTCTACCATCAATCTTTCTTTTGTTCCTTCTTTTTGCTACCATCTAATTCTAATAATTGAAGTCTCTATTTGGTGACAACCAAATTACAGCAGAAACTCTGCCTTGTTATTCTGACATGCAGTCAAGCAACATTCATTGCGGGAATGTTCTTAAGTTTCTGTAAGAAGACAAATAAAAAACGTCCACCTTTGATTGTGCAGATATGTATATATCAGAGCTCAAATGTTGGAACTTCAGCTGTGGAGCCATTTGTCGCCTGGTATAACAACCGAGGCAACAAATTCCTATAGGGGTCTTTTTCTCTTTTTTCCTTCAAATAGGCCATGCATCTCTCAACCTCTGACTTTACTTGTAAATAGAATTCATGAGATTTCTCCCTGCTTCTTAGCTCTTGTTTCCTCCCTTCAAAATATAGAGAATTATGTTCAATCAAATTGCATTGAAGATCAGAAATGGAAGTCAGAATCCCCTTTAGTATTTTACCACATCCAGCAAACTAAATTTGGGACCAGATGGTTCAGGCTAGCATTGTTATTGAGGCTAACTAGATCATTGTTGCTTATGTAAGTAAACTGATAGATATTCAAGAATATAGTGTAGAAAGGCAGCACCTTCTGTTTCGATAGGTTTCCCAAAATAATAATAAAACCGGCCTGGCAATTTAGGAAGAACTCCGGGAAGGTGGACATCTTGGTTTGACACCTCGCCATCTGCATCAGTCCTATCATTCCAAAATTGAAAGGAAACCAAACAAAGAATGATGCAAGGGGAAGGAATATATAGCAATTGTGGAAAGGTTGAAATGTGACGTATACTTAAGATAAAGGAAGAGCATTTAAAGGAATTAAGCAGAAGAAGAAAATCATAGTACCTCAACTGCTCAACCTCTTCTGTGAGTTCTTTTATGAATGTCCTCAAGTAAGGTATTTGCATTTGGTCATTGTAATCCAAAACTAGCTGACAACATTAAATGCACAATACCTATATGAGAGAGAGAGAGACTGAACCTACTGATATAGAACATGATACCAAAGAAAAGGAAAGAAAAGGATGGTAAAGTCACAAACAGTGTTTCAGAAGCAAAGCAGATACGCATGGCACCTCAATTTTAAATTTCATCATATATATTACACACACATCTAGAACCCTTTAGAGTTGGGTTATTTTTTTATCTCAAGGCGCTGCTATCTTAATGATTTTGCTTATGATTTATATTCCTTATTGTATAACAATGGTCAAAGAGTACAAGCATATGCATGTATATATTTAGGCCCACAGTGCCAGGTTTTCGAATAAGCCGGGGTATGACAGGTACACATCAATGAGGAACCCATCAAAAACATTGATCAATTATTTAGAAGTGCACCACTAGATCAAATGTTTCATATGCTCCAAAGTAATATGCTATGGTAGACACTAGTCTTAGAAACTTCCGCAGATAGTGCAATAAATGTGCCAGGCTCACCTCACCAACATCATCTTCTCCTACCACGCCAAAGGGTACGATTTTGGCTCCAAATTTAGATGCCATCCTTACAAACTCAGGCTGCTCCGGCCAGAATAACTTGTATTCTTCACCCTGAAAAAATATGCATTGGTGGTTAATTTGCAGTGAACACAAATAAATGCCAAGCACATCAGCACATTTTCTTCACAGTCCTATATGAATTAACTCATTAAATTATAACTACAGTAGAGTAGAATTGAGAATATAAGAAATTGGTTGATATTACATAATAAGAAGCAATTTTCCTCCATAAAATCAACATTAGACTGAGAGGGTAGGGTAATTTTGTAGGATTTAAATCTTGAGAAAAACAACAGCAGAGGGATAAGAAGCAGAAAGTATATTTGCTCCATCGCAATCATCCACTAGTTTTAATTCATAACAGAAGCATGGAACTTGAGTGGAGAAAATTAAAGTTATGTTAAACGTACAATTGTTGAATTTTGTATTAGAAGTCTGAACTCCCATTGACATGAACATTGAACTATTTTTCAGATGGTAAAAGGTCCTTCTGAAATGCTGCAATTACCTTCCTGTGAAGAGCCTCACGAACACCTCCAGGATACAGTAGGACATGAGATTTTGAAGACATAAGTTTGTAGAAGTTTGGTCCGGACACGGGAACTGCACCCATTATTCTGTATGTGTCAAATGTAGCTAGATCAAGCATTTTGCCTTCTCTCAATCTATTAAACATCATTGGATGGGCTATCCCTCGCAAAAGAATATTTCTCTCCATCAAAAACTGAATCACCATTGGAGCAAGTTCAAACCCTAGTAACATGTGATAGCCAACACACAACACTGGTCCCTCTGAGGGGATTCCAGCCAGGCCCCTCACCACCTTGCCATTACCTAAAGTTGAGAGCATCACAGGACTAGTGGCAGCAATTACCCATCTAGGAAAAGCAATATTGTGAGAATAATATTAGAAATTAATGTGCTTGCACAACTCACAAAATCTGTTATAATGAGTACCAGGCAATGTGATCATAGCTGTGTCAACTAAAGGCATATAATCAGCAAGGCTGACAGAAGGTAAACCCTTGCCAACCATCAACTTTTAGATACCTCAGACAAACAAAGTGCTGTTCTTCCAGTTAGAGTCCGTCATGATTTATTCCCGTTAATGCAATTTGCAAAAAAGTTATCCTATAGGATAACTGTTACCTGTTTGATTCAAATATTTTCTTGAATTCATAAGGTGTTGGTGGCATGTAATCTGACACATAGTCCAGGTATTTTCCATGACGATAGAAACTAGCACCCTTGATGTTTGTTACCAAATCAACACTGTCTTCCTGCAATGAATGAGCAAAACTATGATGCATTAGTAAGCAAACGTAAGATATTGATATTTAGTGCAACTTCATATCAGTTAGTTATCAGTTTGATTAGCCTCTTTCTGCCTCTTTCTTGCCCAAATTTCTATCAAATTCAATTGCATATTGCTGATTATTTAAACAACATGAGAGAGAGAGACACAGAGTCATACTAATAAAAGAAAATGTCCGCTTTCTTTGAATTCACGTATTTCACATTTTGGCAACATGTGGCGTAGTCTTTGGGCTTCTACTTGACTAGGAAACAACTGATCCTTTCCACTATTAAGAAAAATAGAAAATATCAGCAATTATCACAATAAGGACCATAAACGTAGCAACAATATTAGCTAAAAAATCAATGAGATATAATAACAATGGATTGCACTAAGGATTTATTAAGGACCTGCTAAGCAACAGTGATTGAACTTTTACAGCATGAAGGTGTGAATTGGCAGATGCAGAAGCAGATTTAAGCATTCGTAACTTCCAGAGAAGTGTTTCTCTAGGTAACATATCAGCCAGAACCTGAGACTTAAATTGTTAATTCCTTTTTTCATGAAATTGCAAGCACACTATAAGCAATTGCATAGCATGAGCATCAACATAAAATCATAAACAACTAACATGAGGAGGCTACCATCTTCAGCATGCTCAAAGATATAAGCGTATTCATACTATCATCTTAATATATGTTGAAAGTAGATGCAGAGTAACACAAGAAATGTCAATTGAAATAGCTATTCAATGTTTCATGACTGAATCTTACAGAGAGGTAAGATGACATAGAAACAAGATCTTGTGATAGCTTTCCTATGGTTTGGAGCGGCAGAATTCCCTTCACCACGTTTTCCCAGGCCATCCTCAAAGGATCACCTAAATAAATGTCATCGCTCACATCTTATCAATGTTCTTAATTATCACTGATTAGAAACAACAAGAAGATCTATCAAAAGTGATTCTACATGTCATTGTTTTACATGTTTTCGACCACATATTGATAACATCCTGTTTTTTACACTATTAGACTGAATAAAAACAGTTATATGCCTCAGCCTCAGGTAACTAGCAAGGTCAACAAAATGGAAATTTGAAGAACAGACTCCAAACCTGACAATAAGTTTAGCACGTGAGAGAGGTTTGGCACGAGTTGATCAGGCATGAGTTCCAGCAAAGGTATTAGAGATTGTAATCGTGACCTACTGAATGATGTAGCTGCAAAAAGAAAATGAATGAGACAGCAAACACTTTTAATTATACTGCAATGATCAACAAGATAAGTTGCCAATACGATATCATTACTAGTTGTATACACTAGTTATTATTCCTTTACAAGTACAATCTGTTATGCTCAGGTCCCAGAACCAGTCCTTTTTTATAATCAACAACATTATAACAAGATAAGTTTCCACCTGGATTAGCCAAAATTAGCACAAGATCAACATCGGGGTTACGAGCGGCAACATCTAAGGCAATGCATGCTCCAAGGGACTCCCCAACAAGATAAATTGGTCTGTCTGGTGAGCTCTGGTACTCAGACCTTACTGTTTTTTCAACCAGCTTCACTAGGTCTAAGGAGAATAGAAAAAAAATGAAACAAGATTAAGGCATGATATTAAGGATTTTTTTTTTTTTCTGATTTAATGTTCCTAAAGAGACTTTCTGATCAACTTGGCTTTAGCTTTTTGCTTTGTACTTTTTGTAAAGCAAACTTTGAACCATTAAAAGTTAATTACCAAAAAGCAAAATCCAAATACTTGAATGAAATGATGTATTTTCTCAAGCTAATCAATTTGATAATAATATGAAGCAGAAACTTTATAATAAAGGGCAGTAAGCATTTTGGTTTTACTTTGGAAAATTTTGTCAGAGTCATGATTATTTGCTTTTGTAATTTGTACTATCTTGGAAAATGAAAGACAAAAAGGCTATATGAGTATATGATCAAGTCCTACTTTTTCTTCTTTTTTTTTTTTTTTTAACGAAAGGAATAAACAAAACAGAATGTAAAAACTAAAAATAAATGCTACAGATTACCTGTAAATGAAGTTCTATCCTTAACTGGAATATGCAAACACCACATATCGAAAATCCTTCATTCAATAAATAAATGAATAAAAATCCAAAAGACTAAATAGATTGGACTCAGAAAATAAAAGAAAATTAATTTTGTGACTCACTTTCCAAGTTTATGATGATGTGTAATAAGGCCAAGCCCGGTGCCATCAATCCCTGTAATGTAAATTTCACAAATAATCAAATTCCATTTCCTATAAATGTTAAAAAGCAAGATATTTTTCCTTTTAAAAGAATAATAAAGTTAAAAAGTTTCATGATTTTTAGTTAATGTCAAAAAAAAAAAAAAAGAAAACGAAAAACGAACCAGGCAAAAACAGAAAGAGAGGAGAATCACGAGTGTGGGACCCGCACTCCAAAGGAGAGAACCAGCGTGGCGGTCCACCGTCTGATCCGATCATCAAATCTCTACACTCTTGGAAATAATCTTTCAACGTCTTTCGAGTCTCCTGCGTTATCTCGTCCGGATTCGAGTATACATTTAATATTAACTCACTCTCTTCCTTCCTTCCCTTTTTCCTCTCCGACAACGTTCCGTTCTCTATTAAACTCGTTGTCGCCATCGCCACCACCGACGTTACCTGCTCCGTCGACACCGCCATCCGTCGAGATAAGCTTACACACCGGTTCCTCCTAGAAGTTCCGGATGCTGACGTCACCGATGAACCGGCGAGGAACAAAGAAGCTCTAGATGCGGCCATGGCCCCGAATTTTTATCCTACTTTTCCTTTTGGCTCTCTGACTCCGATTGAAGTAACCGCGGAAATGACAGAATATGTTAAGAACAGATAGTTTTGGTGAAAAGATTAAATAGTGATTAATGTACTTAATAATGTAAGGATTAACCAAAATTTAAAACGTTATAATGAGGGGTTTCTACTTTTTTTTTTTTAACTTTTTGTGTGTCGTGACTTGATAGAATCTGACAAGACAGTGGTGCGATTTATGCGATTGTTTTGGTTGTCGAGATTTCCGCAAGTATGTCTTGGTGGAAGGGTTTGTATAGATACGATAATTTGTGTTGTGAGATATAATAATATGAATTATTAAAATATAAATTATAAAATATATTTAAATTTTTAATATAAATATAATATATTTAATAAATATGTTATACGTAATATAATATAATCGATACGTAAATAATTAATTTATTTAAATATAATATAAATAAATATGAATAAATTAAATTCCATATAAATATATATGAATAAATATGATTATACGAATATATATAAATATAATTAAAATAATTATAATTATTTATAATTTAATAAATTTGACATATTAATAATATAAAAAAAACTTACATATTAAAAAATAAAAAATTTAATACTCATTTAATATTTATTTAATTTTTTTTTTTTAATTTTAATTTATATTACACTACTATATTAATTTTTAATATCAAAATTCAAAATGATAAATTATTAAAGATTAAAAAATAAAATAATAATGTATAGTACTAATATTAATATCAATATTATATTTATATTATTAATATAAGAATAATTTTATAATAATTATTAAATGAGTATCATAATTAAATGTTTAAAATAAATTTTATATGATATTAAATAATTAATTAAGTATCATAATTAAAAAATTAAAAATTAAAATAATCTTTATATGTTTTTTTATTGAATTAAATTAAATATAAAAAATATATATTAAACGTGTTAAATATATTAAACGTATATTCGTATGACAATATTAAATTAAACGTATTATTCATATCGTGTTACGTGTTTAAATGAGTCAACACATATACAACATGAATTATATCATGTTAAAATTTGTATCGATACAAATAAATACGAAACACATTTTTTAAAAATATATACAATTTTTTTATGTCATTTTTCATGTTATATTACCATATCATATCTAAAATTATCATATCTAATTTTGTGACTATATTGTACAGCTACGCTATCTAAAATGATAATATACAAGAATATTCCTCGACTTTGCTCGGATCATAAACTTTTTTATTTTTGATAAAATATAATTTAATTTAATAGTTAACATAGAATTTAAATTCATATATTTTTAAATAAAATAATAATAAAAATATTTAAAATATTTATATTTATTTAATTATTTGAAATCATAATAATTTTATATAAATAAAAATATGATCTAAATATGTTTAATAGTAAGAATATATAATTTTGATTTATTCTAAATTTTTTATAATTATTTAAATTTAATTTTCAAATTAAAATATATATATACATATATTATTTTTAAACTTGACAATTCATATTTTTGTGTTGTACTTAACACTTGTAATGATACAAATTATTAAAATATAAACACTATACAAATTATAAAACATATTTAAATCATAAATACGAACACGACACGTTTTATTATACATTTTACACATGATACGATATGATGAATACGTATACAATTAATCCGTTGAAACACAATATAAATAAATATGAATAATACAGATATGCATGAATAGACATGACTAACATTGATATATAAAAATTATAAAATATATTTAAATCATAAATACGAACATGACATGTTTATTATACGTGTTACACATGATACGATACAATTAATATGTGTACAATTAATCCATTGAAACATAATACAAATAAATATGCATAATACATATATGCATGAATAGACATGACTAATATAGATATATATGAATAAATACGACTAACACGAATATATAAAAAAAATACTAAAATAATAAATAATTATAAATGATCTATTATTTATAATTTAGTAAACTTGATATGTTAATAATATAGAAAAGTACTTACATATTAAAATATAAAAAAAATTAATACCTGTTTAATATGTATTTAATATATATATTTAAATTTTAATAAATATTACATAAGTGTATTAATATTTAGTATCAAATTCAAGATGATAAATTATTATAGATTAAAAAATAAAATAATAATATATAGGATTAATATTTATATTTATATTATTAATATAAATATTTAATATTAAATTAAACGTGTTATTTGTATTGTATTACGTGTTTAAACGTGTTAATATATATAAAATATGAATTGTGTTGTGTCGATATAAATAAACACAAAACAAGTTTTTTTAAAACACATATAATTTTTTAATATCATTTTTATATCATATTATTATATCGTGTATGAAATTATCAGATTTAATTATTTTGAAAAGTTAATCCATTATTATTACATTTAAATTTATTATTTTACTATAATATATATTATTTTTATTTATTTATTTATTAAGACAATCGAAGATATATAGATTAAAAGTCAAAAAATGGGTTTTTTGGGTTCTAAATGCATTAATTAATCTTATTTTATTAATAAAAAGCAGGCGTGGAATTTTAGAAAGTGAAATGATTTTTGGTCAAATTATCAAGGAAACGTGACAGCTGATTAAAAATATAATTATAAATAATTGATTTTGATAATATAAGAAAATTTTTTTGTCTTTATAGTAAATTATTGGATTAAATACATATTTGATATTTGTGCCTGTATTTAATTTGATATATAAAAAATAAAAACTCTCAATAATTAGATATTTGAACTTCAATTTCCTAAGATAAATTACTCAATATATACTAACATCGTTAAAAAAAAACATTTTTATCCGCCAATAATAAACTGCTTAGCTATCATGGGATGCCTTGTGCCTCGCTTTAAAGTTCAAAATTATAAAAAAAAAAAAAAAAAAATCCATGAATGGGTGTGACCAGAGATCCTTGGATGTAGCAGCAATTTCAATTCATTTTAATTATGAAATAAAATAGATGTATATTGTCTCCAATTGTGGGAGGAATAACAGATGATTGAATTGGAGCCAAGTATGGAATTAATGTGGAAATCATGAACATCAAATTAATTAAGATGATGTTAACTATATGACAGAGAAAAATCAGAGCTCAAATGTTGGAATTTCATGGGTTAAGGTGGAGCCATGAGTGGCCTGGTATATGAACCGAGACAATAGATTCCTGTAAGGATCTTCTTCTCTTTTATCTTTCAAGTAAGCAAGGCATCTCTCAACCTCAGACTTTACATGTAAATATAGTTGATGAGATTTGTCCTTGTCTCTTAGTTCCACCTTCATTCCTGTACAGCACAGTATATTTTGTTAGTTTTAGTTAATACTATATGTAGGCAAATGCCAATGTATATGTTTATGGATCTTAATTATCTCTCTGTAATATACCTTCAGTTTTAATGGGCTTCCCAAAATAATAATAAAAGCGGCCTGGAAATTTTGGAAGCATCCATGGAAAGTGCATTTGCTGGTTTGAAACCTCACCAGTTGCATCAGTCCTATCATATCCACATTAATTAGATAAAACTCGAAATTATACATGGGATTTATTTAGTTTAGGCATAGGAAAACACCTAACAAAAGTAAGATTTAGATCTAGAATACCTCAGTCTTGGAGTTCGATTTGTTGTTCGTTCTATTTCTTCCCTTTTCCAAGGAATCTTCATTTGGTCATTATAATCCAAAATCATCTGAAACAACACCCATATAATATTAACTAGTATTCATTAGATACAAATCCACCATCATAATTAATTAAATATATAATGAGTTATTACTGGTGTAAGATCCAAAGCTAAAATAATATGAAACCAACTTGGAAAAAGAAAGTTTTCTTTCTTAATTAATTACCTCAGCTATATCATCTTCTCCAACAACCCCAAAAGGAACAATTTTGGCTCCAAATCTAGCTGCCATCCTCACAAACTCAGATTGCTCTGGCCAGAACAACTTGTATTCTTCACCCTGCAGGAAATTAAATGTCTAAAGTTGAGTATTATACATATATATAAACACAATGCATGTGATGAATGCTCTCAGGTCTGGGGAATTCAGACTAGATTTTGTACTTGATATCATCCAGTAAAACTTATCCTCAACTAATCTAAAATTTTTTCATCAATTTGGGTAAGATTGAAGAGAGAAAAGGTCTCTGATTCTGCCCCTTCTATACCATCAAATGCTTTCTAAAGGTGAAATATGTGTGTAGCGTATTTATGTTACCTTCCTGTGAAGGGCTTCACGTACGCCACCAGGGTATAATAAGGCATGAGATTTTGAGGACATAAGTTTGTAGAAGTTTCCTGCTGAGACAGGCACTGCACCCATTACTCTAATTACGTCAAAATTTGACGGTTCAGGCTCCGAGGGCCTTCTGTCTTTCAATCTTTCAAACATTCCTGGATGGGCGATCCCACGAACAAGAATATTTCTCTCAATCAGAAGTTGAGATATAAAGGAAATAATTTCAATTCCCAATAGCATGTGATTACCAACAAACAAGACTGGTCCCTCTGATGGGATTCCAGCAAGTCCCCTCATCACTTTGCCATCCGCTAAGGTTGAGAGCATCACAGGGCCAGTAGCAGTAACAATCCATCTGGGAACAATATAATTCGGAGTAAACCAATGCAAGTACATGCAACTCAATTGCCAAAATTCCACTAATGATCAAGAAAATGTCAGGTTTATTACACGAAAGGCCTAAATATTGATGATGCAAGAGGCAGGTTATCCAATCCATCTTCCAGTTTGACCTAACACCTTGGGTTTTTTGTTTGTTTAGTGGGGATTTATCTTCGTTTATTATAAAATATATTCTTGAATACTAAGATAAATATAGAACTTGGCTAGAGTAATATTAATTTTACAAATTCTTAAGGATGTGAAAAAGTGATTCCGGTCAGATATAGGAAGCTTCTTGGTTGGAATGATTTTCTCGGGAAATTCCCTACATATTTAGGATGACGGATGACTGATGTTGCCTAAGATTCTTTTTTGTGTTTGCAATAACATCGAGTGTATCACTTACCAAAAAGGGATTAGTTCAGGCCATTAATACAGTAGCTAGTTAGCTAACAAGAAGTTCATTTTCCTGTTAAAAGAGAATAACAGTTGGTGCCTGTAAATTTTCTAGTAAAACAATACTTACCTAAATGATTCATATATTTTTTTGAATTCACGAGGTGTTGGTGGCATGTAGTCAGACACACAATCAAGGTGCTTTGCACGGCGGTAAAAAGTAGCACCCTTGATGATTGTGACCAAATCAACACTATCATCCTGAACAATTGGGCAAAACTCCTATTTTAATTTGTATTTAAAAGGAACTTGCAGCTTAGAAGATTACCCTATGCCTGCAATTAGAGAAGCATACCAGGAAGAGAAAATGACCACTTTCCTCAAACATACGAATCTCACAATCTGGGTGTGCTTTTTGAAGTCTTTGGCTTTCCTCTTGACTAGGCAACAGCTGATCTCTTCCACTATAAAGAAAAATACAGTGAATTCAATCCACCATCATGGTAAAAATTACAAATTTAAAGATGTAAATTTGATAACAATATGCAACGTACAATCAGTTAGGTATCGACTGCACAAGTTTTATATATTATGTGCGTAGCAGAAACTAGATCAGGTCGTTAATGGCGTATGCTTTGTCAAATTTGGGATTGCGGCAAATAGACAGAATTGTCGATCTTATGTCTGAAAGATGAAGAGCGAGGACAAATAGTGATTCCTTCTTTTCTAACACCTGTTTATAATACATACCAATTTAAAATTTTTGCGTGGAGGCAGGCAAATGCACTATTTTGATGTGAGTTTGATGCATCTAACAGCAAGAAGCTCTTTAGAATTTGATACTATATGAATAATATGATATGGCACGAAGTTAGGAATATAATGAATGAACTTCAGAAAATCATCAACTTCACGTTTCCCAATAATCTATATTTACCATATCGACAGAAACAGCAAAGTATATCTATGAGTTCAATATGCCAAAAATTAAGGACCTGAAAAGTATCAGCATCTGAGCTTTTACAGCATGAAGGCATGAGTTGGCACATGCAGAACCAGATTTCAGCAAATTTAGCTTCCACCGAAGTGTTTCTCTGGGTAAAATATCAGCCAGAACCTGTCACCAAAAGATCAACTCTTAACATGTGATTACCTTCTTTATATCTAGCTCAAAAAGATGCAACAACTGAAAAAATAATGCTATTGCAGTGCTGTGATGCTAAAAAAATGCAAAACAACCGATTAAGTTGACATCAACGTATGTGGGAGCAAAGTAGCATGAGAAAAAGGTGATGCCAAATGTTTTAGGCTTTTAGCTATGGATCTTGATTACCGGGAAGTATGTTGACATTGTAACAAGATCTTGTGATAGTTCTCCAATTGATTGAGGCAGAGTACCTCTTTTCACAAGGTTATCCAACAGCATCCTCAAAGGATCACCTAAACATATGTTGTGCAATCGTTAGTAAGATCTCATTCCATCAGGTCTAATTGGAAAAGGTTTGCAAAATAACCTGTTGCTAAGCTCAGCATGTAAGGGAGATTTAGCGGGAACTGATCGGGCATAATCTCCAGTAGAGGCATTAGTGGTTGCAAGTGTGACTTACTAAAAGATGTTGCTGTGGGATAGAAAACAGGAAAATAATGGAAAATCAAGCTGATTTTGGTTGAAGCTAAAGCAACTTATTTTAAGCATTTTCTGAATTTGAATACAAATTTATCAAAATTCCATGTTAAAATAACAGATCATATAAACAGGTATAGGATTAATTGTAATTTCTGACCTGGGTTAGACAAAACAAGTACAAGATCCATGTCAGGATTCCGAGCTGCAACAGAAAAGGCAAGGCATGCTCCAAGAGATTCTCCAACAAGATATATTGGCCTATTTGGTGACCTGTAGTTCTCTAACCTAACCGTTCTTTCCACAAGCTTCACTAGCTCTAAACCAGAAACCCAAATTAAAATTATATAGAATAATACATTACCATAACTTGCATTAAATTGAGCAACTGATGAAAGCACAGAAAAAAGAATTACCAGTAAATGGTGTTCTATCCTTAACTGGAATATGCAAGCACCAAATGTTGAACATCCTTCATTCAAAGATCACTTGAAGTGGATTACTTGGATGGCAGACAATTTTGTTAAGCAATTAACATAAAGGTGATGAAAATTTACTCACTTTCCAAGCTTATGATGATGCATTAAAAGTCCAAGTCCAGTGCCATCAATTCCTGGAAACCAAATACTCATTTTGTTAAACTTGAATACATTATATTGAATATATCAAGGAAAAGTATTCCTGAGAAAAAGGAATAAAGTTGAACCAGGCAAAAATAGAAGTAGAGGACAATCTGGAGAGCTAGAAGAGCACTCCAAAGGAGAGAACCAACGAGGCGGACCACCATCTGATCTGATCAACTCTTTGCACTCTTCAAAGTACTCCTTTAACCTCTTTCTACCCTCCTCCACTTCGGGCAACTCCTCTGGGTGTGCGTAAATATTTGGTTTCACCTCAGTTTCTTCCTTCACCATTTTCTGCTTCTTATTCTCAAACCTTCCATTGTCTCCAAAACTCGTTGCCCTTTCTATCCGCTCCGTTGAAACAGCTAACACCCGAAGACGTTTCTGTACTCCTCCTCCGTATACGTCTGAGGTGATGTGCCGCTGAGAAAATGGCGTTAAGCAGGCGGTGAGGTATCCAGAAGCTCCAATGGCCGCCATGAAACCGAACCCAATTCTCTCTTGTGTCTCTCGTGTTCTGTATTTGTTATATAATAGGATGCTTTCGATGGGTTTTAAAAAAGCGTTTTGTTTCGTTATGCATGGCGCTAAAACTATAGGAAAGGCCATCAACAAATTAAATTATTTAGTAATTATTCTGCAATTAACACATAAACAATTAAGATGTTAAACAAATTATGGCATCAACCGGCATAATTTATTACATATAAAGATTGTATGTTTGTAGTGAACTTCTTGCTCTTGGATTGTAGTAAGAATTGCTTATAAGAAGAATATCTTTGAATATTAAAAAAAAAAAGCAATATCATTTTAGATTTTTTTTTCATTTTGGGAAGGAGAAGAGAAGAGAAATATGAAATTACAAACAAGGCTCTAGATTTAAATACATATTACATTAATAATGTGTGTGTATATATATATATATATATATATATATATATATAACAGAGGTGGACTTATATGTTTATCTAAAGTGTTCATGGAAATTTTTAAATATTAAAAAATAAAAAATTTGAAGAAAAAAATTTTCTTAATACCCTAAAATTTTTTTCTTAATACCTCTTTATTAATAAATTAATAAATATGTCAGTAATTATATATATTATAAATGGATAACCGAGGCAATAGATTCCTAAAAGCCTCTTTTTCTCTTTTCTCCTTGTAGAAAGCAAGGCATTTCTCAACCTCTGACTTACTTATAAATACAGACAGTTGTTGAGATGTCACCAGTTGTCCCTTTGTTCGTTCCGCCTTCATAATAGAATTCATTTTAGTTGAAGTCAATCGATTTCTGTTGAGATTGTTATTCTTCTTTTTTTTTTTCTTTTTTTTTTTGAAGTTTAAAAAATAACCCATCTTATATGTTATTACTCACTCTCCACCTTTCTTGAGTTTCCCAAAGTAAAAAGTAGAACCCGGCCTGGAAATTTTGGTCCATCCACTTAACCATCACTAGATGACAGAAAACTCACAGATGAGCATAGACAACAGAAGAAAACAAATATTATAAATAGAAATGAGAAAAAATTTTGAGAAATTTAGAAATTGATTTGAAATTATAGTTTTTTTGTTTGATTTGGATTAATTTTTTTTTTGTTCGAATCAAATTTGAATATTAAATATATATTAAATTTATAATTAGGAATTGAAAAAATAAAAAAATTGAATCGAACTAAAATATATATACATATATTATATTATAACATAATTAGTTACCATATAACAATTATTGATATGGATGTTTGAATAAATAGTTTCTTTTATTTACACGTAAAATAATTTTTAAAATTTTTTATTATGATAATACATAATATATTTATTAATTTTAAATTATTTATAAAAATATATTTTAAAAATTATTGAATTATCTAATAAAAAAATTGAATTGAACTAAAATATATATACATATATTATATTATAACATAATTAGTTACCATATAACAATTATTGATATGGATGTTTGAATGAACAGTTTCTTTTATTTACACGTAAAATAATTTTTAAAATTTTTTATTATGATAACACATAATATATTTATAATTTTAAATTATTTATAAAAAATATATTTTAAAAATTATTGAATTATCTAATAAAAAAATTGAATCGAACTAAAATATATATACATATATTATATTATAACATAATTAGTTATCATATAACAATTATTGATATGGATGTTTGAATGAACAGTTTCTTTTATTTACACGTAAAATAATTTTTAAAATTTTTTATTATGATAACACATAATATATTTATTAATTTTAAATTATTTATAAAAAATATATTTTAAAAATTATTGAATTATCTAATAAAAAATTGAATCGAACTAAAATATATATACATATATTATATTATAACATAATTAGTTATCATATAACAATTATTTATATAGATGTTTGAATGAACAGTTTCTTTTATTTACACGTAAAATAATTTTTAAAATTTTTTATTATGATAACACATAATATATTTATTAATTTTAAATTATTTATAAAAAATATATTTTAAAAATTATTGAATTATATAATTTTAAAATTTAATCAAAAGCCAATTTTAAATTTTAATAAAATTTCTTTCTTAATATCTTTAATATTTTTAATAAATAGTCTTTATATTATCTTTAGCTTTTAAATATATTTCGCAAAAAAATATATAAAAAAATATAAATACCAGAATAACATTAGGAAAATTTCTCTTATACATCATCTCATTTCAATTTAAAACTAATTTTAAAATAATTTATCTTTTTCAATTTATCTACAGTTAACATGAGTATTTAAATTTATCATAATTTTTAAAAATATTATTTAATATTTTAATATTTTTTATAAATAATCCTTACATTGTTCTCAACTTTTAAATATATTTCAAAAAAAATGTGAAAAAATATATATATATAAATACTAAAATAACTTCAAAAAAGTTTTTATTATACTAACATCATCTCAATTTAAAATTAATTTTAAAGTAATTTATTTTTTCTAATTTATATGCAGTTAACATGAGTATTTAAATTTATCATAATTTTTAAAAATATTATTTAATACCTTTAATATTTTTTTATAAATAATCCTTGAATGATCTTCAGCTTTTAAATATATTTTACAAAAAAAATGTGAAAAAAATATATATATATATATAATTACCATAACAATCAGTAGTTCTTAGTTATATAACTCTTTCAATATTCCACTGAGCTAAACGTATTTTTTTCTTACTATTAATTTAATCTATTTTTTATTAGTTTATTATTGCTATAGAAACTAACATGTTTTTTTTATTATAGGTACTATTTTACTAAACATGCTATTCACTCAATTAGATAGGAGATATTATCCATTAAATATACTATTCACTTTATCAAGTAAGATTTTTTTTTAAATCAGCTATAAAATTTTTTAGCTATAATATTTTTTAAAAAACTACAAAAACACATATTTTTATATTTTTTACCGATGTTGTTTGTAGACTTTTTATTTTTTTGCGAACTTTTCACTCAATCAGATAATATATTTTATCTTTTAACTGTTTATTTATTAAATATTATTCATTCGTATAAAATAAAAATGATACTATGATTAATTGATATAATAAAATTATGTGCCCTGAACATAAATTTATGTGCCAATTGTACATTTAAAAAGTGAATAATTTTTTAACTTATATCTCTATCGTGAAACATGTAACATAATTTTAAATTAAGAGACTATTTTTCATAAAAAAATAAAATTAAAAAAATAATTCAAGAATAATCTCATAAATAGTATTAATTTCAAGTTCATTTATATCTTAGCTTAAAAAAAACTTAGAACCTTAAAAGATTTTACCAAGATTCCTGAAAAAAAAAAAAAAGATATGAATCATATGCTAACTTTGTAATTATGAAACAAATAATTCTTTAGGACCTTTAGTAGAATTTAAAAAGAAAACCTTATTTTTATTATGATTTGATATTTTAATTATATTATTTATATGTTACATATATTTTGAATATGTAAATAATTCAATAATATTAATTTACATTTTTATTTAAATTTAAATAAAATAAAAGTAATTCGTGCATCATACAAATAGCAAACTAGTTATATATATTTTAAATTTTTATAAATAAAAATAATAATTTTATATCAAAATCTACTTAAATGTATTAAGATTTTATATTAAAATAATATATAAAAATTAAAAAATTAAAAATTAAAAACTAATAAACTGAATTGAATTAAGCTTGTAAAATTTAGTTCGATTCGATTCGAATCAAATGAAAGATCGATTCAAATTCAAATTAAATTTTAAAATTTTATAATATTATATAATATTTAAAAAAATTAAATTAAATTCGATCCGATCTAAATTATTATCATCCTTAATTGTAAATATGGGAGAGTATACCCCAATTTCATTGATCATTTCTTCTGTTTGAGTCCTTTGCCAGGGAATCTTAACAACAAATTGAATCAAATTTTAGTTTGCTGATCATTAGATTGTACATGATATACTGTAGGTTTTTTTATGCATTTCCATTGAAGTTGATAATACTGAATGGAAAGCATCATAGCTTGGACCAATTGTTGGCCCAATTGGAAATCATGAGGCCAAAGAGAAGTAAAAGAGGTTAGACCTTTCTGGACCCAGTAGAAGTTGAAGGCATGTGAGGCCCAAAGTAAATGGCATTGGCAGCCAGGCCAGCTAGTAATTTGGGTCACAATAAAATGGACCGATTAGGTGTCAGATGTTATTATTTTGGATCATTTGAGGGCTTTGTTTTGTTTTTTTCTTTTTAATCTTTTGGAATTTCAGAATCCAATTGATAAAGGCTTAATTCTATACTCAAATCTTCGTCATGTAGTTAACCTAAAAAAGGATATCATCGACCAAATTAAGGGCTAAGGTAATTATGGCAAAGAGGAAAAAAAAAAAAAGAAAGTAGTGGACAGTAAGTAGTATTTTAATATATTACTATAGATAAGGTAGTTGTGCTTGAAATGCCAATGTACGATGCAATTAATTTTGTGAGCATGCAGCAGCAATGCATTTGTATTTTGAAGGGACCATTGTATTATTTCATTGCTCTTTAAATTAAATTGAAGGAAGAATGCTTTGGATTTATTTAGTATACACTATGGTCCATCCATGGGATGGGATTGAGATGCGCTATATATATTTGAATGGAATTTGTTTTGACTGTTGACTCAAAGCCTTCAATCAAAATTGTTTCTACGGCTTTGCATTGGTATGGCAATTGGCAGAAGATGATGATAATTGATACCATACATTCTTCTGTTTTTCTTGGACAACTTGAAAACCTAACACAAACATCCACCACATATGCTCTACTGAGAGATCTGGTGTCATGTTCTAGCCTTTTTTTGTTGTTACAGTTCCAATCTAAGATCTTTGTTGAGTCTTGCTTCACTTTTTCAAGTGCTTGTGGCAAATATTCTATATTTTGAGTAAGTTGTGTTAGTTTCTTGTCATCTTTGGAATGATTTGTAAACTTTCTTTTTATTCATTGAAAAACAAAGAGGAAAAGAAGGAAGAAATCAGCATGAAATATATAGGAACATTGTATATAAGTCCAAGTAAAATATATATATATATATATCATACTGCAAGAAAAATGGTACTTTCTTCCAGCTGTGCTTTGCCTGCTTTCATTAATAAAGTAAAATAGCTCACTTATCCAAAAGATGAAAAAAAAATGGTAATAGGTTAATTTCCTTGGTGCAAAACATTTCCACCTACCTCCTGATTGCTGCATTTTAGGGTTTTTCTTTAAAAAAGAAAATTAGGTAAGCTTTTAAAATCAAGAATGAGACATGACATCTACTATCAATAATAAAAATAAAAAATACCCATAAAATGCTAAGATATAACAATGTCTTTATTAAAATAAAATTTTTCTTGCAAAAACCAGCCATTAAGATTGTTTCCTACTCTCCTCAGGTAAACAAGATGCTGTAGTTCTGGATTTGACAAATCAGTTCCAGAATTTCCAAGTCCAATGCCTTGTTGTCAGAAGTAATTAATTTTTTTTTCCACTGCAACAAGTACCCAATTTTATTGCATTCCTGCAGGTTGTTGGCCCAAGTCCTTTCAATTAATAACTTTTTGTCTACAAGAAATAACCCAAAACAAAATTCCCCTTTACAAGCAAAAATATATTGGAGCAACCGAAATTTGAAAAACTCACTTTCAAAACCCCCTTTCTTATTTTTATCTTTTTATATTCTTGAAATTAAAAGTTGTAAGTTATTTAAATAAATAATTGTTGATCTCCTCCTATAAGACAATCTTTGGTTCTTTCTTATGGCCAAAAAAACAAAAGATAATCTTTTATTAGATTTTGGGCTAGAAGGATTTAATGTACTTATTCCCCTAACATAAAAAGACAAAGATTCCTATTTATCACTTTAACTTTCACAACTGCAAGTATTTATTAGATTGGCTTGCATTTTGGATAAGGCCAACACAAAGCTTTCAATCCAAGTATATAATGCCATCTATTCTGGGGATTTTGGCAGGTGTCAAAAGTCATAATCCTCCTCTTAACTCTTCTTCTCAGTTAATTGATTAGCATATGTTCCTTTTTTTCTGCCCCTGCTTATCCTTCTTTGTTCCAGTCTGTCCAGTTGCTTTCTAGACATCTTTGGCAAGAGGAAGGGTCTCTAAATGGCAACTGAGGTTGCCAGAGATAATGCTTCATTTATGCTCCAAGCCAAATCTCTGGGCTTTCCAGTGTCAAACACCTCAACAAGAAGTTTCTTTATGGCTCAAGTCATGCTCAGGATTTTTGCTGCTGTCTTAACATTGACTGCAATCTGTGTTATGGCCACAAGCTCCCAATCTATCATTCTACTTGGCTTCACTTTTAAAGCTCATTATAGCTACTCATCTGCTATGAGGTAATCAGTGGTTTGACAGTATACACTATTTTGATCTTTTGTTTTTGGGCTTTCATATGTTTATTTGGATGGCTAACCATTTTCTTCTGGTTTTGTTACAGGTTTTTACTTGTGACAGATGCTATTGTATGCGCCTTCTCTATACTTTCAATGATCTTTGTTTACCATTTGAGCCGTTCAGGATCAAATCTCAAGAATTTCTTCTATCTGTTTTTGCATGACATGGTAACCAAATAGTTGGCTTATTATTGAAACAGTGAAAATTAGTTGTCCTCTTCAAAACTGTCAGAAACTAAGGACTAATTCTAACATTAGTGTGATATAGTAATTCAGGAAAATTCTCCATGTTTGAACCAAGAAAAGAATGAAAGAGTTAGATGGAAAATTGTAAATAAATGGTCAGTCAAGTTTTACTAGTATTATCATTATAAAGAGATCAGTGCATTGCAGGTGATCACGGTATTGGCGATGTCTGGGTGCGCGGCGGCAACAGCAGTGGGTTATGTCAGTAGATATGGAGAAGAAAAAATGGGTTGGATGGCTATTTGTAATCGTGTGGGGAAGTTTTGCAATCAAATGAGGATAGCCATGGTGTTATCTTACTTAGCTTTCTTTTCCTACTTTGCTCTTGCTCTTATGTCTAGCAACAAAGTCATGTATCAAGCCAGTAAATGAGTACCGATTAAGCAGTGGAAGGCAAGCGTGTCCTTGAAGGTTAGAGGCAAAGACACTTTGTAATCATCAAAGAGGGCAGCTTCTCCAACTGAGATCCTGAAAATTTCCATCTATTTTTCTCTTTTAGTAGGGTTTAAATGCTGTTTCTTTAGAAATTACAGTGCCGCTGGTAGGAATTACAATGTATTTTGGAACTTTTGTTCTCACTCTTGGCTTCGAAACCTCTTCTGAAAGAAACCTTAAGCTGTGGATTGTATATTATAGCCGTAAAAAATTTAGGAAGAGATCAAAAGCCGTTATATTTAACTACTAAGTTCAACTGTCTTATTACTGTGAGCCATCATTATCCAATTGTTTGCTTGGAACAAAATTTAGAGAACAAAACATGCTAATTCTTTTGATCTTCACCCCCTGTAGGGTTCACCATCGAGTCTTAAGATCAATGGGGCTGCCACCAAACCAATGCTAATGATCAATTATGAAGTAACACTTTAACAATCATTCATTGCTAGTCACTGTCTTACTATGTAAGGTAAGCTTGTGTAAGAATAAAGATATAAGAATCATTCATTCTGTTTCAATCTCATCCTCAGAGTCTTTTAGATGCTCTTTTAGGGACTGTCTCCGGTTTTCCCACTTTTCAGAATCCCACGCTGGATCAATTGCAGGTAATTCATAGTCATCAGGTCTCAGTGATAGTTGGAAATCTGGTAGGTCAGGTAATGATTGCAGAGCCCCGCTTCACCACCAATATTAAGAATTTTACATCATTTATCGACAAAATAAATTAAACTTAAGAGTTGCAGAAATGCACTTGTCAGAAGGTGCTTACTTCTCTTGTTCTAAGATGTAGCCATACATCTGAGATTTCCTTGACGCAACCTCTGGTATTTTCTGATGTAAATGCTTCATAGCTCCCCAAAGTGGTGGAGCCCTTTTCAGCCAAAAACAAAAAAAAAATAAAAATAAAAAAATAAAAGATATGAGAAGATTGACCAGAGATGAAACCATAACAACTATGGATGAAACCAACCTGGTCACTGGAGCTGCAAGGCAAAAGCTTATGCAGGCTTTCTTGCTCTCTACAAGTAGTTCTTGTGCAGCTAGAAAACAGCATACAGCACTAATATGACAGTTCGGTTCATTACCCTTGTCCAGAACCAGACCATGGTAGTAGTAAGCGGCAGCCTGAAGATACAATTACATAAAAATTAGATTCCTATACAAAATTGAGTGAAAGCTGGGATGAGAATGTTTTGGTATTGGAGTTTGCAATCAATTGCGCTGAAAACCTTTGCTTCAAGGAATTTCCATTTGATGAACCACATATGTTTCTTTTCATATCCATGGCTTAAGTCACATCCAGACAAGCATTGGTAAGCCTGGTTATATAACAGAAAACACACTCTAAACCATGAGAAACAAAAGCATTTAGGTTATAATGAGACAAAACAGCAATCCAGTTCAAAATATGATAATCTATTAATTGCATCAACTTAACCAATGAATTATGTCTGAGTAATGGCCGAAATCTGAATTCATACAACCAATCAAGTGCTACATAGATATCTCAAGAGGTTCTCAAACGAAAAAAATTAGAAATAACTACAAACCTGACTGTAATAGATCAGCTGTTCACAGGCCAACCTCCTCTTCACTGATAACGTAGCCTTTTGACTTTCAACAGCTAAACCAAGCTGTATTTCAGTTCCCTGAATCAAGATCCATTTCCATTAATATATCAATAAATCAATGTATGATGCTTTACCCTGCTAAAAAATTGTTACTATTTGTAGATAAATCATAACATACAATTGACCACTGCATTGTATTTTTTAAAAAATTGTTTATTTCTAGGAAGTCCTATCCCACTTTATAACAAACACAGATACACTTCATAACAACAAAAAGGTTTTCCACATCATAACATTGTGCGTTTGAAGAAAATAGATAGTTGAAAAGTTTTAGCAAATATTAAGACTCAATAATTGGAAACAGTTATCATAGAAGAGTAATGCAGATTAGGAACTTATGACATACGAGGCTTAATAAATTTCATACATTTTTTTTTTTTTTAATTTTTAGCATCAATCAGTTTTCTATGTATGGTCTGTCGGTAAAGAAAAAGGTCCGACTTTTTCCTAAGACCTCAGCAATGAATACCTGGCCTAATGCTTGGATGGATAGAGCCTCTAGTACACCATCCTGCAAATCTTTTGACAAACTTTTCCTGGGAATATTGATGAGATGTTAATAAGAAGCTTGAAAAGTTATGTTAGAATGTAAAGAATATTTTGAAAAGCTATAAATTTATGTAAACATACTTGATTTCTGCTGGTATGCGACCAAATACATTCCGGACACAAAATTCTAGGTACCCTGCTGCCTTGAGCAATAAATCAACAGCATCTCTCTTACAATCTGGTGGTGATTATTGCAGATGATTATTGGTGGTTAGACTAGAGTTAAATAATCATAGTTGAAATTGCCAAATTGGCTCCATAAAGAAGGCCATATCACTAAGAAAAATAAACCTGTAGATACGACCCTAAAGCCAGAACCAGAATAATCCTTGGGGATCATAAGTGTGTCAGCCTCAGATAGTGTGAGCATAGCCATCATGTGAACAACAGATAACAATTCAAACCAGGCATTTGCTACACAAGTCTCCTGCACATTTCAGACTCAATTACAATTTACAAGACAATATATTTCATGGACAAAACTCTAGAAGAAACCATAATGAATTCCTGATAATCATACTTGTCCATCCTCTAAATTCTTCCACTTGAATTCAACCAAGTCGTCAAGACCATGTTCTGTAATATACACAGTTATTCATCATAGGAACATGGACAAACATGGAACACAAAGGAAGAGGAAGAGAGCAGCAGATTATGAAACCTTTCTTGGTAAGTACAGTTAGAATTGACAAGTACTCCTCCAGTGCCTGCCGCAGTTCAGTAATCGCAGATACACCTTCAAAATCCACAATTCCACTTTAGATAAGAAGACTCATCATAATACATTGGAACAAAAAAAAAAAGAACATTGATAATTCTAATAAGCTTATATGATAATAAATGATCCACCGGTTAAATGATTTGTACTTTTTCAGGTCCCTTAGCTTTAAAGTTTCGCACATTTTCTCACTGCCATAGGGAATAAAGAGGAAAAGAAATATATATATATATATATATATATATATGAAAAACAAGAGGATCATAAGGCCAAACCAGTTTCCTCTGCAACCAATGCAATCCGATTCCTTAGACATGATAATTTGTCGATAAAATTAGGAGGAATTAGACCCTTGAACGCTCTTTGAAGATCAGATTGTGCTGGAATTCTAATACAGGGAACAAATACCACCACTTCTGGGATACTCAGCTTCTTTTTCCTCCCAACTCCGTACACAGAATAAGTGCACCCCATCTTTTTCCCTGGGGATTCTTTTCAAAAATAACATCCTACAAAATCATTCAAACTATCTATACTTCAGCTCCATAAGTGTTCTGTTAATTCATTAACATAAGGACCTGAATAAGAACAGAAAAAAGCTTGAGCACACATAAATAAAACATGTATACTTCAGATGTTTTCCATTTTTTTTGAAGCAGTTTATCTTGAAACTCAGTAATTCTTTTTTTTTTTTTTTTTGTTTTTCCTTGATAGAATCTTATTAGGTAGGTAAAATCTTAACAAGAATGAAAGTATGAATGTTTATGGATATGAAGTGTATTGTTAAAGCAGATAGATACAAGTTCTAGAAATAAAATTGAACCTACAAAACAACATCCAAAGTTATGTAACAAATGGAAGAGAAATGAATCAAAGCGATAAAAACAATAACATGTAGAAGAGATGTTGAAGTAACTCACTGTATACAGAGAGGGAGTGAGAGAGAAATGAAGCTTCGAGGATGCAATGGAATGCTGATATCTCCATATCAAGAGAGAGAAGGAAATAAAAGAATCTGGGAATAGGAAGCTCAGGGACCGAGGCATATCTCACATGGTCGAGGCTGAGACGTATAAGTCTTCATTGCATTGTTAAAGGAGCAAATTGAAACTTCCCATACAAAAATATTTATTAATTTCTTTGACGCAACTGGTTATTCCAAACGGAAAAATTCTAAGAAACACATAGCCAATAGTCAATCTCAATCATACATATGTAATATCCTTCACTTTTAAGTGCAACATGAGGCAATTTACAAAAGAGTAACTATTCAACCCAAAATCATTTGCTATAGTGTCAATGGTACGAAAAATTGAAATAGTATCATAATTATATGTTACAACCATGTATATCTAGATTTTTAGACTGAATTCATTAAAGGTGAAGTCTGGATTTATCTTCAAGCAGCTTGGTAGTTGGTGTAGATGTGCTTATATTATTGTTTTTGAAAGAGTGCATGTGGGGACCAACCTTCATGGCTGGACCATATGACAACTGGTGTTACTTGTTTGGTTTGCCATTTTTCCTATGAAATTTCAACCCTTGATTTGCCAAATCACTTTTTTTGATTTAATTCTTGAAATCCACTCTCCACATTGATACTGATACATGTAATAATCCAAGCAGGGCTTGAAATGGACTACATTCAAATCACTCGCATATGACATGGGGATGTGGGCTGCAAGCAATTAAATCAGAAAAACACTTGGATACAGGTGAAAGTTACTGAAAAGACCCTTTATAAAATTACTTAAGATACATTACAATATCTAACCTAGGATTTCTTTTTTTCTTTTTTTGGGTCAAGTTAACATATAGAATTACACTATAATTGTTCAGATAGGATTTACATAAACTTGCATTGATCTCGTGTTGGTTAAACTAGTTAATTCCATGAGAAACAATACAGATCTCTGCGAAAATTTGTATGACTTACGTTTACTTCTGGAACCAATAAAATATGATATGCGGTTCGCAGTCAACAAAAAGAAAAATACATGTTCAGCAGTTGTCTATAGATCAGCTGTCAACTCCACCAGGGTTCATCATGGTTCTGCCACCATCCTGTATGCAGTATGTTACCAGAAATATCAAACTTACCACCTTCCCAGATGCAACATGTTACCCCGGACAGGGTACAGGCTGGTTTGCAGAGGAGAAATCCAGTTTTATCCAACTTGACAAAACAAGACAATTGTAACAACAGCATGAATTAGTGAAGTTTCTTATATTTTAGTCAACCTGTAAGCTGGTATGGTGAGATCCGTGGCTCGGACGTTTCCCTTGGTTTTTGCTTAAATCGATTTTCGAGGGTAACCGGTTTATGAATAGCACATATATCAGATTCACTGGTTCCTAAATCAACTGTTCAAGTATCGTAGAAACATACAAGTAACTCAATTCCAGCAGCACCAACATTGCACTTGAAAAGCTCAAATCATGAAAAGACGCTTCATTAGTTTGGTTGTTGAACCCAAAAAGGAAAAGCAGTAGTGTCTCAAGTTTATAAAAGCATATTTGTTCCCAACAGAATGCATTTATAATATATAATAATAGTAATAAAAGAAAGTGTACTGGATTCAACTTCAATTGTGATGTATCACCTACATTATTTTTTGTTTGTTGTTATTGGATAATTTGATGTAGGGCTTACAAAACCTATAGAATGTTAATATTTCGGCTTTTCCAAAATACTGCCTATTGAAGGTCTCAGGGCTAGTAGCTTCTCCTGATTGTTTTTAATAACTAATAACTACCCAATGGGATATAGAAGCATGTAAGCAAAAGCTTTGTAATTCCATACGCTTACGGCTATTGAAATGCAAAAGTTGTGGCAGCTGATATTCCTTTTTGACATATGGGGGTACAATATTCTTGTAGACAAACTAAGGGAAGACATCTTTACCAAACAGGGACTTTAGGGTGAGAACACGTTATCTGGAAAGAAAAAACAGCTGTTACACTTTAACATCTGGACTCTGGAGCTTCGCTTGCCTTCACAAAGCGACCTTTGAATCTCTTTCTAGTATCAGCCCTGGCCTTCCTTGACTCATAGCGTATTTGCTTGTCATATCTGTCCAGTTTTTTACCACATTAATTAGAAAAAGGATAAATATTTTTCTATTAAGAAAAGGTTTGTCATGGCAAAATGGAAAAAATGCGACTAAAAGATCTTATACTTTCTATGTTTCTTCTTCTCCTTGTAGCGTAACATGGCATTGACTCTGTTCTGCGCCAAAAGTTCCATGTCAACCTTAGCTTTTGTCTCATTCATAGACTCACTACCTGCCAGAACAGGCGGCTCCATGACCTGAACATATCTGCTGCCATCGTGTTTTAGTGGTTCAACCACCTTGGAATCTGATGATGATCCCACTGCCGGTACATTGATACTTTCTTCAGTTGTTGGTGTGTAGCTTGAGAATGGTTGATTGCAGCAGTTCTGCATTGTTCATAATCAAAGCTTATATATACACCAGTTTTCAAAGCTTAAGCAATAAAAAACATGAAGGCAACTAATTATAGAGGTGAGACCATTAATATGCTGATTTATCAAATGGACATAAGGATCAGTCAGCCAAATTTAAGCTAAATCTCAACATATTTAGACAATAGGTGCCACAATACAGTTAAGTCAATAATTAATAAGGGCGCTGTCATAACTTTTTTTTAAACATTTTGCACATAACCTTTGCTGTCTCCTTAGTGCAAACTACGAATTCTACAAGGATAAATGTTATATATATATATAAGAACTGTGGGAACTGGAAACAACAGAGAATTTCCTCTTTGTTCTTTTTCGACCAAATTCCTTGTTTTGATTGAGTTCAGCAATCACATCTAAAATTAAAAGGAAACAGACTTTGACCAAGGATACAACACAAAAGCCAGAATTCTGACAATTTGAAACTACCAAATCTCAAAGAATTTCTCCATGAATTTTCAACGCACCAAAACACCCATGCTAAAGCCATTAATTCATTTCTAAGAAACAGCCCAAAGACCTTAGTCATATGAGCACCAGGAAAGTTATGTTTTCCTTCTTATGAAATAGTATTACTAAGAGACAGCAATCAAGTTTTTTATAAGAGATCCAAGAAATCCTATCAATACTTCCAGTTTAGTGAGTAAATAGTTTAACCCACTAATTTGACATAACCCCACTAGGAGAATAAATAATGCATCCTTCCAAGCATTCATTGTAAAAAAAAAAAAAAAGGAAGAAAAAGCTCTTTTGCTTTTTATTCTTTAAACGAGTATCTCCTTAAATTTTCAAGGCATCCCTCTTATTCACTAGTAGTGTTCATATCACACTGAAGACCAAGTTACAAGTTAAAGGATATTAAATTTCCATGGTTGAACCGTATATAATTTAGATGGCAATATGTGGTTGTGCTTTCATAAGAAGTCTATCTATGAAGTTAATATTACTAAAAACAACTTACATTTCTAGACAAGGAATCCTCAAATATCAAGGAGTGGCTCACCTCGTACATGTCTTGAAAGACTTTTGGTTTCGACAAGGAACCTTCCTTCTCAAACTCACTGAAGTTCCTAATCACAGAACTGTTACTTTTTATGCCATTTATGCAATCTGTATCTTCTGGTCCCGAATCTTTACAATCTCTTGACCTTCCTGATTGAAAATCCCATATCTGAAAAGGCAGATGTGAAGATTAAGCATGAGCTTGTGGCAAACAATATTGGTTGAATCTCAGAAATGTGACCCAAATTTAAAACCTAGTTTAGCACAATTATTATCTTGAACAACTCAAAAACACTTCATAGCAAACAAAAGAGGATAATTTTGATAACACACATGCTTTAACACAAGTGTAGTCTATATTTCTACTCTGAAGCTGCAAATGAATGTTCATAAGTACATTATGCAAGAAGATGCTACAGCCTATGCAAGTAAAATTAGAATAAAGGTTTAATATTGGCCATGGAAAGTGTTAAGATTATGTAAGCATTTATTAATTCGCAATAGAAAGCCCTTTGCTGCTGAGCAATGAAATTCAGCCTTAGATGCATTGATTCAGCAAGACAACAAAGAGGCCAACCAGGCCAGGGAAAGTCCACTTTGCAGACTTTAAAATATTTAGCACAAAGGGCAATAAGATTGTTAAGCCTATGAAATCAAGCATGACCTCAAAATACTTAGATACCTAAAAAACTCGGTTAAAAACAAAATACACCATGAAACACAACAGTTAGTAAATGACAGAAACACAACCATGACAATTGACATCACTTAAAAAATACTGTAAGGAAAAAACATCAATTGTAGTTGAATATTCGGGATTATTCTTCCAACAACTTACTCAAAATATCATGTAAAAAAAGCACCTTTACTCAAAAAGAAAGTCCAAGTTCAAAGTTCGAACCCAACCTCCCCTTAGTTAGACTTGACTACTAAAAAAAGTGAGCAATTTAAATTACTGAAAAATATATTTGATACATACCTGGGAAGCCTGATAAGAAGACTTAAAGTCCCTCATAAGCTCTCCTTCAGCAACGTAATCATTTTTTCTTAAGTCCAAATTGTTTTGCAACATTAACAAAGAGGTAAATGGGGTTTGCCGGTGAAGCAGGTCTTCATCATCCCCATTTTCAACTTCAAAACTCGGTAAATTGCCCTGCTCAGCACTTCTAACAGGCGGTGTCCCTGGCCCCAATTCAGCTCCATCACCACTTACTCTCACCAAATCTCTCTTCCCCATCTCAACCAGTTGTCTGTACACCTCATGGTTAAGCTTAACAGAGCTAAGCAAAGCAGAGGAAACAGAAGAATTCTCGTTTGGGACCATAAAATCTTCCAGTTTCATCAGTTCTTGCTCGAATAAGGAAAACCCTGGAATAAAATTCATCAAATATTTTGGTTTTAAGTCAAAACCAAAAAGAGAAGCTAGTTCAATCACTAAAGGACAACCTGAGAACCCTTCAACAGGGGAACGCTCGTGCAGAGCTGAAACAGAGCAGTTGCTGTTATGTGAGTTCCAGTCACAGTCTTGGCAGAGCATAAGATTATCATTTGAGCAAAGAAAAGAAGCTGGTTTGGTATTGCAACTGTCACAGATCTGTGAACGAGCATGCTTGAGAGACAGAGCATTGGCAGAGTGTACTTGTTGGTCACAGAACAAACAGAGCTTTGCAGAGTCAGCCCTACAATACAAAACTGCTGGCTTTGAGTTGCAAAAGTCACATAGAAACAGCATAGATCCTCTTGGCTTTGATTTGGAAATCTTCTCCATCATCACTAAAATAACTTTTTGGTAAATCTAATATAACACTTTTTAAAAAGTTGAGATCTTGGACTTAAAAATAGGGAAAAGATGAGAAGTTTGAGATAATGTCAGTGAAAGGTAGAGAAGCAGTGCTAAGTACAGAATATCCTTGAATGTCTGAAGAGAGAGTCGAAAAGATTAGTATTAAGAATTACATGGAGTTGATAGATATGAAGCACATGATAAGCATGGCAGAGTTGCAAGGGCGAAAGGACGGATAGGGTGACGGGTGGGGGTCCACTTGGCAGAAATATCATCACTTTTTCTGCTTCGCTGGCCTGAAAGTCCATGTGCTTTCTTTAATGGCAGATGGGCTGTGACTCTGATTGAGTTTTGGTTCAAAATCACTTCTTAGGCCTTATTGAGGCCCAAAGTTGGTAATATAAAGGCTTCAGTTAGATTGTTTTCAAACAGAACATTGACAATCGGAGTATCTATCTGCCAATTATTAATATGGACAGTCAGAGACGCTTAAAGAAGGAAGAATAAATACTACATGGCTTTGTGAACAGAGGAATGTATAAACAAAGAGAAGTCAATTATAAGAACAGCCTTTGCTTGGTGCCAATAGCTTTGACTTTTTTTTTGGATTGGTTAGCTGGGGCATCTCAAATCTGTCGTGTGTCATCAATAGAATCATGTACCCCATGAAATGAAGGATCAGAAAAGGTATATAAGAAATGGAATTGATATATCTTGACCAATTAATGTGCCTTTACCAGATTTTGTGCTTGCTTCCTTTTAGCGAAGTCAAAATCATCTGTAATTTTAAAGCATTGAGCATTACATACAAAACACTAAAAAGCAGTGGTCACCAAGTATTCATTAATCAATTAAGTTTTAGATTTTTTGTGATTGTATATTTATGTTGGGTTAATTTGTTTTATTTTTAATTGATTTTATATAACATAATTAACATAATATAAGAGACAAGTTTTATTATACTCTTCCCAATTTATATCCATTTTAATCACGTGATAATTATGTTTACAAGTGATAAATCTTATTAAAATGATATTATCATATATCTGTTAAATTTTAATTTTTTGTGATTTTATATTCAATTTTGATTCTTTTATTTGATTTTTATTAGGATTTTAATAATTATGTTGTTATTGTTTGATACTCCCTTTAAATTGTAACGTGATAATCTTTTTTCTCTTTTTGCACGTGATAATACCTTAAAATAAATGACATCAAAGCTCTGTTTTGTTGTTTTTGTTTTTATTATTTTTTTCAAATTTATGTGATAGGTTTTGTTTTAGAATTTTATGGCTAGGAAACGTGGATGCTTTAACAGCCTTTAGAAAAAGTAACCGCACTACAGTCTAGAACATGAACCATACCTAGTCAGCTGCAAAGGCCTGGTTCCTCAAAATTATTTCACTCGATTTGATTTTCTTTATTAAGCTTTTTAAAGTCAACACATGCACTTTGATCACGTTCCATTTATCAGTTTCTCTCATACGAATCTTATTACTTCAATAAATCTCCTGAAAACCATGATTTAAAAGTCATCTTGTTTTGGCTGCGAATCAAATGGTTTCTAACCAAGATTGAGAGCGCAAACTGAATGAACTTCTGATTTTGTATGAATGTTTTTGGAGTTTAGGTAATCACACGATATAGCTTGGAGACATTATAGCCAAGAGTTCATTAAATTTTCACCCGATAAACTCATAAGCAAAGCAGAGCTAACCCTAAGCTTAAAAGTCTAGAAAAAAAAATTGCATCACAAAGAGGTTTGAGCCAAATCAAAGCCCAACAAATGCACATGGCAACATAAATGAAACCTGGCAAACTGGGGTATTGGTCGCATATCTAGATAGTGCTACAACCCCCCGTAACCTTATGTCTTTTCAAGGGGCTAAGCTTAGCTGCAAGTTGCCTGGCCAAAGTGGCAGGGTGACCAGTGGCATGGTCAGAAACTTCAAGACCAGGGGCTAATCTTTGGTGGAGAGTCTATCTCTGAAAATAAGAGGTCCCTACTCCCTACATTTGAAGCGAATATATTCCTTTATGGGCAGTGAGAATTGCAGCCAGAAACAGCACATTAAAGGAAAACCTATGGATGAGGCAAATTGATGAGAGGGGATCAAAAATTTTGGGTGGCAATACGAATCTGATCTCTATTCTTAATTTCATTTGCTATAAATTCAAACTTCAAAATGTGGTGTTGGCATCGCATTTGATGACCTTTGAAATTGTAGAGAGGAAGAAAGGGCTAACATGAAGATAAGAGTTCTGTTTGGTAGCCAAGGATGACTTGCCTGCTCCTTCAAAGAGGTTTCAAATTATCTCTCCAAAACCCTTTTTGGGTCCCAGGCAGTCACCTTGGCTAACTTGACAGGCTCTTTTCTTTCATGCTAGGCCTTATCTTCCTCACCTTGTTCACTTACGGGTAAGCATTTGAACATATATAATATGAAGCTAGCGAAAGGAATCAAAGGAAATGTCGGAGATCACAATTGGAGCATGCATATGAGGAAGAGAGGTCTTCCATGAAGCTAAGAGTCGTGTTTGGTAGCCAAGGATGACTTGCCTGCATCTCGTAGAATTTCACCAAGGTTATACTAATTCTTCCCTGGAACACGCAATCATCCTTGGCTAAGTTGACAGGCTCTTCTCTATCATGCTAGACCTTTCTTCTCTTCTTTCTTTTTGAACAAGCTAGTCTTGGAGCATGCAGGAAACACTAACTGATAAAAACATCACCCGTTAGCTTTTTGTCAAGAATAATGTGCTGTATAACAATTGATCAATGCATTTTAGATATAAATTTGGATATCATATGTAAATTTTAACATTGATGAGATCGAGCAATGCGTGCATGGATGATGAATTTATTGAGTCTGTTTAGTTTGCTTTATGTTTGTTGCATTATATGGAAGGAAAAGTTTTCCAGAATTTTGTTACTGATAGAAAACACAATGGCAGCTGAAGGTAAGCCACTCCTTGAGGATATGGCTCATGTCAGTATCTCATTTCTTGTCCATTGCCCAATATATTATATTTGAATACAAGCCATAGAAAGCAATAAAATAAATCTTTTCACATGGGAAATTAATTTGGAAAATGACTTGATTTGTTTGCTCAAGGAAGAAGATTTTCAGTTTCTCTTTTGAACATGCATGCAATGGTTTTAATGGATGCAGCTGATGGATCAATCTTATCCGATCTGATTGTATGCATGCATTATAAAGGTTGGCTTGCATGCATGCATATGGAAACATGTAGTTTTCAAAGATAATCCAATTATCCCTTACCTTTTCCCAGCCAAGCCTATATAAATTTGCAATTTTTAATTGAAAATTACTAATCACTATTCCGAGATTATGTGGGACCTTGAAAATTCTCAAATTGAATAATGATAATGACGCTTAATTCATTGCAAAATTAATAAATTCCTTTTATTATATTTGTCACAAGAGATAAAGTGGAGTATAAACTTTATTTATTTTTATTTTCATTTTTTATGGTGTCAAACACATGCAATTGTTTTGGGTTCGAACATTTTGATTCCAACAACTAAACTTTGTTAAATTTTCTTTTTTCTAAAATTGTTTGATAAATGCAAATTTCCAAAAAAGAAAAAAAAAAAAAAAGGAGAAATTTCTTCTCTTTAAAAAAAGCCGGCAACAGGGTAAAAAAAACCCCATCATCAACCAGTCAACCCATCACGATTTTTTTCTCAGTTTTACTAAAACGAGAAAACGGCGTCGTTCAGAAACGACACCAAACAGATTTGCATTTTGCAGTCCCTGGTCAGCTCAATGTTATGAACCCTACTCTTGTCCGTTTGTTCTACCCGTTAACCACTTCCATTTCATAAGAAAAAAAAAAAAAAAAGAATCATCAGCTCCGGCGGACTCATGGCGGCGCTCATCGGAAATCCGCTGATCAAGGCATTGATTGTTCTTTTCTTGGTGTCAGTAGCTACCGCCACCGGCGACGCCCCCTTTATCGTCGCTCACAAGAAGGCATCGCTCAATAGACTCAAATCCGGCGCCGAACGCATCTCCGTCTCCATCGACATCTACAACCAAGGGTTCTCGTGCGTTTCTCTTTCTCTTTTCTTCAAATTTTTTTGTTCTAATCCCTTTAATTCAGATCTAGCTCTGATTTCCCCATCGAGGTGAAAAGTCTAAATTTTTGAATCGATCTTCAATTTTGAGTATGAATTCGAGCTATCCTTATTCTCTTATGTACGTTACGATGCCGTTTTAGGCTTTGCATGATAATCAGCTGATTTGCATGTGTGAGAAACGATCAGTTGTTTTGTTAAATTTTTGTAGTTGATTCAATTAAAGCGAATTTCATTTATTTTTTTAGTTACTGGATCTGAGAGAAATGAGAAGAAATTGCAAATCTGATCATTTTAATAAATCGAAGGAAATTTTTAAAAAAATTCATTTCTTTTCGACCTTTATGGCTGGATGCTTAAAATTTTTCTTAGCTCTAAATTTTTTACTATTTCATGAATTTTCAATTTTCTAAATAAATTTTTGCCTAAATTCAGGACGGCGTATGATGTGAGTCTTGTTGATGATAGCTGGCCCCAAGATGCATTTGATTTCGTCAGTGGTAACACTTCACAATCATGGGAAAGGCTTGATGCGTGAGTATTTCATTTCTGTTATTCTATTTAATTTGTTCTTGCTGGATCAAATTAATTAAATTGCAAAACTTTATAATCTGCAGCGGTGGTCTTCTATCACATTCATTTGAATTAGAGGCCAAAAGACAAGGAATGTTCTATGGTGCCCCAGCAGTTATTACTTTCCGCATTCCCACAAAGGCCGCGCTACAGGTTTGAGATCCATAGCAGAGTCTATTTTCCTTTTCTAAAATTTTAAGGGAAAAGAAAATTTAAAGGTGAAAAGCAAGTCTGATGCTCTAATATGTTGTGTTTTTTAGGAGGCATATTCAACTCCAATCTTGCCCTTAGATGTCCTTGCAGAAAGACCTCCTGAGAAGAAGTTTGAGTGGGTAAGTTTTGTTTGGAATAACAATAACTAATGAATCAAAGCTATTCAAAATCTTTTTTCCTTTTTTTCAATGTGACTAAAACCTTTCTGTTTTGTTTTTTGTGGAACTTGCATTGGTGATGACTAAATATTGAAGGCTAAGGTATGAATGCTTCTAGCTCTATTGTTAAAATAATCATGCTTCTAAAATCTGGATGGATAAGAATTGGCATGCATGCAGAGATTGCCAGATTTGGTTCAGAAGTAGATAATATGCATCCCGTGTTTTAGAACATCTTTGGATAAATTTGTAGTGGTTGAGTATTGCCTCTTGCTTAAGAATTAAAAATAATGGATCCTTGATGACCCTTCCAGTTCTTGACTGTTTCTCTCATAGTTTGATTTGCAGAGTCCATAACTATATTCTCAAATTAATATGAACCTTATCTGTCTGCAGAGGTTGCTAGCTAAGTATGGGTCTCAAATCTCTGTGATCTCAATTGTGGTTCTGTTCATCTACCTGATCGTTACCCCATCAAAATCCAGTGGTGCAAAAGCAAGCAAGAAGCGCTGAGTATTGTAGCTGAGCTGAGAAAAACTAAATTAATGGCCTGTCTGCACTCAATGCATGAGCCTTTCTTTCTATTTGCAGTTAAAACAGGGTTTTCCTTCATTTTTTAGAACCTTTGTCGTCGGGATTTTTCTAATTAAATGGTTATTAAATGAGTTTAGTGCAAGATGAATCAGCTGATTCTTACGGCCTAGGCGTAGGCTTGATAAAAAAGGTGATGTGAAGGAAATAATCTGTGACAATATTGAAATTTAATGCTTCTACTTATCTTTTCTATTTAATGATGTGATATGTGAAGTGTAAACAGCTTTAGATGTCATGAAGTTGCTCATACTCCAGTTAGGGATGAGATATCTCTTCCCATTTGCCTTACAAAGGCTTCTATCCTTGAAGAAGAACCGCCGTGGTACGCGGCTGTAGCTGTAAAATTCAAATGGCCTTTTGTTTCTTTGCCTTCGTATCCATTTTAAGCGTTACAATGCAAGTATTAGAATTCGGAATTCTCAATTCACAATCCAAACTACTAAGTAGTTAAATATAATTTTTCTGTGTCTATTTCGTTTTTTTTCCCCCTTCTTTCTGTCTAAGAAAGAAGCCCTAATATTTTTATAATAGTACTAGTAAAAATAATAATGTAACAAAATTTTTATAATGCAAATTTATAGAACTAATAAAAATAATAATGTAACAAAAGTAGGTAAGAAAAATTTTTTTATGCACATTCTTCTACTTATTTTGAACAACGGGAATACCTAAACTACCCAACTAACTAATCCCAAAGCCTAGTTAAAATGGTAGAAGAGTTGCCCGTATTGATCCATATACGGATTTGCAATATGTAGTGTACGAGGCATTAGGAGCACAGGCACTCGCAAATATTGTGTTGGCCACTCAAGATTAAGTTGCTTATTATGAAAAAAAAAAAAAAAAAGAAGAAAGAAGGCAATTCTAGTTTGTGTTTTACAAGTTTCATTAAATGAAATGATAATAGGAATAATATAGTATGAGGTTTTTGATTTTCTTGATTATACGATCGTATATATCTTCATGATTTGTCTGGACCTATGAAGTTCTAAGTAATATAACGTTTATGGTATGTTAATAAATGAATATTCTTATTTATTATTGCACTGTAAGCATACACTCTGTATCTTCTGTATAATAAATACATGAAAAGAGTATGACCTAATAAAAGAAGAAAATTAAAGTAAACTATTTTAATATCTTAATAAGGTCATAAAAAGATCCAACTCTGTTCAAACAAGTTTTTCATTACCATTTCATTGATGGCATATGCTATTGTCTTGAAACACATAACTCTAGATTGAGTGAATGGGGGGGCACAAGGCCATTGTTGAGAAAACATAATCTCCTTGCAAATCTTTTTGAGAATTCCCCCGTCAACTCCTATCTTTTGTTCAAGTAAATCCGCATTAATTATCAAACTAACAAGAAGATTGAAAAATGGAAGAATGATGTTTATTCAAATCTTAAATTAATTAAAAATTAAAAATTTAATTCATTTATATAATCATCTTTAACAGATGACATCAACAAATTTGAATTCAAATTTTAATAACTACTTCCCTTTTTTTGTCGTCAGGCTTCGGCTTCTTTTGTACAAAGAAAATAACCTTAATTAATTAATACTTGTTTGCTTACATATGTGATAGAACTATCATTTCAGCATATAAACCCAAGAATTTTTCCTCTTTTGGTATGGCAACGAGTCCTCAGGTTTCGACAACCCACTCCATTTATACTTTGCCTCCATTCTTCTCATCTATAAATTCACCCAGACTCTCCATTACTATTCGCACTACCCTTTCCTGCTTCCTTTCCTTACATTATATTTCTGCTTCCATATGGATAGCTCTCTTTTGACCTTCCTTGTGAACACCCCCGAACGCTCTGTCCCTTACCCTTGGGAGCGTGTGTTTGATTTGAGGGTTTGATTTATATTTATATATACATATGAACTCTTCACAAGCTGTTTTTTTCCTTTTCCTTGTTTTAATTATTTTATATGCATATGATCATTTTGTTGTCATTATTTTTTATATATATGAACATGATTGCATGCAGTTAAAGATGATCTTCTACAAAAATGATGTAAGTGAAAGTCTGGTGGCTGACCTGAGAAGCAAAGTGAATCTAGGAGGTGGGATGTTTCATGAGAGCAGTTTATGGAGGAGAATAACAGGCAGCTCCATCGAACATTCTCGGTACTGCCATATTAGAAGGATATATGATCAAGACCATCCTTTTGTTCTCCAAGCAAGCTGCTGTTGTGGACCCTTGATGTACCTCATCGTGCCAGAACCAGTCTGGTGTTGCCCACTCTGCGGTTCTTCCTTCCCTATCTTCTGCTGAATCCTGAAAATTAACCATTAAGTTTCTCATATAGGGTTTTTGTTCTTGCTTATCTTTCTCAAATTAAGTAATCATTTTGCCTGTTGCTGTCATGTTTTCTTCTTGGTTACTTTGTCTTGTGAAACTGCTTGGTGCGCGATTATGGTGATATGGTCAAGTGAAAACAAAAACAGTCATGAGCTGGGATTAATTGATAATTAATATTAATTAGCACTACCATTTAATTAGGGTCGAGGGGGTATTATTAATCACTTATATTTGAAGGGTAGGCAACTCTTTATTTTTTTAATCGAGTCTTAACTGAGATATATGCAAACATTACTTACAAGTTTGTTCATTGGATTTTGCTATCAAGATTAATATTATTTTAAGGTTAATTAATTTATAGTATAATTTTAAATGCAATAATTGACAATTTGTTCATGATTTTGAATGCATGGGGTTAAAATATTATTTTGAATAATAATATTAAAGAATATACTTAAAGAACCAGTTAGCAAAATCTTTATTTTAATTAAAAAATCAATCACATGTTTGTACAATAAATTTTACATATCACGCCATTTTATTAAACTATGACAATTATATATGTAATAAGAAGGAATTTATCTCTTAAATTGAGTAATCTATAAACTGTCAAATTAATTACATTTAAATTACGTCATATAAACTAGAATTAACATTTCGTTTTTAGCATGGCGATTTACATTTAGAAAAGTATAGCACTTTTTCAAAAAAAACAAAAAAAAAGTATAGCCCTTGTTAATTATATCATTTTATCATCGTTTACATTAAGCTTCAATTATATCATGAAATCAATTACATCAATTATATATAAAATTATATATATGTCAATAAGAAGGTCATCATATTTTTTAGTATTCAAAATATAAAAAAAAAAATTTATATATATACACGTATGTAATTAATTATATTTCTAAAAATATATAACTAATATAATAAAAGAAAATGAGAGTTAGTTCTTGGAAATTTGTGTACTTAACAGACTAATTAATAACATATTTGGATTTTTATGCATTGGCATATTCTTAGTTAAACTTTTTTACTCTACTAACTCCACCTAAAACAACTATTTTTTTTTCTCGTCACTGTGAGAACGAAATTTGAATAATCGATATGATAGAAAAAGGGTGACCCCAAAGAATAACAAGTCGTTGTAGTATAGTGGTGAGTATTCCCGCCTGTCACGCGGGCGACCCGGGTTCGATCCCCGGCAACGGCGGTGAACTTTTTTCACTTTTGACCTTTTGTCTATTGCATAATGGTAGAGAGAATAGATTATAGAAAGTACAGATGTTTCATTTAATTTTACAAAAATGGAACAATCAAACAAATCCAAGACAGATGCAACAGATGAAGAAAATCTCTTGCTAAAGAGAGATCAAAGTAAAAAAAGAAACTGTAAATATATATATATATATATATATATCTCTTTATGCAACAGGTGCAGGTTGAACAGCAATCCCAGATGCTACAAAATTGGAGAGACTCTCGGAGAGATGCTTGGACGCTTTCTCGTAATTAACAAAACCCATGTACCAGAAATCATGTCCATCCACTGTAACAATCTGGATATATTTCTCTGATGGATTCTCCCTCATTATTACAGGGTTGATTATGCCAACTTTGCTCAAAGGTACCATAACCTGAAAATTTTCCAAGCAACTGAATTAGTCCCACTCCCATCAGTATAACATAAGGGAAGAAAGGATTATACAATTGACAAAAGTTCTTATTGTGAAGCTAACATGTTAGTCACTGTACCTTGTAATAGCTCCAGGTTATCTGGCCTGAAGGTGCAGTGAAAGACAAGGGGCGATCACTGCAAAAAGCGACTTGAATATTGGATAAATAAAGAGTTCCAGCAACGGGTCCAGTTGAGGTGGATAAATAGCAGGCGAATGACTTCTTCAGCGTCTCATTTGAATAAGTCGCGAATGTTTGCTTGTAAAGAGACTCGAATCCACCGCCTGTTAGTGCTTTTGCTGTCAGATTCATCTTCCCCCAGGCAGCTTCAGATACAGATGATCCAGTTCTAACTGTTTAAGAAGAACAACAACAATGTTAAAAGGGCAATCAAAACTAGATTATAAGGAAATCTGAGAGATTTTGAAACATACGATTGCGCCAGATATTGTTGGCCATGGTCTCAGCTTTGTGGCTCCAGGAGTTGAAGAATTGAAGCATGGATTGCATTGGGCTACTGCTTGATTTTTCTATAGGGGAGTATTGGAGATATGGATAATGGAAATATTGAGCCTGGTCACCAGCACCCCACAAGGCTGCCTTCTTGTTGTCTGGATGGCAAGTGGGAACAGCTGGTGCTCCCATGATATGAGTCCCCCATTTCTCAGAATTCTGATCAAACGGTTGTGGAGGAACGGGAGGCGTTGATGATGAGGATGCTGCAGCTGCAGACTGCATCTGTGGCTGTTTCTCATGTACGCTTGTTTGATGGAAAGGGTTTGAATCTTCTTCCATGGGAGGGGAGATAGAGGGGTAATGAGGCTGTGATTCTTTGCTGCTGCTATTCATTTTGGTAAACAGAGAATTCAATGCAAACTAGGCTTCTTTGCTGTGGTTTTTGATTCAATTTTTAGCTGTGAATATTGCAAGTGTTTGAAAGAGAGGGTTGGCTATAAATGAACCAACATGGATAGCCAAGGCGCGTGTATTGGTTCTGGAATTGTACAAGAAAATTAATATTTTCTGTGGAGCAGGTAGGAAGGAACTGAGGTCTGTGAAAGCGAAAACTTTGACTTTGAGGTAGGGAAGATACGTTTCGTTGATGTTATCTATCTTGGTTGCTTAGGCGTGTCCATTCCATCGGTTTGCTTACTCGTTAATCTTTGCAGTTTTTTTATTCATGTTGAAAATTTTTTGTTGCAATAAAAAATACACCTTCTAGAGAATTGTTGGGTTTGGCCTTTCCTTTTGGGTTCTACAAGGTCCATCACAATTCACAGGCTATTGTACTCCTGGATAATGAAACCAATATTTTTCCAGCATGTAGCGACATGTCCTGACCCTAGGACGAATAGGCTCTTTTCACCCAAAAGAAAAAGGCTCGGCTCGCTTAAATTTTTTAATAAAAGAAAACAAGCAATGATCTGATGTGGCATGAAATGATTGGAGACATGTGGCCTTTCCATCAAAAACTAAACTCCCTCTGCCTTCATATAGAAATTGTCCCAACGTTTGTTGTGGCTTTGAACATCTCCAGGGTTAGGACTTAGGACACATACAACAGGCAGGCAAACCCATCAACAATGAGTTACCAGAGAGTTCCTCAAGACCCTTATCCTCCTCCTGGTAAAATAAAACAACTCTCCAATCCTTCCACTTCTTAATTTCGTATTTAATAATTTAATTCTGTTTCCTTGAATTTTACTATTTCAACAACAGGCTACGCCTCTCCATATTCAGCACCACCCCCTCCAGGATACCCTTCTGCGCCGCCACCACCGTCTCTGCCACCTTACGAACGCTATCCGCCGCCGCCGCCAGGATATCCAGCGTATCCTCAGCCTCCACACCAGCCGTACGAGGGGTACCAAGGGTATTTTGCAGGTGGGTATCCACCACCTCCCGGTCCTCCTCAATATCAACACTGCCATCACTATGAGCATCACCATTTCCAGAATCAATCTGATGCGGGCTGTTTCTCTTTCTTACAAGGCTGGTACGTATTTTTGTTGCATTTCCTTGTTTTCTTTTGTTATGGGTTGATTCGTTTGGTGCTTAAAGATCTGAGTTTTTGTTGCTTAATATGTGGAATTTATAATTCGATTATTCGAAAGTTCAAGCTTTAGTTTTTAGTATTGGATCACGGAACTGGGTGTGCTAAACGAATTCTGTGATCATGCTCAAACGAAACTAGAAAGTTAAAAGGGAAACCTTTAAAAGAGAAAGGAATAAGGGAAAAAAAAACGTTCTGATGAAGGTCTCCTTATTTGTTGATCATTCATGGAACTTTATTTAGCATTACTGTAACAGTTGGATTCTCTTAGGCTAATTTGATCACAGTGTAATGTATTAACTATGTCATGTTACCCAGTTATTTAGTATGTAAATTGTTTCGTTCCAATTAGGCATCAGCGCTATCTTGGAAGGTCATAGGATTTGATAGGGCTTTGTATATGTTGCATGAGTATGTTGCTTTTATTTGATCCTTAGTTCTAATGTCTCTTATATTACACATTTAAATAGGTAGATGCATCCTCCACGGCATTTAATCTTTAGATTAGATGAGCGTCATTGATGTGTGAATGTAAGTGAGGTTTATATTTCTCAAGTGAAGCCTATTATCCATGTATTATTGCCTGTTCAATATAATCAGTTTTATGCAGAAGATTGTTTTTAGAGGTGTAGACCAAAAACCTTGAATTAATGAAGGTTAAAAATTACAGTTATGTAGTAGATTGCCTGTTCAATATGCGTTGCCATCATGATTTGGACATGATTTGGACAAGTTGTTTAGGATGTGCTTTATAAATGCTACTCTAGCATTCTTGTTAAGGGAGCAGACCCTCTCTTTGACAGTGTTGTTGCCTAGGAGTTTTTTGGTGTGATACCCCCATGGACTTGTGGCAAATTCTTGGATACTTTAGATAGAGCCTATGCTAGAAGACTGCTAAGGGTCATTGGATTTGTAATTCAAGCTTGAACATGTGCTTGGCTTTCAGATTGCATTTGCAAATATAAGGATGTACTTAAGTTGGGCATTCTTGATTTCATGCTTCTGAAGCTTTACATAACAAAGCTTATGTGGCCTTTTCCACTTGTTGAATTGATTTTTGTATTTTTAAGTGAGAATCAGATTGTGTATACGTGTTTCCAGAGTTTAACATGGGAATTAGAGAATTTGGCATGTACAAATTCATTGTCACAAGTAATTATTAGTAACACTATGGCTTCCTTGTGGTTGTTTAACAACCTTGGGCCTTGTTATTATACATTTACTGTTTGTTTAATCCTTTCAGTTATGGTTTGAAGTGGTCTTAGGCTTTATTTAACTACTGAACTTGAACATTGGTGTCTTTTGGTAACTTTTTGACATTTATCATTTATAGGTCCTTATTTTGGATAACATACAATTTTTAGATTCTTTGCTTGTTATTGTATGTGATTGCTTATTGATGGCATAATGCATTTTGTATGTATGCAGTTTGGCCGCTCTATGTTGCTGCTGCATGTTGGAGGAATGCTGCTTCTTCTTATGATCATTCATGAAGGATGAATTACATCATTTACATTTGTGGTTTTTCAACACTTAGTTGCTACTATTTGGAGGAGAAATGCTGCTTCTAATGAGTTCTACATGGCATTTTATGGGTGTTGTTACTGTTGTCTAAACAGTCATATCATATGCTTGTCCTGGGTTCCGTACCCATCGGATTTTATAGTTTATCTACTCAAACTTTGTAAATACAAGTTTGCATTATAAATGCAGCTCCTGGTTCTCATTGTGTATCAATTTATTTAATTGTATCTTTTGTGTGGGCTTTCATCATGCAGATGTTTCTCACGGCTCAAGTTCTCTTTTCTTTCACTTTTCAATGAAAGATGGCTTGTTGTATCTACATTGAGAATGGCCATTGATGAAGACATTAGAATTAAACTCCTGCTCTTATAAGCAATCATGAGGTTTAAAATGTTGACCGCCTGCTTTTCAAAACCATGTATCCAGTATCTTAACCCTGCCCTTCTTTGTTTAGTTTTCCTATGCTACAAGGCACAGCTAAAGAAGATCCTGTTAAACTTCAGCATTAAGTTTTGTAAACATTAACATAGGAACTTCCAGAAGAATAGTGTATTCTGAAGTTTGACCATGATTTACCTCGAGGCTCCTCGAACAATCGATGTCAACATCTACAGCAGTCGCCGAGTTTTGCAAAAGAAAATTTTGGATTCTTCTGCTCCCATGACTTAAAGCTCAAGGGAATATGCAAAATGATAACCGCCAGGAAAACCTAGTTAAGATTGTTTGCAAATATCTTAACGACTCATCCATTTTGTTATTTCCAACTTGAAAGGATGATTGCGCTCAGGATTCAAAGACCTTACTACTATTTGAAATGATTGGAGTCAATAACCACATTGCCTCCATCCGCAGATCCTGAAGTCATCCCCACTAATGTTCTACAATTTCATAAAACCAACATACGCTAATCATGAGAGGCTTAGTTCCTGATGAACCGACCTCTCCTGGACGGCCCCAGCTTTGCAGAGCTTCTTCTTCCAACAGCTCTTCAAAAGTTCGAACTGTTTCTAGAAAAATTTTCTCTAGTCAACCCACCAATAGTCTTACGCGGCGTGATCCAAATGAAACCCAAGTTCATTGCTGGAAATGATGGCAAATTTCAGTGGTTGGTTCTGGCAGGTACCAGAACAGATCGAGGATTACAAATAGCAAATCTAGTAATTAAACAACAGTAGCATACAGCAAAATCACCAAAAAGCTAAGAATCCATTAAAATCAGTTGGCCTAACAACTACTTAAATAAGTAGCAAAGATATGGCATAGATAAAACAATGCACCTACAAAATCCACACAAATTCTGGTGCATCTTTCCTGTGCCCAACCAATGTTCGATATAGATACATCTTGTCTACCGTCCTATCATCGAGGCTAAATTCCATCTGTTGACTTTCATTTATGATCTCCACACTCAGGCTTGGCATCTTCTCTGCAAGTGTCTTGCATCCTCCAAGGGTAACTTCGCAGGAGGACATCCAAAGGGATCGCATTGTTTCATACTTTCCCACGTCCTCTAGAAGTGCTGCGTTACCAAAGGGGCTGTCCCTGATCTCTAGCTTGCGAAGTTTCTTGCAACCATTCAACACATAGAGCATTCCTTCGTCACTGTCACCAGCAAAAGCAATGGACAGCATTTCAAGCTGCTTAGCATACATTCCTATGTAAAGAAAAACCTGATCAGAAAGAAGGCCAGAGAGTGATAACCGCTTAAGACCCTCACAAGACTCAACAATTGCCCCAAATCCTTCATCCAATGGCCGATTTGTTACAGGGTCAGGTTTTATGGGGTCAAGGATGCACAATCTGAAGCAGATAAAATTCGGACAGTTCTTGGCTACAGTTATGAGGGCAGCATTGGTCATCTGCTGACAGAAATACAGCAATGAATTGAGCTTAGGACAGCCTGCGGATATAAGGACCAAACCTTCCTCTGTAACAGCAGCATTTCCAGCCCCAAGGGGATCAGTCGGAAAAACCCTCAATTCCTGCAATTCTTTACATGTTGAAGCTACAACTCCTAGTCCTTTGTCTCCAATATAATCCAGTATCTGCAACAATGTATATTGATTATAGTCATTCAACTAATTTACATGGACCCCTACAACTGGATTGCAAATAATTAAAGATCATACCCATAGACGCTGAAGTTTCCTGCAGTGCTGAATCAGCTTTGTGAGCTCATTACCACTAAGGCCTGGCGCATAGCTCAAGTTCAAGAAGGTCAGGTTTGCACAAATTGGATAAATAGCTGACATGCATCGGGGATTAACCTCCAAAAACCCTGATAAACTCCTGATTGATTTGCACCTTTGAATGGCAGATTTCAATCTGTTATAGGCCTCAGAAGATGGATCAGGTACATAAGACCCAGTACCCAAGTCCAACAGCTGAGGTGCTTGCATCAATAGTTTTTCAAGGGTATCAAAAGGCACCGCACGGTTTAGCCTCAAACTCTTGAGGTTGGGAGATCTTGCCACAAGTCTTTCAAGAGCTCCTAAATTTATTTCTCCTTTGAGGCATGCAAAATTCAGGGAGACAAGAGATGTACAACTTTCAGGAAAGCAACTAAGCCAATGGCCTCTATGATCATCAACTTCATTTTCTTGCAAATCCAGCTCCCTAAGAAACCTAGAATCAAATAAAGGCAAAGAGAGAATGAATTAAAAGCCCCACCATTAAATGCTTTGCTATCATACTCAGCAAAGACCAAAAAACAAGTAATAATATCGTGAAAACCTATAGCAATATAAATCCACCAATTGAAGGAAGCAATGAGTGGTTAGAAAAATCACAGGCAGATATACATAGGGTTTCAGAAGTACGGTTCCTTGAATTGTTAAGACCTGCAGCTAAGAAGTTGCATAGTCAGATTGCAAAAGAGAAACCTTTGCCAGTTAAGCTGCAAGCGGACAATTCAACAATTCAAGTAGCTAACAAAAAAATAAACATAAAACTAGCATCACTTGAACACAGATATTCAGCTTAAAGTAAATAGACCACTTTAAATAAATGAATGCTTTGAACAAATCATAACCCACAAAGCAAAAAGTCAAAAATCAAATAACCACTAAGAATCTCATAAAGACAAGGTCATAGCAAGTCCCGAATGGAGAAAATCATCAAAAAAAAAAAAATCTTACCTGCAGTTGGCAGCAATAGCAGCAAGACCATCAGTAGTGAACCCTTCACAGCTAACAAGAACCAAAGACTTAAAATTGACAAAGGATTTTGAAAGCAGCTCAAGGCTCTCATCTGACACCACCATCCTCTTAAGTCTAAGCTCTTCCAATCCGATTCTACTCTTTGCCAAGGCTTCGATCCAAGGATAAAGGAAACCACCCCAATCATGTGGCACCAAATTAAAGTCAGCAAAATGCGGCTTCCCTTTCAAAGTCAGTGACTTCAAACCTGGAAATCTGGCGATTAACCTCTCTGGACAGGTTGAATAACAGTTTCCAATGAAAACCCTTTGCCTGCTGTATCTTTCGATTTTGAACCATGATTTGCAAACTAAAGACACTGAGTTCCGGTCTTTATGAGATGTAATGAAATCAAAAACGGGTTCTAAAACTTCATCTGGGAAATAATTCATCTTTATTTTTTCTACTTCCCCAGAACATACACAGTGTTTTTCTTTTTACCGAGAAAACCAGGGAAAAGAAAAGAAAAAAAATGAAGACTTTCCTACCTGAAAAGGCAGAGATCTTGATGAAATCTACAAGAATGAGACCAGATCTGAAGATTTTAACTAAGACCCATAGTGGAAAAAGAAAAAGAGGAAGCTTTTTCTTTAAAAACTATCAAAACTCTTTTAAGAACCCTAGTGAAAGAGAGTGAAAATGATTTCGAATTCTCTCGAGTAAAAAAAAAAAAAAAAAAGAGATCTTTTTGGATTGAAAATGAAGGGAAAAAATGGGTACTTCTGAACGATTATCTTCAAAAATCAAAGAACTATAATTGCATTACAGTTTAAAAACAAAAGAAAACCCACGAAAGAAAAAATCCATCGAAATTTTCATAAATCTGAAAAATTTTAACTAGTACAAGTGGAAAACTGTTATCTGAATCGAAATCTAATAACAACAAACAAAAAAGAGAGAGAAAAATAAAAGGAAAAGAAAAAACCAGAAAATTAGAAACTCTCCCTCTTTTTTTTTTTTTCACAAAACCAGTTGGAAAGTATTCAACTCGGTTTAGAAGTCGAAGTTGAGAGAGAGAGAGAGAGCTAAACTGAAGTAACCATGGTTGGTTTTGCTGAGCCATAGCTAAATTTGTTTATGATCGAGCGGTTAGTATTATTTTGATGAGAAAATTAAGAGAATCTTAACCGTCCGAAAGTTTAGCATGCATCTGTTCTTATCTCTGGTTTTGAGTCTTGTAATAAAGCGACCAGTAATGGGCTGTCAGAAAAACAACTCTGTTTTTCAATCTAATAACGAGAATGCCATACTGCAGATATCCTTTCACTCGCGCGAGTGTATGTATTCACTGTTTCAGTCGAAGACACCTAATGTTCGGGGCATAGTAGAAGCCAAGAGTGACAATTTGATATTAGAGAAGCGATTAGTGGTTATTGTAATCGCGGTGGTGGGTTTAGATTGCTTCAGGAATTGAACTTGCTTGCGTCTTTTTGCTCTGTTTTGTTTTCCTTCTTTACCGCGTTGGGTTTTTGGCCTTTTGGGAGTGATGTCTGCGTGTGCGGATAAACTTGAATCATTGGTTTCATTTTAAACATCAGTAAAAAAAAAAAAAAAAGAAAAGAAGAAGAAAGGGAGAAAATGATTTTGACAAAATTAAAGTCTGCTTTAAGGTTCATTAATAATGGCAAAGGGGTTACGTTTGGGTCAGAACATCATCAAAGCTTTAATCAACCCTAAACAAGGAATGAAGGAATGTTAGACTTAATTGTATACACTGTATGTATGATTGATGTTTTTCTGATGTTGCTAGGAAAAATTTTTTGGATTGACTTTTTTTGAGTTTGTGCCTAAATTTTGTTAACATTTAATGAGCACTGAATTTGATTATAATGCAATGATTGTTGCAAAACTTGTCCTTGAAAGCAACTTTATTAGGGCTATGAGATCCGACCGAGCTTGAACGGGGGATTCTCAACAGCTTTTATCCCTTCTAATTGTATTTTTACCATTGTTAACGTGTCTAGTTTCTCATTGAAGAAATACACACCAACACCTACAGCCAGGTAATGTGATGTAGGTGCAACAAAGAATTTTACATGGCTAAAGGATTGGTCGATTCTTTTGCTCTTACTTTTCCTGCAAAGAACCCATTTTTAACAACCATGATCCTCCAAGGGGAAAGAAAAAGTGAGTTTCTTTAGTCAAAGCTGGTCAAATTAAAGATTGATGAGTGATTCTCAGCAGTTTAATTAATAGAAAGAATGTCTGCTATTTCAAGTATGAACAGTAACGAAGAGTTGTTTGGTAAACAAAATCAGCATATAATAAAGTTATAAAAATGATTCAAGTAAAGACTTGTTAACTTTCCATGGTTTTAGTTGTGGTTTTATCCAATCATTTATCACATTGACTAAATGCCATACGCCTCTCAATTATCAACTTTTCTTTTTGTTTCCTCCACCAATATCCTCATTTAGGAACAAATTAAAGCTGGCCTTCAAGTCAAACAGCGAAAAAAGATCTTTGTAGTCCTTATCTTTTGTGGAAATGCATGTTAGTTGAGGTCCCCATTGACAAAAAAATAAAGATCATTTCTGAAAATGTCTTCAACTTTCTGATCAACCTTATACCTACTACTAATGCTTGCATTCCACACTAATGAAATAACTGCAAGGACTGTTGTTTTCGCACCCCTTCGAAGAGATTAAAACCTGGAAAAACTCCTTGCTCTAGTTCTCGTCTCTTTCTTTTTTGCATTACCATTTCTTGGTCACCCTGACCAGAAACAGATGGATGTCCATGTCACATTCAAGTGTAGGGGAAATCTATTCCCCTCTGTTCGAAGACCTGGATTAGCAGGGTGTTTTAGAGCCAAAAGTAACAAGCATAACTCAAACGAGTACTGAAATATGATGTATGCTTCGACTGTAGCCTGAAAGAGCCTAGTGTTTTTGGGCATTTTCTGTTGCAAGTGTGAGAATATGTGAAATAAAACTTAAGCTGGGATTCCAATTTTCCTTTCTTTGGCTGACAAATAAATCTTTGTCATTTTCTAAGATATAATAGATCAATTATGTTGTAGCAGGAGTGTCCCATTTGTTGCTTCCACACCAATCACCATTCTAGTTCTTGGCAGATTGCCACCCTTGGATATACTGGCAAGTTAGTATTCTATTTACCATTATTAGTAACCTTCCTGTGGAAGACACACTGTAAAATCATGATTGAGACATTTCATCCTTTGAGTATTACAGAGAGAGCATCCATTGATCAGCTAGGAATTCACCAAAACTAATTGGTAAAAAGAAGTTGCAGTTTAGGAACAAAATTCCATCAACCCCTTCAGTACAGATAGCAGATACATAGTGCATTTTCTACATTGAAAATATGAAAGATGACTAGCGTTTTATAAAAGGCATCTATCATTATTTTGTAAAGTGGTTTAGAGAGATGTTGGTAGAAGTAAAACCTTAGGATTCCTTTTGGATGTAATTCTAACATAATTTGAATTTTCCTTCTTCCCTTTGATTCCATACTTCCCATTTTGAAGCATTTTGGTGTCCTCCAAGAAAATCCAAGCACAAATGAGGGCTCATTGCTGATGTTCTTTCGGTCTGGTATATATCAGAACAGTAATTATAATTTCTCTGTTATTGATAAACTACATATCCCTGGGATCAGAAATGGCGCTAGCAATGAGAGAAGATAAGGATTTAAAGTTTGACAGGCAATCCTTCATCAAGGAAAATGTTTTTCATTTCTTCAGTATTGAAGAGGGCGAGCATGGATGCCAGCACTAGTCAGTAACCCACCTATGCAAAAAGTCTTCGTAGCTGTGTTTGATTTTGTTGGTTTTCTGGGGCATGGCATAACATGCCTTTATAGTGTTGAAAATATGCAAATTCATTCAAATATTGCTGTACCCCATCACTTGATCGTGCCACGTGGAAGAGTCCAGTGGTATTGTAGCACCTGTTCTCCAAATTGTACCTACTACTACAGTACTACTACTAGTATCCTACACAGCTATAAAGAAAAACAAAAAACAAAAAGAGATTTGGATTCAAAAGCCATGCCCATGTGATGGTGGGGCTTCAAAATTATTCTTAACGTTAGTAGGATTAGAATTTAGAAGATGATTCTTTTGCTACAACTTCAATTTAAATTATTCAATGGCCTAACATGGGTCACAACTCAGAAGAGTTGTACAAAGCTTTGTTGAACCAGTTTAGCATGGTCAAGCCTCCTCCTTTCCTTTGAAGCTTCAATTCAAAGGGATTTTTTTTTTCTTTCAAAATGTTGTTGTCACTTTGGGAAGTTCAGTAGTATGCACATCCAAAAAGAAGGTGGGTTTGGTGTGAAATCTTATGACTTTATGCTTCAAAAAATTCTGGGGGTTTTAAAATGAAAAAGATGTCTGAGACTAATAAAAAGTGATTAAGAGAAAAGGGGCGGGGAAGAGTAACATGTGCATCCAAAATGTTTTTGGACTAAATAAAGGGGGTTTATAGGCTGGCAAACTTTTGTCTGATATTAGGGCTGTGACCCTCAACAATTAATTCAATAAGCAACCAATATAAAACAAGCCATGACGTAGGTTAATTGAAGCACCACAAATAATCCAATGAGAGCATTAATGTAATTTGCAAATTGAAGAGGGAGTGGTTAGGCCAAAAAAGTTTTGGCTAATAAAATACTATAATTATTGCCCCACATATAATTACAAGGAGAAGAACATAATTGAAAGTGAAAGCCAAAGAAAAAAAAAACGAAAAACGAAAAACGAAAAGAAAGAAAGATATTCTTTAGAAAGTGGCGATGATCATTTCCATCTTCATATGCTCCTCCCTCCCATCATTTGCAAGAATTGCAACCATGTGAAGTACACAAAGGTTCAAAACCCAAAACAAAGATTATCCAACCAATTCAAGAAAACCTGAAAACAATTTGGGAATTATCATCTCCAAATATGAGACATGATTGATTTTTCAATGAGGGTTGAAATTATTGCATTAACTGTTGGACGAAATTAGGCGCATGATTTCATGCCACAGAGTTCTATTGGATTTAGGAAGGAAAGCTGTAAGGGGCATGCCGCATGAAGATGGAGTGTTTTGTGGTCCAAAATGTTTTAAGGCAACATATCATTGTTAGAAGAGGATGGGGGCTTTAGCTTGAAAGGGAGTTGAAACATAAGAAGTCGCTTTAAGCGTCTTCGGAGACGATCCAAAGACTGACCAAAGACAAAAGTCCCACGTTTCATCCGATGGGAGTAAATTTGAAATGGGCAACGACAAGGAAAATGAAGGATAAGGTAAAGGACCACAAAAAATGGTCGCTTGATGTCCACTTGTCTTCTTTTCTAAAGGGAGTAAGAAGAGGCAAAGCCGAACCTAACATATGGCATTGCATGTCCATTGTTCCCTCATGTCAGCTGGTCCAAGTTAAGAGTTATTCATTTCTTTCTTTTAATTTTTTTTCAATTTTCCAGTAGACTTTTTTGGGAGTGATAATAGGATTGACTGAGTGGAATAAGAAAGAGCAGACTATATTAATAGCAAGCCCAAGGATTGATCTGTATTTCTACATAATACAATTGACTATATAGGCTATGAAACCAGGGCGGATGAAAGACTAACAGTGGATCGTAGTCTAAGCATAATTGGGCCATTACATGGACCATTGGCATTGCCCAAACAGCCTGCCAGAAAAGGAGCGGATGGTTTTGCACTCCTAGCGCTTGTCTTCTCCGCCTTCCTTTAAAAATGATTGCTTAAAATGAATGTAAAACAAGAATTTGCTTCTAATAGGACAGGTCAGTTCGTATGCATATTTGTAATTAAATCAACGCATCTGCGACCCGTGAATTCAAAAGCTAAAATCCCCACACGGATTTGTGCCAAATGTTATCTGCATATGCAGCAAAACCGTTTGGCAAATCAGAAGTCTGAAAGCAGCAACTGATCTGCCACATGCAGCATTTGACAAACACAGTAACACACTGGTTTAACAGTCCTGGTTCACACCAAAAGCCACCGCCTCTGTCTCTCTCCTTCTCTCTGTGTGTGCTTATGATCCTATCAATTGTCTAACTGCATTCACAAAAACTGCCAACTTATTTAACATCTATTTTGTTGCCAAATATTATGTTTGTAGTCACTTGTATTATTCACACAAACTAACTTCAACTGAGACGAGACTTTTCATGTTATCCGATCAAACCTGTGGGGAGAAGAAATCTAAGAGTGAAGACTGAAGAGTAAGCGTGATATTTTTCAATCCCAAAGTGCATGCAAGACCAGCCTCCACACATGGTTGCTAGCTAACAATTTTAACAAAAACTAATATTTAAAACCAGAAAAACAACACACGCAAAACCCCTTGTGCCAAAATTAATGATGGAATGACAGGATTTTCGTACCAACAACAATTCAGAGAGTTCTCTTGCCATAAGATCAGCCAAGGATAGTCCACCCTTGAATTACATGATGGCCATGAATAGGAACTGACCTGGTGCTCAACGGGCTAACTCTAATTTAAAGTGGATCAATCAACTTTGCCTAAACACGCCACAGAGTCCAACGCCTCAAATCTTAAAATACAGAGTTTGAACTCAGTTAAGAGGAAGAAGAAGATGCTTTATATGCTTGACAGCTCATTGTTTCACATTATGATCCCTAGCACCAATTATTTCTTGCAAGCTTTCCTTTTTTAATTAGCAACTTGACACTTAAAATGATCAAATATTCATCGATCCTTAACTACAAAATTTGCAGAACACAAAACATTCTTTTATAATAATCAGTAATTCTCAAAGTGCTCTCACACTTTTTCAATGAAATTTATCATTAACCCCAGCATGCAGTCTAGCTAGCCACATAAGAGCTCACGCAATTTCAGCCTAAACCATCTTCGGATGGGAGGAATACCAAGCACTGTTTTCAAATTAAGAAAAACTATGACAAGCTGTGATAAATTAATAGATAATTTGAAGACAAGGGCAGGCAAGAAGTAACATACTAAATACACTCAAACAAGATGAAAATCTCGTCAATTGCAAAACAAAAAGCCATGTCATTGCAGAAATGGAAGTGTCCAGAATACTAGCTAAAATCCATATGAAACGTTAAAAATTATGAACTCTTAAGACCCTAAACCACATTATTACAACTATCGTCGGGCATATTTCACCCTAGTAATAGCATTGAAAACAACATATGTCAACAACAGCAAACTAAGCTGATAGGTCTCAAGCTAAGATATACAGATTACAAGTAATGCTCTCCAGAATGAAAAGAACAAATGCCACACTAGTTTCCCATAAATCATTTACCCTCCTTCCAACATTTTAAGGATGTGTTCTTAAGTTTAAATGCGAAAAGGGACTTATTCGTGTATACATTATGGTCAATGGCAGAGGGACTATGATTCTCCTAACATTTTTCATCATGTTCTTTACGCACCTAGAGTAATCAAAGCTTTCATTTTGATCAAATTTCATAACCCCCTTATGAAAAATACCCATTGTTTAGGACCTTAATTTTGCCCCAATTTAGCTAATCCCCTCCCCTTTTTCAATCCAACTGTCTTCTTCATTTATCTTAAGGCATTTCAGAAACAATTGAAACAGGTAAAAAGACAAACAACGAAAAAGCTGAGGAATTTTGAAAGTAGACATTCTAGCATACTTAAAATTTTCAGTTACAAGTTACAATACAAAAATTAGCTAACACTAATCACTGAATCTAACTAACCTCCAAATTAAACCACAAAAATAGCGCTGAAATACAATCTTCCCCCAAAATTAAGCGTCGCTGTCATCGCTATCATGGCGTTCACCGTTGTTTCTGATATTTTTTGCAATACAAACCCCCGTTGCGCCACTCGCCGCCGCGTCCTAGACGGCAAAATATTATCCAAGTCAACCTCCGCCAATGGATCATCTGATAAATCACTCTCACCCTCTGATTCGTTCCCGCCATCATTCGAATCATCATCGTCATCGTCGCTATCCTTTTCCTCCTCTACCAAAATCCCCTTCCCTTTCCGGTCAACTGCCGCATTTCCGTTCTCCTCTTCCTCGTCATGATCATCGCCATCGTCGTCGTCTTCATAGTCATCGTCATCTTCTTCTTCTTCTTCTTCTTCTTCGGCGTCAACACCGGGTTCTTCATTCTCGGGCAGGGTTTTAGGGACGGAGGAATCGCTATTTCCGGAAGGTTGAAGAGCGTGATTCTGGGCCGAGTGATTTCCTTCGTTGGCTTGGATTGTTTCGTCTTGGGACAGGAGTTTTGGGGATTTAAGGGGGAGGTTTTGTTGGTAATCGGACGTGAGGTCAGGCTTGCGTTTGACGGGCAATGCAGGTTCTTGAGGGCTCTTGGATTCGGCCATTGGATTCGACGCAACGATTTTTCCCCTTTTTTTTCCTTTCTAGGTTAGTGGACAGGGCAGCCCTCTTTGGACGGGGGGGATTTGCAAAGGTCGGAATTTTAGGGTTTTTTTTTTTATTCTCTGTCTCGGTGGAAAATTTTTTATTTTGGTTTCTTTATTAATAGAGTCTAATATTTTTTAAGGTCTTTTTTCTAAAAAAAAAAAAAAGGAAGAAATAATTTTGATTAAATGAACACCAACTACAAATTGAAGAATTAATGCTTAATTTGAGAAATTTATTTATTTTTAATCCTTTAATTTTTTTTATAACATGCAGTAGTATTAACTTTTAATAATAAATAAATACAGATAATTTTTAATAAAATACTACTAGTAATTACTTTCATTTTTATTATAAAAAAAAAAAAAGTAAAAGCAAAGACCTTTTTATATACTTAGAAGAAAAATGGTTGTTTTAAGAAAACAAAAAAAAAAAGCACACGCCGTCGCCATAGCCTAAGAAGTTTGGGTGTAAGAGGAGGATGAGCCATCTTCAAATTGGGTAATCGGATCTCTTGGTGCTAGGATTGTGCAAAAATCAATTTTGATTTAAAAAAATTGATCAAAAATTGGTCTATAAATTAAATCGGTTTTGATTTTTTTGGTTATACATATTAAATCGGTTTGAATATTGGTTAAATTGATTTAGACGATCGATTTTTGGTTTTAAAATTTATGAATCGAACCAATCAAAAAACTTGATTAAATATTATTAAAATATTTTATATTTTTATTAATATAATTTTAATATTCTTTTTTATCTTTTACATTTTATAATTTACACAAAACTAATTAGCTAAAAGTAAAAGTATAAAACCAACCATATTTTTTTTGTAACTTTCTATCACTGGCGGCCAACACCCAAACACCTAGTAATTCTCACTGGCTCACCCACTCTTGCAACCATTTTTTTTGTAACTTTCACTCACCCTACTTGGAAGCCATTTCTTAATCGATCACTGATGGCCAACGCAAAAACACAACACCCAAACACCCACATAGTCACTCACCCTTACAATCATTTCCTGGTTGATTTCAAAAACGCAAGCTTTAATCGATGACCACTGACCACCGACGACCACTACAACTTTCAATAAACTCCTCTCATCTATCATAGCTCTTCATCTGCTCGCTCTTTTCTCTTCTGCAACTCAACTCAACTTAATTCAAAGGAAGATTTTTAATCCTTTTTTACCTTTTTTTTCTGTGCTTGAAACAGTAGGTTGTAACAAGTTTCAAAACTATTGCTAGTTATGTTTAAAGTTGCTTAATTTTGAGTCTTGGGAAAAGAAAGACTATTGCAATTAAATAGGAGTCATGGGTTTTGCTGTTGCTTTTTGTGTATCACCTTATTTTGGGATAAATTTGGAGTTTAAGCTTTAAAGCTTCGTTTTTTGAGTGAAAGCTATTATTTTTGAAAAGTTTCAGTGCAATTTGTCCATGAGTTAAGTGGGCATAGAGAAGATAAGACCACTCAAAACCTGATTGAAGATAAGACCTGGTTTTCCATCTTTTAAGTCATGCATGTGTTTTTTAGACTGAACTAAGAAAATCCATAATATACCTTTAGGAAATAATAGGTTCAGATTCAGTTCCAAAGCATTGGCCCATTTATTTCGGCTTTAGCGCCAAAGTCCATGGATTAAGTTTTAAAATTGGTGGTCTATACAATTCAGTGGAATGTGGGATTGAGATTTGAAACAATGGCCTATATTATTAGATTAAAACAGGAAATGCTAGTTTTAGAAAATCCACAATACATAACCTGTGCCTTTAGGAAATGATGGAATTCAATTGTAAAACAATGGCTTATAAAAATTTATTGCCTTATAGCTAGAGATTAGAGTCAGTAGTCGTATAAATAACATATTAGCTATGGCAGTTTAGAAAACATAGTTGTCCAACATATCTAGGCTCAACTGCTTGATTTATAGATGTGCTGCTGTAGCTTTACTATATTAGTTTCTGTTATAAAAAAAATTCTTACTAATTCAAGCAGCTTTCGTTAACTATTTTGTGGTATGTAGGGCATTTATAAACATAATGAAAAACTCTATCTCAAGAAAAGGTCTATAATTACATAATATATAACAAAAGCTAAAAAATAAAGTTAATATTAAAACAAATATTGTTGAATGGTGACAAATCCATTTGGTTTAACAGTTTTTGTCTTCCCATCATGACCACACTATAAGATTGACTTTAACCAATTACAAAGATTTTTTTGTTATTTGATTGGACATTTATTTTATTATTTGATTGAACATTTATTTTTAGCATGTAATGCATATTTGATTGGACATTTATTTTATTATTTTTTCAATTTGTATAAGACGTGTTTACTCTTGAAACTTACTTATATTTTATTATTTTTTTGTTGAAGATAAGTGATAAAGATATTATATAAACGGATACTATATCAATCCCTCAATATGAAGGAGACATACATGGAACAAAAAGTAAAGTTATGAGCATAAAATCGAAAAGGAAATGAACTAACACATGGTCAGAGGTATGGGATCATTTCATCAAATTTACTAGTGACAGTGGTGATCTCAAAGCTAGATGCAATTATTGTGATAGAGAATGTTATGCTCACCCTAAAAAAAGTAAAACATATGTATTAAAGAATCACATGGATATTTGTACTAAATTTTCTCATGCTAGTGACGATCATTCCCAAACGGAATTAGTTTTAAGCTCAGGAGGAGATGCGTCTTTAAGTACTTAAAAGTTTAATCAAGATGCCATTAGAAGAAATGTGGCTAAGATGATTATTATAAATGAATTGCCTTTTAGATTTGTTGAAGCTAAAGGATTTAGGCGTTGCATGTCTATTGCTTGCCCTAAGTTTTATATGCCATCATGATAGATTATTGCTAAAGATTGTTATGTAGATGAAAAAAATTTCCTAAAGTAAATTTTGAAATCGTCTACTATGAGAGTATATCTAACCATTGACATATCAACTTCATTACAAAAAGTCAATTATATGTGTCATACTACTCATTTTGTAGACAATGATTGAAATGTTAACAAAAGAATTTTAAACTTTTGTTCCATTTTTAGTCATAAAGGTGAGGCTATTGGTAGGCTAATTAAGAAACGTTTATGTGATTGAGGGATTGATAAAGTTTTCACTATCATAAATGATAATACCAGTTCTAATGATGTTGCAATCTCATACTTGAGAAAAAAATTTAATAATGCAAGAACTAGTATTGTAAGAGGCAAATATATTCATTTGAGATGCATTGCTCATATTATTAACCTTATTATGAGTGATAGGTTAAATGAATTAACTGATTTAGTTGCTCGTGTTAGAGGGATAATTCAATATGTGAAACAATCACCTCTAGGTTAACCAAATTTAAAGAATGTGTTATCAATGAACATATTCAAAGTAAAAGCTTATTATGTTTAGATGTTAGCACTGGATAGAACTCTACTTTTTTGGGTTAGAATAAGCTCAAAATTTTGAAACAGCTTTTGAGGTATATGATAATGTTGATCCTTATTATAGAACTAAATTTTTGTTGGGAAATGGAGTGTCCGATCAAAATGATTAGGCCAGTGTTAGGAAATTATGCCTTTTATTGTAAAAATTTCACAATCTTATAGTTAGAGTTTCAGGTTCTACATATGTCATCACTAATAATTTTCTTGAAGATATATGTGGTGTTTATGGTATTTTGCAAGATTGACAATTAAATGTTGATGTTGAGTTGAGTGCAATGGCTAAGAGAATGAAGGATAAGTATGACAAGTATTGAAGAAATATGAAGAAAATGAATATGTTATTTTATATTACTTTTATTTTTATCATTGGAAAAAAACTTGCATTTATGGAGTTTTACTTTATAAAAATGTATTCTCATGATCAAGCTTCAGTGATGATTAAAAAGTGTAAGAAGTAATAATTGAGTTGTTTGATGAATACAAAAACATGTTGCAACCTTAATCTGAACAAGTTGGTGATAGTAGCCATGCGAGTCAACCACCACCATCCACTAATAAATTTGGAATTGTCAACTTATATGACTCACAAGCTATTATGGCTAAGTTTAGGAGGTTTAGGAAACAACAAGGTAGAGAAGACAATAAATCAGAGTTGGATAAATATTTGAATGGGGAGCTTGATGCTATTAAAGATGAAGTGGACCTTAAAGTTCTTCTTTGGTGGAAACTTAATAGGCATATGTTTCGTATCTTTTTCTATCTAGTTCGTGATATGTTGGCGATTCCTATATTCATAGTTGATTCTGAATATGCTTTTAGTACTAGCAGCGTGTGCTAGATACATATAAGAGTTTTTTAACTCCTAAATTTGTTTAAGCTCTTATTTGTACTCAAGATTGGTTACGTTAAGCTATAAATTTCAATCTAAATGCCTTAGAGGATGAAATGGAATAACTTGATAAGATTGATTTGGGTAATTATTTTATTTATATCATTATTTTTCAATGCTTATTTCTTTAAATCTTTTAGTTAAAACTGATTTTTTTTATGTACTTTTAGATTTATCCAAGATTCGATTGGACCCCTTAATTGATTAGTAAAGTTTATTAATCAATTGACGTAATATTGGCATTACTTACATTGAATGTGATCCACACAGTTAAATTTTTCTTTTTTAGACAATTTTAAATGAAATAATTTTTTTATTGAATTGTGTTTTGCTTTTATTTATTTATTGTTGGAATTTTAAATGGTGTTGCTGCCCGCAACTTATTGCCTTTTGCTTGCTGCTACCTGCTGGATATTAATGTTTGAGACTTGAAATTTAAGTGCTATAATTGGTTAAAATGTTTATTGTTGCTTGTTGAATAGTGTTTGAGAATTAAACTTTATGGATTGTAATTTGCTATGTATTGTATGTGTTTATGTTGTTTAAGACTTAGACTTAGAGTTTATGAAGCTTGTATTTAGATTTTATTTGAGTATTGCTCAAAGATTTAGAGCTTATGTATTGCTCACTGACTTAGACTTTATAAAGCTTATGTGTTGCTTACTGATGTTATTTGCTACATAGACTTACTATGTATTGTATATTGCTCACTGATTTACAGTTTGAGACTAAATTTGTTACGTATGAAGCTTGTGTTTATGAAATTTGTGTTTAGATTTTATGAAGCTTGTGTTTATGAACTATATGAATTACATTGAAAGTTAAATACAAAAAATAAAAAATCAGAATTGATTATATTGAAAAAATTAACTGAAATTAACAAAATTAAATAGATTCAATTTTTGTATTTTATATTACTATTTAATCGGTTTGATTTTATTTTTGATTAAATCAATTAAATTAATTTTAAAATTTTTGAACCAAATTAACCGAGCAACCGATTATATGCCCCAAATCTTTCAAAAAGTCCCTTTCTTAATTCTCATCCCCGTGTAATTCTCCATCATTGATTTTTATTTTTTAAATTCTTCATATTCTAAGCTGCTATTCCTTTCCCAAGCTTAAGCAAAACGCCAAAAAATAAAAAATGGTTGCAATTCCGCATTTAACTGCTTTAACCACCTACTTTGGCTATGGTTTACTCTTTACTTTTGGTCAAATCAGATATTTCCTTCGTAAATTATTATTATATAATACATAACCCTACTGCCACCATTTACTGCCGGATATGGATTTTTCTTGTTCTTTCTCATTAATTAATTCCACAAGCTCTTTTGCATGGTGGTCACGTGGCAATGGAAGCTCACAATACAGATGCACATATAACAATCACCTTTCCAAGTGGACCCATTGATTGCTCAAACATGTCAAATCCCTGGTTCCAAATGCCAATCTTTCAATCCACTCCAAACCGATCATCTCCGACAGCATGGAATGAGTACAACACTAGAGAAATATTCAACTCCCACTACGTAAATTTGCTTAGGCCAAGCCAAGGAGGAGAAGCTAGCTCAGAGCGGTTTACGTTTCCCAGTTTCAAATTCAAAAAAACCACTCAAGCTGGGAGACAAAGAAAGAAAGAGCTGATCAACTTAGAGAAAGAGAGGGTGGTTTTATTATTTCACTGCCAATAAGCCAAAAGGCCATTTTTTTTCTGTTGAAAAAAATGCAGAACTTTTGCAACACTTGGAAGCTCACCACCTTCCACTCGTCATCCATTTCTTGGGTGTGCCTTAACAACCCCTATCCTCCTGCTCCACCCGACGCTTCCCATTTCTCAACATTAACTCTAACACTCAACTCTAGTTACTTTCCCCTTTTGGCTTCTTTCTCTATCGACCCCTTCACAAATTTACACATCCAGGAATCCTCATTGCACATTTGTCATCAAAACCCTAAACTCAGCTCTGTTTTTTTCAAGATTGTTATCAACTCAAAGCTCTAACCCAGCTTTAACCCATCAAAGTTTACCCAGTGTAGTTTAGCAAAGCGAGGACATTTTTTTTATTCAGAATGGGAAGAAAAGATCTAAAAGCAAAGCATGAATGTGGGATGAACAAATGTCACAAGAACCAGGCAATGCATTCACCAAAACCATTCTAAAAATAGCAAAAATAAAGGGCTACCTGACCTTTCTCTTTAACCCAAAACCCTCCATTTCGTGATTGCCGAGCGTCCATCACCAGGTAGTTTTGATCTGCACAGCCAGAGAGAAGTAGTCTCTCTCACAGAAGTCTAAAGCCTTTTTTATTTTTTCTGTTCAGCCAATTGAGCTAAAGGTCCAAAAAACCCTAAAGATGGAAGAAGCTACTCCTAGCGTGCATGAGAAACCCGAGGCCTTTGCTTTGGTGGCAGGTGTTGAGGGTGTCACTATGGAAGGGGACAACAACCATCAACAGCCGGGTCGATCCGGGTTGACCCGTGACCTTGTCGACGCTGTGTCAAGCTTTGGTGTTAACAGGAAGAAAAGGATGGCTAGACACAGGAGATCATCTTCCACCATCAAACTTCTCTCTTATACCAAGTACTTCTCCTCCAGTAGCTCGCAAGTGCCATCATCCACTCTCCCGGCACGTGTGCGTTTTCTCTCTCTTAGCATTTCTCAATTTGTTAGTTCGAAGTTTTCAATTTTTTTTTTTTTAAATTTTATCTATTGCTCAAAATATCATCTAAACTCAAGTTTAGTTCTTTGAGTCTGGGTATTTCTTTACAGGGTGGGAGTGACCCTTCTCTCATATCTCTCATGACTCTAAGAAGTGTGAACTGGGATAGTGTCATGTTCTTTTGTCTTCTATTTTGCTGTCTTCCATACGAAAACTTGTTGTCTTATTATATAAATAAGTATATTAGATACCTCTCAGAGCAGAACTGAAGTTGCATCAACCGTGAGCATAGAATATCTCAGAGAAAATCATGTTCTATATACAGAAAAGGAGCTAGCTTTTCTTTTATAAGTATGGCAAAAAAAATGTAATTTAGTATAGGTGGCATTAACTTCTTTATATGGCTGGGAATTTGGCAGATTAAATTGTCAAACTGTTTGTCTCAAAATTTGATAGACATTTTGATCTTCTGATTTCATAGAGAATCATTGTTTTGTAAGATTCTACGTTATTTTTCATCTAACAATTTTTCGACTTCTTTTTTCTATTCTATTAATTATCTGTCGGGATCTGATCAATAAATGGAGCCCGGCCGAGAGGAAAGTACTCTTATATATCGGTAACAAGCATTTACTGATTTACTTGGAATTAGTCTCGTAGGAAACTATATCTCATTGGTTTTTATTCTATTTAGTGATCATTCATGAAAATAATATATCTTATGCTTTAATTTAGGTTATTGATCCTACGAGATTGAGATTCCTTTTCCAGAAGGAACTTAAGCACAGCGACGTAAGCTCTCTCAGAAGAATAATACTCCCTAAGGTTTCAATCCTTACTTGTATATTTCTTTATTTTCCTTTCTTAAACACTTACAAAACGTTGCCACACTGTGTAATTTATATATATGATGGAAAATTCTGAATAATACTCTTTTTCATTAATTGACCAGAGAGCAGCGGAAGCTCACTTACCTGTCCTTGAGTCCAAAGAAGGGATTCTTATTAACATGGACGACTTAGATGGATTGCATGTATGGAGCTTCAAGTATAGGTATGCATGTTCTCCTCTGGTTGCTCTCTTCTGTATGTGGTAAGAAAACTTAAGGAAACTTGATAAATCTTCTTTTTTTTTGGTTAATTTCCTTCTTTGTAAGCAGGTTTTGGCCTAATAACAACAGCCGTATGTATGTACTTGAAAATACTGGTAAACACATCGGATCCCCTCCTAGTTTTAATTCCTTCTATGCTGGATAAAGTTTTCCCTGTAAAACCATGATACGTTGTTGTTCTAATATTAAATCTCACAGGGGAATTTGTTAACGCACACGGATTACAAATTGGGGATTTCATCATGGTGTATCAAGATAGTCAGAATCAAAATTATGTATGATTGGCCAACCTGTTTTTTTAGATTCCTCGAAATTGAACCTTTTATTAACTTCCCAACTTTCGAATATTGCTATTGTTAATTAGTCTGTCAATTGTTGAAACGTTTTCAGGTAATCCAGGCAAAGAAGGCCTCTGATCAAGATCATGTATATACTGACATAGCTAGAATTAATGCTGTGAATGATATTATTCTCCATGATTATGAGGTTAGTAAATATTCCAGCTCCTATTATTATTATTATCCAACGATGGACGAGGATAGTGGCATGTCATTTATCTATGACACGACCAGCTTCTCGAATGACTCTCCACTTGATTTTCTGGGTGGATCATCAATGACCAACTATTCAAGGATGGAATCTCTGGAAAGCTTTGGGTCGGTTGAAAACTTGTCCCTTGATGAGTTTTATCAAGTTTAATTACGCATATTAAATTGGCACTGTTATTTCGTTAAACAAAAGTTGGCAGCACAGCTTCATGATGAAATCTGAAAGAATAGGGGGCAACTTCAATTTGGTCTGTGGAAGTGTTGTATTTTTTGCAGATAATTTCAGCATATAGTCCCATGTAAAAATAAACAAATAAACATGAAGCATTGTGTGCTTGTTGAACGTGACTAAATCTACTAATCTCTCCTATCAATCATGTTATTGAAGAATTTATATATATCTCAATGTCTGTATAATATATATACTTGACACATGCAGTACCTAGTTATCAATATATGCAACAATTTCAAGGGGATGTGCATGGATGAGGCAAACGCTAAAGCTTTCAATCACTATATATGCAATTAAGCAAATGTATCCATCATTATAATTGATTTACCATTAAGGTATTATATATATATAAATATATATATATTATTGACTACTAAATTATTTTTGATTTATTATTGACTTACTAAAAGGTTTTCAATTATTAACTATAAAATTATCATTCATTTACTATTAAATTATTATTAAATTATTATTAAATTATCAATAATTACCATTAAGTTATTTTGATTACATTTAAATTTTAATGACTAATTTCTTTATTATTTAGTATTATGCTATTATTGATTTGTATATATTCAAAAAAAAGGAAAGTAATCATGATATATGTTATATGATATAATTTTTAAGGTAAAAAAAGAAAGAAGAAAAAATTTAAGTTTAAATAATTTGAAAAGTATGAGTAAATTCTCTTGATTTATTATTTTTAATTTAACACTTAATAATAAGTTAAAATTATAATTTTTTATACTAATGCAAGTATTAAAATTAAATTAAATAAATATATGCGATATATGTTAAGTCAATATTTTAAGGATATTTTTCAAAAATTTCTTAATTCATAGTAAAATAGTATATATTAAGATAAATTTTATTGATGATTTGGTTTACTAAGATCATTTAAATTAAAATTTATAAAAATATTTACTAAAAATATTTTAACGAATCATTTTTAGTAATTTTGAAATTAAAATTTTAAATAGTTTAATTTCACATAAAATTTATTTTTAATTTTAGTTAATTTAAATTAAACTTAAATAAATTAATAAAAATTATAAATTTAAAGATAAATTTATTAATTTAATAAAATTTATAAAAATATTTAAGTCAATAAATTTACACTTTATATATATAAATAAATAAATAGATGATAAATGATATATATATATATATATATAATATGAAAAAATATTACCCGTTTATTTTGTGGATTCCTTGATATCAGAAAAAGAAAAAAAAAAATCAGAAAAAGTAATACTAAATAAAACGTAATAAAATTTGTACCTTTTTTCTCAACGATCCTTCCTTAAACTTGGCCAATTGATACGTGACCTCGCGCTGTCTTCTCAGTCTTGTCTGTGTTTCTCTGTGTTTGTTATTGTTGTGAATGGCGAGCAGATACTGGGCAGTTTCTCTTTCGGTTCAGAACTCTGTGTCCACTGTGTGGAATAATTTACAAGACCAAATCTCCAAGCATTCCTTCGACACTCCTATTTACAGAGTATCTTATCTAATAATCTCTCTTTCTTTTCCCAAATTACATCTTATTTTTCTCATCCCTTCTTTGAATTCTATTTTTGCAGTTCAACATACCCAATCTCCGTGTTGGAACTTTCGATTCCCTCCTTTCTCTCACTGATGATCTCTTCAAAGTAATTCCCTTCTTTTTTACTTGTATTATTCATTCTCAATTCCCTTTCTTTCTGCTTTTTTATTTATCAAATTCTACTCTTTCTTAGATCTTTTCATTTTCTGATGATTACACTGAAGCCCTGATATTAAAATTTATCAACTTTCTATTCTTACTTTCTGCACTCTTACCTTACTGTCTTTAGATTATTTTAAAACAAAATAAAATAAATTAGGAGAATTTATGGAATTGGTTTTGAGTTTTTGTTTCGATCTATGTGCAGTCAAATAGCTTTATCGAAGGAGTTTCTCACAAAATCAGGAGGCAGATCGAGGAACTGGAGAGGGTATCTGGATTGGAGACCAATGCTCTCACGGTTGATGGAGTCCCCATTGATTCTTATCTAACCAGGTCAAATTTTGCTAACTCCACTGAATGAATGTGGATAGGGTATTATGCACAATGTGTTTTTACACGAGTTGCTTTTTGGTGTTGTGATGGTAGGTTTGTTTGGCATGAAGCAAAGTACCCAACAATGTCCCCTTTGAGGGAAATTGTTGATGGTATTCACACTCAAGTGGCAAGGATTGAGGATAATCTCAAGGTTACGGTTCCTTCACTGTATTTATTTATTTTTATTTGTAACATGTTGGTGTATGACATGTATAGCTTGAATGGAAAACTTGGGTCTTAAAATTTTATTTATTATGTTAGGTTCGTGTCGCTGAGTATAACAATGTGCGTGGGCAACTTAATGCCATAAATCGAAAGCAAAGTGGAAGGTTCGACTGTTGCTTTAGTCTGATTGTTGCATATGCAAGAATATTTTGCTTGTAATAGCTGATCAACTTCTGCCTATTTTAGCTTGGCTGTTCGTGATCTGTCTAATCTAGTGAAGCCAGAGGATATCATTACTTCGGAACACCTAGTGACTCTCCTTGCAATTATTCCCAAGTATTCGCAGAAGGATTGGCTATCAAGCTATGAAACATTGACTAGCTATGTGGTAAGCAATATCATTCTTGGTTCAAATTTGTAACTTTAGTTGTCAATTCATTATTGCTTGTGATATAGAATGCCACCTGACAGAGCAGTTATTCTTCTTGTGATATCTTGTCTGTGGAATAGCTGAATCTTGGGATGCTGACTAGTTGTCTTAGTTTATTACCGGTGATGTGAGAAATAGAATTAATTTTTTAGATAAAATTTCTGGCTTTAATGATGACAGAAAGTTGAAAGTTTTAGCTTCTTATTTACAACTATTCTCTGACTTATTATAGCATTCACTCTTTGTATCATCTGACTTATTCATTTATAGTTATTAAACTTTCTTATTCGTTATTGAGGTCATTCCGAGTAACATTTCCATGTGTTTTCAGGTCCCTAGGTCTTCCAAGAAGTTGTATGAAGATAATGAATATGCTCACTACACTGTCACATTATTTGGTCGCGTTGCAGACAATTTCAGAACTAGTGCACGTGAAAGAGGCTTCCAAGTGGGTGCATTCTATGGTTGCATTTGCATTTTTTGTCAGTGTGCTAATGGAGTATTTAATCTAAAATTAAAAAATGTTTAACTCTGTTAGAGGATGTCTTATTCCCATTGTTGCTGCATTTCTTTTGATTTCATTCAGATTCGTGATTTTGAATATAGTCCAGAAGCACAAGAGAGTCAAACACAGGAACTAGAAAAATTGATACAAGATCAAGATACCTTGCGAAGCTCTCTTTTGCAATGGTGCTACACTAGTTATGGAGAGGTATTATATATTTCCTTTCCTGTTCCTCGAAATCCCTTAAATCTTGCTATATTTTGAACTGCTTAGTGAATAAGTTGCTTGCTTGTAGGTTTTCAGCTCCTGGATGCACTTTTGTGCTGTACGTGTCTTTGCAGAGAGCATTCTGAGATATGGTTTGCCGCCATCTTTCCTGGTAACTTTTAACTCATTCATTTCCATAATTGTTTCTGAATCAACATTTGCTTGATGACTGAGTGGTGGTTTTGAACTGGTATCAGGCATGTGTTTTAGCCCCATCTGTGAAGGGTGAGAAGAAAGTGCGATCTATCCTTGAAGGATTATGTAATAGTGCAAACAGGTAAGTCCAGCAGCCTTTATTTTGTTTTGTGTGATAAAATTGATTCAACCAGAGTGAAGATGGTATCCATTGTCTTGGCTATGTTGTGCAAATCTTCCCGATATGGATACATAAATAAACTGAAAAATCACTACTCAAATTCCCCTACTTGTTACTTTAGTATGCAAGGTGGAAAGGTTCTGAATATAATTAACTGGAAATTGTGTTGAAATGAGTTATTTTAAGCACATGCTATATATTCTCTCAGTTAGTGTCTGCGTGGCTAACAATGGCTATGCAAATCCAGAAGATACCAAATTTATCGACAGTGTTACGAGATTGTGAACTTTTAATTTGGCCATCCTGTAAAGAGTTGCCTTGATTTTCTTACTATGTTATTTCCTACTCTCCCTGATTTGACACTGACCCTGACAGTGATCCTTCTTAAAATGCAGCACATGCTGGAAAAATGAAGAAGAAGGTGGAGCGATGGCTGGTTTAGGAGGTGATGCCGACGCCCATCCCTATGTCTCCCTCACAATTAACATTGCTTGATGAATGTAGTCTTGAATAGCTTTGTCTGTTCTTGATTCCAAGCATATTCATCAAGAGAATAATAATAATAATAATAAGGAAAAGTGTTTAGAGATGCTGTATATTCGGTTTAATAGCTTGATTCTTTGGTTGTTTATGGACATCCTCGGCTTAGGAAGCTCCATTTGAAGGTTTTGTGGAATACAGTGGATGAAACTTTTGTTTTCTAAGTTTATCAGGCTTTTAATCCGTTGTTTCTATTTTTAACAAGCAGTAATATTGAGGCTCCACCTGTGCCTTTTATGCATTGTGTATTGTGATTACTTCGAATATCATAAATGCATCTTCTTCACGTTTCTTTGAACTTGTCTACTTTTGGAGCAAGCACCATAAACCGTTGGTTGAAAAATAGGAAATATCCTGTCAAAAGGCCTCGTCTAAATCGAAACCAGCTTGAATGTTTCGACCAAAATGGAAAAAAAAAGTGCAATACCGTTGGTAGTTCAACTCGATTTTTTGGTAAGAGATAAAAAGAGAAGAAAGACCAAACAAGAAATTCCAAAGTAAAAAGACAGGCAATAAATCTCTCCTCATAGCTTGCTTAGAAAGGTAAATCAGTGGTATACCCCCAACTGCTCATTATTTTTTACCGCTGCAGTGGGGGAAATTTGATCTTCAAATGAAATTCCATATCGTGATCTAACTACAACATAAAAAAAAAAAAAAAAGGTCCCCGGAATTTAGAGGATGAGACTAAAACCAACACAACAGTAGTCAAAACAAAACGAGTTGACAGAAGTTCTTAATGCAAAAAAATACTTTCCTCCAGCTTGAAACTCATTCAAGCAATTTTCAGCAATCCTATGTTTATTTGTCCCTATGAAAAGGTTTTGCAGGCCTATTTGAACAACATAACTATTTCAGTTGATCTTCCAACATTCTATGCCTTTGCAAGCTGAGTAGCAGCCGTTGCAGCAGCTGCAGCAGGAGCAACACCACCAGTAGTTGGCCTGAAAGATTACATAAAATCCCATTAATACACACTATAATCACATGAAAATCAATATAAAGAGAGACTGATCTTTATAACCATGATGGGAAGAACTTACAGTCCCACAAACACTTTGAAAGCATCATAGATACCCCACTGAGCCCCAGTTAGTGTTCCAATCATGACAATACGAAGAGGAAGCCCACGGGTAAAGAGACCCCACAAGCCAAGCTTCTTCACAGCCTGTATGGTAGAAAAAACAGCAGGGTCAAGGCAAAGTAAAAATGATTCATATAGATGAAACGGATAATCCAAGGTACAGCACTTACATCACCAACAGTTGCCCCTTTGGCATTGTTGAGGAAAGAAACAAGGTTGTCAGCTGGATGAGAAACAATAGCACAGAAGACACCAGCAATATAACCACCAGCAAAACTAACACCAAGCTGCAGAGATTTGCTGCACTGATCCTTTGGAGTGGGAATACCATACTTGTAGATCATCTCAACAATGGTTTCGAAAGAAGCAAACTTCATCATGGTATCTACAAGAAAGGAAGAACATATAAATAAGCTTACACTTTGTTGTAATTAGCAAATGCTAGAACTACCATGAAAAATGTTGGGTTAAAGAAAAAGCGGAAGAGAAAAAAAAAAGGAAGGATAACCAAAAGGTACAGTCTCCTGATGCAATGAGTAATGATATAAAGCCAGTAATTATCCATGAAAAGTATACATGCCAAACTTACATGGAATCTGACGGCCCCAAAGAGGAGCAATACCCTTGTACAATCTGCAAAAGGAAATAGTTATAACGCTCATTCTGATAGATGTTTCCTCGTGTTACTTAATACAGAAAATTTAACAGTGCTGAGCAGCGTACCCAAGAGCACCTTCAGATTTGACAAACTTGGGAAGACCATCTGACAGACCCCTAGCAAAACCGGGCTGGGTTTGAACCCTGACCTTGACTGCCTCGAAGGGGCAAAGCGCAACATCAGCAATCACCTCAGCAGAGGCAGAGCCAGCAAGATAGATCAGGGTCTTGTACTTAGCAAAATATTCAGGTCCAGCAAGGTCAGAATAGTACTTCTTGAAAAACTCATAGAATCCAAACTTGCAAGCACCCTGTGCACTATAACCGAGAAGCGTAGGAACCCAACCACGGAAGAAGCCTCTGACTCCTTGCTCCTTCAGCAGAACACCAAAACCAGATGAGATACTTTTGTATTTTGCTGGGTCAATCTGTCAAAACAACAATCCAGATGTCAGTTTAGATATTATACCAGATTGCTAACAGAAAAATAAATCCATAAATTAGTATCTACTGTTCTATTATAAATCACTGTGTCTATGATGTATAGTTGTCAGGTGCATCCAATACTAACCATTACAATGAAAAATGAGCATATATTAACTGCAACAAATAAAACAAGTATTCATATAACAAAACTTCCCAACTTAAATTCAGGAAATCCTTTACAAGTACTATTAAATACTAGTAAATAACCTGATGCACAAAGCAAAAATCAAGTAAAAGCATCTATTAGAAGAGAAAGATCGAGATTTGGACAGAAAATTCAAATCTTGAGTGCTATACTCCAATATTGTTCCAAATTTCTAGAACTGAAACCCTAAAAAGCTACAATCAAACACTAAAGCATCAAAATCGAAGGGAAACGAGTCTTAAATCTTGAAAAACAGCGATAGACAGTGATTTAATTTTACAAATGAAGCAGTAAAAACTAGGCACAGATCTAATAAGCAACAATTTGTCAATCAAAATTCTCCAGCGAACAACAAGCTTAGCTCAGATATAATCTTAAAAACTATTACAAAAGAAGAGAGGCAAATCTGTATACCTGCATATTACATTTGACAAGGTCGAGAGGAGTAACCGCCGTGTGAGTGAGACCACAGCTAAGGATACCGCCAACGGTACAAGCAGCATAGAACTGAGGCGAGTACATCTCGATCTTCCTACCAGGCTCATTTGGCGAGGCGATCATGAACGTCCTCGTCTTGATCGACGGCGGCGACGATAGTGTGGGAGCATCGAGTGTAGTGGAGCGCAAAGCACCAATGGCATGGTTGTTGGCATCGAGGATTCGATCGAGAGATAATGAATTGGGAGAAGAAGAGTATAGGAAGCTTGGGATAAGGGACTGTTTGGAAGAATCAGAAATGGAAGCCATCGCCCAAAGAATGGGAGAAACTTTGAGAAATGGAAGCAAGAGAAAATGAAGTGAAGAGGGATTTTTAGATTTCCTTAAGGATTCGCCTCTCTCTCGCTGCCAAATGCTCAGGTGATAGAAAGCTGGCATTTCCAGTTTTATAGCGCAAAAAAATAGCAAGGTAGAAAACCCTCGCGTGATTTAGACATACCATACCGAATTAACCATGTGGTTTGATGTTAATTACGAAAATGACACTTCGTCAACCTTTTCCCATTTTTTTTTTTATCCCCGAGGCCGGTTCTGGCAGGCATGAGCTGATCACGAGCTTTGCTTTTCGTTCAGACAAAATAATACGCAACACTTCAAATGATTAGTCTTAAATTAAATATTTAATTTATTTATTTTTATTTTCAATATTTCTCAAACTTAAAATAATAGATTTGCTCAATTAGCACTCCAATTATTCTTTTAACAGTATGTTTTTTTTTAAAAACGAATTTGGTATAAATAACAAATAAGCCAGGCCGCTACAAAGAAGAATGGTATATCCTATGGTAGCCAAAATAGAATATTCGTTGTCATATGTTGGCAACTCCAACTTGGTCCTTTAAAACTCTACATTTGGAACTTATTCTTCCAGAAGAAGAAACTTTACTTTGGTTTCTTTTTTTTTTTTTTTTCTATTGATTGATTAAATAAATAATTTTTGGACAACTTTCCGAAAATAATGGGATAACTACCTTAAGTATATAATTCCCACGTAAGCTCACTATCTCTATTCTCGACTCTAACCAAGTTTTTTAACTTGTTCTTGCCCATTTAAATTCCAAAAAAAAAAATGTTCAAGGATTTGCACAAATTAATATAACTGTATGTAGAAATCAAGAAAGTTTTTTTATTTCCAAATCATGGAATCGCTTCCATTGGCTTTTCACGCAATATGTAAAAACTTGTACTTCAATTTTGTTCATCTTTTTATTAATAATGAAAGCTAGCTAGCTACTAAAAACAGCTTTTATCACTTTTTTTAATTTTGAAGAGCAAACCAAACCAAGCTAGCTATATTACGTTTATTTGCCCCACATTAAAGGGAATGCGTTTCAATTTGACAAACAATCTGATACTCGGGAGGCAAGAATCACAGCTTTCTCACCTGTTAACGTCTTACTCTTCTGTCGATTCAATAACCAATCCATCAAGCATTTAACTCAGCTGAACTCACACTGTTAGAAGGTGATGTGGTAAAGCCAATTGATATCAAGTCTTGCTAGTGGAGCATCTGAGAACTTTTTTTGGACTTCAAAGTCAAATTATTATGCAATTTCTCACATCCCAAATCATTTAGAGAGCCAAGATCAAAACATTGTCAATCAAGTCAAAGGTGCCTGAAGCTCACAGTTGGCATCTTAGTCTTCAATTTTGGTTATCCAACAATGCATATGTCACCAATAATCTCCACAAGAACAGAATCCGTCCTTAAAATGGTGAAATCGCTTTGAATCTCTTACAACAATTTTCCGATCAACAATCTTTGAAATTAACTTAATGAAATTATGACAGTCCCCGCAAATCCTGAGATTCTTCATAACATGGATTGTTGCACCAGGAATTGTATGCATGATTGCAAAGACAACCGCCAACTTCTCACTATGAACCCGCAAGGTCAATCCTTTCTCTTCTTCATCCACATCATAGAGAACTGATGTCATATTGGGTATATAGCCAACTTGTTGCAGCTGCACATTTAGCTCTTCCAAATACTCGTATATTTTCACATGTTGAGGATGCTCCTTATCACCAATCAAGAAAACATGAACCTTACCTTTCAGTTCAACCAAACTGAATCCAGGTGGTTTAACCAGTCCACGATCCTTCATAAGAAGCCTCATTCTCTCTACATCTTCCCACCTTCCAGCATCAGCATATACGTTAGAAAGTAAGACATAGTACCCACAATTATTTGAGTCTAATTCAAACAATTTATTGGCAGAAATCTCTGCAAGCTCCACATTCTTGTGAATTCTACAAGCTGCAAGAAGTGAACCCCAGATTATAAAATCAGGTGTCACCTTCATTTGCCTGATCAAGTTGTAAGCAAGGCTAACATATCCAGCTCGTCCAAGAAGATCAACCATGCAACTATAATGTTCCAGCCCAGGTTCTACATTGAATTCATCCTTCATTGCATTAAAACAATCCCAGCCCTCTTGTACCAAACCAGCATGGCTACAAGCTGCAAGAACTGACACAAACGTTATGTAATTTGGTCTGACCCCAGCACTTATCATCTCGTAGAAGACCTCTATAGCTTCTTTGGCACGACCATGCATTCCATAACCAGCGATCAAGGCAGTCCATGACTTGACATTCTTCTCTTTCATGCAACTAAATACCTTCCTTGCCATTTCAACTCTCCCACATTTGCAATACATGTCAATAATGGACGTTCCCGCTATCACATTATCCTCCAAACCCATCTTTATAACCTATACAGAAAAACACAGATCTCAGACCTGATTAAACACTCGAAACCTTACAAAAATCATTATACCAAGAGATTAATTATACTGAGAAAGCAAAGAAACTATAATTAGTACCTGATCATGTATACACTTCCCGGCTTGCAAAGTCCCCGAATGAGCACAAGCTAACAACACAGCAGAAAGTGTAATGGCATTATAATTGACATTACTATCTCTTACCATTCCATAAAAAACCTCCAAAGCCTCTGTAGACAGTCCATTTTGAGCATAAACAGAAATCATAGAATTCCAAGAAACCTCATCCTTCTCAACCATCGTATCAAACACTTTCCTAGACAGACCCACATCCCCCCTTTTAGCATATGCATCCAGCAGTGTATTTCCAACACCCACTTCTCCATCAAATCCCTTCTTTATAACCATCGCATGAACCCCTTCACTTGCTCCTTTTATAGGTACACGAGAACAAGCCGAAAGCACAGAAACAATTGCTACTGAATCAATAAAAACTTGTTCATTTGCAACATTTCCATCATTTTCCCTTTCCTGAATCAAGAACTCTTTAAAGAGCAATAAAGCTTGGTGAGCACTATTGTTTTGGACATACCCAGTAATCATCGAAGTCCAAGATACGATATTTCGTTGAGGAATTTGATCGAACAATATTCTGGCGTCTCTCAATTGCCCACATTTTGAGTACATATCGATGAGAGCGGATGATACAAAGAGGTCAGAGTCATAGCCAAAGATCAAAGCTTGCTGATGGGTTTGTTTGCCGGAGTTAAGATCGAGTAAAGCAGAACAAGATTTGATAGCGCAAGGGAAAGTGGAGCGGTTTGGTTTAAGAGAAAGCTTGCGCATTGAAGAGAAGGCTCGGAGAGCTTCGGCTGAGTGGCCAGCGCGAGCTAACTCGGCGATGATTGAGTTCCAAGAGGAGACGTTGGACTTGTCTACGTATTTGTTGAACCATGTTGTGAGGTTGGACTTTGTTGAGTAGTGATTTCTCAAAGGAATTTTGGTGAATGCTGAACTTGTATTTGGAATCTTCATTCATTCTCTTTACGATTTAGCTAACGCTGTCCTTTTTGTAAGTTGAGTTGTCGGTTTCTTTAACTAGTGACCAAGAAAATTGTCGCTAAAGAAAAAGTTACCTATTTTGCTGGGACTCGTTTAACGCCGCTAATATTAGTTGGAAATATTCTTTCTTATTACTACATTAAACGGGAAGCTCATACAATTATTTGTATAATTGAAACTCAATTTTCTTATAATTAATTTAATCATTTTAATTTGGTTAATTTTGTCAAAAATTATACAAAAAGAATAAACCAAATTGAACTGATTATTTGAAAATATATTTTGTAGTTAAAATACTACTAACTGGGACTGAAACTTTTAGGCTGCTTTAAGTGTCCAAGTTTTCCTTGTCATGAACTGTTTAATAGATTTCTCATACTATTTGGGGATTCTTTCTGGTATTGCAGATAGTAAGCATGAAAATTGCAAAGGCTGAAAATGAATGGCAGTAAAGAACAGCAGCTGACAGCAGAGTAGATTGTTACTAATTATATATATAGAGTATAATTTATGTGCTTAAACAGTAGAGAACAGTCTCATTACAAACAAGATTATGAGTTCCAGAAGCATAACAATACTAACATCAGACTTAGCTGAACTGCAGGAACTCTTCCCTACAAACTCCCCTGAGCTTGGTATGGGTGGGAATGCTGAACTTGTTGGCCACTGCGGGGGAGCTTCAGAAGGGAAAAAGGAGGACATATTGGGTGCATTGACATATGGCAAAACAGATGGAGAAGCTGAAAGTGCAGGCTCATTGGTGACAGTTTGCAAATTGGAAAAGAGAATGACCATCGGTATAGCAACAGCGGCAGCAAACAACTTAGTACCAGTAGCCATGGATGTCGTCTGAGAATTTCAGCTGAAACTGAGGGAAAGTTAGAGGTATATGGTTGTAGTATTTGAATGTGGTGGAAAGATAAGATTTCAGAGAGGAACTTGCTGCTGCACTACACGAGATAGACTGGCAGTTCAAATTCAGGGATATAATAATTGAAGCCTTTGCTTTCTCTTGATTTGTTTGGTATTGTGACAAGAACAGTAGGTAAGATTCGTCGGTGCACATGATTAAGGCCTTGGATTTTGTAAAAAGGAGGTCTCAACCTTTTTGTCATTTTGCTGTATCCATGTGAAACACTTAAATTGCATAGCAAATCGTGTTCCAATCCAAGCTTAAATGCAATTTGCTTCTTCAAAGGAATATCTGAGTGAGTCGATTTTAATGAAGACAAGATGTGTGAGCATTCAACTGTAAGAATATTTGTTTATGATTGGAGCGCACTTCTTTCTAAACAAAAAGTGTACAATAGATGATGATTATTAAAAGAAATGAAAAAGCTCAACAAGACAATAGAGTTAATTTTCCAGCCCAGCCTTCAAGTGGATCGGCTTTAGTATAGTTGGTCATCCAAATTCCAAACAAGGAATGCACCATCAATATCATTATATCATTCTTGACTGAACATCCATACTATAAATACCGTCAACTACAGAATTTTCTTAAAATATATCCAGCACATGCTTTATATTTTGAGATTTAATTTGTCAGCATACATATAGTACTCAATGTTTGCAACTACTCGAATATACATATATATACATATGTAAATATAAATAGGCTTAATTTTTTTCATATTTTAAATAATTATATTTAATCATAAACAAGCATTTATAATAGTTTCATAACAAAAGAATTATAACTATCTAAACGAATAATTTTATTTGAACATAAATAATTGTTTGTAATGTTTATTTAACAAAAGAGTTATAATCATTTAACTAAAATAACATGATTATTCATCAAAATAAAATAACTGTTTATTTATTATAAATAAATCTTTATGTATAACAATTTTTATTACTACTTGAAGAGTTTCAAGTAATTGTCTAAAAAAAAAAAAAGTTTCGTGCATCAAATCATAATTTTGTTTATATTATTATTTTTATTTGCTTATTTATTTTCTCATCCGCAACCCTATCCCCTTAGAGTTACAGATTAACATAAAAACAAACACTCAGCGTATAAAAAATATTCTCAAAAAAATTATATAAATATATATATATATATATATCTAACAAAATATTTCCTATTCAAACATAGATAATTGTGGGCGGGCTCTCTCAAAGTTCTTGGTTTTGGCATGCCGAAGTTCAATTTCGATTACCAACATCAACAAGGTTCTGAAGTGCTGGAGGAACAGACGACCAGCCAACCAAACAAATCCAGCTATAATGAATCTCCAGAGGATTCTATTTGGGCAGAAATCCTTATGAAATTGCCAATGAAAGATGCCTTCAAGTGTAAGGCCGTGTCAAAGCAATGGCATTCCCTCATATCAGACCCTCATTTTGCCAGGTGTTATCTCTCTCGTAACCCTTCGTGTTCAATATCCTCGCCTTGGGCACTCCTGAAACGAAATACTGCTGAAAATAGTTTCCAGTTGGACATTGTTGCTGATCATGCTAGTTCTGGTGATTCTAACCCTCCAGGCTTCTATGTGCGGTCTTTTTTCTCACGTCCTCCGCCCGTGAAGGACACTTTTAACGTTGTAGGATCAAGGCTTGAATTGATATTGTGCATGGCAACTAGCACTGGACAGTTTTTTGTATGCAACCCTCTTAACAAACAATATAAGGCTCTACCTCATCCTGCTCGAACTCTTCTTGAACATGATCACCTTGAAGAAGTTAAGGTAGGTTTCGTTGTTCAGACAGAAGGAGGGTTACTCGTTACAGGCTACACTTACAAAGTAGTGCTACTTAAAAGAGAGATCTCCAATATTTTCAACCTGGTGACTTTTTCTCCTGAAACTGGTGAATGGTATACCAGCGAAGCAGATTGTCCAGAAGAAACAAAATTGAACGAGTTGGGATGTTGTGTAGCTTGGAATCGAATCCTGCACTGGCTGGATGAAGAGGCGCACAACCTTGTTGCCATTGACCCTTTCAGAGATACCAACAAATGCCGGCTTATTAAACCGCCTGAGAGCACAGATGTTATCAGTAACAAGAAAATACCAGCAGACAGGCTTTGCCAACAGAGCCAGGGATGTCTGAGATATGCAATAGCCGGTTCGTTTCTTGAGAATCCCTTCTTCAAGATATGGGTATTAGAAGACTGTAACTTGGGCACATGACGTTTAGAGCATATGATTAGACCAAGTGATATCTGGCTTGATGGTCCTCTGTTTGCTGACCAAAATCCAATAAAAGAGATAACACCATTGGCTTTCCACCCATTTGATCATAATCTGGTGTATGTGTGGAATGACTGCACGTCCCAAGTCCCGTGCTGCAACTTTCCAACTAGAAAGCTGAAGGTTGCTGATGGCATTACAAGTTTCATGCCTATGTGGTGGGAAGTATTCAAGTATGAGCTGTCTCCATGGCCCTTCCGCAGAGCCCTGAGAAATGAAAACTTATAAGTGTGTAGTTTATTTTCATTAAAACAAACAAATAAATGGAGTTTTAAGTTATCATATAACATTATTCATGTCATCATGTGATGACGTGAATGAAATGTTTAAAATCTTCGCAAGTAACATTTATGTTTGTCAGTTGATTAATTAGATAGTTAACATCATAATTTATATGATTTTTTTCTACTGAATGAACACGTAGCAGCCAAACATTCAAATAGATTTAGTACTAAACTCGTCAGCTTCTGATGTGATACTAATCCTTAAGCATAACTAAATTAAATGAATCGAAAGAAATGCAACTTCATTACAATTTTCTATATATAGACAACATCAATTATTTTAACCCAGTACAGGAATTACATTATAAATTCACTCTATAAAATCAGCTGCCATAAACACTACAAATCAAAAGAATAAATTTGAATGCTACAACATAGTGTAGAAGAATCACAAGTGAGAGCATGAGTTGCAGGATACTTGGATGAATGAATCATAGTAATGCCATATTCTAGCCATCACTTAACAACTCACTTTTCCACCGGCAATTCTGCTGTAGGATAATAATAAGTCTCAAACTCCAACTAGAGAAGCCTAAGATGTGCAGTATCATTCAACCGTTTTATCTGCCAGCCTGTTTTGCATGAATGCTGTAGTACAGTCACAGAAGAGTCTTCTATGCAGATCTTATGTGATATTACAGGGCTGCAGTCAAGGAGACCCGTGATGAGACATTTAATTGGCAGGGAATGGGTAAAAAGGCCAACAGAAGAGGAGGCTGATGAGGTGGAGGGGGAAGAGGAACTGCTGACATTTAAGTCATGAAGGTCAGGTTGATGATTGGCTTCCCGGGGAGACATTTCATCATCAGCATCATGTTCACCAATATGCGACACAAACTGTAGCCTGCTCTTACCAGACTTTTTCCTTGATAGCCCATGTCGCTGCCTTTGAAGCATATCCCAATGGGATGGTGGAAGAGAAGTTACATCTCTGTCATGAACTGAGTTAGTTAGAGCATGGGCGTTATGGTGTGCAAGTCCTTGACTCTCATTTTGGTGTAAGGAAAAATCAGATCTCAACTTTTCAGGAAGTCCAAGGACTGTTCCATTCAAGAATTGAACCATTCGAAATTCCAGTTGCCTGAGAGATTCTCCAGAAGGCGCAGAAAAATCAGGTTGGTATCTTACCATTAGACTTAAAACTTCAGGAGTATATATTTCTGATCGAGGGTACCCCTCCCAGTGCCCCATATTCAGATCCATAAGTGCATCAGAGGATTGTATCTGTGTCTCTGCAAAATTCATCTCCTGCATGATTTTAAAGGATGGGCAATGTAGTTAGTCAATATCTAAGTGTGAAAATGCATAAATCTCACCTTATAACATCATTAAAGCTGCCTCTATCACAAACTAATAATTAGGGGATATCATGTAAAATATGTAAGTGAACATTTGACTCAAGAATCAATTATTGTTGCCACTGCTAGAAAAAAGGCAACAATAGACACAGATCAAAGTCTTAGTTCCTAAAAGTCATTAGCCTTTTCCTTGAAATCTTGTTTACCATTTGGCTGTAACAGGAACATAGCCTTTCAGAAGTGAAGGCTAAAGTTACCATCCATTTACACGTTCATTAAGCAAATATAAAACAGTTGAAGTTTATCCTTAGTCTAACCATTGGTTTGGCTCATTGCTCATTAACGAGTCAAGGAAAGTAAGATGAGAGTGTGGTACAGTTTAACTCCACTCGACAATAAAATAGGCAGTAAAATTCCCTCCAAAGAAGATGAGACAGTATGTTTTTCACTGATGGCATTAACATATATAGCTCTCTTACATATTCAATACTAAATCTACCAAATAAGACCGTGACCATGATAGGTTTAACAAACTATCAACAAAGAATTTGATAAGTGACTCTATGACATTTGTGAGGAACCTATGTTTATTTGCTGTCATTAACTTGATCTTAATTAACTTTGCACACATCAAATACTGTATCTTATATTCTCTACAATTTAGTGTCTTCTACTACAAACAAAACAAAAGAGAAGAATGAAAGGGAAATCAAAGAATGATAAGTTTGTATGAAGATAAGAGATGCACAGGAATCATCAATAGCACATAACCTCAGCCTGTTGTCTGATCACAGCAAGAATATTTCAATACATGTACTATATCATATACTACATTCTTCAACAAGTCCTTACACACTGTTAGCGTAAAAATTATATACTTAATCCCAGCTTAGCACTCTACTTTGTTTAAGACCATATAGCAAGTTAAGATACAGACCATACGAGGAAAGATACAGACAACCCCCTATTCCCTTTCCTATTGTGAAGCCTTCAAGTTGCAAGAAAGGAAGGAAAAGGAAAAGAAAGAATATAGAAGGAAAATACAACTAAACCAAATATAAGATGAGAAAAAAAACCTATGCTAACCCTAAATACTAATATTAAACTATTTATTTCAACTTGAGTGCACTTCATCATGCACCTACGGCAACTCTCAGCAAACTCCAAATAAACATTAAAGGTCAGGTAAAAGAATTGAATAACCAGGATGAGAAGGGGAGACTTCAGCAACCCAACACATACAACATATAAACACTTACTAAAACAATCTAAATATCAAGATTCAACAAGAAAAATCCACGTTTTCCATCATCATATGGGCAAAAAGTTAACTAAATCAGGGCCACAAGATAGACAATTTCAAACTATAACTAGTTAGTCCAATGGTATATAATTTTGTCAACTCTTGGAATTGCTCCTGTGCTTCCTTGATCCGTAGCAATAGCTAGAACCAAAATTCTAATCCAAATCCAAATCCCACTTTGAATCCTATTCTCTTAACATGCAAGCACTTGATAGAAAACCCGAATTATAGCAGGATCAATTTCTCAATTTGCTCGAGGGATATTAAAGAGATTAACTATTAAAGCTAAAACTTTTATCCTAATTTAACAATTCCATTACCGTCTCATACTTCAATTTCCTTTATTCTTCTAAGAAGAATAAAAAAAAAAAAAGCCTTTACCTGACAAACGGAAAGAGCCATCGATCTAGCTCGATCCAACGGAGAGCAATAAACGGCATTAAACTTGACCCCTTGAGAATTTAGGAACACAGCCAATGCCCTGGCTTGCCGCTTCCCATTAGAAGTCAAGGTGGCTGCGTCGCATCTTCCACCAACAATATCAGGCCTCAAATTCAACTCACACTCTCCATGGTTAATTAAATAAACCTCAATCAACTTTCGATCATCACCCAAAGAGAAACTCCGGGAGAAAACCGGAGGTGGAGGCAGCGGAGGAGGTGGAGCTAATACATTATATGGGTCCCACACTTTGATTGAAGGACCCATCCTGGGAGTACCCAATGAAGATAGCTGTGGAGAGAGTGGGGATGCTGACGCGTAACAGGGTAACATTTCGGGTTCTTGTTCGAGTACTTTTTTGCCCAAGTGGTTGCTTTCGAGTTCCCTTAAGTTGGATCCTTCTTCATTGTTATCTTCCTCGTCGTCTTCGTCTTCGTCTTCGTCTTGGCTTTCTTCTTGTTCTTCCTCGACTACTTGTACAGACTGGTTGGAGCCCATTTTTGAGGAGACTCTAATGATCTAAGAGATTAAATAGGAAGATCTAAGGGAGGGTGTTGTGGATTTCAGGCAGTGCATTTTGATTTTGGATGGGACATGCGAGTGGGAGTTTTGTTGGTGATGTGCAAGTCTAAGAGGAAAGAGATGAGATCTGGGTTAAATCTTGAAATGAAAATACTTCTGTACCTTACTATTTCGTTACTATTGTATTGTATAAAAAAAACTGCTTAGGACAAATAAGCTTTTGAGTTGTAGGACACATATCATGTGAATTGAAGTAGACTAGAAGATTGCATCATTTTTTTGGTCAAAGGAATTTGTACCAGTATAGCATATTATTCACCTTAATCCTGATTCTCCTAGATATCGCTTGCAATCGGTGAAATAAATGCTTCGACTTTCAATGTCTATTTGTATCATATATGCATATGTCATAATTGATGGTAGATGAATTAAGCCATTATATAACTAAGATGACATTACTGATACATTGCTACACTGCCGTTAGAATCAATGTCCACCGTGACTATGGCACCCTCTTTAATCTGTCCACTCAAAATCCTCTCAGCGAAGGTATCCTCCAAATGCCTCACAATTGCCCTCCTCAATGGCCTTGCTCCATACCTTGGGTCGTATCCTTCTTTGATCAGCTTATCCTTGAAACTTTCAGTCGCTTGAATATTGATATTCTTTAATTTCATCACCGTATCGCTAACTTCCTTGAGCATCACATCAGCTATTTCCTTCATTTTTTTGTTGGTTAGCTTATGAAACACAATAACTTCATCTATCCTATTCAAGAACTCTGGCCTGAAAATTTTCTTCAGTTCCTCAGCCACTTTCACCTTGATTTGCTCCAATTGATTGTTTCCTTTCTCAATCTTAGTATCACCAATATTGGCTGTCATTGTTATGATGGTGTTTTTGAAGTCAATTGCCCGCTTTTATTATCTGTCAGCCTACCATCATCCAAGATTTGCAGCATAATGTCGAAGATATTCCTATGAGCCTTTTCAATCTCATAAAAAAGAATCACACTGTGAGGCCTACGACGAACAGCTTCAGTCAGCTGGCCACCCTCATCATAGCCACAAAACTTTGAAACTGTATGCTTCTCCATGTATTCACTCATATCCAACCTAATCATTGCTTCTTTAGAGCCATATCATTCAACCGCTAAAGCTTTAGCCATTTCTGTTTTTCCCACTCCTGTAGGGCCAGTAAATAAGAATCTTGCTATGGGGCGTGAAGGGTCTCTTACACCTACTCTAGCACGGCGTATGGCACAGCTGATTGCTTCAACAGCTTTACTTTGTCCTATGATTCGCTTTTCTAAAAGTATTCTCCATGTTCAAGAGCTTGAGACTCTCTTCCAAAGATACTTTCTTTACAGGAATTCCTGTCCATAAAGCTATAGTGTGTTGTATATTTTCTTCTGTCAAAACCTGAATTTTTTGTGATGTATGTAGAAAGCTGAGCTCGAGCGGCAGTCTCATCAATTAGATCTATTGCCTTATCCGGTAGAAATCCCTCACTGAAAAATTTAAGCTGAGAAGCATCAGAGATTTAATTAAACCGAACTCCGAAAAAAAATATAAAAATTGAAATATGCAATTGTAACCTGATATATTGATGAGATAACTGTGCCGCAGCAATTAAAGCCTTTTCTGTGTAGATGACATTACGGTGAGTTTCATATTTTTTGCTTAACCCTTTCAATATATGTATTGTTTCATCTACAAATGGTTCAGGCACTTCAAGGGGCTGGAATCGCTTTTTGAGGGCTGCATCATTCCCAATGTATTTTCTGTATTCATCAAGGGTTGTGGCACCAATACACTACACCAGGTAAAATATCAAAGTTAAAAAGAGAAGATTAATTACTAAAATGTTAACATTTGTGTTTTATACTATGCTAAAAAATTAAAGACAAACTACTTGTAGTTCCCCTCTGGCAAGTTCTGGCTTCAAGATGATTGCAGCATCAACGGCTTGACCTCCAGAACCAGCTCCGATAAGTGTATGGAGTTCATCAATGAAGAGAATTATTGCACCTTCACTTTGTTTTACTTCATCAACAATCATGGTTAATCTTTCCTCAAATTCTCCTCGATTAGATGCTACAGCAATAAGACGCCCCATGTCAATAGCAAATATTTGAATTCATTACAATCAATAGAAAATAAAAAAGAAAAAGGCTTCAGGATTCAGGAGGAATAGCTATAAACAAAAACCTAACATAGAACTACCAACCTTCTTGCACTGGAGTTCTGATGGAATTGTTGATTTTATGATATTTTGCGCCAGACCTTCCACAATGACAGTTTTACCAACGCCCGGATCACCAATGAGGCATGGATTGTTCTTTCTCCTCTTGCACAGTATCTGTGTAACTCGCTCTAATTCTTTCGTCCTTCCTACTAGAGGATCCAACTTATCCTGAACAATTAGAAAAGAGCCAAGAATATGACATTTACAATTAACGAATACCAGCTCAAGAACATAAACAAACAGTCTAGATTTGCAATTTTGAACCAAAAAGAGAAGAATCAGTTATACCTCCGGTGCCATTTTAGTTAAATCAGTGGCGTATTTGCATAGCATTTCCATTTTAACAGATTGTTGCTGCTCAATCTTAGAGACATCAGAGACATCCGGATGCCCTTTTATACCACAAACCAGGATCCGAGGTTGTTAGTACCAAATTCGATGCAGCATTGACTACTTCATCACTTCCTAAGATTGTTGCTTGCAATCCCCTAATACAATTTTCTCCTTTTCTTTCAAAATTGGGTGCAGTTTCCAAAGAGTTTATGCATGTCCTTGCATATATATTGAATAATGATGCAAAGAAACTGGAGATGATTCTTCTCCTCCCTGTTGTCCCCTAGGTTTCCTACAAGTGTTTATTCATCATTAATGAAGTAACATTAGTGCTATCAATGCCCTTTATAGCAATCAAATTGAATTGAACTCATTTTGTTGTGTGACTGAGGAGTCATTGAATTCAAATAAGTTGACGGCGTTGACATGGCATGTCAATCACAGTCACCTTGTACTAACCAATGCACTTGCGCTCCTAGAATGTTTGGACTTTGGAGAAGTTATTGGATCTGCCATGGAATTAGAAAAAGCCTAAGGGTTTAAAAAAGTAGATGGGCCTGAATGCCATATTTTTAGGATTAATTACAAATAGAAAAAGCCCATGAGTTTTAAAAAATCGATGCTAGCTACGCCTTGTTTTGCTTGTTGAACATCCACAAGAAACCAAAATAAAGGTGAAGGTGGCTTCCTATCGATTCCCATGAAACTGCGGAATACCGAATTTCATCAAATTTTTGCTATGGATGATGACTCTTAATATGCCCCCATTGTGTTTAACAAAAATGCTAATGTATGAAGAAGTAATTAGATAATTAGTAGAATTATTGAATATTAATGAATATAACTTTTGCTTCTCCCTTATTTGGATGAAAACCGTCATTCACTTTGATTGACAAAATTCGAGAAAAAAAAATCAAATTATACCTATGTAACCACAATTTTCTTTCTTCTTCTTCTTCCAAGGCAGCCCCATCTCAACATCACTGTGAATTTGTGACAACCATGCACCCCATTGTTGAGCAATTTGAATTTGTACTTGTAATTAATCCATGTTTATATAATATAAGCTTAATGCTTGTGATCCATATATAATAAATGTCATGTATAGATATATATATATATATATGTTGACTAGCTAACAAGTTAATTAAATTGATGAATTCGTCATGATGCAGGCATGCATACAGATATATATATATATATATATGTTGACTAGCTAATAGGTTAATTAAACTGATGAATTCATCATGATGCATGCATACATACATATTTTAACTTAAAATCACCAATATTCACCACTAGAGTAATTTAAACATTACTAGGTCTAGTAGAATAATGATTTCAAGGGCTTTGTTAATTGATTATTATAAGTAACACCGCTTGTTAATTATTTATTAATTAGCTAGTAAGTGTTACGTAATTAAGAGACAAGAAACAGTAGATGATGATGATGATGATGATGATCAAGTTGTCCGACGCTTGTCTCCACAAATCTTGATATATAAGATGACAACCTTTGTTATTCCTTTAATCACCCAATAACGTTCCCTACCTGCATCATCATTATAACTAGTACATAGTGCTACATATCTGCTCTACCTCTGCATCTCTTTTCATAATTTGGTTATGCAATTTATTAGCAAGGTAAGAGCCGTTGACACCAACAGCTAGCTTTCATGCACTTTGGGATTTGAGAGACCCACCCACACCTCTCTTTAATTAATTTGCCCCTTAACGCTCCACCCTCAGCACCCGTTTTATGTTTTTTTTTTCTTACCATTTTTACATTAATCTACAGATTAAAGTTGCAGTGTATTAAATAGTAGAATGAAGAGGGTAGGTAGGAAAGGAAGAGTATGATGGAGAGTTCGATGAAGCATGCATGGTTGCGTCCCCTCTCATATAATATAAATGAATAAATAAATAAAAATATTGAATGGTGATGGATTTTACTATATATCTTAATGCAACTTATTATCATCTTTTTATTCCAAAACTGATTTTCTTCCCCTTAGTTTCTTCTTTGTTCTTTGGTTTTTTTTTTTTAATCAGTTTGATTGCTTTTCTTCTTTCTTAATAGTATATAAATTAAGGATCAAACATTAGTTTTTACTTTCTTGGATCTTTCAAAATTTAAACCGGCTGCTGCATAGCTAGAGCTATGCACATGAAAGAAGTATAGTTATATATTGAAATTCAAAGAAAATTAGAACTAGCAGTTTGTGTCCACATAAAGCGTTGACCTTTTTCTTGCTTTCCAAGTACGCACTGTAAATATACAAATCTATCAATTACTAGTAATCTGCAATGTAAACAAGCGATTCATATATATATATATATATATATATATGAATGTTAATGAGGAATTTTTGAAGAAGAAATTAAGAAAAGTTGAAAATGAATAAAATATTAGATTATATGCAAATGTATTTACCAGTTTTGTGATGTTTTAGTATTTGTGCTTTCATGGAATAAATAAATATATATATGTACGCAAAATAAGCAAAGATAATAAAGAGTTACTATAGAGCGGTACTGCTGCTGCAGTAGCAGCTAGGCTAGTCTTTTTAAAAGCCACCG